TAAATAATTAGGCAACGCTATATTAATAAAGAGAGGCGTTAGTAGAGTAAAAGAGGTAGTAGAGGCAGGTAAGTTAGTAGGCAGTAGAAGTTAAGAAATTTTAGATATATAGCGCTAAGCCTAGTTAGGCAACTATTACAACTCTAAAGTCTCTTAAAGCTAAGCTGCTTTATACTATATTTACTACTCTTACCCACTAAAGGATCTTATATCCTTTAGTAAACCTAAGATCTTAGAGATTTAAGTCTGTTAATTAAGTTAATTAAGTTAAGTTATTAAGTTAACTTAATTGTTGCCAACTCTAGCAAGAAAACTCTAATATCAGAGTGTATTTAAGATGACATTCTACTATTCAACATGCATGCCTGCTTATGGGCGCCTCTCAGGGACAGGCGGATATCACAAATCCCACCATACCATACTGTTTGGCTTCGTTGACAATATTACCCGCATTACGACATCGGCCAATTATATATCCCTCATGGCATGCATACGTCCCATTCACAACATAATCCCAGCCTATCCATACCTAACTCTCCTCCCACCAACCCTCACAGTTGGTCGCATCTTGTGACTAACCCTTATCCCCCTCTTCCTTGCATAGTTCGCTGCATCCTGCGATGAAATGCGGTCACAGTCATCAAGATTAAGCTCCCTCAACTTCGGAAGTTGATCCACCAAAATCTTCACCCCAGCGCCTGTGATCTTAGTCTGACTCAGATTGATGGTCTCAAGGCCTGCGAGTTGCGCGACAAGCATCTCGACATCATCGTCTGTGCATGATTGCGTGGAGAGGTCGAGGGTGTGCAATACAGGGCTTGTGATACGGGGGGATGCCAAGAGGCCTTCGGAACCGAAGAATGTGCTGGAAGTGAGAGAGTCTTTGATGGATAATGCCTGGAGAAGCGAGCTGGAGGGCACAGGAATTGGCGTCTCTTGGCTTTCGGGGACGTAGTAGTCGAGCAAGTCTGAAAAGAAGCGAGGCTCTAGGTCCATACAATTTGCAATAGACAAGGAGGTCAGAGTTGGGAGATGCGATGCCAGCACATTTTCGGGATCTTTCAGAGACATGAGCTGGAGGGGATGGAAAACTAGCTGCTCTAGGCTTGGAGGGAGACGCGGGAATGTAGTAAAGTGGACGTGTTTGAGTACGAGGTGTGTCAATGGTACCAGAAGGAAGACATCCTCAATCCCAGTAGGAGGGGGTATCACGTGGCCAGGGCCCCAGTGTAACAGCTTCAGGCATCGAAGAGCTGGGGTTCGGGAAAAGAGTGCCGACAGATTCAGCGCCACTACAGCTACTTCAGTCTGACCTCCCGCGAGGACCAAGGTGTTGAGTTGGGGATATGTTTCACTCCAGTTGGCAGCCCCTAGACGAGCAGATATGATAGACCGGAATTCCGCATGAACTAGGGTCGGACGGCGTCGGAGGACTTGCGTGACGGTATCGAGCGAGATATCCACGTGTACAATCAGCTTCTTGAGGTTCATTGCGATTTGAGCGAACTCTATGATGGAATTGGATGTGGCCCCACCGGAGAGAAGTGTGATCTCTGTGAGCCCCTTACATAAGGTAGCCATAGTTCGAAGAACATCGTAGCTCCCGAAGCGGTTGACGACGAGGCTCTGGACTTGGTTCTGAGAGCGGAATAGGGCACTTCTGACAAATCTACTACTAACTTGGCACTTCCTGGATGCTTCGGAGAAGTCGAGATGAATCCAGCGCTTGGTGGAATTGATCAAGAATTTCTTCCAGAACTTGCAGACCCTGAGACAGGAAACCATGTCTTTAAAGGACATGTAGTCAAACACCATATCCACCAGTTCCACGGGGAGAATGACAAAAGGGTCGATAGCATGTGCGGGAGAGAGTTGGCGGATTAATCGGTCGTGTCTTGCTTGCAGAATCTATAGTAGATTAGCGTCAAGAATGACAATGCTAAACGACTTACAACAGACCATGAAGTCCTTGTTATAAACAGGGACCTTTTTCATGCCTAATGCATAAATTCCAACGGCTTTATCTGGCTTACTCAGCTTCTCGAGTTCAGTGCCTGTTCGAAGGTATCCCTGTCCATATGCTTCAGTATGTCATATTGGACGTTCATGACGCGTGAATACCTACCCTGATGTCGCGCTCATCGAGTTTGATCATATCGCGGCCATCTTTGCAAGCAGCCACAAAGCGCTCCAGCTTGTCGAAACTCTTGGATCGGCCTTCGAGAGCTTCAAGACGTGGGATAACAGCAAGCTCAATGGCACGGGTGAAGTTCTGAGCCGCCTGTTCATAGCGCGACTTTTTGTAATGAGCACGCGCTACCTCCAGGTACTCATCTGAAGAGAGCGTATGAGCCATAGTCAGCGTATAGCATCCAACACTATGTTTATCCAGGATATCAAGAATTCATGTTGCGTGGACGTGTTGGTGGTGGTTGAATCAGGGGAAAGATCGGCATAGCGTCACGTGAGCTGGGCTCGGTTCCGCTGTGCTGAGCTTATGCTGCTTATCTAAACCAAACTTCCTCTTCTGGAGTTTTCCATTATCAACCCTTCAACACCACAACTCCAACATTAGCAGACCTCGCGATATATTTCCTAGCGCTTGGCATCTCGGTCGTATCTTTCGCGTAGCAGTCTCGTTCTGAGCGCCTTCAGCCTGGTGATAGTGTGGCTGGGGGCCGAATGCGAATACGACCCCCTGCCTCGTGTTCTCAAACAGATGATACTTATTTTGGGGGTAACCTCCAGCTGGTGCTCCCCCGTATCACTATCGTAACTGCACCTCATTTGTCCCTTTCATCTCTTGGTCTTTCAGCTGCTCAAGGCTCATACGAGCCGGATTTTTCGTATCGAATGTCACCGTCTTGCGGAGGCTTTCTTCACGATCCAAGCCTCACCCGCGATGCATACGATCAGTTCATATTCAATGTCCGTCAGGAGATTGCAACATGAAAGAGTGGAGAAGCAGACGCTGTTCTCGGATCAGCGACACGTCCATTCACTCCTAAGCTTCTCAAGTCATCTTTCTATTCCAACCTCAGGCTATCGTCTGTTGTCGACAATTCACAGGTAAAAGTAGAATCGAGGAAGTAGAGATCTTCCAATCTTAGTGCCTGTCGATCACCTCAAACGCTCTTTCTCCACATACATTGTTTGAGCCCTGTCTTGGCACATTGCTTGGTTGGACTCTTCATCAAGCCACCGTGATGGGGCGTGGTTGGGCAGGGTTTCGTCGCTGCCAAGTCCGTCCTTACGATCTCTCTTTTCGCATTCGTGCCCATTTTGAACTCACTCGGTCCGCGTTCTTTGTGCCGCCTGCATGTTGTTCCCTTATACCGGGGTTACATTGGACTGAATTCCTGCTTGAAATAAGCTCTTTAATCTCCTTGAGGCTACTGACCCTTCTTGGCGCATGTTCATGTACAGCCTGGAATAGCAGGAGATCTCCAGGCAACCCTGGACTCAACTTCAACAATATGGGGGTTTTCGTGGTGACTGGGGGCCGGTATTCCAGTACAAGAATATAATGTCTCCACGTATTTTGCCTCATGAGGACCCATAGCACTCATCAGTCGCTCTCTTAGATCAGTGCATGCTATCGTTCGCTCGTTAATTTTCCTGCCTCTACTGTTGCGAGCGATTACATACCGTCATCATGTTATTTCAATATACTATTTATTTCGTCCTGTCCCTCTTCTTCAGCAATGCATTCGCCCTCAAGCTTGCGCCAATCACCGACCCGGGAACAGTTACCAGCGGTGTACGCGCATCTTCCAAACGATCAGCGAACTTCACGGGAGATCTAGACCTGCAAGATTTTGAGACATTCTTTTGGGGGGCTCCCGGTACAGAAATATCTTTTCAGGATGGGAGCGCGCTTGCTAACGTCGGTATCAGCGGGCTTAAACCTCATTTACGCAAATCTCACCGTTTACTTCCCTGAAGAGTACCAGTATGTTATTTCTATGGAGCGCTTTGCTAGCTCACTCAAATCGGTCAACTGCGCTGAAGACATGATGCTCGAATTCGTGGACAAAGCTGCCTTTGACTATGCCAAGAGTGTGTGGAACTGGGTGAACCAAGATGTGAACCATACCTTCATCATGGTTACGAACTATGAGGGGTGTGCCGACGATAAAGAACGTCTGCCATTCATTGTGTCCAACATTAAATACGACGACGCACATTTCAAGGCCCATCTTACCGCGGATCAAAAGGACTGGGAAGAGGTTGCGCATTCCTACACTCTCAATGTAGGCCACATGCCTCTTACTCCTGTTCATCGACTTCTCATGGAACGAGAGCTCCTGCCGAGAGGTCCAGATTTCACAATGAGTCTTGCAAGCTCGTACGACAAAAATCTCTTCTCTACGACAGTTGGAGGTTGGACGACTTCTGTCGATGCTACCATTCGCACTGCTGGAAGTTTGAACGTCGACTTCGACGTAGACGTATCCTGGTTCTCGCTTTCTTCCGCTAGTATGACCATCAGCCCGCAAGATGTCGCGGCTTCAATCCAGCTGGCACTCTCTGAAAGTGGTACTCTTTCCAAAGCGTACAGTTGGCAAAAGACAGTGGTACGTACTGAGCCCATGATAGAAGTGATATTAGATATTCAGGCCGAGTCTCTTATTCCAAAATACTTGCTAACTATTGGGTAGTAAGCATAGGTTTCTCTTCCTCTATGTTGTCCAACACCATGCTTAGATGCCACCTAAGTGATGTCTTCTACTAGTCCCACATAGTATTGAGCTGCTCCCTTTATCTGGTGGATGCTAACTGTGCATCCAGAATTTCCATTCCCATTGAAGGTATTGAGATTGCCAAGGTCGTTAAACTTGGTGCTTTCTTGGACGTGGATGTCGGCTTTACAATGGATGAGTGGACAGGAGAAGCACATGCGAATTTCGGCGCCAGAGTCGCGCTCTCTAATTCAGCGATCGTGAAGGTTGATCTGATTAAGTCGTCAAACAACAAATTTTCCGGCTGGATGCCAACCTTCTCCGCCATTCCTCTTACATTAAGTGCAAAGATTGCCGGATCGGCAGAAGTGTTTGCTGAACCGAATATCAAGTTGGAGGCGTCGGCTCTTGGTAAGTCTGAACAAATTTTGTTCCTGATGTATGGCTAACTCCCTCTAGGTAAGGGTTGGAACGTCGGCCTGAATATGAAGATGCCTTACATCAAGGCTGACTTTGCGGCAATGTATGATACCACTGGCGTCTGCAGCACGAAGAAGACCCTCGGCGTAGACGTTGACGCGAATGTTGGTGTCGAACTATTTGCTCAAGCAGCTACCAAAGGCAATGAAGCCAATCCGTTCTGGAAGCAAGACCTCTTCGTAAGTATTAATTTATCAAAGAACTTACCCGGTTCAATATGCTAATACAACTGCGCTCAGTCTCACGAATGGCCTCTCTTCTCGAAGTGCCTAGCTTTTGGTGCAGAAAACGCTCACTCTGGAGAGGTAGTTGTGCCAAACCCTGCCACCAAGACCAAAAAGGTTTCGAAAACGACAAAAGCTACGACAAAGCCCAAGACTACCAAGAAGCCAGAAACATCAGAGAAACCGAAAACGACAGTCAAACCAAAGACGACAACGCTAAAGCATACTACCAAGGCCAGCTCCAAGAAGTCTTCAAAACCAGAAACTGATAAGCCAACACTAACTAAATCCTCCAAACGAAGCACAACGAAGCATTCCACAGCCACGGATGAGACGGGTAAGCCCACAAAGGAGGCCACATCTAAGCCTGCAAAGACGTCTAGTGCTTCGCTCTCAAAGTCTAAACCAACTCACACTGAGCTTACGGGTTCTGTTAAGCCGACTCAATCTTCCAGTAAAAAACATACCTCTTCTACCGATGAGACAAGTATATCTCGCGCAACTAAGAAGACGAGTGCAGCACATACCACCAAGTCGTCCATCACCGTCAATACAGTCAGCACAGACAGTCCTACCCCTTCCTCCTTCAGTACTTTTTCAGGCTGGACGAACTCGACTCACGTTCGAGCCCACTCCACCATTAGCCCTGGGGAAACGTCAGCGCCGCCTGACCTTAGCAAGAGTAATCCTGCGCCAGAGCCATCCGAAAGTGATGTTCCCCCCGAATCTTCCGGGGATGATACACCACCGCCAAAAACCTCAGGCGTTGATGAAACACCTCCACCAAATCCTACCGGTGGTTCCGATAGTCCACCACGGAAGACCTCTGGAAGCCCTGATACAATTTCTCCAGAGACTATCACAACGAAAACACCCACAACTCTCTCTATTTCCACCCTATCTTCCTCTTCCTCGTCATCCACATCCAGCGCCCCACCAGACTCCTGCCCTATAACTGGCTGTTCCACCTGCCACGACTCATTCGACACCGACGCCGCTACGGAAAATTACTTCTCCATAGAGTCCTCCGACTTTGCAGGCAACCTTACAAAAGTGAAACGCGCCCCTCGCGAATACGATTACGTATGCAAACACATCACTCATACCCTCACACTAGCTGACTACCCCACCTACAAATCCCGTACAGAGAAATCCTCTATAACTGTCAGCGATTGGTGGCAGGCAGTCAACACAGGCAATTGTTTGAACCACCAGGTTACTACAACCGCAAATCCACCGGCTCCAGGCAGTATCGGGAAACCTGGGTTCAGCATGGAGCACATCTACGAGGGCAATTGGGTTATGATGTTCCTCGACAAACTCAAAGACGATGGTATGGACTGCGGTGATATGGACCTCATTTTCTTCAAGGACCGTAAGACCAACAACCAAGGGACAAGTTGGGTCCAAGCTATCATGGAGAGTCTCGGTTCAGATATCAACCAAGACTTCCTTGTCTTCCTCCGACAAAATATTAATTCGGCCAAGTTCCGCATCTTCGATGAGGTAAACAAGAATAATATAATCGCTGAAACAAAATGGCGTTCCGCAGTGCCGACGGCCAAGATTGAGAAAATGGCCACCGTTGGTCGCGCTCTCGACTACTTGAACCAGCCATCCGTCGCCTCGAAACTTCTAGCCACGGCCGAGAACGTTGAAAAGACGCTCAACGCGCTCGTTGCCGATGCCGCCACCTCCACTGACGCGGGTTTTAAAAATACAGTGAAGAAATATTACAGCGGAAAAGAACTCGCGAAGAAACACCGCAAGTGGCTCCACGACTTCGTCAGTAGCAGAAATAGCATTGCTACCAAGTCCATGATTAGATGGGCAAGCGAAGCATCAGAACAGTACGAATCTTCTATTATGACGGCAGCTGGGGCCACCCCCAGAACCAGGGTCAGGACTGCGCCGCATACAGATCCGACGCTAAGTTTCTTATCGAGCTTACAAGTTAAGCCACCAAGCGGATTTGTGGCTGCGACGTATATGCCTTTGATTTAAGAGTTGAGAAATATGATGAATGCGGAATGTGTTGGGAACGCATTGTTTCTGGATATCTGGCTGGGTTTACTTCTTCTGCGGTGCAACGCACCGCTGTCTACATTTACAATATGATACCCTTCTTCCTGTATATATAGTGTCTATTCAATCCGTAAGACCCACTTGATCTGCCTCTTTCTGAGTCCTAAATTACCTCAGGGGGGTCAGTTGTGCGTTTCTACTCTGAGATAGGAAAAGCTTCTTCAATAGATGCTAACTAACATATGGATGACTAACCGCGTTCCACCACTCAACAACGCATATTAGTCTTCAACACACCAAAAACCACTAAAATCAGAAAAACTGTATCGTGCTATCTCAACAACAGCTTTATAATAAATTCCAGAACTCTAATATTACCACCCTATACCTATTTTAAGACCCATATTAAAGTTCCAGAGTGTTAACCGTTACCAAAATGTCCAGGTTTAGTCCCTAATCTTGAGCCGAGTTGCTGTATTCCTAGAACTCCTAAAATTACTTTGAAAGTCGAATATGAGTCTTAGAATGAGCATAACAGAATAACTATGAAATATTGGAATTACGAAGTCGTCTTTGAGATATCAAGGTACATATTTTACCATTTTGGTAATTTTTGGGGCACTGATGACTAGTGTGCGGCCTTGGTGGGTTCATATACAGTCTCATAATCTTCGTCACTGAGCTACCCAGAGTGAACGTTATTCCAATCTACTAGCATTCTGCGCACCGCTCTATTTGATTGTAGGTTGTGGTCAGGAGTAGGCTGTGCCCGTGGGAGCAACTTCGTACCTCTTGAGAGAGAGAGAGTATTCTTCCTATTGTTTTTGGGGTATCATAGAGAGGGTCTTCTACCGTCTCTGTATTTCAATAGATTGGTACTCGGAAACTGCTCTTGTAAGTAAATGCGTATCTTGAAGGAATTGTATTAAGTGCATGCGTGTGTCTAATGTATCCATCCATGTAGAGAAGAGGGATGAGCTCAGCCGCAGGCGGACCTGATTAGTCATGGCTTGCATGTTATGGTCCTAAAATTTATAGTTTTCATTATCCGCTATCAAATCAGGTTGTTCCCTGTGTAGTAGCCAGAATAGATCCTCAACTTTATACTGAGAAAGCATCACTTCTTTCGCAATGTAATCCCACATTGTTGCAAATGGAGAGGTGGTGTAAGCATGCAGCTATGTAGAAAGCTGATGAAGCGAAGTGTATTGTTCTAAGTGTCTAAGTGCTCTGTTGCAGAGAATTTATTTACATCTATGATGGCAGGGGCAGTGAGGGCCATGGCAATGGGTAAGGGGATATAATGAAGGTAGTAGGAGCTATAGTAACAGCAGGAGGGGCTGTTGAGGCATAGGGAAGGAAGGTTTCTGTACTAGGAATGCGAAACACATCTGTCCTTTCTATCTAGCAATTAATTAATTATGCATCTTTCGAAGTATGAGAATGCTTACTGAATGTAGAGTTCTATGATATTTGGTACTTTTAGATCATATCATACCCGCCCTATTAGCGTCTGACGAGAATGTTGAACGCAACTCACTTCGCTCCTTCCTGGTAGGGCTTGCAAAATCTGTCGCCAGGTCATATAATAATGCTATCAGTTTTTCATCTTTCTCAGGCTGCCCTCTGCTACTTGCTAACGGGATATAGCAGGATCAAAGACATTGAATTTGTGAATCCCTAGGGGCACAAAAGTGCTTCCTTCAAAGAGGAAATGATGAATCAAAACGATGGCTTGAAGCGTTATTCTACTCTCCTTTATGTAGTGAGCTTAGGTTATTCTACATTGTTCCTGAGAGCGTGCCCTTTTTTGGTGCCAAAATTCCGATTTATAAGTCAAGGAATCGCTCGATTTAGAACTCCAGATGAAAGGTTTCGAGCAAGTCACGTGCATGATTAGTGAGATGTCACAACATCTTCCACTCAGACCAGTTCGCTAATTAACACCATGGCCGTCTTCGGGGAACCCGCTCCGCCCTCCTAGCCTTCGGCTGGGCGCCCTGATTTGATAAAAGTAGTTAGCTTAAGATGGAAGCAGCCAATGGAACATGTGGCATATTTTCTCCCGGAGGGGATCCGGTGGGGCAATAAACCTTTCTTCTTCCAACACTGCGGAGCACACATCCCCCGTAATGGACTCTTCCCCAATTTTGTTTTTGTAAAACCTAAGACGGCAAGCACCCAACAGGAAACTGTCGCTTCCTTTTCGGGTTAAGCTCGCTATTTTGCCGTCACAACGTCAACCCTCTTCTGCCCGTAACAACATAATTACGAGCATTTCCTCCCAACCTTCCTCTCAAAAACCCTCTCTACAACTCCTCACTCCTCGCTTTCGGCTCTGCACGCTCGGCCCACTCCTCTCCCTGCCTCACCTCCTTCGTCTTTACGGCATTTTTGCTATTGGCTCCTTGAATCTGCTTTCTTATAGTAATTAGCTCCTAGTATAAGTTGAATAATTAAGTTAACGTCCATCTGTTGGTTTGGGACGCCACACCTCTCTACCTACAAGGCTACAACAAGTGCAATGAGTCAAATCTCTGTATAATTAGTTCATATATGATCACTTCTTCTCCTAATTCTCAACACCATCCCTATGAGGATATAACGTCCATCTTAATCGAACCTTCTATGGGTTTGAAGGACGAGATGAGCTCGATAGTGGCGCTGTGGGCCAAGGAGGCCTGGTAACCATGAAAGGAGGCTCTCCGTAATCGGACGCGGAGGCGACAACACGATCAAAAATTTCGGAGTTGCCAGTGCTTACTTCATCGTTCTCAATCTTCGTAGAGAAAGAGGAACAGCGCAGGCGACAGGCCGCCAAACATGCTGAAGAGCTGTAGGTTATGTGCAGGGAGGAGAGTCGAGCTGCGTGCAAGAGCCGGATGTCGAACTTTGTAATTGCTACCGTACGGCCGCGCTGTCACAGCCTGTTGTTCAGTCAAATCCATGGTTGGCTACCGGCACATTTTTTGAGGAAAGGCTCTGTGGAGAGCAGCATTTGTCACGAAGGTCATGTAGTGTTTTAAACTCAATCACCGCGTTCAAAACGGTTCTGTCGATGAGCACTCCTTTTGCACCTAACAAGCGAGATCCCACAACACCATATCTCGACCACGAAATGAGCATATCTAAGCAAGAATTCAAGAATTTTGGCCCATGTTGGAGGTGCGCAGGTCGGTTAAATACGCCGCACGCTTACGGATCACGTCGATGGTTGTGGTTGTTGTCGCCGGGCGCGTGCGGATTTGTCGAGGGCTCTGAGGTTTTGTCGAGGGCTTGGAGGATTTGTCGAGAGGGGTCCGAGGATTTGTCGAGGCGCCGAAGCGCAACCCCCATCCCAGGTAGACCGGGTACTGTGCAATACTGTAGGCCACGGAAGTGGACCGAAAATGAGCACAAGAGAAGGGGTGCCGGAAATCGGGTCATTAAAAGGCCTAAAACTGCCATCCGCAAAACAAGATCCGCGTCAACAGGCCTCGCAATACGCAGTTCAGGCATCAACATCCTACAAATCGTGACAGCACAAGCTTCTGAACAAACCATCATACAAAGTGCTACATCCAGCTGCAGCTCTAGTCTATGAAACAGAAACATATGTTAGCATATATCCAGCAATAGTGAGCTCGATTTCCGTTTAAACAGGTGGAAGAGTTAACAGCCCGCTTTGCAGAAGGTGATGAGGCTGCAACCGAGTTCGCATCCTTTGGCATCCATGGCGGAGAATATTCTGACCCTTGCCTAGACGGCACAAACCGGCTTGGGCCCAGCTGCGCCACGCAGCGAGTCAACAAAGTCTCGACATCGCCTCCCTTCGAGAACCTCGACACATTCGCATGTACAATACCTCGTACTCCCTTCAAGCCCCGACTCCATACTCTCAACTTATTGCAGCTGCGATACATTTAAAACCCTTTTGCGGAAGGCCGCTGTACATGTCGATCACCTCGATGCAGCGACCGTCGCGCTTTCTACATGTAGCCGGCTCAATTGCACCGCCACAATTCGCGCCTTACTCATGCTTGCTCACGGTCAAATTCAAGGTCAATCAGGGTCGCTCAAGCTCGAATCTCACCGCCTCAGGCTGCTCTTGCCCTCACTCAATCTCGCTTGTGATCCTGATTCCGGGACGTCGTCATCTGAGCAGCCACACTGTATGCTCCTGGAAAATGTCAAGTCTACGCGACCCGTACAGGATCCCGGTTTTGGGACCCTCAAGGAACGCCTGGAGGTGAGTCAAACGTGGACTCTTCGCAGATCATTTGCTTCAATTTGGTCAGGGAGCTCCATATGGATGGCGCTGAGACGTGGTCTGCGACCTCCTTTACACAAGAGTCTGAGACTCTGCTTCGCATTTGCAGCTTGAGCTGCCAATGCTCATACTTTCACGAGTCAAACTTAAGCGGTTGGTCAAAATCAGATTTGAAACAAGATACCCAAGAGCTTCCGAACTCCTCAAAGCAATTGCTTGCAATCCCTGTCGTACGCCCTCACCTGCTCCATCTTCATCTTGACGAACGGACTCAATCCCGCGCGTGCGTCCTTGTCCAGCGACTCCAACCCAGCGCCGTCCTCATTCAGACAGTTGTCGAAGAGGACCTCAACATCGATCGGCTTCCGCGCCGCAAAATTAAACCAGAACCTATTCGTCTGCCACGATTCCAACATAAGACTCGAAAGACTCCTCTCGTTGATCGCCAACCCCTTTGCTCTTTCAGCTCGCTGCATCGCTCGCAGGAACTGCTCTAAGCGAGGCTCGTAGGCAGCCTTGAACTCTGCCATGGTCCGACCGCGGGAAAGATACGCCTCTGGTCCAACAAGAAGTAACCACCACGGCGACTCAGATGCGTATTGCTCAGGCATGGCATTTGTAAACTCTAGATCTAGCACAGCTGTGATACGGAGGGTTTTTGGGTCTACTAACATATTTTGACAGCGGAAATCGTCGCAGAAGAGTTTAAAGGGGCCGCGGTCGTTGATAGAATATTTAGGGACGAGTTGCGTGAAAAGATGGCGGGAGACATACAGCTCCTCAGCAGCTTTAGGATTGGTGCAGAAATTGCGCTGAGTGCGGAGGTGGGTCATGTATGATTGTGTGAGAGACTTGAAGTAGTCGCTCGAAGAGTTGAATGGAGTGGTTGGGAATTTATCAATAGGATAAAACGTAGTCGTTGCCAATTCGTTCATACTGTAAGTCAAGGGCCTCCTTTTAACAGACCAGCTGCGTGAAGCAGCGTCCTTTGAGATGGCCCCGATGCTGGAGAAATTGAACTGATAAAGCTGGAGCATAAAACCAGCGATTTGCTCATAGACGGTGTCCAAGATTTGCGTATCGATCTTCGGGTTCAGCCAGAGCTTCTGCGCATCAGTCCGGTCGGATAGAATATTGCTTAAGCTAACTCCCTGTACAAACTCAGAGATGATGAAAGGTCCAAGCTGGCGCGGGCTATCTTTAGTCAAGCCCCAGCCTAGCAGGCGTGGAACTGGGATCGTAGTGTTTTCGTGAATGAAATTGATTATCTCGACCTCATTCAGCGTCTTCTCATCCCGAAAAACTGAGTGTCCTAGCCCTGGGAAACGAATCATGACATCCGGGCCACCATCGCTGAACATGACTCGCAAGCAGAGGTTGAATGAGCCTCCCATCCAATCGATAACCTCTGGATTTTGGCTTCCGGGTCGATAGCGGGCGACGAAGTGTGCGATTTCATCCTTTGCGTTTAGGACCTGCTCTTTCCACTTGCACCACTCGTCATCGCCCATCTTTTCTGCTATTTCGTCATAGACACTCATGGTGCCAGAGGCCGGTGAATTGACTGGTTTATTTGCCCTGCGGGGACTCTTGCGTTAGGAAATGGAGAGATGTAAAATAAAAAGTTGGCAGCAAAATGGCAGGCTGGTGTGCGAAGCGCTGGGTACGAGAAGCGGGGTCTTACTTCGATATTGCTATGACTGTGCCGCCCAACTCATATTCTTGGAATATGAAGGAGTGTTGAATGAAAATAAAACTTCCACCCGGCAAACCTTCTATCAAACAATTAAGTGCATCGCCGGACAGCAAAAAACTGAAGTACGTTTTATTCTATTCAGCAGGTCAGAATCGTCATTCATTCTCTTGATTATCAAGGGCGTCAGATTCACTTTTTAAATGTAGCCTCTCCTGTCTCTACAATACACGACCCTACTACGCTACCTCGCGCTACCGTCATCAGCTAGGGCGCCATGGAGTTCACCCTAACCCTTTCCCCCATGTGCTTGAATAATGCCCTTCTGCTAAATCTCTTCCTTATCCCCACTAATCCGGTTATGAAATTTCCTGGCCTACCCTCTTAAGGCAACGGCGGTGGCGACGATGCTCCCGTTTTTAAAGGTTAGGCAAACCCTCCATCCTGTCTCCCAATCCCTCTTGACTCTATTAGTAATTGGCATACTTCACCGGTCTATTGTCTTTATTGCATATACTGACTTGTATTGACTAGGCGACGGCCCTTGTCTCGGCAATCTGTGAGCGCCTACTATGACACCTTATCTTGAACGTCTGATACTGACGTGTATGTGGACAGAGCTGACGAGGATAAGGTGTGCTGGCACTGTGGGCACATGAACAACGCGTCTGTCTATCTCTGTTAGAATGCAAGTTGCAATAAGGAGGCCTTTACGAAGTGTATTAATAGTGCCTGTGGATGCTAGGGGAAGGTTTAAGGTGTTGGCATCTGATCGAGACGCTGGCCAAGACTGCTCTGCAGTTGAACCTACCAGTCTGACTCTCCTATGCTGCAAAGATGGGACCCGTACTGTTGACTTTACTTCAGATTGGAAATTGGAAATTGGAAATTGACATTCTGCAGGCAGGTTTTCTTCCTGAATAAGAGACTAACTTACTCTAAATGTGACATAAATTGCTCCTTTATACACAGTGAATGTTATCCTTTACCCTGATTAGCTGGAGTTCTCTCTAAATTCTCTTCTTGCCTGAGAACAGCTGGAAATACTTGCTATGCTTCATGCGCCACGCATCTACCTCCAACTCGGGCGGAAAGTAACCTGCATGCTCCCAGTTAAAGATGCAGGTGACCTCTCGCGTCTTAGGCGAGACTATGATGTTGTGGCGGGCAAGGTCCCTATGGATGAGGACGAACTGCTCTGTATCTGACTTTATCGGCTGCCAGGCTACCCTGTGAACTGCCTTGGTGATGCGAGGCGGTGGAAGAACGAAGCCCTCCAGCCCGGTCACGCTGGACGTGAGCTGTCGAAGCTGGGGAAGGACGTAGTTGGTGATGAAGCTGTTGGCGTTTGTGAGGGCAATGTCGGCGCGCAGGTCTTGCATTCCCCACTAGAAACATGAGATTTTTGTCCTGATGACGGCATCTGGCATTCCTTCCTAATGCTTTCGAGTGTAATGCCGTATATGCGCTTCATTGTGACGAGCTTCATTGTGACGAAGGTGCGGCCCATGTCGTCGCCTCCGTAATCTAAGACTTCTGGCACGGGAATGCTATTGTATTGCCTGACAAGATTTAAGGCGTGGGCTTTGTTGAGGAGGCGCTCCTTGCCCTATTTCCATAGCTATGGCTTCCCGTCTGGTTCTTTTTGTAGTTGTTCTTGTAGAAGCTCGCGTTTGGTGAAGCTGCGCTCCCTTACAATGTATTCTTTGATTAGGAGTTTGCGAACCTCAACTATCTTCCTGTACGGGTTCGAGGCCCTGTCTATATTAAATGTGTAAACTATGTCACTCACTCTCTTACTATTCACATGTACCCCATTACCAAACCCACGAAGATATTAAGCTCGCTAACGCTTGCGAATGAAGCCCGCTCTTTCACTACCCACCAAGCTCCAGCGTCCCCTCCTCCACCACCACCCTGCCCACGGCCCTAGCCTACTAATCGGCCCACCTTTCAGAACAATAATGTTCATCGACGCCTAACAGAACATTACTCAATCCTTCTACTGTATAGAGGAGTCGTGAATGATTCTGTGTCCGATAAATTCCTCAATCGTCTCGTCAGTGAATTTGAGGTCTTCCTCGACCGGCACAGTGTCCTTGATCTTAAGTATCATGACCGGGAGCGCAATGACCAAGCTACCGGCAAGCAGAGCCCAGCATGAAGCGAACAGGTTCATATATGGCGGAGGACTGTTCAACCCATCCAATCGCCAGATGATAGCTGCGCCTCCTGACTGAATCCCTTTATAGAAGCCTGCAAAGTTGGCGAGCTTGCGACTGTTGTTGGTGATGGCGCCCATAAACCTGGTTTGAGTTAGCGAAGTCCAAGTGGAAGGTAAACTCAAAATTGCTTACCAATATACGCACGTCTGCCATGCCGCGTCATAGAAGCCATAAAAGACGTACAAGAACATCGGTCCAATATAGCCATTCGAATTCCAGTCGTATACAAAATGATCCTTCGGTGCAGTATCCTTTCGAGTATACTTTCTCTGGAAAGCATATCCTACGCCCCAGATCGCGAAGGTGAGGACAAGCATAATAACCCAAGCAACTAGCGCTCGCGTAGTCCTCCTAATACTAGAGGTGTCTAGTGCAAATCCGAATGTAAGTGCCCCAATCATCTGAGCGAGCCAGTACAGTATGTTGTTAAGTGCCCGAGTACGCGTGTTGAACCGTACGAGATTGACGTCGTTAAATTGGTATGTGTAAAACCAGTTGGACGCGAAGAACATTGGAAAGAGGAGTATTATATAGGAGTCATTCCTAAGCGTCTCCCAAAGGCCAAGAATCTCCGTCTTCCACGTTGGGTGTTTCATTAGAATAACTTTGGACCCATCACGACGGACGATGTGCTTAGCATCAACCAATGTCCAAGATAGGCAGGCCCCGAAGAATGTGAGGACCAAGAAGCCGATATAGGTTGCATTGCTGACGGTGTCATTGGTTGATTTGTTGATGTTCAGGCCAAGTTCAGCCTGATTTCAGAATTAGCTTCCTGTGTTTGATTTCATTGAACGACTTCAGCTCACCAGACTTCCGATGACAGCGCCCAAGTTGAAAATTATCCAGAACCAGGAGATATACCGGCCTTTGAGTCTCTCTGGTGGATACGACATCATAATCGCACCTTGCGCACACCAGAGAATGCCTGCACAGCATCCAAGCAAGAAGCCGGCGAAGACAATATAACCAAAATTTTGAGTGTGGTTATAGCATAAAAATGCACCAACGTAGACACAGTATCCAAGGCCACCAAATGAAAGGGCAACTCTAATGCCGAGAGTGTTTGTGACAGTACCGGCGAAGAACCCAACAACAGCGAAAGTAGCGTAGAGCGCGGAGTTTGAAGCAGCACTAAGAGAAGCATTGCTGCTAACTTGCCCTGCACCACCAAGACCGTTGAGAGCATTGAACATGCCTTTGCATAATTAGTGGCTTGAGGAAACATATTGTTTTGCCCGGCCTTACCTGGACATAGGAAGCATACGAACGACACCAAGATCAACTGCGACTCAGGTGAGGCATACCAAGGGATGGTGATGGGTCCAAGCTTGAAGCTTTTGTATTTCCATCCTGGGGGTATTTCGACCTCCTTGATTTCCACAGGGTGAGCTGGTGATTCCGTGGCCGCGGTCGTTGGACGTTTCCTAGCTTCCGCCATGGAGTATTGGAGTGGTGAGAGCCCTTGAAAATCGAGCAACGGTGCAAATAGTATAACTCCCTATGGTGACGCCTAATCTTGTCAATACTGCTCAATACACAATAGTAGTGATGTTTTAAGGACGCCGCTGAAACAGAAAGCAAGCTGGAGATGTGAGAGTGAAATGAAGGCTGAGCTGATCAGCGGTTCATACTATCTTCAACCGCAGCTAAGTAAGTAAAGAGCCACAAACGCAAGTATGTCTCATTCACCACCAAAAGCATAACGCCTAGCGTATCCGGGACCGCGATTGCCACGTCTGTCCCCTTCCCCGCCGATTGAATTTTTCGACGTTGACACTACAATTTAGCAAAAAGACTACAGAAAATTTGTATCATACGATTCCTTAGGCTCTTACGAGTCTTGTTTTCACAGTGCCTAGAGTTTCCACGGAAGTGTTCATAGAATACTTTGGACACTATGTATAAGGCTGCCCTGGAGACTCGTTGAATGCAATGTCCCTTTACAGCAGGATGGCAGAACCTAGACTTCCCACTAGAAGTCAAAATCTGTATTGGGGCGTGCGCCACATGGGCCTTCCAATGCGAAGGCGAAATCCGCATTCAGGTGTGCGCCACATGGACTGATACCGCCTAATATGGGGTGGGGTGCATTCTTTTTCTCGTAATCAAATTCTGAGGTGGGTTCACACAGCCCACGCTACAAACTCTCTTGAGCAGTTTCTCCAGTAATTCCTAGGCTTTCCATCTTAAGTTGTCTGATTTAGGTTCGTTCCACATTGCGGTTTGTATTACCCCAACACATTCACATCTGACTACACCGTGCGCTTTCATCAGTGGCTATGGTGGACATTCCGTCTACAGCTGCGGATACAGCCTCTGCTGTCCTCGCGCTGAGCAAAGCAGCCTGGAAGCTAGGAAGCTCCCTCTCGAAGCTCGATCAGGACACCAAAACCGCCGATACTACAATCCAGAATCTAGCAGGGGAGGTTAAGTTGCTTGGAAATGAATGCGATCTTGTATATGCTGAGTTGGAAGAAGTAGTAATCAAGCGTGAGACAAGGTCACCTCCACCTGATGATGTCGATGGGAGGATTTGGAATTGTCTCGCAACGCATGTGGAAGAGACCAGTCGAACAATTCAAGAGTTAGAGCTGTTGGTCAAGAGTATTAGAGGAAAAGAAACCAGTTTCATGGGTCAGGCCCAGCGTCAGAGGAAGCTGGACAAAAGCAAAGCTCAGGTTGCAAGTATCAGGACAAGGATTTGTAGGCACACCGACAACTTGCATATTACGCTACTATTAATCAATACGTGAGCCTTGCTTCTGATTAACATTTGACAAAGCTAATCTCACTTACAGGGTACTCACACACATTGCGCCTCGTCGAGCTAATCGCGGGCTTGTCAAAGAACTGGACAAATTGCACGCTATGATTGAGAAGCTGCAGAGATCATCGGAAGCCAATCCGCAGTCGCGAACTTCTCAAACTGAGGCCACCCTAATGCAATGTGCGCGTGAAGTTATTGTGAATGGGACGGCCATGTACGAGGCAAGTCTGGCTGCGCAGCCCTTCGGTAGAAGTCAAGGAGCAGCAAATGGTAGCATCCGCGTTGCGGAATGGGTCAATACTTTGGATTCAATACGACTGGACCAGCGACGTTCGGATCCTTCAGAAATGGTCTCTGGCGTCCCCCCCATCTTTTCTGGGGGCAGAGCACATCGCGACAGGACGAGCGCGACTTCTGTGCAACATGCTGAGCAGCACGAGGCTATTGATACAGTAGGGGACGATTCTGACGATGATTTGGACACCGATCTTGCGAAAGCAGCGCTGGACACTGGCACAAAAGCTTTCGAAGCGCAAGAATGGGAGGAGGCCGATTCTCTTCTTCAAGAAGCGCTACGAGTTCTGCAGCAGCTTTCGGACCAACAGCGATCATTCTGCGACCTCTTCGGTCTTCAGTATAAACTCGCTGTCTGTGCGTATCACATACAAGAGCCTGCGGTTGCCGAAGAAGCTCTTGTGAGCCTGGCGCAACAGTCAGTGAGCTCCGATGAACAACGCGGGTACACTTACAACGCGGCACACCTACTGTCGCAATTGTACATCCGCATGGGCCAGATCGATCATGCAAGATCTGAGTGTGAGACAGCTTTACAGGGCCGGAGACGGTTACTGGGTAAGCAGAGTGATGCCGCGTTGGAGTCAACAGCGCTGGCGGCACACATATATGTCTTGCTCAACAACCGCGCTCGAGCTAAATCTTACCTTGCCATGATACCGGAAGCACGCAGAGACGCCGTTCTAAAGACTGTTGAAGAGTCACTTGATACAATGGTGGAGCATCTCGATGCTTTGTCAATACGGACTCGACCGATCTCCGAAGACTTAAATCTAGCAGTGCAGCGCATTGAGAATAGATTCTCTGCGTCTTCTCTCCTGCCGCCCATAGAAAGCGGTGGCCACGGGTCTGTATTTGCGATGATCTCTCCATCACTAGCTGCTAGTCCTCTGCAACCACACCAGCCAATACCGTCATATACAGCGAGTGTGGAGGATCTACCGCCCGTTGCGATGCCACCTCTTCCGTCAGTAAAGGAAAGAAGCGGGTCGAGAGCGGATGAAGAGCATCACCCCGCAAGCCAGGAACCACTTGGTAACGCAGCTCGGAGTCCAGGAGAAACCCGGGACGTAAACGAAGCCTCCGATAGCAAAACGTTATCTCGAAAGGAGATACTTGACAGGATCGGATGTCAACCTAGAGATCGAATCGAAGACGCTGTCTGCGATGGTGACCATTCAGCCTTCGCTAGTCTTCTCAACCGGAAAAAAGATTTTTGGTGGTCAAAGTGGCGCAAGCACGCCCGCCCAGAACGCATAACAGCACTGCACTTCGCTGCACTCTTTGGCGAGATTGATATGGCCCAGTGCCTACTAGGCTCGGGTTATAACATCAATGAAATCCCGTATGGATACACAACAAGCCTCCACCCCTTGAAGTTTGCCATTGGTGCCCGGCAAGTGGATATGGTTGAATTTCTGATTGCGAAAGGGGCTAAGCCGACTGAGCCTGATTCATGGTCGACTTTGGCTGGGCAATTGATGAACCGCTCATGGTTGATGAAAACCATGTCGGAGGCTGAGAAGGAATATGTTCCAACCCAGATAATTGCGATCTTGCGGACCTTACTCAGGCATGGGTGGAACGTGAATGAGCCGTTCGAGACGTCCGGCGGAACGGTTTTTCATCAGGCTGTCACTTTTTGGACGGGTTCATACAGTTGGGATCTAAATCTTCGCGTTACCATCGCTTCTTTCCTGTGTGAGCGAGGTGCAGATCCTTTCCAAACAAACAAAGAAGGCAAAACGCCCTACGACCTGGCATTGACTTCCGGTCACAACAACCTCTTGCTGGTTCTCGGTCGAGGCTCGGAAAAGAGAGTACCAGAACGTGAGCCCGAAGAGCTATTTGAGCTCTCCGGTGAGCCAATTCGTAGCCGCAAACACATCCCCTCATAAGCAGGAAGATCACGTTCGGTGCAGGAAGCGCGGAGCAGGAATAAATTATTGAGGAATGTGTGGTACTTATTTCATAGTATTAGCTTAAACATCTATTGGACCTTGCACTATATCTTCTACACTAGTAAGCTTAATTGATCTTTAGTTGACATGTTATAGTAGAAGCGTAAAGCACCAAAAGCTTATTACTACCTATTTTATAAATATAAACAGCTCTCTATCGACTTAGCTAACTAGCTTAGTATAAAATTTCAAGCTTTATTCCATAAAAAGTAAAAACACCCAATTACCAGCTAACAACAAAGCTACACTAGTATTAAAGTAGAATTATAGACTCTTAAGAAAGCTTATAGCACAAATAGCTTTCAATTAATTAAAAGCAAAAAGTACGCGCAATATTAAATAGTAAGCACAATTACTCTAAATATTGCCTTCAGAAGCTGCGATCAATTTTGCAAACCAGAAGATGAGAGAAAAGATGTCGAGAAGCAACATACTGACGGTTATCGAGTCCTTTTAACTTGTTGCTCTGAGCTGCTCTCTTGTTAACACCAATTTCTCACAGGCTAGGCATTCGCACTATCCACACGATTCTCAACCCACTACATTAATTCGACAAGGCGGAGGTGATTTTACACGCCTGCTCGGAGAAGGTCTACCTGGCTCTCTGAAACCCACATAAGCAGCACAAGGATACGACTGCGGATGAAATCGAACTTCTTACGGACGCCATCTTGAACGACGATTAGAGTAATGACCTTCAGAGGGTGCGTGATAAGGCTAAAGGGACGGTCGAAGAGGAGAGAGATTCTGCTGTTAAGCGTTAAGGGCTTGGAGAAGATTGGCCTATATAACTTCCGCAGTAGGGTGCAGTGAACCTGAGAGGAAGCATGCCATTTTCAATGCCCGAACTCAGGCCACGATTGAAATCCTTGGATTGCCGACCGGTGTGGCTGAGGTATCAAAAACCGTTGAAGAAAACTGGAACCACTTCTGGATCATTAATGAAGCTGATCATAGCAACGAGGAGCGGAAACGGCGTCCGTTTATGCTAATATTGGATCAGATCTTGAGAAGAAAGTTGCGCTGGTCCTGGAGGAGGCACCTAGGTTACGAAGCAAATAGACCAATGCCAATAGGTATATGTAGTCCTTGATAACCAGGCAGAGAATGTCTGCAGCTTCAGGCTTCCGTATCAGGGACATTTCTAGAGTCGCTGGCATGCGGCCGATCCCGACAGCTTGAAACTCCAACTGAGCTAGGGCGATGCGAGCGATGTAGAGCAACACTCGCGCCCTTCCACTATCTCTGGGTCCTTGATGAATGATGCCTACTAAGAACTAGGAATGTTAGAATAAGTACACTATAAACCCTTTACCTTATCGGGGTCTCCAACATTGGTTTCCAAAGTAAAGGATCTCTTTGGGAGATCGTGATATACTGTTCAAGGGGTTGGATTCCTAGCCAGCTAGCCAACATTCATCCAGAAGCATAGCGCAGGAGCGATGCGAGTTGGCGACCCATGGAGATCATACGGCGCTCAAGGATGGACCAAAGCACACATTGGGGCAGGAGAATCACACGCAGGATTCGTTTTCAATCTCGCAGGGCTGGAGCTGCAGATATCCTGATGGGCTCGTTATATGATCCTATGCAGGGGGATTTACGTTAGAACGTTTCTACGTGTATGGAAATCACTCCCTGGAGTTCTATTTAACTCGCAAGTGTAGCTAGTGTGGGTACGAGCTCATTTCCAACCTTGAACTGGATGTAAAATTATGGAGAGAGGGCCCGGACGGATTGCGCTGGAGTTTAGGGGTGAAGGATGTGGGGAGACCCCCGCATCCAGAAACCATCAAAATTATAGAAGTGTGATATTGGGTGCCTGCTAGGAACTCTCATATTTATTTATTTGCCTGTATTAAGGTTTGATCGTTTTCTAGACTATTCAAAATACTTAACCCGTCCATACTGGTGGTCCGGGAATCTTGTACGTCTGAAGTTCCTTAGTATCTTGGTAGTCCGAATGGCTCTTTTTAGCTTACCGTTTTATTCCCAATAGCGGGATCATAAACATCGATATTGATCTCTGGCTCTAAAAATCCTTAGCACTGATCGCCACTTTAACCCTAAGTTATGCCGACTTACGATCCATCGACCACACGCCTGGAATCTTCGCCATATATTTCTTCCCTGGAAATCTTGTTCCATTCCCTTTCACCTCCACATTTACGCACTCCGGATACCATTGTGGTTTATTTGCGCTATGCAAACTGATAATTTCATTCCTGACAAGATATTTCCCCGGCCTCAACGATTTCGGAATTTTCTCTGACCATAAACTAGGGCCCCCGTCCCATACACCAAATTGGTGTTGGAACCACATCCCCTCTAAAATGTCCCCATTCAAAAGACCTTTCTCTCCAATCTTGAACCAGTCAGCCTTCGCTGTGTCGAGAGTTCGGCAATTGCCGTGGCAGTCTGCCATCCACGCTATCATCGGCCCGACTGTATGGACCCAGGAGTAGTATACCGCGGTGATGTTTTCACCGGCATTGATGGGAATGTAGGCGTTTGCAGGGTTACCAGGTGCGTTGCAAGATAGGGAGATGTTGTCGGCTTCGAAGATGGGGTTGACGGTTACCCATTTTCGTTGGACGAGCCAGGGGGCTGAGAGTTGCGATTCGGGACCATATGGGTCATATCTGGGTTATGGGATATTAGAGCAACTTGTTGTAGCGAAGGAAGAGCGTAGCTTGTACCCAGGGTACCAAGTGTCGCCGACGGTGTAGTTTAGTGCTCCTCCGTGTGCAGAGGCATGCTGCGCGAGGCAGCCTACTATGAAGGCTAGAAGTTGCTGCATTGTGGTCATATCATGTCTTCGAGAGACCCACACAAGTTAGCTAAATGCGAATGAAGTGGAAGTCAAAGCGAAAAGCTTAAACTGACACCAAGCAATAGTGGTCAAGGATCGAAAGCGCAAAGCCAAGCACTCGTTAAAACAAAGCTTACTTGGAATGAGAGCCGAGTAAGTCCCTCCTTTTCTCTTGCCAATGTCTCCAAAGACGGATTTAGAAATGAAGCACAGGAATGATAACTCCCTCAGCATGCCAAACACGAGACAGACGTCGACTTACGCAGCCCACCGGTAATCATGCGACAGCCTACTATAAGCCAAACCTTTCAGCCGAGCTTCTCGAATTTCCACGGCCTCTCGATCCGGGATTAAAGTATTCATTCACCCCGGCTACCAATATCAAGGCACACATGACCCAATGCCCCTCATACCCTCGCGGAATCCCAGATTTCAATCTACTAAAGTAAACAACGAATCAACATTCACCATTTCCCTGAAACATTCTTCTCATTGCGAATTGTGGGGTGGGACGTTGCCGGGCAGGCGATCAACGTGGGGAAGACCAGGGTTAGCACCTCATCCGGCTGATATCCAGAATGCTTAGTTCGAAAGCTTAATTACAAATCCCTGCACTCTTTAGGCTAAGCATATCCTCCACACTATAATGTAAATGTGCACATATGGGCACATATAGGTATTGTTGCCTTCTCGTCGTATATAGAATTACAACATAGCTGAGACTCGGAAACCGTTTCCACCTATGAGACACGAACCCACAACGCATCCACAAATCCGAAGGAACCATCGAAGCATGTGGCGCAAATAAATATGTGTAGCTAGCCCGAGCACCAGTCGAGCGTAGGAGTGTTACTAAGGAGATTTGCTGAAGATTTGAATTGAATTGAAAATGCGTATCGAATCTCTTGCCGCCGCTTTGACGTTCGGCTCGTCTGCTTTCGCGGCACAGCTAACCCAAGTCTCGAACTATGGTGGCAGTGCAAAAGCGAAACCTGGGATGTATGTACTCCTCCCATTCCTCACATCTAAGATCTTATTCCTTTTTCCTTACCCCCTCAGTTAAAATGTGCAGCTAACCTAGCTCCTAAACAGGTGGGTCTACGTCCCAGACACGGTAAAATCAGACGCCCTCGTTGTCGCCATCCACAGCTGCCAATCCTCCGCGCAAAAGTACTTTGCCAACGCCAAGATCCCGTGGAAACAGGGCTCCGACCGCAAAGGCTACGTTTCTGTCTGGCCGTCCTCCACAACCGAGTGCTGGGACGTTAGCTCGAAGTCGAGTTTGAGTCACGATGGAGGCGGGGATTCGAATGCAATTGCGAATATGATCAAGTATGCGATTACGCAGTACAAGATTAATCCGGCGAAGGTGTTTGTCACGGGTGGAAGTTCCGGAGGTACGTTTCTTGTATATTTTCGTCGTGTAGAGCAGAGAGCGAGGTCTAAATAACTGCCGAGGCTGATCTTCGGCGCCGATAGGAATGATGTCCAACGTCATGGCAGCCACCTACCCCGAACTCATCACCGCCGTATCCCTCTACTCCGGCGTCCCCGCCGGCTGTTTCGTCTCTTCGTCCGGTGCATCCGCCGCTTGGAACAACACGTGTTCTGGAGGGCAGTCTACGGCAACTGCGCAGAAATGGGGCGATGTTGTTAGAGCCATGTACCCCGGCTACAACGGGACTCGTCCGCGGATGCAGATCTGGCACGGATCCACTGATGGAACGTTGAGCCCGAATAATTATCAAGAGACAATTAAGCAGTGGACTAATGTGTTTGATGTATCTATCACACCGACTTCATCCAAGCCAGATACGCCAGAGAAGAACTACAGGATGGACGATTTTGGTCCGAATGTTGAGGGTATTTGGGCGGTTGGCGTTGGACATAGTGTACCGAGTCACTTAGATGCTAGTGAGGCTTGGTTCGGACTGTAGATGACATCAGAAGGATGAAAAACGGGGGTGGGGTCTATATGGGACTGAAATACAGGGCGTGAAACCATGTAAAAGTGGTAAAAAATCAGCAAGCGCCATGCTACGGGTTTACAGTTAGAAGCCGTAAGAGAGAGATTAACGCCTTGAAAAGTGGCGGCTGTCAACTGACCTAGCTCGCTTCTGCGTTGAGCTGAGCGACCTATACTCGTGGAAGCAGGCGCGTCAGGAGGCTTCCATGTCGAAATAGATCCTTCACTCTATAGTGATCTGACGTCGAGGGAGCCCCATTCCTAGTAGTTCGCCATGCATAACCCCATGCACGTACGCCTCTCCAATGAGTTTGTAATTCCCCGTCGGTGACCTCCTCAGGATAAACGGAACACTGGCACCATCCAGAACCCAAACCTCATCACCTTCTCTCAATGAGCGAGGTCCGGTTCCGAGATAATTGTGTTGCGTTCGAAAGAGCCTACGCTTTTTTCCCCCGCACTGGTCGAATTCATGTTGGAGCTGTGCTAGGCCGATTGGAGAATACGCCCCGCTGAACATGCTCTCTACAACTGTGGAAAGTCGCTCTTTGTAGACACTGAAGGAGTAGGGCGAATTGAGGGGCTCTAAACAGAGGAGCGTGCTCCACTCAGGATATATTGATTCTGATAGAGGCGAGTGATGGGGTTGAAATTCATCCGCGCTAGACCACGGGGTTAACCGATGCCGAATTTGGAGGTTGAGAATGTAGTCGATGAATAGAGTTCCTGTACTGGAAGGGGCTGGGCATTGTTTGTTGTATGTATTGGTCGTTAGTGTTCGCCATAAAACTTCGACTCGAGATGGACTTTTATTATCCTCTCTAAGACTTGGATAAGGCTGTTCTAATGATAAGGCTAGTTTTACGATACTCGCCCATGAAGCGGAAGCGTCATCAGTTTCAGTAGTAAGGACTGATGCCTGGTCGATGAAGCTTAGCTGGTAGCCTTGCACATCGAGGAACCCATTCGCCATTGTGAAGACGTTAATGTCCCATTTGAGACCACCACTAGCCTTCCAAAAGCCAGGACCCCGGTATCGTAGTGGATATGGATCGAGGTCTACACTGTAGTCAGGAACCCAAGATGGAAGATGTGGAATCTGAGTCTGAGAGGGATCCTGGACGTGTGAGAGGAGGGAAAGATTTCCGTACGAGGTTAACAGCGCTCTAGCAGCATCGGTGTAAACTGTTTGCACGCTGAGGTTGTAATTTGGCGCAAGTGCTTCCGGGTGCGTTCGAAATGGTGCCATTCTTTTGTCAGCAAGACCTAGGAATGCGTACACCTTGTCTCGGGGATCAGTAGACTTCGAAAATCGGTGTGTCTCTAGTAGGAGGCGTAGTGGAGGTTTGCGGTTACGTTCTTGAACACTTAAACGACCTGAAGCGGTCATTTTGACTCTCGTGGCATCCAGATAGACTGGTCCTACGCCAACATCTAACTTTGCCTGTAGGACTCGTTTGTAGACCCCAGGGTGTTTTTGAATACTGCTTATGTGCTTAAGCTTCTCGGTGTGAAGATGGTGGTACCACTTTGTAGTTTTAATAAATCCTAAGGTTTTCGATAGCTTCTCCCAAGGGAAGGCCTTGGTTCCGCAAACAACATTTGCAGATTTGGCTAGGGCAATTTCTTGAACAACCTAAAAAAGGAAATTAGACGGCATCGTTTAGAGAGCTGTAGCACATACCCAAGCCCTCAAAAACCAAGGTCGATTGATGAAAACAATGAATCCAAGCCAATTATGGAAGGTCAAATCTAACCGTGAGTACTGCTTGCAAGTTCTTCTCTGATAAAAGGAAGTATACGGGATTAACGGCCAATCTTCTTCGGGAATTCGCGAGATTCTTTCTACAGTCGTGATAGCGTCTGTTGTAAACTCATCTTCCTTTCCTAGCCAGACAATAACGCTTTCCGAAGCCTTGAAGATCTCAGCCATCTTGGCAACTTGAGAGTTTCGCTCCGCGATGTTTTCTTGGTTCACGCAGAGGGCATCAATCCAGAAGTATTTTGGGGTTGCAACTTCAATCTTGGAAGTAATAGACGTTGCGAGCATCCGGAGTGCATCTCGCAGATTTGCCGTCACCTTGATAATTTGGCCGTCGCAAATGACAGGGTGTCGACGAGTTCGCTCAGAGTCTTCAAGGTCTCGCCCAGGGGGTGGTGATTTGGCATCCCTGTGGGTAGTTGTCGAAATACAGCCGTTGATATGGCTTCGTCGAGTCCTCGACGTTGCTGAGGACGATTTGGAAAGCGATGTAAGGGGGTTTCCCCACGTGTACGACAAGGACTGGAAAGGCGGTGCGCGATGCAGCTCAAAAGGCTTTAACGAGCAGTGTACGACTTTATCAGACGATGGAACGAGCTCTAAGAGGCGTATGTAGTTGGCAGAGGGTAATGGATCGTACTGGTAGTTGCCGAGGAGAAAATGTAAGTTCTGTGCAGCGCGAACATGTCGGAAAATATTTCTAATCCTCATGAAGATTGTATAGTCCGGTAGTATCCGAGACGTACAAAAGCATTATTTGTAGAGGAATAGATCCTTGAGCAAAATAGGCTGCAGGAGGGTGAACAGGTGGTACGAAGATTTGCCTCCCGAAGATGTAGGCTTCCTTTGAACTAAACCAAATAGGTGTTGGTCGGAGTTTTAGGGTGTGGAGATAATTTGAGGCACAGTGGCTACGCCACTCAACTCCTGTCGAGAGCATCTATGTCCCTCGAATGTGAACGGATTCAATGGTGTGTGGCCTTGCTCCATTTTATGTTGTGTGTGAAGGGGGAGGTCTTGGTTGCGGACGACTTCAGGTGCAACGTTTCGACGGCATCCTCCCAAAGATGTACATAAATTCATCCAGTGATACGTTATAGCAGGCGCGTACGGAGGGTTTTAGCTGATGTTCTAGTCTTTTGAAGGAGATGAGATAGGGGAAGGGTGTCCAGGTGTTAAGACCGAGCTGGAAAAGCACCTCTAAGTAACGTGAGAGGTCCTACAGCCGGGAAGATAGCCTTGCAAACCAAGCATCACCTCCCTGGTTTTCTCACCCGCACACCGTTTAAAGGAAAGTAAATTTTCACACGCGTCTATTAGCAGCTCACGCGATACGGCAGCATAAGAGCTGGGCACATTTTATCAATGCAAATCTTTACTACAAATGCAGAGTTTGACGCGTCAAGCCAGCGGAGGGAGTGGGGGTCGGATGATCACGCCGACTGAAGCGGGGGTTCACAATCGAAGAGCTCGAATTCCTACTCGCCTGTCCTCTTCCTCATCCATCTTCGCAACATTTCTCCTATCGTCACTATTCTGAGAGTCTAAGTCTCCTTATCGGCGACATGCTCACTCTCAATACATATATTCCGCTGCATTCCACTGTGACATTCCTCGCTGATACTTGATTCTGTCATGGATCTTGCACAACGCCTTGCTCCCTTCCAACTCGACGCAGCTCCTCCAGATGAGGAGCTGCCCGACTACGAAGCTCAAACCCCACCTATTTACGATGGCGAAGAGTTCGAGACACCGATATTGAATTACCATCTTCGGCAGGTCAATCGTAAGCTCCAGATCCTCGTTCCCTTTGGCCCAATTGCCAACACCTCATACCACATCATTTCTCATGCGTCCTTCCGCCTCTTCTCCAAAAAGCCAGATATGGAGATAGTTCGACTTTCCCGAGGCCAGTATATACAGGAAAGCATCGCTTCTGTACGATTCAACAACGACGGACCTCTTCCATGGCGGCCTCGTGCTAGTTTCACCCACACTGATTCTGAAGGCACGAACACATACTCAACGGAGTCTAAGAACTTTACAGACTGGACAGTCGAAATAGGAGGGATTACATATGTATGGCGACTGGAGGTCAGGCCGGTGTCGCTCGTGCTGAGTGAGAAGAGCTCGAGCATCGCCGTTGCTCGATTTACCTATTCCATATGCGGTACGCTGGCCAGGAATGGCGCGGAAGTGGGCGAGTTGACGGTATATCGAGATGGCTTGACAGAAGACCGAGAGGGAATTGAGAAAATCGTCTGTGGGCTTCTGGTCGCCCTCGTGCATTTCAAGAGAATGGGAAGACACTATTGGAATGACGCGTCAGTTCGGGCAGACTCGTTGTCGAGAGCACATCTGCCTTCCCACTCGGTGTTTTCCGCAAGTAGCTCTACTCTTTGAGGTTCGTTGAACGATGCTTTCGGCAGCGACTTGGTTCCTCGATCGTGGAAAAGCTGTGTGCGGTTGCACCATTCGAGGGTTGCACGAGATTAGTTTGTTTTGTCTTAGCTTCCCACCGTTTTGCAGCTAGCTCAAACAGGCGTCTTGATTTAGGAATGTAATATGTAATAGGCGTCCTGTGTGGATTAATGGATGTTTTCGACCAACGCCAATAATAATACAAGACTTGCTCGAATTTCAGGTTTATCGGTGCCTCTATAGTTTGTGATAGCAGTTTCCGCCACACAGCACTAGACAGCAGAGAGGTCTGAGACTTGTCTACAATGGAATTCATCCAATTTTGAAGCTACATTTTAGCCTGTCATGAAGCCGAAGGCCTCGCGGGAGAGCGGTGTGCCGAGATACCCATGGTGTTGCGGGCCGGTGGTAAATGAGGTGCAGTGCTGGACTAAGACGGGAAGATTGGCGGCATGGTTTCGGCCTTCTACAAGCCTGCAAGCGAGAAGACCTGAGTCTCGAACGGCATGGGTGAGCAGCCCGACAGTGATCAACACTCAAATTGCCCTGTTGGAAGGGAAGAGGAAATCAGATCACTCAGGAAAGGACAGCTGGTGCCTGTTCTGCTAAGCGTGACATATGGCTTTCGGACGGCTGTCTAGTGTGTAAAAAGTACTTCCCAGATGCTCTCACAAAGGGAGGTCGCACCCTGATGCTCAATGGTATGCGATTTGCAGAATGGCATTGTCTTCCATGGGAGCCTCCCCTTGGCCGTTCTGGATCCCTCCACAGCGCGCGATTCGTGCTGGTTTGTGGTGGCGAGGACAAGGGAGGCCTTGGGTGATGCACACGAATTAGAATCCTTGGAAGGCCGCGTCTTCTGGCTGCAAGCGAACGCGGCTCACTGTTTGGCGCGCCCGGGTCTTAGTCCTCCACAGCTGTGGTCTGCAACAGCAGTGGACCAGTCGCCAGCGAAACGGCTGTTCTGTGTTTCGTTTGTTTCGAGCTCTCGGCGGACAGGCCAGCGGCGGGAGAGCGGGAGACCCGGCGCTCGGCTTTGCAAGAAGGGTCTCCTCTTTTGTTCCTCGCGACGCCGACCTACATCGAAGACCCCCCAAGACTCGAGAGCTGCTCGCGCTCATCCTCTCTTTACATTCGACCGCACATGGGCTGCTCAGTCTTGCCGTGCGCCTGTCCTGCTGTGAGAGAACAGCTACAGTTGTAGGCACAGCGCTCCAGCGCTCGGCCCGCCCTAGACCTGCTCCCCCATTCACGGTCGCGGCTTCCTCAATCAACTTTCCCCAGACCTCGACAGCTCTATCGCGGACCAACACTGCGGACCGACACTACGGACCAGCAAGGCGAGGCATGGGAAGCCAACGATTGCATTGCTTCTCTCTCCGCTCTACCCCTTCACATCGCCGTCTCGTGTTGTTCATTCGTCTTTCTCAGTTCGGCCTGATCGTAGCTGATCGACCACTGCGCCGCCTACTCTCCCTGCCTTCCCTTTTCGGCATACCTCTGTGAATTGGAAGCTCTCGTGACCCGAGCACCTGAGGCCTGGCATGGTCAAAATGCGCATCCCAATCCGCGAACAATTGGGGTGCCTCGTTCTGCTGGCGTCTTTGATCGGTCTGGCAGTCATTGCAGTTGCAACATGGGTAAGATCGTTGCACCTACATCTAATGTCGCGTATCACGATTTCTCACATGGCATAGATCACCAATCACAGCTTCGTACTCTCTATACGGTACGCCCGCCTGTTCAGCTTCCTCAAGACTGCAGTTCTGACGTTCTGACGTTCTGACGTTCTGACTTAACACAGCGCAACACGCCTCTCTCTGACTGCATCGCTGAAATCAGCTCAAGTAGCCTCGAACCTGCTACTTATGCAATCAACTGTGAAAGGGACATCCACGCGAGTGCTCATACAGAGCGCTTTGCAGCGCTACAACGGAGGGAACAACACATCGAAGAATTGGGAACGCTCGCTCCAAGATCTCCAAGCAGTCTTTCAAGGAGACCAGACCGCGACTTTCCTCGTTCAAGCACAGGTTTACGCCGCCAATAATTCTGATTATTCTGTCTTGAACTCGACGGCTCCCGCTTTTGCCAATATACCTTTACCCTATCTCAAGCCTGATGGACAGAATGCCACACTCGGAGAAGACTTTATCCCGGAGCTGTACCCACACTTCAGTCCTATCGAAATCCCCTATAACAGCTCTTTCAATCAGACAATAGCCATTTTCAATGGCCGAATAATCGACGGGAACAACTACCTTTTCTCCGGTCCATACCGAGTGAATAGCACCCTCAGCCTGATGTCAATCACAATGCCAATTATAAACAACACATCGTCTATTGACACCCTAGGTTGGCTGACCGCTATGTTGGATGCGAAGCTGGTCACTGATATTGTAGATGCTTTGGAGGGCCTCGACGATACTGGCATGACAATGATATTTGCGCCAAACAATTCGACGAACAAATTTCCTTCCGGAACGATAGGTGGCGCGGATAACCAGACCGTGCCCCAGACTGAATTCGTGCGCTTTCTTATTGCACCAACGAATAGAAATGCCGTAAAGAGCAGACACTCTGACTTTAATAATATCACCAGTCCCCTTCCTTTCGACTGGAACAAGTTCCCTGCAATCAAAAAGGGCTATACACAAATCACCGATGCCAGTAATAATGCTGGTAGTATTATCTCCACGAAAAACGAAGCGGGCCACAACGTGGCCGTTGGATATGCGCTCATCAGTAATCCTTTCGTTGACTGGATTTTAGTAGTCGAACAGTCACATTCCGAGGTTTGGGCCCCTATATACCACCTTCGCAGTATCATCGTAGCCTGTGTGTTTGGTACCATGGGCGGAATACTAGTCCTTGCCTTTCCGGTTGCCCATTTCTTGAGCAGGCCAATTCGTCGATTACGAGATGCGACAGAAAAGTCAGTTGCACCCCCTGGGTTTGAGGACGATAGCCTGCACTCCCAGCATGATGGCGCTGACGATGATCATGCTGAGGAACTTGCACGCAAAGAAGGATGGTTTGGTCAAGTGAAGAAGTTTGGCCGACGTCCTAAGAAAACAAGAGTGGAGAGAAGAGAGGAAGAAAGGCGACGGCAATTCCGAATACCTGGCAAAGTCAAAGACCGCAAGCACTTTATACACGATGAACTGACAGATCTTACAAAAACGTTCAATGAGATGACGGACGAGCTCATGATGCAGTACGAGAAGTTGGAAGAGAGAGTCCAACAAAGGACTGCTGAGTTAGAGCAGAGCAAGAAGGCTGCCGAAGCTGCTAACGAGAGTAAAACCCTATTCATTGCAAATATTTCACACGAGCTCAAGACGCCTCTTAACGGTATTCTTGGCATGACTGCTGTGTGCATGTCCGAGGACGATCCTGTTAAGATTAAGCGCTCGCTTGGAATCATCTACAAGAGTGGAGACCTTCTTCTTAATTTACTGACTGACCTCCTGACTTTCAGGTAAGCTTTCTCCTGTCTGAGCCTCAAAATTATCCCGTTTGACATCCAACAGCAAGAATCAAGTTGGCCAACAACTTAGTCTAGACGAGAAAGAATTCCGACTACGCGATATCAGCTCTCAAGTACTCGCGATTTTTGAGCGACAAGCAAAAGACGGTGGTATAGACCTCAAAGTGAAATTTGAGGGCCCGTACGACGCTAACGTCGAGGAAAGCGGCCGGCCAAATGAGCGCAGCGACTTGGCACCATTCGGGCTTGGACGTCTAAAGGACATGATATTGTATGGCGATCAGCACAGAATCCTCCAAGTCGTCATCAACCTGGTCTCGAACAGTCTGAAGTTTACGCCCAAAGGACGCTCTGTTCTCATCACAATACGGTGCCTCGGGGAAGCTTCCATGACAGACAGCCGCAAGGGATCGCTGAAGTCAAGGCAGAGTTCAACCCGAAACTCGAAGACTCGTGGCCGCGCATCTAGCTCTGAGGTCGGGGCAGTCTCGGTAATGACCCCAAACCAGTTCGACACTGCTAATGCCATCAATGCCTTCGACAAAGCAGCCGCATACTCCCATGTTTTCGCCCAAGAGAGGACCTCGACCCCACCCCCTGGACGATGGCTTTCCTTTGAGTTTGAAGTGGAAGATACCGGACCGGGTATTCCTGACAACTTGCACGACAAGATCTTCGAGCCCTTCGTCCAGGGTGATTTGGGCTTAAGCAAGAAGTACGGTGGTACTGGCTTAGGCCTGAGCATCTGCTCTCAGCTTGCCGGGCTGATGAAAGGCACAATGCGGATGAGGAGTGAGGTTGGCCATGGAAGCGTGTTCACTATGGACATTCCTCTCAGGCATATCACTAGTCGACCCGACAGCACCGCAAGCTCAAGCAACATCAACCCCGGGCCTGAGGAAGGCGCAGGCAGGCATAGCTTATCCACGGACGAACCACGCCATCGTCAGACGATGAATGATGATGCTCTTTCTGGGAGATCCATTCAATCTGCCACTAGCAATGCCGTTGGCGTAACTACGTCTACGGGACCTGTTGCGTTTGACACTGATGCAAAGCCCCGCCTGGTGGGGCTAAGCCAGCCATTCTTTGCGTCCAATCCACCGTTGGAATCCCCCAATTCACAATCCGCTGCGATGGAGCGTGTCACTGCGGAAGCGACACAGCGAGGAGATAAAGTCAAGGTACTTGTCGCTGAAGATAATAAAACAAATCAGGAAGTAGTTCTGCGCATGCTCAAGCTTGAGGATGTGTACGATGTCACTGTCGCGAAAGGTACTTTGCCCCAACGATTCAACGATCTTGCCCACTAATCATTGGCAGATGGCCAGGAGGCGTTGGATAAGGTGAAAGAAAGCATGGAACGCCAGACTCCGTACAATCTAATCTTCATGGACGTTCAGGTAAGCTTTATTCACCGCAGTAGCTGGTTCATGGCTGACTAACTAAGATGCCAAACCTCGACGGTCTCCAATCCACACGACTTATACGCCAATCGGGCTTCTCGGCACCAATCGTGGCTCTCACTGCTGTAAGTATCAGTGGCAAGGTCAAAGGAGATTCGGCTGACTGGTCTATAGTACTCTGAAGAGAGTAATATCCGAGAGTGTTACGATTGCGGTATGAACTTCTTTCTGTCAAAGCCGATCAGACGTCCGGCACTAAAACATGTGCTTCGAACGTACTGTCCTCCGATCCCAGAGGAAGAAGGAGAAGCGACGACGCCGCCTCCTATAGCCGAGGCATCGTCTTCCAAACCGAACGGGCGTGCGAAACAACCACAAACGAGCATACCAGGCCCAGTAAATAGTACTATAGTACCTAGAACCCGCGATGATCTAGGAACACCTAACATATCTCCCTTGTCATGACCGACATGATATAGGTAACGCCCTCCATGCCTTCGGCTTTTTGACGACACATTTGGCCTAATACCACGATACCTAGCCGTAGCTTCCTTCATCCTTCATACCACAGCTTCCCACAAATACGTAGGCCCTCCTTACGATCTTGTAATGTTATTAGACGAATCAACTCGAAAAGTCACCAGCTCTACACTACTAATCATCACATTTCCATTTTCTGTTCAATATGTCTGTAACAAAGCATGGTGTTGGGGGACTTGGCTGCAAAATAATCTTTTCGAGGCATCAAGATCGACGGCGTATACAGTTTGCATCGGAGGACTGCTCGGATTTTTATTCGGAAACGGCGTTGAATATCAGGGTCTTATCTTTTATATCCACTCGTATACCTCCCACATGAAGGGGATGGAGAGCTTTTGGCACAGCATGGGACAGCCAACTCGGACAGGAATCAGACAAGCCCTGACAAGATAATAGAGGGAAGCGAACTGAGGCTCTGGCGATCGAGTCTCGGCGAAACGGTTCACACGACTCGCGATTCACTGGCCTGCATGTTGTTCGTGCGTGCATTTAATTTTTGCCTGAAGAATGTGTTGAGGTGTTCCTTCGTGATCCCTGTCCGATCTTTAAATACCCTCAGTGTGTTGCGCAACCACCACATTCGGACCGTGCTCCGTCGATGTTGCGGGGAACCAAATGCTGGAGTAATAAGGCTATTAGGGGGCGGGTTGCAGAAGTGAAGTACAATAGAAATGGACTGCATTCCACGTGCGTCGAGATGGATTAAGAGTTGAATTGAGGCGCCTTGGTGCTACATGACGACAGACGCCATTTTGAATGTGAATGCGGGATGTTGAAGCTCCGATTGGGCAGGGAGGGGCTGATAACGCGAGAGCCGGAGCCATTCCTTTACGCAAGCCTTGCGCAATCCCTCTAATTCAATTCGCACTCAAAGCCCCCCAGCTTCGAAGGCAGGACGCGCTCTCCTTGCTCATTTCACCCATTGCAAAACCTCGCGCTCCTCTTCGTCAGCGCTAGAACAAAGGCCTTCTGTGCCAATTACACTCGTTATTCACTCACCCTCAGCCTAGCCTGTATCGACTGCATCGCATCGCACCGCAGAGCTGTGCTACAGCGACCCTGAAGGCGCTCCTACCCTTTCCCTGCACCATCGAATTCCCCAGATTCCCAGAAGCCACTCCAGCCCTTTCGTATTCGGCACTCTAATCTCAACGCCCATTTTATATTCTCAAACCCCACCAGCCCGCTCCTGCTGGATGTTGTGGGCTCTCCCGCGCATACTGTTCCGGCTACCCGCCGCGCGTTCACGACTTGGGCTGCTTCGCTTGCGACATCTCTTTCACCACAATGCATGCCGACGTGAGGAGAAGCACCATTTTCTGCTCATTGCTGGTCCTCAGTCAGGCCTTCTACATTCCCGGTATGCCACTGGCAATAAGAAATTGTCTGGTTTTCTCCCGCTGATGTCTCATTTCAGGCTTTTCGATTAAAAGCTACCACGATGGCGAAACCATACCGCTCTTCGTGAACAAAGTCTACTCGGACAACAGCGAACTTCAATATGCTTACACCGAGCTGCCCTTTGTATGCCCTCCGACGGGCCGTATCCGCACAGGGCGCTTCACCAGCGGAGCGAGTCTGTCCCTCAACCTCGGAGAAGTCCTCCGTGGCGATCGCATCACCGTCTCGGATTATGAACTGGTCATGGGAACGGATGAGGAAGCTCGGTACCTGTGCAGCCACACGATCGACAGAGCTGGGCTGAAAAGGACAAAGGAGCTGATTCGGGGTGGCTATGTGGCGGAGTGGATCGTGGACAACCTACCCGGAGCTACAAGCTTTCAGACAACAGACAAGACCCGGAAATACTATGCGGCGGGTTTCAAGATTGGCGAAGAGGTTGTATCGTCTCCAGGTGCAGAACCGCGGTACTTCCTCAATAATCACGTGACACTTGTCATTCGCTTCCACGATGCGCCAGGGAAGGACGGAGCCCAAAAGAAAAAGGTGATTGTTGGATTCGAGGTCTTTCCAAAGAGTATCGAAGCCGGCAATCGCACCGATGGCGGTCTTCCCGGAAACATACAAACTGAGAATCGCCTGGAGCTGATCACAAAGTCCAACAGCACCGGGGAGATCGATGAAACGGATGGGGCTACTCTGACCATTCCGTACACGTACTCGGTGTACTTCCGACCAGAGCCCAAACTGGAATGGCAAAACCGCTGGGATATGTATTTTGTGGCTCAGGATAACAGCTCCAACATTCACTGGCTAGCGATTGTCAACTCTTTGGTTATTGCTGGACTACTCACAGCAGTCGTCGCTGTCATCCTGGCACGCACGGTTCGTGGAGATATCAAAGTCTACAAGGAAGGCGGATTGGAAGATGGGAAAGCCAAGCCAAAACGGGTCCGGGGCGCCAAGTCGCCAAGGAAAAGTGTTGAGAAGAGCGGTCTCCTCGACCAGATTGGAGATGTAGAGGGAGAAGCCGATATATCGTCCGATGAAGAATCGTTGGATGACATTACGGGCTGGAAGCTGATTCATGGTGACGTTTTCCGCGCTCCTTCGTATGGAGGACTCCTTGCACCACTTGTCGGCTCCGGCACACAGCTCATTTTCATGGCTGCTGGGCTTCTGGTTCTGAGCTCCTTCGGTGTGCTCAATCCAAGTTTCCGCGGTGGTTACGTCAGCGTGGGAACGGGGCTCTTCGTTGTTGCTGGCCTGTTCTCCGGTTACTTCTCTTCCCGGGTATATAAGACTTTCGGTGGGCAGTTGTGGCAAAAGAACGTTTTGGTTACTGCCACACTCATTCCAGGACTGCTCTTTGCTACGGTCTTCATCCTTAATCTCTTCGTATGGGCTCAAGCATCCAGTACTGCAATCCCGTTTGGTACGCTCGTTGGACTCGTTCTTCTGTGGCTTCTCATTCAAGTGCCACTCGTCTACATCGGTGGTAGAATTGGATATGTCATGGTTGATGCCTGGAGCCACCCAATCAAGGCGAACGCCATCCCGCGCCAGATTCCGTCCCAGTCATGGTATACGAAGAGTTTTCAGGCCATCCTCGTTGCAGGCTTCATCCCCTTTGCAGTCATTTTCATCGAGCTGATGTTCGTCTTCAAGAGCTTGTGGCAAGACAAGAGCGGATATTACTACGTTTTTGGCTTCATGTCCGTCGTCAGCGTCATCCTAGTCGTCACAGTCATCGAGGTTACGATCGTCGCAACATACGTACAACTCTGCACTGAGGTCAGTATCCGTCCACCCCACACTCCCGAATCCCCAAAGCTAACTTAAGTAACTCACTATAGAACTACCACTGGTGGTGGCAATCCTTCATAGTTGGCGGCAGCAGCAGTGTCTGGATCTTCGGCTACTTGGTTTGGTATTATTTCGCCAAACTCCACATCACTGGCTTTGTGTCCAGCCTCCTGTTCTTCTGCTACGGATTCCTGGCCTGTGCGGTCTATGGGCTGTTGACGGGAACTATTGGGTTTTTGTCCGCTTATGCTTTTGTTAGGAGGATTTATAGGTATGTGGTTTCGATTTCTTCTCCTCTTTCTGTGGAAATAAGAGTTTTTTTTTTGGATAAAGAGCTCTGCTAATGTGTGAATGTATGTATAGCGCTATCAAAGCCGATTAATCTCGAATGATCGAATTTGGTCTCTGATGTAACACGTTCAGAGTCTCAAAGTCTCCTGTTCCATTCAGTATATTATCTTTTGGGGATGATCGCATCAAAGAACTCACTTCATACGGCTCTCTGCAAACATTCAAAAGTAAACTGGGGGCATCTTAACGTAGTCTTTTTTTCGTAGGTTGCGTGCGCTTTTACATTGCACTGGGAGTTGGGGGGGGGTTGTTTAGGCGTTGACTAACGCTTTTTGATTCAACCTGGTCTAAAGCATGACTGGGTTCACCTACGTGCGACTGTGAGGTGGTGGATTATGTATAGATTCCCTTGTTTTACACTGTCGGTCTTGCATATTGCATTTTAGATGGATGTATATAATGTGGATTATGAGTCGATGGGTGAGGCAACTACATGGTGCCTGAGGTGGAGAGAGACGAGATGAGAGAGAATGAGGAATGAAGCATGAACTCTCAATTGATTTTGATCTGTTCTGATCCGATCTGATGTCTCTCTCCTTGTTGATATTGCGAAATGTTCGGTTCAGCTCGCGACATGGCCGATCGGGGGAAATGCCACGTGTTCTGGAAGGAATAGAACCTTGGAAAGCACGATGGTGTAGTCGAATGGTTGGATACATTAACTTAGGTGCCTAGGAGCGAATCCTTACGGGATTTAACTAGCAATTCGTTTATATCGTGCTTAGACTCTAGAGACGAGGAGATGTATGACGAGCTCCATAGGATGCGATCTTACCGAATTAAGGGCCGCGCGACGTGGGTTCAATCAATCATTTGTTGTTTCCTCTGCCGCAGTTGCAAGTGTGTTCCTGGGGTGCCTCCTGCACTCCAGTGAACTGATTTGGCGTATTCCTCACCCTCAGCCCTTGGTGGAACGATCGGGTCTCCTGAAATGTCGGCGATACCTCTCCATATCAAAATCCCCGTCTTCCAAGTCTCCACTTTCCACATCGCTTGCCCAGCAGAAGGTCCGGCAGTCTTTCAAAACCTGTCCGTTATCCCATTCAACATCGCATTCGCACCATGTGTAAGCTGACCCCTCGTACTCTTCTAACCTTTTGAATTGAGATTCGAGAGTAACCTCCCATACCATTCCTGTGACCTTGCTGTCCTTCTTTGGATACAGAGTGGGATATATACCAAACATTTTCGTCGCAAAATCTGTGACTGAAGCAGGCTGGAGAACGGGAGTGGAGGGAAGTTCTAAGATATTTTTAAGTGTCTTGGGGTCCATTAGTGAGCCATAGAAGAACATGTGACAAGGCGTGAATTGCGGTGTAGGACGAATAAGTTTGTTGGGCGGGTGCTCTAATTTCATGACCCTATGGTAAACGGTGTTGCTAAGTTTGGGAAGGGAAAGTTGTGGGACAGGCCGTAACGGAAGGAATGGCAGGGGTGCCGCGCTAGATATTAGGGGTAGAGGAGGAGGTTGGGGGATTCTGGCCTCCAGCGGAATTTCAGGAGACGGTTCATGCTCCTGGGCGCCAGGTTTGTCGTCCCTGGAACCCATCCGGTGCCTCGAGTTTGTGCAACGTGTAGTGAAGGGATGTCAACCCGAGAAAAGCGAAACACCAAGCCACCAAGGTTTTATGTAGCAGTTATTGTGGCGAGGCGCGTAGGAGCGCGTTAACACTGAAGGCGCGTAATGTGCCGTATGACTCATACTGCTAGCGAGATCCTTCCCACCCATATACCTTTGCCTAAAGACGCACATCATATGGTCAACGCTTGTTTAAAAATTACTCACTTTCACAATACCCTAGATCTTGGGAATCTATCCTCAAGCTATTGGACTGCCAAATACACTTGTATAGAAACTAGGCTAGCTTGACAGCATATCGAAAGGCAGTACATTTTACATTCCTTGACCAGCAACGCCTTCAACAGGCCAGAAAGGCTAAAGCTGTTGGGCTAAGAATATTCTAACGCGGAAATACAATATAACTCATTCGCCTCATGAACTACAAACTCGCGACAAAACCCCTCGTGGCTATGGCGGAATGGGACTCTACTCCGCCTGAAGCAACTATCACAGGCCAACATAACTTCTCTCCTGAACTCACTAAGGGGCCACCGCTTGGACAGAAATTATAGCATCCTGCTCCAATCCACCTGCAGAGATTGTAGTATATCCCTTTGGGCCACTACAGCAAGAAAGTCATCCCAAGAAGTCGTCAGATATGACCCTAGTGTCAAAATGGAGAAATTTACTGAACTCCAACGTGCATACCGCTACTTGCTCGTCTATAATTCGTGTACCGCAACCATTTCAACCCTCCAAAGCTGGCGAACGAAGACATATGACTATGGAATATATAAAACGGGTATGAATGAACCACGTTAAAGACGCTGGTTCAGATTGCTAAAAATCCGCTAAGCCTTACCCCATTTCTCTAACTTCTGAAGCCATCAACACAGCCCTCTTGATGGTGGTATCTCACGTTGTCTTTTATGGAATCAGACCCCTTCGCTGGAGTACTCGCTCTACGGCTCTATCGAAGGGCTAGACCATTGGTTCAATTGGTGGCTTCAGCACGATGACGGCAACGTATCGTTTAAGAAGTGCGACCTCGTGCTTTACCATATGGAACTTGCACCTCAAAACATGCTCTGGCTGCAGGAAGAAGAAGAAGCCTTGCGTATCTTCGATTGTGCCCGTGCAAGATACTATCCATGAATCTTTGAGTTGCTTTGGCTCGATGCTTTTCAATGAAAGGGCGGTGCCTTCCAGGGCTTGGTCAAGAAAACGACGGAGCTATTGACTAAGTGGGAGACGGAGAATCGGTGCCTTATCATGATCAGTTGGTCGGACAACGGCCAATTCTGCTTGTGAGTTCTCTCGACAAGCAAGCCAATTGGCGCTTACTTTTATCAATACAGCCCACCCACGCTTCCACCCATCTATACGTAGTACCTGTATGCTCCGTTTGTCAATATAGGAAAATATGTTTAATTAATAGATGGAAGAAATATCGCAGCTTGAGGCGACGTAACCCTGCGATCGCCTTCTCCCTCCAAAAGCCTACATTGCCGCAAGTGTAATAACTGATCATCGATTCTCTGGAGCTGTTCTTCACAATAGATTCGGCCCAGGATCCGAATAACCTCACTCGCAGCGGCCAGACAGTAAGATTGACCTAAATTGGCCGCAAACGATATCGTGGAAGCTCGAGGGCTGTCATATTGTTGATGTTCAGGTTGTTCGTTACACTAGGGAGTAAGCTGCTACGCGATTCCGGGTTGGACCCTTGTCACCGGGTACACTAGCGTTGTTGTCTTGGCTGAATCCACTTTCTTGCTTGATCGTGCCGAATCCGGGAGGGCAGGATCATCGTCAAAGGGCAATAGACGATCATCTTCGCTAAGTCTTGTATAAAGAAACAGCATTCCAAGCCGAATGCAGAAAATCCTCGAATTTCTTTGTACAAGGAGCCAATTTGGTTTCGTTACGGCGGTTTTTGATGCGCAAACGGCATGGAGTCACCTTCTTGCCTTTACCAATTCTTGAGGAAAACTGTTTCGTTGTAGGCGGAGATAAGCTCTCATCTCCCTTGCTATTTGACCGAAGGATACATTGGTGCGCACATTCGAATTACTTTGACTTTGAACTGAGACCCATACTGCTGGCCCAAGCTCCCTGATCCTTGCGACCTATGACCGCATCGTGCTGCACTTGGCCAACCTCACGACCTAACTACCCATCCCTGGAAATCAACAATGCCTTCAATTTCTCGAAAACTCGCATGCAATCCCTTCATTCGATGTATCTATAATTCGAGTGCAGCTGAAGAATGGTTCTCGACCTGCTTACCCTAACAGCAATCCCCACGACGGTTGGCGGCGCCGAAGCAGTCCACCAACAACGCCTCCTGGACGAGGATGCCGAGTCAGAAGATCGCAAAGCTCCCTTCCATTTACATGTTTACTGCGATGCGCAGTCGAAAAAACGCGATGAAGTTCATGACAGCATTGTAGTCCTACGGGACCACAAGGTACGCCTCACAAGCCTCTGCTCGACTGGAGGGCCGAGCTCTAATAGCGCAAGCACACGCAGCTCTACTTGTCGCCTAAGGACCCAATGACGCGACTACCTGAAACCAGTGATGATGGAGAAGCGCCGCATCCCTTCACGGGTTTCTACCACCCCTTCCCTACTTCTGACCTCCCACATCGACCTATCCCTGCACCCCCCATTCTCGGTCTCGTTAGCACAGTACCGCCCTCATCACCGAATTCCTCGCTATCCCGGCCGTCGCCCCCATACCCTACATCCAACCCTACTAAGCCGAAGCTCAATTGGATATACGCCGACAAATCAACTCGAGAACTGAAATATGGACCGCGTGCTGTTGCACGCGAGCATATAATTGGACCGTGGGATTGGACGGACGACGAGGAGGGTTTGGCATTGGATAATGAAGAGAGTTTGGTTGTGGTGGAGGAAGAGAAGGGTGGGAAGGGTTGGGCGGTGTATTGGGATCGCGATGATGATCGATTAAAAGGCATTGATGTGGGCAAAGAGAGGAGGGTTTTGAGATGCAGTCTTGAGAGAAGGCTCGTTGGCGAAGACGAAAAAATTAACGTTGAATAACTTTAATACCAATAATTCCCTGTGCGACTCCATCCTCAGTCTTGGCATGTCGCTGAATTACATATGACCCTTCTCTCCATTCTCCACCATCCACTTTTCCATCTCTTTCTCTTCCCCAACGTGTATCTCCTCCACCAGTTCCTCCTTATTAAAAAGCATTCCCGTCACACTCTGCCTCCCCACAAGCCGTAGCCTCATACAACCACTTGGGGTTCCTACACTCCTTCCCACTCCCAAACAGACTATTTACCTAGTGCCCCTCATACATCTCACTCATCTCTACACTATCATCCGCATGACGCAACACAGCCTGTTGCAGATAATCCAAGCAATGGGGCCAATACGCATGGTGCGGACTCACATCCAACCTTGCCTTCTCTCCATTTCGCAACCCCTGCACCACCTCCCTTAATTTCACTAAGCAATCTAACTAATGAAACATCGCCAGTCTGGCTCTCTGAACTCGCCCACCTGGGCGGTTTATCCCAGTATATACGACTCCTTGACTCCCACCTTGGAGTTCCCGCCATAGATGATCGAATCCCTCATAGGTATTCGAGTACTCGTAATTCGGCTGGAATGCGGTGGTGTTGGTTTCGTAGCATGTGTAATTCTTTCCGTGTTCTTTAAAGCGGAAGCTTTGGTGGGGGCAAAGGATTCTCTTTTGGTTTTGGGTAGTGGGGGATGCCGTCTGCGGGGCCGTTGGAGGTTAGGAAGAGGTTGAAGAGAGAGGAAAAGAGGAGAAGGAAGAGAGTTCTGTGAACTATTTGTCGGTGGGGGTTTCTTCGTGGTCAGGCCAGTCGATGGGGTTTTTTGTGGTGAGTGGTTGGTGTTGATGGTCTTCTTGATTATCGGAGGAAGAGTCGGACTTGTAGTCTTGGTCTGAGCGGTCGGTGCTGTGTTCGATGTCAGTCGATGAGACTTTTATGTAGTAGAATCGCGATAGGAAAGATGAGAGAATATTTCCGAACCGAGAACGTTTGGGTGATGTTGGTTGCGCGTCTTCATAGAGTGTGCGAGTATCATGGTGTGGTGTATGTGCAACGGAGATGTTGTCGTGGTAAGGCGAAGGGAGAGAGAAGTAGTCTTGTTGCCTAGCGTCAATATCTACGGACACGACGCTTAAGTTGTGATCCTCCTTTCGTCTGAACATCTTAAATAATTAGAGATCCGTAATTGAAGCGCATGCATGGAAGTATGATAACGATAAGCACATCAAAAGTATACGTGACATTATTCAAGATGAGATATCCGTTTGAGGAGGTACTGAAAGCTAATGGGTGTATTACAATTACGAGCTTACCGAGAGGGGTATTCAGATCCATTTTAGGATGTTAGCTTATCGTTTTTTAGGTCGGATGATACGCATTTACTTTGTTTTAACATGTTGCAGACGTTCCTTGTTCATGGATCCTCCGGAATGGCAGTGGGTATCAGAACAATAATATTCAAAGACTTGTGTTCATCATCCGCAGCATATTGGCTAGAAATGAACGAATTCATTTAGCTCCGTATTCACATTATTCTCGTCAAAGAACCCTACCGCATGTAGCTTGCCATCATGAAGTTCCAATTTTATGGATGGAAGAAGATTCTCGCCTATAACGATAAATTACGACCCATCACTGGTCACTCTCTCCATCCAGCGCAAATATCTTTAATTCCTCCAACTTTGCGCCTTCGAGAGCCCGTTCGTTGGTCCGCTGCAGATATACCTTCGGAACTTTGAGATCAGAATCACTTGTTCTGGCATTGAAAGCCTCTTTCCATCGACCGACGCAGAGACACCATTTGCAGCCATTTGTAAGACCCGTGGCCCGCAAATCATTGCCCCGCGATGCGCTGAAGTCAAGAAACTGGTCGGTTACGATGGCTGAGGATTGTTAGCTTGTAAGAAAAAGCTGAGTGTGGCTATTGGGGGCTTCGGGTTAGGCACCAAAGGGGCAAATTGATCGTAGCAGTTGAATAAATGTGATTGGTAGGAGGCGTGAAAGGAGTAGTTAAAATAGGAGGTAATGGGAACATACCTGCAACTGAATGGTTTCCGAAATCGGAACTGGGCGCTTCACAGTACCCCGTCCGCATAAAGCCCGTCAAAGGGCGGGTACTATGAAGTTGCAAAGGCTGCTTGAGAACTATTCTCAAGTTAGCATCGGATATCCTTTCGCTAAAATCTTCCCCAAAAATACAAATGATGTGCATGCAGCTGCTTGAAACACCAAAGAAGAAACACAAATGAGAACCAATCACCGACAAGGACAGAGCAGAAAGAATCCAACACCAATTCTCCGAGAAGCGTTTCAGAAGCCCAAATCCATGAATATTGCAGGGTCAATGCATGAAACAAATAGAAGCAGCGGATGCTTACCGTTCCGTTCCCTGGTTCCCTTAAGCCTCTCAAATTCAATTTGGACGTCTCGGACTTGGGCGAAGCGGCGTTTTGTAGTTAATGAGCTTAAGAGCGTTTTCCACAACTGCATTGGGGGAAGTGGAGATGTCAGAGGGATGAACGTCGTTGATGCTGTAATGGGGAGGTGTGGCGGGGGAGGTCGAGCCGGAGGGCTGATGACGTTATGCAGGGATGTGGCACACGCTGATTGCGGGGAGCGATCGAGGGATAGGGGCCGGGGTTAAGTTGGTTGGTGGTTTGAGCCTTGGAACATGGGATGCCTGAGAGTTATTGCAGTGTGCGTGATAAGATTCAGATTGATACGATGAAGGATGAATTAGTGTGGGAGTCTCCTAGAGCCCTTCGTGGGAAGTTCCGATTCTGTGTGAACAAACAACCGGGCATATCCTGTTCCCGACTGCTAGGGAACTCGAACAGGGAGGGCAAAAAATGAAAAAGAACTATCAAAAGGGCTCAGATTTTGGTTTATATTAGACGCGCATTGCGCGCTGTCTAAGTGCTAACATGCAGTAAAGTTTTCAAAACTTCTGTATTATGTAATGTACAATCTAATCACCATAGATTCATCGACCACCGATTTAACTTTCTCTCGTAGCATGTATCCATTATGCGTAATTCGTTGAATGTGCGTGATACTAGCAGCGACATGCTGGGCACATGGTGACTTCGCACCTTTTGGTATAAGGATTGGAAAAGGAACAACTAGACAAGACCAACACCTGGAATGCATAGGCTGTGATTAGACTAAGTCTCAAAGAAACCTGGATACTCAAAGTCCATCACTGTCCAGAAAACCTCCGAAGAGAGAGGAAAATTACCCCCAAAATTTTGTGTATGCAAACTGCCGTTGTCTTCCCATTCTCGTTTCGACCTCCAATCGCACCTTCCATTGCACCTTCATTTTATCAGTGTTTGACTCCAGCACCAGCCTTGATTTCGCGCTTCATTTCCTCGAGCTTCTTGTGCATTTTCATCAGATCATCCCTCTGTGCATCCGTTGGTGGCGTCTCCGCCTCGGTTAACTGCCAGTACAACTCCTCATACTTCTTATAGTATTTCTGAAACTTTTGGCTCAATTCCACGGTCTGGCGGAAACTCAAGCTTGGCATGGACGGGGAGGTGGTAGCGGACGAGGAGTCGCCAGGCGAGGTGTTGCTGTGGTGATGGCTAGGATAGCGTGAGGCGAGGCCAATGTCGATATTTGTGACCCTGCGGCCTTTGTTCGTTGGAGTGTTGGCAGTTGATGAATCGTCCAGTTTCCGTTTGAGTGAGCTGCCGGAGGATGGCATACTGCCATTAGCCCGGCCACTCACACTGACTGGAGTATGATTAGGCGTAGAGCGGTCAACTCGAGGTTGCTTGGCGGAGAGCTTGTGGCTGTGACTATCACCGTCAACATCATTCGCCTTGCGCTTGAGGGGGCGATCGGAGCTGCCGGACGTCTTGGCGGGGGACGGAGCAGCTGACAGGGCTTTATGAACGGGATGGCTGTCTTCGAAGTCGCTTGCATTCACTGGTGGCGAAGCGGAAAGCGGAGAGGGATTCTTAGGTTTGGTGTTGACTGGCACAGCGGGCCTGCTCTGTCTCGGAACACGTTCCTTAGGATAGGCATCTCGTCCAGATGCCTTTGGCTTGACACGAGGTGTGGATCCATCGACGACTTTTTTGTTGGCTTTCGCCGGGTCGGTCTGGGAATTGTTCTTCGCTGTCGTTGGCTTGACAATGGGAGTACCCACCGCCTTTGCAACCTTAGCTTCATCTCTAACTGGCTTCTTCGGCTTCGGTTGCTTCGGTTCCTTTGGTTGCCTTGGCTCCTTCGGCTGCTTTGGTTCCTTTGGTTCCTTCATCTCCTTCACTTTCTTGCCGTCCTTCACTTCCTTCTCTTCTGTTTTCTTACTCGTAGTTATTTTCTTCTCGGTGAGTTTCGAGATCTTGTGCAAAGGTGTCGCAGCTTTCTGTGCTGGTGCTTGGACATTGAGTCGTGATAAACATTTTCCCTGGCCACGCTCCTCTTGTGGGAGTAAGATTTGCCAGAGTGGGTCATCCTTGGGGAGTCGAAGGCGATCAAAAGCTCGAATAGCGTTCTTGATGGCCTGCACCCGGTCGTCCAGGTCTTTCCAAGGAAACGTCCATGGGTCCAGCTCCCGATATGCCTTGTCACTCAACACCCATTTTTCGGGACCGTCACCATGCTTTCCGATTTTGGGCAGCAATGCCCGCATGTTGGTGAGCGAGGACCGACATTCCTCTGAAAGACCTTTCTCCGTCCATGGTCGCTTAGCAAGCAAGTGTATCACGGGAACTCGGAGCGCACGAAGAATGGCCTGTTGGTTGCTGTCGGGCTGTGAAGTCGGGGGCTGGTCAAGACGCGGCTTCTTCGACAGGCCAGGTGAGGAAGGCACAGACAGCAGCGGTGAACCGGCATGTGGGGCGAGATGGCTGGGTTTCAGCGACTTGGAAGGGAAGCGACGATGGTGTGGCGTGCCTATGGGTGTTCCTGCGTTACCGACGATAGTCCTGCATTTACTGTCAATTCACTACCCAGTGGAACGCCCATTGAAGGGCAACACCTCGCCGGGCGACGTACTTGTTCGCTTCCTTGAACTCGGAAATCGCAGCCATGCTATTCTTCAGCTGCTCCAGCGCCGTGTCTACGCCAGCCGTCACGGCCTCCGCTTTCTGCACAGCCAAGCTGTGGTTGATCAACCCCGTGAAAGTGAGGTCGTCATCGCCGCCAGCACTGCTGGTCTCGTACAATTCATATCTATGGCTCTCCGGAGTAGTCTGCAGCACATGTGTTTTATTGTCGCCGTACTTGAGTTGCTGTGGTGGGCCGTCAGCCAGCGTTCCTTCCTCAAGAAGCACGACAATGTCGGAGGTACAGCGGAGCTAACAACACCACTCAGGGAAGTTTCAAAAGACATACAGGAGTTCGCCCAAAGAACAGCTGTGGGGCTTTCCCGCTCCTGACGCTGTCTAGCAGCTCGGAGACCATATCTTGCGTCATCTCGAGCTGCATGGCCTGGATGGGTGCGTGTCTGGCGTCTCTGGACCCGATGTCGCTGTCCGGAGCCCCATGGAGGGCAATGCCTGCGGGAGGCAGAACGGTGGCAACCATGGCGGGTGCTCTGGCGTAATTGTCTGAAGAGGAGGCGGATCGAGGTGTGAAGTCTCACACCGGAAGATTGTCAAGGGGAATGATGCATGGAGAGAGCACCCAGGCACAGAAGCAAGCAGCAAGCAGGCTCGTGAGGGTGTTTTCTGGGTGGAACGAGGCCTGTCACGGGAGCTCTAGTGTTGGCAAGTGTTGAGGAGGACAGAGTAACGAACAACGAGAGAGTCTGTCGGATGGCCGTCAGACAAGGTCAGACTGTCATAGCGCGATGGTACCGAAATGGAGCGAGAGCTGGTGCACGGTGTCTGAGCGAAGCTGAAACGATTGGCCGTCACGAAAAGAATGAAAGGCGGGGATTTAATTCATTCTTCTGTGGGCATCGTACGGGGGAATTCACGTCGGGATGGGCAAGAGGAAGAAGAGGTGAAGAGAGAGAGAGGACGACGTGTTGGGCCAGCATGCATGCCTGTGGAGGGCGGTGGTTCCGGAGGAGGGCGGTCGAGAAGACGACTAACCTCCACAGACCGATTACGCCAGTTCTGGAGGGCGAATCCAGCGGCAAGCCGCATTCAAGGTACCTCGTGCTACATCAATCTGTGGCCTGCTGCAAGGCATTATCATGCAGCGCCGGCCGGTGCCAGCCCTTGCCCTTCCAGGCTTTATTAATACACGCTCTGGCTCGATGTGCATCCATCATCTTCGAAGCGCTCAGGTAGTGGTCGTTTTTGCCCCCGAGCAGAAGCAGCAAACGAAGGACGAACAACCCCCATCTGTCTCGCCTCGCTGACCGAAGGCTCGTGAGCAGCTCTGTGCTGAGTTTGGCTTTTGGCTGCCGTTGCACGCGTAGGCTCCTCCTCCCATCAAATGGCTCCGCGTTGAAAAAATAGGCCCGGCGGAGTTGCAGTGCCGGGCTTGATGCCCCGGCCATTCACGCTGGCAGGCCGGGGTCCTGCTGGCGTACCTGTTTCGAAATTGGGCGTGGACCTTTGTGATGTTTGAGCCCACAGGATCGTCGTCATGCCTCACTGTTGCCTCTTAATTGCCTGGTTTCCATGCTCATCACACTCTCGCCACACGGAGAGCCTTCTTCGCAGGCCTTCTCAGGCTTTGGCAGGCCAGGCGTCGGTTTTGTCGCTGTCATCCGGCGTGGCGGGTGCGCTGCCTCCAGGCTGGTTAGGCCAGCTCGATTCGGGAGCGCCATGGGAAGCCACGGACGCGCACAGGGACCAGCTATTTTGATCCAGCCCTTGCTCCGTCGAAGCCCCGCCATGATGGGAGACATCTCAGGGCTTACCTTTGCCATCAACGCTGACCATCTGTCTGAATATCAACGGCGGGCCACCATGAACCCCCAAGCTTCTGCTGCCACACGGCTGCAGCTCACATCTCAACACCTTCTTAATCTCCATGAACCGGCCTTCGCACCTTCCCACGCAGGACCCCCATCGGTAACACCGCAGCCAAGCACCCAATTCGTTCCAATGCGCTTGGGATCCTGCAACAAACAAGCCCGATTGCTTAGGACTAGCCGGGCCACAAACGTAGAGGAAAGTCGCCAGTCCATCAGTCCGTCGTCTTTCACGGGACCTCCAAAACTATGCTTGCGTTCCGCAGACAAAGCGAAGAGGTGTGCGCTAGCATCAGCCAGTACCCCCCGATTCGGATCATGATGCACACTATCGGCTGGGCGAGCAGCAGGTTTTGCCGGCAATCACCCACCTGTGACCTGAACGAACTCGTTACTCTGCATCAAGCGGGTGTGCATGAGTAACCCACACTTGCAGACAAACCAGCTTCCCCTCTGGAAAGCTCGTGGTTGCTGCTGCTGCTCTCCCGCCCCTCCTGCAGCGAAGCCGAGGCGAGAAGCTGACCTGCATGGATTTTGCGCTTTTGGCGCTGAATATTTCCACTCGCACCTCCCTCGCTCATCTCACTGCGTCTACTAATTCTGAAAAGGCTCAACAGTCATGCATCAAGGCAAACGGCCGCAAGCGAGACTGAGAACAAATCGATGACCACTGATCAACTTTCGACCACCAGCCTCGTTCGATCTGGCAGGCACTATGGGATATTCCCGTCTTCTGGAATGCTTCCGCAATGCAATATATCACACCCTGGACCCCGTACATCGCCATATTAAACGTTGACGTTGACGGCCGCGGGGTACATAGATGAAGTACCACGAACGAGTCACCCGATCACGGCGGTCCTGTTTGTGGTCGGGAGGCCCGAAATGGAAAAGAAACTCAGGCCGCCTTCCCATTTCCCCGGCACAAGCAAATCCACTGCAAAGAGCATCCAACCTTCCCCCAGTTCTTGCGGGAGAAAATGGAGGTGTCTGCAATTGTCTTTGGACTGTGGTGAATTGTATTGCGCGGGAATCGATCTACTTTTGGCTTACGGCATACCGATATATTACCCTGCAGACACCTAAACACGTCCACAGCACGTAAGTGGCAAAGATGCATAGCTTTCCCGTCGGCGAGGCTGATCCCTCGCCAAAAGAAAAAGAACGGTAGGATTTCTTTTGTCATTCTCCATCCGCCGGCACGTATCCGTGATACTATATTGCTTCCGCTTTCTTTTAACGTCCTGCCAGACTGTCGGATCTCAGTTGCTTTCCACCGTAACATGATCCCCTACATTAGCCACTCGTCGTTGATATCTTAGCCGTTGCCGCGGCGTCCTCTTGACTATTTTCCGGCGGGTGGAGTTATACAGTGACTGTGGTCGTATCTGTCTCTCCGACGCAGGTCCAATTCTGCCTCGAGGTGTCTGTCCACTGTTGTCGTATTTAACCCGCCTCTTCTAGTTTCATCCTTTGCCTTCACACGCCACCGGTAAGCCACCGGTAAGGGCCAGTCTCTCCCTCCTACTCGATGCGCAACATTAGTTTTCCAATATATGTAATTGTCAGTGGTATTCGTCGTGCACATCCATCTGCACCAACCCCGAAACGGCAATCCGACTAAGCTATTTATAGCAGTCAGCAAACCCTCATTCAGGAATATGTCGCAGGATGAACAAAATCGGAATTAAAAATCTTCCGTTGCAACCAAATTTCCCCAATATATGAATTGGGGGCGGCAATTGGCTGCCCAAATTCCATTGCAGGTCTCTTACGATGCTAAATCTGTTGTTAATTTCGTGAGAGAGAAGTTCTTTGGCGTGGAGCGTAGAAGACTGCAGCCGGTGGGAACGTGATGGTACAGCGTAGGACCTTTAAAGGGACTTCAATCTTAAAGGAACCGAACGCCAGAATGGAGGAGGCTCACCCCTCGTGGCATAAACCGGCTCCTGTGGGCTCATTATCTTGAGCACTAATGTAACAGTAGCCGCATAAGTTCGGGGCATGATACAAGGAGATCTCCGGTTGTTTTTCAGTCTCCACGACTCGGCCTCCCGAACTCAGCGAAAACAACCTAACTGTAACTTCGATGTACTATCCGATCCAAAGACATACTGTCTCAAACGGTTCGGACCGAACGCTTCCTAAGGTCCGACTGAACAAAACCTTTAACTTCATTTTGACATCTGCGACATGCGCTTTCTACCTCTGGTATTGTAGCATTATCTCGGTGCGATCCGTTTGCATATAGGATACGTCAGAGCCATATTAGACGGCGGTTTCCATTAGAACTACCGTAGTGAGGCTCACGAGGGGGAGGTGTATGACCTAATTTGTCGGTATCTTAGTATCTTAGGCTTGTCTCCACCGAACCTCGTCTAAAAGATATCTTGCAATGCATATGTGATGGGTATTAGAGGTTCGAAGTTGACCAGTGTAAGTGGACTGTACACTGCTGGAGAAGAAAGGCACCTTCAATCACTTGCAGCCAAACTGACAGAAATAGGGATTGAACTGTGGCGGGTACTTTGAAGATCTTGGGTGAGCGGAATGAAGTATCCCTTCACAAAATATTCCTTGCAAATAATGTTCTACGTCGGCTGTTTACTACCAATCAATGGATAGGTTCGCAAAGCATTCACCGAAGCCACCACACTCGAATTGTGGGTTCGAAACACAGATTACTGTGACTACCACGCCGCTATCTGCTACAGCAAGGGCTACCGCATCAATGATGCGGCCAGATTCAGTGGCTTGGCTTCAGCGAAGTTGGAATTAGGTGTGCTGAATACTGAGTATGTCGCACCACACCACACCAAGCATTGTCCTGTCTGCTCCCGCCCAACTTTCTAATCAATATGGAATCGTATGGCAATTTTCTAGGTTGGGATTGGTAGCTAATATGATGTTTGTGTTTCCCGTGATGATTGAATGTGAATAAATGCTCCAAATCAGTTTCACATTGATAATGAAGGCCGGTGTACTAATGTAGGTTCACTATTCTCTCCCCACGAAATATACATACATTCCATATATGGCAAACTGGCTATATTGAAGTTCGCTTACCACGAACGACGCTCCTTTGATGGGAGTCCCGGCGACTTAAAATGTTCTTAGATAGATGAGAAATGGCTTATTTGGGAAGTGTCATTATGGTGGAATGCGAGACTGAATTTTTCCACGAATACCGGGCCACTAGACTCCCGATTTCTGGTTTCCTGGCTCGATGGCGACAGTGCTGAGCTAGAGTTACGTCAATTTTCGTTCGCTTCAGCGCCAGTGTTTTTGACTTCCTACGTTTGACAAACAAACACTTCTTTCAGATTAGCATACCTAGCTTGTTCCCCTAGCTCCTGTTAAGGCTGTAATTGGATTCTCACCAGCTATCGGCCAATAAGATGTCTTTGCCGTTTCTAAAAAGCGATGAAATTCTCGACAAAGTAGTTCGAGGGTTTTGCGCCTTCCCTTGACGCCAATCTTTATTAGACTTGCTCTTGTGCTTTTATGGCTCTACCTATCAGAAATCTAACAAAAAACAGCAGCAATTCTTGAGCGTACTTTGGCAGCAGCATCTCCATATACTGCATTGATGACCTATTTGTGTGGCACAGTCTCCTCCTATTAAGATATGATTAGAACATAGAGTAAATATGCAGCTCTACGCCGTAAACTCTGTACACTTACTTTGCACTAAAATGGGTTACATTCTGCCTAGATGCTACGCCTGGAGTCAGACTAATTAGCCTTGCCATGGGCTCTGCTCTCTAGTGAAATGAAAGCTATCCCATTTTACATTCCCTCTCAAGCATCCAATTTTGATTCTACATCCATATTTTCTATTGTAGGCGAACAGGGCCCGTACTGATATACCAGCGTTAAGAATACCACTTGGCTCCACAACTAACAAGCAGTATGCCCTAGCACCTGAAACCTCACCGTCCGGACAACAAAATTACCAGAGCCAGCTACCACAGAGCTGCCCCGTCTCTCAACTTTCCGGGTTGCTTCCTCTCTTACGAGAGGAGCTCAAATCGATCTGCGTTCTTTACGTTAGGAGCGCAAACTCGTCCACCGACCACGAAATTCAGGGAGTTGCTGGTAGTCAATCTTGTCGACAAGCCGAAGTACGTTGCCTTGTCATATGTTTGGGGAGCTTTCTAAACCCCGAAGGGCACGGTATCTTGTGTGTTATATTCGGTCATCATATCGGCCCTCTACTCGTCCACGCTTCGGCATCTTCGACAAACATTTGATGATGTGGCGATCTGTATCGATTTTATCGGCACTAGATGGGAGGATAATGGACATAGATTTATCTGGACACATTTGCTCGCCATGATCTTTTCTAGAGCAGAGCCTGTTTTTATTTAGCCTGATAGTAGAAAAGATGTGACTGACCATACTATAGATTGCCCCAAAAACGTCGGCTTTTAAAAATCATGGTCAAAGATCGACACTTAGCCTACAGGATGCGCCCCAGGATTTAAGCCTTTATTTGGAAGTAACATGGGATGATATACACCTGAAGCCGATGGTGTGGGATAATATGAACACTGGGTGGATCCTCGACAGAGAGTCTTTTCCAGAAACTTCAAATTGGCGTCCTTTTCCAATCAGATTTTACGTCCTGTTTCAATATGAAACCCCCTTGTGTAGTGGAATGCTAATTGACGAGGCGCTCTCTGCCTCCCTAAACGATCTTCGTAATAAAGGATAGTCAAATCGCGCCATCAATATCCGTAGGCCTTCACGGGACAAAGCATTAGAACCCAACAGAGCATGGCACAAAAGATCCGCATACAGAAATGCAAAAGATCCCGGAGACAAGTCTTCCGGTATGGACTCGCTGTTTAGTAGGTTTGGGGTTTGCTTAGCTGCTCCAGACTACACGAGGGATTTATATGATATCTATCGCGACCTATTTCCTAGTTCTGTCGACCAGAACGATTCACTGAATTGGCTTCTGTTGGTTTCTAGCCCACTAATTGATGGCCAACCATATTAGGTGCCAGGCTGGTATGTAGATCCTATTCGAACCTCAGTAGGTTGGGACTAGTTATCCAAAGATAACTTAGCTACAAAGTCGTCCCATGCCACCAGCGCCATCCGTAATCGCAACGAGTTGGTCGCCTGTGGTCGCAAAGATGACTCCATTATATAGAAGTGCAACAAGCATACCAAGACCCGCAAAACCTACGACGAGGACAGAGATGGCCACCTTCATAATCTTCACACAGCTCCCGATTACCTATGTATCTGCGCGAGTAAGTTCTTACGGTTTAGTGGTTGAAAATGCAGCGATGTAATCCAGGTATAACTCTCATTAAACAAAACGTCGTGCCGTATCCCCACCATAGCGGAATAGACATTGGGGCTGCTGTCTCTGTCACTCCAGCCACTGTGCTGAATTTAAATAGACTTGAATGTATAAGCAGGGATCTGAAAGTGCGGCTTTCGAAACTTGAAGTGGACCGCAAGCGTTGGGCTACGCACACGAAACTGTATAATGGTTTTGCGGCTAGTCATAGAACTTTATTCCTCACTTCAAAAGTGGGGAAGAGAATATGGTCAACTAGTTTATATTGGAGACTTTACTGAGCATTTTTCGAGTCGGCGATGCGTTTGTCTTGATTTCTAGAGTTTCAATGTTTCGTGTGATGGAAAAGCGAGCGGTACATACCGCTTGATTAGATGCTCAGGTCCACGGTATGATGAATGGCGAATTCTTAGAAGATTTCAGAGTGGATCGGTTGGACGAGATAGTCATTATTTGACTTAACGTTAGGGTATATTGCATCTTACAGCGGCGACATTGTCCAACAATCCCGGCCTAAAGACGGGACCGAGATAAAGTGGTACACGAGTGAGCTAGATCGGTCTCAAACGAACCCCCCCAACATCCTGCCTACAACAAACGACATGCGGTCGTTTTCCTTTTTTCTATTTCTGTTCCGTTCTATTGAGGTCGAAATTTATCAGATCTGGTGTATATGCACGAGATGGAAGGGGGGAGTGGTACCTACGATAATATTTAGCCAGCTAGCCTGTATAAGTGTTGATGTTGATCTCGGGCAAGGTATTTGTTAGTACGCCGCTCCAAATAGAGAGAATGTACTTGCAATCTTGATAGCATAGAACAGCACAACATAGCACAACATAGCACAACATAGCAGTCACAAGAAAATTAGCCACATGTAGTGAAGAGAATGGTTTAACTCTTTGTAGAGGGAGTAGTTGCAATGGAAATTTGCAAGTCCACTAAGCTGAGCATTAAGAAGGCGTGTCCCGATGCCAGCCAACCATGTCAACTCGATCACCCACTCACCCACACTAAAGAATCCCATACTTGTTCGATCCGCCAGACTCCACGCCATGCCGCCTGCCAGCCATGCAAATGCAAGAGAGAGGGAGAGAGAGAGAGAGACCAAAGGAAAGAACATGACACTGTCAGTCAGTTGCCGAAGAAACTGACTAGGATGACGTGCTTGGGTTGGTGAAGAGGAAAAGTAGACACAAACGTAGGAGAAACACGCATGTCCAATGTCCGCCCAAGGACAGGACAGAGACACCAGGCCATTGCGATTCAACTACAACGCAATGCAACGCAACGCAATGCAACGCAATCTCACAGACGGGGAAGAATACAAATAACAAGCTGACTGAGCCGACCAGGAAGTTGTTACAAACAGCCCAGTCCAGTCCAGTCCAGAAGTTTCGCATTCAACTTACACAAGAAGATTGCGCGGGAATTGAATCCAATCCAACAATACCTCCCGGCGAAAGCACAAAAGACCGTTCTGCGCAACATTGCGAAGGATAGCGAAGCTAGTCAGTCGATCAGATCGGAGCAGATGAGATCCGATTAACAAGCATCTAGCTCCTCAGGCTGCTTATGGCGGGCTAGGACATGGCGCTTGAATTCCTCTTGGTCTTTGTCCCAGAGCTCAGCAGCCTGGCCATTCAGCGGACTCGAACTATACGAGCGAATTAGTACGCTGCTAAAACTTAGATAGACAAGTAGCGTAGCGAGGTAGGGTGTGGTGTGGTGCGAAGCAACGATAAAAGAATTCATACGTATTCGGCTCGCCCAACAGGCTCTGCAGACTCAGAAGCACGCTCGTGATATTGTAGATGGCGCTCCACTTGTCCTTGAGGATGTCGAGACAGATGCGACCAGAGAAGTCGACGTTGGGGTGGTAGATTGGCGTCTTGAAGAGTACGCGTGGAGGGGTGTAGGGATAAGTGTCAGCGAACTTCATCCAGAGCTTAAAAGTCAGGTCAGCGTAGGGAGTGTCGGGAGGGCCCTCGATAGTGGCGGTCCAGATGGTCATGTTCTCATCGTCCGGGAAGGCAGTGATGCCCGGGGTTGGCTTAGTCATGAGGTCCATGAGCTCTTTCTGCAGACTTGTTGGAGAAGGTGCGATGTTAGCTGCTAAGTGTAGAAAGAGAGATGTGAGGGCAATGGGTGTGCATGCATACCGCTGAGCGACGGTTTGACCGCGGGCGCCATTTGGAGCAGTTCCAGACGAAAGCGCCATATTGCCGTTCTCCAATGTCTCCGACTGTTCTCGATGAAGTAAGGCCGTTGAAATAATGCGCGCGGATAGAATACCCAAGACGCACACCTGAAAAGCAAAAAGCCGGAGGAAGGAGAATAAAGGTGAAGAGGTTGTTGTTGAGATTGGAACTCAGTTGGGACGGAAGCGCAAGCTCATGTGTTGTGTTTCGCTGCAGCCACGCTCCCGCCAAACACGCCCCAGCAACCACACCCACCGCCTCAAAACAGCACTAGCGCGAAGTTACGCGAGACTTCAACCGCGTTCCCGCGTCGCACAGCCGTTGGCACACAGATCGCCGCAACCCCCCCCTCCCCCACCAATCGTCCCGTGTCAGATTCGCGATTCTTGATACAGGCACTGCCTCGAAAACTGGGCTGGCAGTATTTGGGGAAGGGCTGGAAAATGTGCAACCAATTTAGCATGTGTAATAAGAGGCGTTTTAATGCCCCTGCTCATCAAACAGGAACCAGAACAAACCGCGTTCCGGATTGAGTAAATCTTGGGCCTCGGTTTCGATGGTATGAGGGCGGGTGAAGGCGAGGGCTCTCGGGTGAGAGTGAGTGATAATGATTGAAATGACACGGAAGGCGTTTCCGAAGAAAAGTAGCTATCAAGTCTGCTGTAGGCTATGAATAAGGAGGAAATAGACGAACGTGTGTGTAGAACTCCGACGCTATGCAACCCACAACTCAGAACTACATATCCCTATCCGGCAATTCTTGATCTCGCGGTTTTTACCGTCCATATTAAGGTTCTCCCAAACAGCAGACTCGGTCCCGCGATGGCCGGCTTCCCCACCACGTCTGTGGCCTTTCCTTTGCTGTGAAGTATTGCAAATCTCAGCAGCACCTCTAGACAAGTGACACAGATGCTGAGGACGATGAGCACAATGATGATCCACGTGATCCGCGTCATTTTCTTGTCGGATATCGAGTCCGAGAGAATCTCGCCTAGGTCGAGGAACACACGACACCGTTCGTTCAGAACTTGGATGCGTGGTTTGATTTCGAGGTATTCGCGGACGGCCGTGTACAGCGGGTGGAGTGTGGGTTCTGACTCCCAGAAGAAGTTCGGCGTATCGAGCATGTTGGACGCTGGAATATATCAGTGTTATCCAGATTGAGTAGGAATCTGAGGTGCAAGTTACAAAGGTTAACATCCACCCGGCTGGTGAATAACTGCCCTATCATCTTGACCACCTCCGTTCTCCCCATCCCCAGCTTTCCAGTTAATGCCAGCCGTTTAGGTATATATTGCGCTTGTAGCATCGTCCGTGACATGCCTTCCTCAAACAGACTTAGTTTCGTGCTTTGAGCAATCGCATGGCTCATGGCAAGTTTGATCATGTGATCTCCACTTTTCAATGTGATCATGTCGTTGAACACTCTGGGCCTAGGAATATCTGGGTTATACTCGAAATGGAACTCCTCAGTCTCAAAGTCCGCTTCGCTCAGGGGTCGCGTAGCCAGTAATATGCCAGTTGAGGAAGTGGAGAACGTCAGATCTGCGAGGATATCCTTTTCTTGTCGTTCGGTGAAATTCCAGAACACTACGACGCCGTATGAAAAGACAAACATTTCACCAAATGAGAGGGCGTTTGGTGGAACCCGGGGTGGAGCACCATCCTCTATCGATTCCCTGCGTGAAGAATCCGACGAATGTTCCCCCTGCTCCTCATTTTGGGGCCGGTCGTGGGGACTCTGGCCTGGACTTTCTTCCTCTCCACCTCGAATGCTGTACTGTTCGGCATCCCCAAAATACCCCTCATGATACTCTCTCTGCTCGTTCCTCTCAATCTCTTCATCGAGCACCGTCTTCCCACCAGGACTCTTCAGCGCTGGACTACTCCTGACTCTATACCCATCGCTCCCCGGCAACAACGGTAAATGATAGACTGTGTACAAGCAATCGTCATACAACTTCGTCCTCGCATTATGCTGGGTCTTGACAAACTCGGCGGTGCTCTTCATCTTGTATGCCTGCGCCGTGCAATACGCCGTGACCCTAGCCAACTTCTCTGCTCTCCTCGCCTTGGGCAACCGTTCCGCGTAGCTCTTATCCTTCAACCCACCCGTTACGCTCCTCCTCTGCAGATCCTCATCCTTGGGCGGCGCTTCATCATCCTCATCAAAAATTCCCTTCTCATCATCCGCTTCCACGACGGCCTCAGGCAGAAGCACTAGCTTCTCACTGAGTTTGCTCGAGCGCGTCGGAATATGTTGGGGAATGAGGCGACCGGAGAGCTTTGGGTCGAGTGGATGGCGGCCGCTGGGTGTACGAGTGTGTATGAGGGGACGCTGATTCGGAGGGCCGCGTCGTTGCTGCGACGGGATGTCCGAAGCATATTGGAGGATGTTGTCAACCGATATAAGTTTCGCCCCGGGCCGTAGGACGGGCATTCGTGGCGAAAGTCGTGGATTTGGATCCCGAGCATCTGTCATCTGGGATCCAATTAGTGCAGCTCCTAAGAAGCTTGCGAGGCCTGTGCAGCTGGCATACCAACACCGTCGGCCCCCTTTTGCTTTTTGTCGTGGTCGCACTCATGATTAAATGAATGTGGGGAGCGGGTAGCTCGGGCTATTGATGTTGTGGAGTTGTCATAGAGTGGCATGTTCAGACGCTGCGGCATTGTTCTTGAAGTTCTAGCTTCGGACGTCATGGCTTGGCCTTATTCACTACTCGTGACACTTGCATGGACCGATTTCACGTCCATGGCCATTGAACAGAAATTGGCGCAGCAAGCGAAGGCGTATTCATGGCAAAACTCATTCGAAGCTTTATAGACCAATTCGCAGCTAGGATACGATCCCAGCCTATCACTAAAGTAGAGCAATACTATCTGGAAAATTGTTCCACTTGTAAACTATAGCCATGTCGCTATTGTGCAGACCGGGGGAATTCCAAAACGACTCGCTCAGAAAGCTGCCAAGTCATGTAATGAATCCAACAAAAGAGCCAGCTACCCCTTAAACAAACCCCCTTGTTCTTGTTTCTTAACCTTGAATTCCAGTTCCTCTGAAAAAACTCCATCCCCTTCCATTCCACAATCCATGTCACGAAATCGACAGTACATATAATGGGAAGGATCAGGTGGGCAGGTGGGTGGGCAGGTGGGTAGGCGGGCAGGCAGATTGGCAGATAAGGGAAATGTGACGCAAAACCACACACCTTGAAGCATTGAACATGCATTCCATTGGGAGGCAGCGGAGCTCAGCCTAAATAAATTTGTCCATAACTCCATCTCCTCCAAGTGCAGTTGGACATTAAATAAAGAGCTTTGGATGTGGCAACACCTTGTTACCTTCAGAGACGTTTCCCAGGCACAAAGATGAACAGACAGCAGGTAGCTGCGTCAGCGAGAAGAAACATCGAGAGGATGATGAACGATCGTTTGCGAAGCGTCTTCTTGACGAACGGCTCTCGAATTTTGTTGAAGTCCATCCAGGTATACTCGCTGAAGCCAAGCAAGGCAAAGATGGGATCCAGCATGTACTGGTGCGTGAAGATGAAGTAAATCGCAACCGTGAACGGGAGGATAAGCTGGCATGGTCAATTTCAGTCTCAATAAAATTTACAATAAGGTAGCTTACCCAGCACCTAGTTGCCCGAGACTTGTTGAGGAAGATGAGAATGAATGCCGTCCAAACAGCTGCGAAGAAGCTGATGAGACCAATGATCAGACGCATCATCATACTCTGAGGAACAAGATTACCGAGTCCTTTGCTCTGGAGAAACCCCGGGAAAGCGTCACGCTCCATGGCTTGGAAGACGTAGTCTTTAGCAGCATCGAACAGCTCCGGGTCGCTACGCTGGTCAGGGCCCTCGATAGCCTCCTGCACGTCATGGAGGATGCTTTGGGGTATGATTATTTCCCGTTCTGATCCTGGCAGAAGATAAGTATACAGGATTTTCTCGGCTGAAGCACGCAAATCCTCGCGCTTCGGAACATTCTCGGCAGATGAATTCTGGCCTGGTGAGCTGGAGTCGCCGCCCGGTGAATTGTTGTCCATGAAGCTTGGTCGGGGAGGTCGCTCACGGCCTGGCGTTGAGTGTGTCGAGCGATTGCTACCATGGCTATTCTGCGGGGAATGCTGCCGACTGCCCTGATCGGACCGCAGAAAAGCAGAAAGTCTCTGGTCAGAAACGTTCCCCTTCTCACCGGACGGACCCTCTCCAGCATTATCTAAAATGTATGATGACCGCTTGCTGTTCTTCTCTATTTCCGGTGTGTCTTCGATCACCGACCGGTGCAGGCGTCGGACGTACAAACGACATAGTTGGAGATGTTGCGACACGTCAAGCCTACAGAGTGATCAGCCAGTAAATCTAATGCCCTAGTTGAAAGCATACCAGAAGTCCAGGTAGTCTACCGATCGCTGCTGGTCTCGCATGTAGATATAGAAGGAGAAAAGGTCTAGGGGAGCGACTGTCTTGCGACTCAGGACCTCGAACAGATTGGGGAATCGGTTTCGGTTGAGCTCCAAAGGAGCATGCGATTCGGACGCCATATCGAGGCACCGTGGGGTTCGCGATAGAAGGAAGAGTGTAACGGCTGGTTCAAAAGCGAGGGTGAATGAGAGATTCGGACTCCCAGTTCAGTCGCAGGAGCGGAGGTCGCGAAGCGCTGGTTTGCTATGGCGGCAGCGGCAGCGGCGCGGGGACGACTGGACGGCGCACAGAAGCAGTAGGTAAACAAGAGGAGGCGATGTGAAGCTTTGCGTGAAATTCTGGCTAAGTAGTGACAGTCCAATGGAGCTGTGTCGACAGTGAAGTTGGGAAATGAGCTTCGAAGTCGAATGTCTTGGCGCGATCAATGGAAACGAGCGGGTGGCTTGAAGGGGGCGCATATGTCGCGCGACCAGCGCAGTGGGGCTGAGTACAAGTTGCCAATTGCAAAGCAACTACTCGCGATGCCAAAGGATACAGATTGTGAATATTGGGCGTTGTGGTTGACGTTGTGGAGAGAGAGTGCTAGATTGAGTCGGAGGTGATGCAGCAACCCGGAAAGGGTCAAATCAAACTGGGCTGCGGAACATTGCAGGGATGCTGAAACTGGACCAGCAACGCCGCTGATCATCATGCGATTCCTATGGCGAAGCTTTATTGATGCAGCTGCAGAAATACATGGTGAAAGCAGTCAATGGGCGTCTACGCTGAGTGTCCCTCAAAATCCTGAAATATGACTCTTTATATCCCCTACGGCACAGCCAACTCGGGTAGCCTCAGCACTGCCCTCAGGCAACAGCCATAAAAGGTCTTGCCGCAAAAATATAAGTTTGATTCTGATCCCATCTTGATGAATTACCTTGCTGCTGCTATTACTCGCTCTACAAGAATTCATCCCATCCTACCCCTCCCAACAATCTCTCCCTGAGCGACCATGGACACCAATAAAAATTTCACTTTGCCCGAGGGCTTCCTCGATGAGCCAGCGCCGAACCTGACCAAGTCTACCGTCAATTTCAAAGAAGGCGGCCTTCCTGAATATGATGGCCTGTGGGCTGTTGTCCTAGATGGTGTCCTGTCTGAGGAGGAATGTGACATGCTCGTCGCTGCCGCAGAAGCAACTACAGATGCAAAATGGGAGCGAGCCCTGGTGAATATCGGCGGAGGCATGCAGGCATTGTATGATGACATCCGCAACTGTGGCCGTATCATATGGGATAGCCACGAAATAGTCGCAAAGATCTGGGCGCGGATTGAGGCCGCAGTGCCTGAGATTCAACGGCTGCAGAATTGGGCCGACGTCACAGGTCCTGTGCCCGCAAGGAGAAACGAAGTGTGGAAAGTAACGCGTTTGAACGAGCGAATGAGATTTCTAAAGTACACAGGTGGTGAATTCTTCAGAGGTACGTAGATAATGAACGAACAAAGAAACTGTCCCTTTCTAAGCAGGGATAGCCCACTCTGATGGAACCTATGAAACGCCTGACCGCACCGAGCGGTCAAATTTCACACTGCATCTGTATCTCAACGATGCCGAAGGCAAGCCAGGCCAGGCGCCACTTAAAGGAGGAGCGACCACGTTCCACTCGTACGATATGAGGCGGCGAATGGATGTGGTACCAAAATCTGGACGGGTACTGCTGTTTCAACATCGAGGGCTCCTCCATTCGGGCGACGATGTCGTGTCAGGGACAAAGTTGACAATGAGGACCGACATAATGTATGCGCTAGAAAAGTAGAGTCTTCGTCTGACGGTGGGGGCTCTGCTCAAAGCTTGTGAGGGCATCTTCTAGCAGTTGGCATGCCATAGCCTCATGTTGTGGGTGTTTAGAGGGTCGAATGAAAGCTCGTGGCGGATTTAATTCATTAGCAGTATCCTTTGGACCCTTGAGTAATCGAATGAACTCGTGGTACTTACAAAAAGATGATAAATTGTGAACGGCCCGCCCCACCAGAGTAATCGGAATCGAATGATACCTTCACTCTTTCGCTTGAGCTACTAGAGGTCGAGTACGCTGCGTATTGCACTATGGTGTCGCTCCAGCTCTCTCGAGACTGAGGCACACGATCTTCGCACCGACTCCCATAGGGACACCAGATCGCGCAAATGCTACCCCGAGGGGAAACACTTTTGCTTATGGGCCCTGGACTTTCTGATGCCAAATGCAGACGTGAGTCACGCCAGGCCCTCACGGGCAGTGATGTCAGAGTTCGCAGAGCGAGATGACAAAAAGAGGTGAAGATTACTCCGAATTTCTCATTTGCATGTATGGACAACTGCGTCTCGCACTGGGTGAGAGTATCAGCGTCTGTATGTGAGCAAAGAAACGCAGCATTGGTAAGGCGGGCCGTTGAAGAGAAAAGATAGCACAGGTCGGAGAGCTTTGGTTTTGTAGCTTGGCACTAGTGGAGACGCTAGGCGGAACGATTTTCCGCTCCACTCATACACCACTCCATCACCTTCACCTCTAGCCTTCTGACTGGCTTGTGGGCGATTCAGTGTTTGTGTAACGTCTAATTTCACGCAAAGACCACTCACTAACCTTTGATGATTAACCATCATCAAACGCCCGCCAGAGACTCATCTTATACAAATTTTCTTGTTTTGTCCCTTATCCCTCTACCGTAGCCCTCACTTGTTCCTTAACTCGGTAACACAACCAATTGCATGAACCAACTGCTCCTTAAATTTCTCGAAGTTTGTGTGGGTGCCCTTATCGAAGCCGCAAGAGGTCTAGCTCCAGCTTCGCGGAGATCTCCTAAATATCCTAACCCTGCATTTCCCCAGCAAAAGTGTAGAAAATGGCCTAGGTTCAGTGATTTCTCTAACAAGAATGCTTCATGCATCCGACTAATCAATCACTGTACCATATGGCCTCCCGCCAGGCTTTCAGAACCCATATACGGACTCTCACTTTTGGAGCAGCTATCTTCAGCGAAAACCCAATAGGAACACCATTTGAAATACACTCATAACTCCCAAGATCACTTGGCAACATGGGTATTGGCTGGTATCAACAAGATCGACTCAAACATGCCCCCAGCGAGTATTTTAAACGACAGAAAAGAGTTCCTGGCCTGGACGATCAGTAGAAGATGGCTGCTTTACTTAGCAATCCCCCGAACCTTGAGACTATTCGCGTTCGATACGAAATTGATTTCAACCTCAATGACGTCCACCATCTCTTGAAACGAATGCTTCCCGATAAATACCAACCAACTTCGAGAGTTTAGCGTAAGCAGTGCGAACGGTCCGGGGGTCTCCACAACCCTTACAAGGAGTCATCCAGGTCTTTGTCATCGTAATCAAGGACTCTAATGTTAATGTCAAGAATCTAAAGCGCGAGAACGACTTCGTGGCTGAATATTACCCTCTCCCACGCCTTGTCTCCTAGCGACCGCAATTATCAACTTAGATAAACTTCGAATCCCGGTATTCGGAGGAACTAACGAAGAAGGCCATACAACTCTTTTGGGTATCATTCGAGAAGCTCTTCCCGGATTGACATGTCAGTTACCCTTACTATTTCTGCATACAGCTTCGAACATGGAGGAGGAGAGTCAACATTTAACTCTGTCCGCCGAGTGTTTGCAGCTCAGGATTCTTTCTTTTGACGGCCAATGACATCTCCCCGCAAAGCAACTCCTTCAGTTCTGGCTGATTCACTCTGGTAGCTTCCAATGTGTGTTGCTCAATAACGCCTTCGTATATGAAGGCTCCTAGGTTCAGGCAGTAAAAGGCTCCTCTGTTTGAGAACCTGAAATACGTAGAGATCCGAGCGTTTGTTTGCGGTCAGTTACTCACCAAAGATGACCCCGAACACCTTGATACTGACTTGACCACTAGTTTCACTGGGTTCTCCTGTCATATTTTTTGAGAATATTATTACCTTTCGAAGTAGGAATATATCCTATGGGACGAACCTTTCTTGTGTCTTGGTGGACGCGTTTATTCCTCTTCTTCAGCACTAAGGCTGTTCAAGGACCGCTCCCACCTCCTTTGTCTCAGAGTGAGATAATCTGAGGTACATAATTGGTTATAGATGCATTTCCCTTCCGTTGTTTAGATCACTCACGATGAACCCTCTAGGGCGAGCCGCTTACTTCAAGCTCATTCGGGACCCTAGGTATGCCATCCTCTCCCGCTACTACGAAACTATCTTCCTCCGCCTGGCCGTCGAAATAGATGCTTAGAACCTGCTGAAGAAGTTTCAAAGTACTCAAAATTGTCAAGAATACGGATACTGTTAATGAGGCACCAAAATCGCCAATGGTCGCACTAGGGCTCGCTGCTATATCTCTTCAGTTTGACGAGGCAAGACCGACCGTATAAGTGGGCAACCCAAGATCTTAGAATGAAGTCGTTCGAATACTTTTTGGATTAGAGATCTGGTAAGAATCCTCATTTCAAATGTAGGAGCCAACCCTTTCGAACCATGCCAGAGTGATGAAAGGACATTGCGGAGACTCTGAGGGCACTGTTGACACCAAAACAGTGTTACAATGTCTGCCAATATACCCGAACCATAAACCATATCTCAAAGCGATCCCCTCCTTACATCTTTACAAACATTTCCTTGAACAAGTTTCAAACGAAGCAAACTTTGAAGGCTTCGAATTTTTACTATAAAAATTGGAAGTGCAACATGACGTGGCAGTTGCCTACGTCAGCCACAGCAATATCTAGAAGAATATAGCCCTCCCTCTCAACCCAGATAGCAGCATGAAAGCCACCTATAGGAATACCAACCCACCCAAATTTACCAAACTCTAAACTCCATATCGTTCCCCTTCATCCACTTCAGACTGGTCCCTGAACCGCTCTAGATTACTCCGCATCCTCGACCTCTACCTTCTTAGCCTGCATCGTCCTCTCTCTAAGCTTTGGCACCAAAATCCTCAACAAGCCCTGCCCCAACCTCGCCCTCACACCGCCCGCCTCTACGTCCGCGGGAAACGTAAACGTGCGCTGATAATGACCCACCCTCCTCTCACTCAACCACTCTCTAACTACGGGTGCAGCACCCTTCTGGCCCTCCGCCTCTGCCAATTTCCTCCGCTCGATCTCGGCCTCACGGCACAGCGGCCCACCATCAACATCTTGGCCAGCAGGCAAGGCGTCCGTCATCTCTCTATCTTCCCTGGGGGTATGTGTTTCCTTCTTCACGGGCGAGGCGACACCACTGCCGAAATACAAGCCTCCCCATTCATTTTCTAGCTCGACCCGTACGATTTTAGCTTCGATGGCAAGGGTTCGGCAGTCCACCCACTCCAGTCGTACGCTCTCTCGATCGCGTATCCCTGGGAATTCACCTTCGAGGAAGTAGGCGCGCTCAGTTTCGCGGACGTCAAAGTCTGGCGCTAGGATATTGTGGTGGTTGTGACGGTGGCCGCTTCGGGACAGAGGATTCGTGGGTGAGTGTTGGGGTGCTGAGGGGTGGAGCGGGTAAGGCGTTGGATGGGGAGGGAGACTGGAGTGGGTAAGGTCATAGGGGGAGAGGATCTGCGCGAGGAAGCGTAGTGGTCGGTGGGGCTGTGGTGGGTGCTGCGGCTGCTGCTGCGGCGGCGGCTGCTGCTGCTGGCTTGGTGGGGTGGGTAATTGCTGGGGGTTCTGCTGAGGTGTGAATGAAGGAGTGTGTGTGGGGTGAAGCAGGTTCGGGAACGGCGACATGTTAAACGCAGATCTCGAGGTGGAGTTCGAGTGTGGGTGGTTGGAGAGGTCCCGCCGGCTCAGTCCCGGGGCTGAGGGGGAGCGCGCGTGTCTGCGCGGTGAGGGTGACGTTGCGGCGGTATGTAAGCAATTCAGGGGTGAGCTTTTTGATTTCTCCCGTTGGGAGAGTTGTGTGTTTTGCCTAAGCGTTGACACCCCGGCTTAAGGATTGGGTCCAGATTCCTCTTGAGGTATTCCGGACGATAGACTGATAGTCGCAAGAGAGAGTCCAATACTGACCAGTGTCGTTGGAGGACTAACTCAAGCGTAGATGGTCGGTGGTCCAAACGTGGAATACCGCAGATAAGCGACGGTGAATGAAGTGAGTAGTTGTGAAGGGGACAACGAGGGAGAAAGTCTATCTCCTCTGCTTGACAACGTAGTGCAGTCACAAAAGTTCAAGAGCACTTCGCCAAAGAGTACAATAATGTAATGTGGCTCAGAATTTTGCATACCTCCTTTTTAAGTAGCCACGATGAACGATAGGAGTAGCACACTGCTTGCCCTCACGTAAGGTGATCTCACTACACTCGCACCCTCTGTGCCCATAATCTCTCCATCTGGACACAATGCCATATGCCCCCTCCCGTGGCGTGAGGCTCACCAGCTGTAGCGGATAAAAACCGACTTCCAACGGTTCGTCGCGGAGGCTACCGACGGTAGTTCTTGACTATGTTTGTGCCTCCGCCACATCTGAGGATTCTGAGGGCGAGGTACCCTGTAATTTCCGATCATATGTTCGAAAAATCAAGATACATGAGATGTGGCATGCCCGGAGGTGAGGTGCCGTATCGTGATGTTGAGGGGTTCGCGAAATGTGGCGAGTGAGCTCGGAAACGTGGCGTGACAATGCCCTTCGGGAACACTCGATGGCACCACCATCTCCCGCCTCCACACCAATCACTCCGCAGCCAGCATTCCAAGAATCTTGAAATGCCGTTGCAGAATCCGGGTTTGAGGAATAAGTCAGCAACGAATCTCCTGGAAATTGATTAGGTTCAGTAGTCCCCTAAGCTGAGGGTCAGAAGTTCTCGACTCGGGTTGTATCGGCGTGAGCAAAAGGTAGGCTGTTGCCGTTATTTTTGCACTGGCACATGGGGAGAGCCAGACACGATGAGTGGGTTGAGACACAGATGGAGGTGAGATGTGAGGCTGATTTGCACGCTCATGATCATCCTAACAGTTACGTGGAACAATGGTGTGTGTGAGTATATAAACTGTATCTTGGATGGGTCGGACTCGAGTCTTCTTTCTTCATTGCATCAAGTAATACAGAAGCATACATCCATCCAAACCAATATCATTCTAGCATACCGAGCACAACTACCGTCAATCTATCACCCCTACTATCTCCCTCAAATCAAACCTGTTTATGGTATCTTACGACCCATACACTGCGCAACAAATACTTGAAATGAGCACCTCCCAATCATCCACCAAGAAGCTCACTCCGGCCGAAGAATCCTTCGAGCAAGAAAAGGCCCATATTACTTCCTACGAGGAAGGATGGGATCGGTGGGACGGCCCAATGTGGCCCAAGGGCACCATCCAGTGTGAACTGCGTAAGTATATCCCTCTCCTCTCCCCCTGCTGATTTGCTTGCTCAGCCTCCATCCCTTTTTACTGTTTTACGGCCCTCGTGTGGTCGTCTGTTGCGAGTTCTTTACTACGACCCTCGTGTGGTCGTCTCATGGTCGTCTTTCACGATCCTCGTGCGGTCGTCTTCTGCCTGTCCGTTATGATCCTCATGGTCGTCTTTTGCGAGTTATCAGCGATCCTCGTGCGGTCGTGTCCTTTGATCCTTCGTCATCGCTTGTCCGTATCTTGTATTGTCTTATCTGGTCTGGTCTGGTGAAAAGAGCGCGTCGTTGTTAAATGTCGAATGTCGAAATCTCCGGTGTACGGTGGTAGTCCGATTGATAAGTGTCCTCCCTTCCCCATGAACTTCTCCAGCGTTGCAGCGTCGATGCATCGATACCTACGATCTCTTTCCGGATTCCTTTCCAACCTCGTTTGCCTTACACCCTCCCCCAGTACCAACGAGTTCGACTATTATCGCAGCCTTGCTTGTACCTTCTTTCAAATTTCCCCCGCCCTCGCCGAGTTTTGTTCCTTCTCTGCATTGCACGACCGAGGATCTTGTCATTGCTTCCACCCTCCTTATACCTCACCTGCCTCGTTAGATACCTCGAGCATCATCTCCATACCCCTCCTCGCCTCACCTCGATCTAGGACTCTTTCTGGACGTTGAATATACACACAAATACACGACCTGGGACTAGGACTGAAAACATGAAACCTGCGCAGCCTATCACTAATCCGGGACATGAGAGCACATTGGGCATATGAGTAAAAGCATTTAGTTAGAGTATCCTAGGCTGACGCCTTTCCCTTCTAGAAGATCCACACCACGTCATGGCATCGTGTCACGAATCCCACGACACCGACGATCGACATCGGGAGACGACTCCCGGCTCACACTGCGGAGATCATTAGCTCCCTAGCCCATTATCCCAGCGACCACGACCAGTTCGACCGAAACTCTAAAGCCTGAATACATGCTTCAGGCTGACAACATGCTTCCAGTCTTCTCCTTCCTTTAGGAAAACTGTGAAGCACCGCCGCCGCCGCCACCGCCGAGTCGAATCGAGTCGTGGGCTGGGAGTACAGTACCCAAGAGAATGCAAAGATGAAAGATACGAGAAACTTAGACGAACGAACGATCAGCAATGAGAAACGAGAGCATATGCATTCGGAGTTTGGCGCACACGGCATACACACATGCATACAATTACTGTAATAACCCCTTCCTTGATCGAAGGCTCAAGAAAAGGCCAGCATTCACAAAAAGGCATACAACCAGATACTCAAGACAAGATTACGGACATGGAGTAGGAGCAAGCAAGTTAATGGGGAGAGAAGGCGATGCTGACCATCTTCTGAGCCGGTGAGATTGAATTTCCTCTACTTCTTCGTATGTGCACATCGCACCCCCCCTTCCCCTTAGGGTTGACTTTGGCTTGGTTTGATATGTTCAGGGGATATCATGTACTGTATCATGCAGAACACCGGAGGCTATCTGTCTGTTTGTCTGCAATATTTAATGGCTTGGCCTCCTAGGCTCTAATCTTCAAGCTTATTCATTACCTTTTCATAATCATCTTTGCGCCTACCCTCGTCTCCATACTCACATACCACGCCTACAATCCAGGTCTTTTATGCAGAGGAAAAATGACCGTTTCATCTACGGGCACCGAAAATACACGACCAAAGAAAAATAAGTCGAAAAAGTCGACAAAAGATTCCCACTCCAGAAAATCGCGCCAGACGCCAGACCTCCCAATATACCCAGCGTATACATGCTAGTGGGTATGCATGAGAATTTCGCCTCTAAACGCCTTGAGCGCCTATCGCAACAAACCCCAACCGTCAGCCACCAATATCGCAATGTCCATTGCAACACCTTCATCTACCGCCCATGGAAATAGACCGCACGCATCGCATCGTAGGGGAGAAGAGAAAGGAGAAAACGCAGAGTGTCGTGACTTGGGGAAGGCCAGGCGAAAGCAAACGCAACACCGACCGCGCCATCAAAAGCCGATAGCAATTCCACATTTCCCGCCCAGAAGGTCAAAGCCTCTTAAACAGAGGCGATCAAGCACTTTTTCGGTTTCCATGATCATCCATCCATCACCAAGCAACGCAAATGATGAATAATCGGCTATCCAGGCAAGCCAACCCGCCACACCCATTCGAGAAACGCCATGAAAATGAGTCGTAAGCCCAAGGTACAAAAGGGGTATGAGAGAGAGGAGAAATGCATCTACAAGAAGCGCCGTGAAAGCCCAGTACCTGTACGTCCATGCATGCGATTCTAACACCGCATCACTTCTGCACTTGAGCCTGGTTGATCTTTAGGTCCATGACGTATTGCATCAGGCTGCAGTCTTCGCATTTAACGAGCGCTTGTAGGGCCTTGATGCGCGTCCGGAGGAGCTGGTTTTCTTCTGCAAGGCTCTTCTTGTCTTTCTCCATCTGCTTAATGTATGCAGTTGCAGAAGCAAGGACTACGGCTTTACTGGGCTTGGATGGTGTTGGTAGGTCCTCAATGTCAGCACCATCACATGCTCGCTGGCTCTGCTGGAGTGCTGGCACGACCCGACGAAGGGAGTCGAGCTGCGTGTTGAGCGATTCTCGATATTTTCGCTCGACTTGGTTGTGTGGGAGGCGTCGGCGCGATTTGGGTTTCGAATCATCGGCCTCTTGCGGAGGCGTCTGCTCGGGCGAATCTCCAGATGCTTCGCTCTTCATCCTTGGTCGAATCTCCGTGGTGTTCTTGTTGTTAGGGAATTGGCGGCCGAGAGGCTCGACAGATGATGACGCGTCGCTTTCGGTTCGCTTCCTTGGGCGAGGCTGAATCTCTACAATGCCCTCTTCGGCAGTCACCTCTTGAGCTTGAGAGAGCAGATTAGAATCGACGGTTGGGGTCGGGAGTGTATCTTCGGAAGCGAACAGGAAGGGTGCGCAACCGCCTCCGCAGTTTGCTGGATTAGGCGGTGGGCCGTCTTGGTCGTGGTTTGGGCACAGTGGTGAGGTCCAACAGGCAGACAGGATATCTGGCTTGCCGGCTTTCGTTCGCTTGATCGTAGTGCTTCCTGCAGAAGCCTTTGGCGCGTTGTCGATGCTTGCTTTTGAGGAGCTGGCGGGTCCAGTCGGGCCGTTGGGGAAGGTGAGATCTTCGACAAAACCAGTGTCCAGACTGTTCGGGAACATAGACTCGTAAGTTGGGTTGGGGAAAGTCTGCGCTCGTTGCGGTTGACGATGGGTCGATTGCATGGGAGGCGACTGGTTAGATCCCGATCCAGTTGACGTCGAGGCCGGGGTCGCTGAAGACGACGAGGTTTCGTGTTGGAAGACGGTGTGACCGGTCAGCGCAATACCAGTAGTAGGCTCAGGTGAGGATTCAGAAGTGGACTCGCCACCGCTGCCGATAGTGTCGCCGAAGGGTTGAAGGACTTCCAGGTCGGAGAGGAAGTAGTCGTTGGAGGTGAAGAAGTTGTCGTTGAAGTAGGGGTCGGTAGTAGTTCCGCTGAGGGCAGACTCGAAGTTATTCGAGTCCGAAGCCTCTGGACCTGCAGTGCGAGTTGCACTGGAAGTTGGCATATCAGATGAGCGGCCAGCCGTCGTTCGTGGGGCGTCGGACCACTGTTCGTTTGGTAGATTGAGGTCTTCACTGAGGAAAGCGTTCCAGTTGAGAGACATGGTGACTATCAGCGGATGTGTGGTTGAGAGAGTCGACACTCAAAGTCAGGCTTTTCTCAGGAGACTTCGGAGGAGGACGGCCGATGTGGACCGGCCAAGCATAGACGTGAAAGGCCAATAGTCGGCTGCAGGAGTACGAGCAATGCTGGGGGGGGGCAAGGTCGGGATTCCCTTTGACCAGTGGCTGTCTTTGGGGGGTCCCGGTGAGAATTCAATTTAAGCTCGGGGAACAGGCTGCGGCGGCGTGGTGGGGAAATGCGACGGCGCAGGCACAGCCTTTGATGCAGTTGGAGAGCTTTCTGAAGACCGAGATTCAGCGCCGAGGGAGAGCGAAAGAGTTTTTCTTCTGCGAGCCGGGGGCACTGGACGCTTATGAGAGCGAGCAAGGCGGAGTGTTTCGCACAAGTGCTGGCGGCAGTTGCAGACGATTGTCTTGGGTTGGTATCCAGCATTGGAGGTGGGCCCTCCGGAAGCAGTTCTAGGCTTGCGACCACAGGGATGGCAGAAAACAAGCCAGCAGCACCCTGGGGGACCGACAAGCAGGCGCGCAGTTCGGTTGATCGGATTTTGGAGCAGCAGTGAAGCAAAGACTGTCGAGGCCGGCGCCGCCCAGCCATAAATCAGGCCACATATGCGGTGGCGTGACATTCTCAGAGAGGACGCCCAAGGCCGCGATGCCTCATGCGGTGCCCGTGGCATTCTGGAAAGGCGCTGGCTGCTCGCCGCCACCGACCGCGATGCGAATAAACAGACACTAAGGCCACGGCGGCGACGTGTGCAACACACGCACAAACAACCGTGATCCATTCAGCGTCCGCACAGCATCTGCTATGCGCACAGCATCCGTCGACGAGGTGAAGTCGAGCAGCGACGCCGCTAGCCGGGAGCATTCCCGCGCTGGCGCCTCGGCACGTCCACCAACCATCTGCACCCCCCGTCCCGACGCGGGCACACACTACTCCCTCCAGGGCTATCACATCCACAGCGCGCCCGGTGTGGAGGCCACGCAGGGTCAATCACACTCTCTGCTCTATCCCCCCAATGCTACTGCGGCTGCTGGCGAGAAGACCTCCTTTGCCCCCCAGCCTGAAGCGCTGAAACCCACCGCTGCCATTCCTGCCCTCGACTCGTTCAAGCGCCATTGGTACAAGGACTGGTTCAAGGACCGAATGGTCGAAAAGTCCGACCCCTTTGGTTTCTCGTCTACCGGCACCAGCAGAAACATTACTCGCACCCAGACTCCAGTGCCTCCCCTGGAGGGAAATTACGAGGCCGCACGAAGAAACAGCATCGTCGCTGCAAACGAAGCTGTTTGAGGAGCGGAGATCAAACCGACACTGAGATTGAGGATTCATTTCAACCTGACAGTGAGCTGTTCATTCTACGATATTCTGCGGTACCCTCTGACAGTGTGAAGAACTGTCATATCATGTATACATGAGAGTACCTCCAAAAGGATTCAAATTTGCAATGACTTTGGGCATTGATTATGCAGGCGTCTAGGCAATAAGGAACGCACGGAGGAACCAAAAGCAGTCAGCATTACCCTCATTGAGCTGATGTTTGAGCATGGAAGCTTTTCTGTTTTGCATTGCTTTCCAGAACGTCTCAAGGTACTTTCCTGTACCATAATCATGAAAGAATCTACTGGTAGGTCGGATGGCAACCGCTTTGACCCGAGCTCCTCTGGCTAGTTCCTGGGATTCTTTTTCTCTTGCTGCGTATGTGCATACATACATACCCCCACCGCCTGTACAGTAGGTATCCCAGCAGGCAAAATGCATTCTCGCTTGCGCGCTTTCCCCGGAAGCTCGTGAAATCCCTCATCCGCAAGTTGGACAGGCAAGATTTACGACTCCGCATCCTAGAAATAAAATATCCACCCTGATGTAGATTGGTGTCGAAAAGCAATATAGTGATAACGAAGCCCCAAAGCAAGGGAGCATGTGTTCTTCTGGTCGGCGCTCGTGTTGATGCAGCCACTTCGCAACGCGGGGCACATGAGCTTCACCGTTGCAATACTGAATCCCATACTCCACCAATCTGGATCAAGACTGTGGAGAAGCATTAGAATTTGAGTGCTTGCAACATTGTCAATTGTGATCTCAAGCAAGGATAGAATTTGCTTTCCGCAGCCAAGGGCCTAGAATTCAGCCACACCTGCCTTGTCGGATCCCGGGGTGGGGTTCGAACGCCTGCCACTACTCCGCTTCCGCTCGGCGTGCAACTCAGATTCACTCGCTGGGCTGAAGTCCCTCCGCGGAGAGCCAATCCGCCAATTATAGTAAGGGTATTAAACAGCAAGGGATAGCCTACGCTGTATCTTTCAGCACGCAATACTCTCCTCCAGAGCTGTCGTACACGCCGTAGACGACAGCCAACCGCCTCAACGGAAATGCTTCGACAGTGACCTTCTTTCAGACCATATAGGCCACAGGTGGTGGATTAGGGTGTTCGTCCCGACCAGCCTTCTTCGCTTTTATTGCTTGGATGATAGGCCGGTGACATAGTGGACAGTATTCATTCCACCGGCCAAACCAGTCGTCGAGACATTCTTGATGAAATACGTGAAAGCATCCTAGACCGCGAATTTGTGCAGCATCTTCGATTTCGTCGAGACAAATTACACTATCGGCAAATTAGAATCGGCATGCAGCCAGAATTTGGGACGGGTGAGACAACGACTCACCATAGCGGGTTCATTATGACAGGTGCATCCGGATGCTCAACTCTCTGCTTCGTCGCCCAGTCAAGGTAATGCTGTGCCTTAACCACCTTGTCGAGCCTCGCTAGTCGCTTTTTCTTGCGCTCTTCTTTTGTCTCAGCGCTCTCCTCGGTAGTAAACCGGGGGACAAGAAAAGCTCTACGAAAATACTAAAATCAGTAAAGGATCATGAAAACGGTATGCTTACGCAAGTAAACGGGGACCAACATCGCGATAAGGATAACGAGGATGACTGCAAAAAGTGACGGTAATATGATCGCGATTGCTACGTTGCTGTCTTTCCGGGAAATGGGGTTTTCGTAGTCGGTCGAGTTCGTCATGCTGGTTGGCCGTTGTTTTAGATGGCGCTATTATGCGCTCTAGGGGCTGGAAGATTGGGACGATATCCAGAACCCGAACTTATTTAGAAATACGGAGACCAAGAGTACGGACTCTACAATTCGAGATTATTGCAGGTAGTAGGTTGCGCAATTAAGAATCGAATATATGCAGAACCCTGCAGCCGTCGTGTCTCATAGGACGAGAGTTCGAAGCAAGAGAAATCCTCGAAGTTGCAGTCATGTTTGTATAAATACAACGGACCAGAGAGAAGAACAGACCAGAAGCATATTCAGATTTTGGAGTTCACGAGAGATGAGGACACTGCCTGAGCCTGAGAAGACTTCTCACCTGATGCACAAATCAAGACTGCTATTTGAGTCGCACCACCACCAGGAAAATTAGTGGGCGACGCGTGATCACGCTCCGGACTCTCCATGATCGCTCGTGCGAGCCGTTATCTCGCTGGTAGATCTAAGGTTAAACTAAGATGGGGGAAGAAGCTGTCAATCTTCCGCCGAACGGTTTTGCTGTTCTTATGACGTGGTGTAAGGCTTGGGAGCTCTCTTCTGTTCCGTATTGTGAGATTCGGGTAAAGTACCCGCTTCGTGCATGTTTGTTTGACACAACGCGCACTTCAGAACGGGTATGATGGATGAGAAACCCCTGTGATGGATCTTGGTTACCGTCATGTCGTCCTGTTCATGTGAAGGGTTGAGGTGCGGGAGAGGAAAGTTTGGCGAGAATGAGGTAATTTACGCTAGGGTGCTTTAAGCTAGCTTAATTCTCGGTCTGTCGATCATCGAGCAGAGACTTGAGTTTCCCAACTCATCGTCAGCATCAACAACATCAGATGTGCATCACTAATTGTCAAATCTGGATTCTAGAGCAAGTGCTGACTGCGCAGAATTTTGCTTGCTTTGTTTCCGGCCAGGATCGGGATCCACCCTTCTCCTCGGGTCTGGCTCTCCTGATTCCCAATCACGAGTCGCTTTGAGGGAACCAAAACGCCCGAACTTCGGGCTTTCTCAACAGCAACACAATCCCGGAGGTTTGTTCATCCAGGTCCCGTTCGGGTTGCCCACTGCCTTGGGTTGACGGATAGATGCATATTGTGGGGCCTTTCAAGTGCAGCAGGATTTAGATGAAGTGAGGTATTTGCGCCAACCGGCACTTTAACGCGGGGAAAGGTACACCCGGTTTTGACATATGCATTAGTGCAAATCGTTGAACAAAGTTTTCTTATTGCCCATAGGGTGCCCTGATAGGTAATATGAAGGAGACCCAGAGCGCCTGACAAGCATGCATACCGAATTAATCCCGAATGTGTGGTGTACACTTCCACCAACGCCAATAAATAGAGGTAGCAAGAGAGCCATCGAGATACGGCGCCATCCAAGCGCCGTTCCCAGTTGTTGTCGTGTGGGGCTCGTTTACTTTACGACTTCCGGATGATGGAAACCAAGTAGTTCTCCCCTCCGACACCAACAGCATGGACCATGACATCTTCCCCGAACGCCCAGTCAGTCTGGCCAGTAAACTCATCGAACTCCGCAAAGCTGTCCTTAGACACATCCTCGTCCAATAAGCAACTAAGCGCCTTTGCCTTTGCCTCTTCCATGTCCGTGAAGGTGCCCTCGAGGCTCGTATCGCGGGAGGCGCCGGAGCGATCGGTGTTGTAGTGGATCGTGGTCTGAAGTACATGGAATAGCTGCTCCTCAACCTTGCCGTCCTTGCCCGTCAAGTTGAGGTTGTTTGGCGTCGTCTCGAGAGCAACCTTGAACATCTCGCCTTCTGGAGCCTTAGCAAAGACGAAGACACCATCTCCATGTTTCCAATCCTCGGGAGCTTGGCGAACGTCATACACAGTGAACCACTCCTTCTCGTATCCTTCCTCTAGAAGAGCATTCTTGGCCGCAGCTTTCGCCTTGGACAGGTCGGTGTATGTGCCGCGGATATCAACCTTTTGGAGAGCACCGGTCGCGTCGTTCTTGATATCGACAAGGGTGCGCTTAATGTGATAGAGCATATCACCCATCGTGCAGCGTTGATTATATTGCTGAGTAGGTTGAGAAGAACTGAGCACTGTTAGCTAAGTCGTAGCGGACACACTCGCCAACTTACAAAGTTCTTAGTGTGTGTGTGTGTAGTTATTTTGTCAAAGTCTCGAGGCTCCTGGTAGGGCAGAGGATATATGTACTAGAAGGTTCTACCTACGATAGCCGGCAACGTCATCGTGGTACGATAGTTGGATCAACATTAGAAATGTCGTTTGCCCAGGCGTTTGCTCCATTCTCGTGATTTCGACATTGGCCCATGGGGTGACCGGCGGTGAACAATTGAGAAGTTCAGTCAGTCCACAACTAGCTGTTTCGTTCACCAATGCGATCAGATTAGCAAAGAGCGTGCTTTGAAAGGTGACACAGTACCGCGTGATCGCGGAAGTAGAGGCTAATGAAGATGAATCGAAGAAGAGTAGATGACTATAATGAGTGGAGTGAACAGAAAATACGGGAATGCTGCTTGAGGTCATGGCATTTGGATTGAGGGGTGAGTCACGAGGTGGACAATATGCGCCACCCCCACTCGCCCTTGCGGCTCACCTTGAGCCTCATTGTAATGAATCTTCAATTAAAGTGTGGCGAAACTAAACACTACATGTGCATTCGAACAGAGATTCTAAAACAAATCACTCCGCGAAAATGTTATTCGACAAGAGTGCCAGATTCACTTTGAGGGTCAAGCTGGCCGACTTAACCTTCGTTGATTTTGGGATGTATGGCATTCAAGCTTTGCTGGGAACAGAATCCCTTACAAACGATCCGGATCGGTAAGATTCTCTCTTTAGGTAATTACAATCTTAGAACCCGTCTTGAAGGTACACTTGCACTCAAGAAGATCTCCGAGATTGATCAAGGACTCCCAGAACTGTGCTCTCTCTTTAACAAGAAGATGAATCGCGTTGGTACCAGGACAAGAAATGCACGGAAATGACAAAGAGTGTATAAAAGTAAATATAGTTTTACTAGGAGCTTTGATGCTCAAGTCAAGACGTGATGATTGGCGGGTATCCTTGAGGAAAGCCCAGGCACGTTATGCAGGTTCCGCTCCGCACGTGGGTGAATCGTGCTCCGGCACCCTCTAGTTTTGCGGTAGCCATTCCTCCTCCCTACCACTCAGCTTTCGTATCAAGACGAGCAGCTGTCGTCCCGCTGATGCCATTCGCTAATGTCCTGCTATGATGGCGGTGTTGTCGCTGAAGCGGCGTGCTAAGAGAGCCCGGCACACGAATAACAACTGTTTCTTTTGCCAGCGCGGACGGGACGCTTGAACAACGGCACCAGCTCAATTACTCCCCGTTTCTAAAAGGCGGCAAGGAGCGGAAGACGAAGCTTGTGAGGCGTGCGTCGGTCGCGGGCGATATTCGTCTCACCCTACCAGGCGGTAGTGAGCAAAGTGACATCCTGAGGTCCAAGGTAGGGGTGCCACGAGAGCCTTTATCAGTCTTGGGGTTTCGGGTCTGCTTCGGAAAGATACAATCTGCAGCGCATGATACTATCATGCGAAGCGACAAACGCCTGTTGGGCAGTCAAGATCTGAAATTCGAGGCGACGGGCGCTTGCGTGTGAGATGGCAGGCGTTGCGATCCTTTCCCGGTCATCAATGGCGGCAGAACCCCACGATGGCACGCCAAGCAGCAGTCTCAGATGTCTCTCTGCCCACAGCGCTTAGGTAAATGCGCTTCTCAGAGATAAGAAATATTCTGCAAGGCGTCGTGCAAATCGCGTAACCACACTGCTTTGTATGCAGCTTATCACAGCGATTGCTACATATATTATTGTTTATTCGGCCGGCTACTCCGAGCCCTAGCTCGCTCACACTTATTTGTTACTTCGTTCCAGAATTTATTTAGTTCGCCGCGTGTCAGCTTGGCGACTTTGCTTCTCTGTTTTCTTAAACCTGGATAACCCCAACGTCATTTCCGTTTGTCCTAGCTGACGGAAAGTAAAGTAATTGGGGAGTGGCGAGGACTGGGCATAAATAGTTTCTGCTTCTGTCGATTCCGATCTTGATTCCGAAATGGTGTCGGGAGGCCCCCTGACAGACGAGAAAATCAGCGTGGAGGAAGAATTTGAGAAGAGAAGAGGGACAATCGTCAGCGTCGAAGATGGAGTAGCACTGAATGCCTCGGGACACAAGGATCAATTGAAGCGACAATATGGGCTTTTTGGAATCTGCGGATTGGCATTGTAAGTGAATAAGATGAAGGGCTGCAGAAGCTTTCTAACACTGTTGTTGCAGAAACATTGACAATGCTTGGATAGCACTGGGTGGTTCCGTGACATTAGCAATCGCAAACGGTGGGGCTCCAGGTGTTCTCTATGAGCTCATTGTCGCCTGTAGCTATTACGGCGTTGTCGCAGCCTGCATTGCTGAGTTAGCCTCAGCTATACCATCGGCTGGTGGTGTCTACCATTATGCCTCTGTCACACCTGGTCTAAACTACGGCCGCGTCTTCGGGTTCTTTGCTGGTTCTCTCAACTTCTTCGGATGGCTGTTCGACTATGCCGCGATCACACAAATTGTTGCAAACATCTGTGTTCAGCTATACCTCATCTTCCATCCAGACCTTGAGATCCAGCCGTGGCATACCTTTGTCGCATATGTCCTCATTACTCTGCTTGTCGCCTCTGTATGCATCTTTGCTAATCGGAGCATTCCAACCCTCCAACATATTGGTCTGATGTTGGTCGTCGTGGGAGGGTTGGTCACTGTTATTGTGCTTGCTGCTATGCCGAAAGTTCATGCAAGCAACTCATTCGTCTGGAAAGACTTCGATAACATCACCGGGTGGCCAGATGGCGTGGCCTTCTTGACCGGAGTGTTGAATGGTGCCTTCACAATCGGGACCGTTGATGCCATCACACATCTTGCGGAGGAATTCCCGAACCCGAAGGTTGATCTTCCTAAGGGTGTTGCGGCGCAAATCATCTTGGGATTCTTGAGTACATCTATCCTCCTTTACAACACTTGATACTATATTCTAACGAATCTCTACAGCCGCTTTCTGCTTCGCCATCGCCCTCTTCTACTCCATCAGCGACCTCGACGCTGTCATCAACTCCAACGGCGCCTTCCCCCTCGCAGCCATCTACTCTCAAGCCACTGGGAACAAAGGTGGAACCTTCGGCCTACTCTTCATCGTCCTATTATCGCTTCTCATCTGCCTCGTCGGCACCCTCCTAACTTGTAGCCGAATTTGGTGGTCCCTCGCCCGTGACAACGCAACCCCCTTCCCACACTTCTTCTCCAATGTCAACGAGAAGCTCAGTTGTCCGATTCCTGCGGCTCTCCTTTGCTCCGTCATCTCGATCGGTCTCGGCGCAATTACTCTAGGCAGCAAGACCGCATTCACGGATCTCGCGGGCTCTTTCATCATCCTCACCTCGACATCGTACGCTCTCGCTATCGGACCGAATCTCTTCACGGGACGAAAGAACGTCCCTGCGGGTCCATTCCACATGGGTTCTGTAGGTTTCGTGATGAATGCTTTGGCGGTGCTATTTATCATATTCTTCAACATTATGTACTGTTTCCGTAAGTACCACCCCTTATTCCCAACAATTTAGTGAGAATCAGCTAATGAGGAGCCTAGCCTTCGGCATTCCTACAACCGTCTCATCCATGAACTACAACAGCGTTATTCTCGTTGGCGTCACTGCTCTGACTACTATATGGTGGTTTATTCATGGTTCGAGGAAATATCCAGGTCCGCGAATGCAGCATATGTTTTTGGATGGTATTGAGAAGTCATAAATTACGTTGCTTTGGTGGCGATTGTGGGGTTGTTTGGATTTTGGGAGGTGTGGTGCGGCGTCTATCGAGAGTGGATAGGTGATATACTATGGGTGGCGTGTCTGCTGGGGGATTCAATATACCCTACTTTGAGTTAAGATACCTCATTTGCTAAAACTTAAGAATACACTCTCTCAACCCCATAAACTGACTTGATGCCGCAACGGTGCCACTGTCACGCATTCATACGTGAAGGCTGTATGAGGCTGCAAGTCTTTCGCGGGTTTCGACCTGAGAATTTTATATGATAGAACTTGCTCAAGATTTATTTCGAGTAGACAGGTGTATCATCCGGTGGTTTTCCTGTATTTCAGTAGCCGTTTTTGCTTTCGCTTCACTGATGATATTCTGGGGCTTGCACTCACATGCTTTAATCGGCGGAGGGCAGAGCATTGCGACTGGACTGAGACTGAAAATGAATCATTGTTGTAGATACCAGCGTGAATGTTAAACAAATGCCACCACCCAATTCCCACCATACCTGCAGAATATCTGCCCCTGTCACCAACCTCACTCATCCTCCAGATACTCAACCTATGCTTCAGTCTCATCTCCCTCAGAATCAATAACATTACCAAGGCCAAATAGGCCTGCCTCAAGCCCACCTTCTTCCTCATATTCATCCCAAGAGTACTCATACTACTCCTGCTGTCTTTCCCGTTCCCTGATAAAATCCTCCACATTCTTAAAACTCCACATCGGGACTAACCACCCTGCACACTAAGATCTAACCTATTACGTCGCATTCCTTATCATCAATCGGGCCCTCAGAGCGATACTCTTCATGTCAGTCATGTAAACAATAATCGAAATCTGCTATATGAGGGCTCAACAGTGGCTCAGCGATGCTGAGAAGCCTCTTCTAGGATCTCAGTTTGTAAACATACGTGTCTTCTAACCGAATGAGGTGGCGTGGTAGGTGAGGAAGGCGATAAGATCGACTTCACTGGTGTCTATGTGCATAATAGATTGGTGCTTAAGACAGGGCCAGACTTATTCGTCGGTTGGAAACACATGGCATACGTTGGTGGCGTAGATCTCACCTTCGCCTCCCTCCTCGTGTATGTCGAGTTTTAGCATTTGCAGGATTATGAAAGTGCTGAGAAATTGCTTGAGTGAACCGTGGATGAGCGCAAGAAGACTCCAAGTTGTTATTTTTTGGAAAAGCGATAGCCCCCCATTCTTCTCTCCAAAAGGTTAGGAGCGAGGTCCAGACTTGTGATATATTTGGTGCTAGCCGCTCTGGTGTGATGCCCCATAAAGTTACAAGATTTGAAGACCATCCAGCCGAACCGACCGGCAACAAGTCCGTTCTGGATAGGCTATTAGATAGCATCAATACCGTGGCCTCTATGCTAGCAAGACCGTTCACCAGACTGTCTTGGGGAACAAGTTGGCTTCGAGTGTAGGCTTCTTCGGCTTCGTGTTCTGGGGCGTAGTAAGAATCTCTTTCCGGCACGAATTCTCTATGTATATGGTCTAACCTTCTATTCATGATCTGAACCGTCTTCATTTTACAAATTGTGAAATAATTTCTCGGAAGTTTATGTCGTTCAAAATTTCCCGTTTTACAAGATCAGTTGGATTTCCTCCGCCCTCTACTTTCGTATCACCGCTGCCTGTAATAAAGCACATGGGCCGCTATATTCCTCAGTTCGGAATAGCACCCGTGGACGCAGACTTTCATTGAAGCTTATCGGCCTTGACTTGGGGGTCCACGCGTCACCCAAATTTGGTCATCAGATTTCAAAGGAGGTTGGATTCCAGCATCAGAAACTTCTCTTGTTTATATGTCTGGATAGTCTTGACCCGAGATGGTGGAGTCAATGACTTCTAATGCTTCCTCCCACTATACCCACGCGTTAGGGTCGGAATCAAGGTCCTTGGTTCAAATCCCAAATCGGCGTCATACATCTTATTCACGAGACGGTAATTGTATCACTCCCCGTAGTCAAGGTGAGAGCAGATTTCATTGTACGGCTCCACCAGCAGGGCGGAGATCGAGGCCAGGCTGTTGCGAGCGCGTTTTCTGGCTCTAACATATTCGCTGCGTCGGGGTCGCTTTCGTGGTGGCATCTTGTCTGTGGCGGGGATGTCCTGAAATAAGGGAAATTGGAATCGAGCTCCAAAGGTGACAATTGAAGGATTCTAGGTTCATGGGTATCCAGGGAAGGAAGGTGTTATTTTAGTTAACGGCCCTGTCTCTTTAGAAAACTAACATCGCTTGTGGAGGCTATCAGCAATGAGTAGATGCCCCCCCAAAAACACAGTTCAACGAACATTCAGTTGTAGCATTCCAGAAGATTATAGGAACTAGACGCGTATCTTCCACATTAGGAGATGACGCATTTTAAGTTCGAAAATCATTTCCACACAAGACGTACAGGTGACTTGCGACACCTAGAACATTCTTCAATCGCGTCATCATGTGTCTAACTTTCCACTTGCTCCCTCATTAATTCCATCCGTTGGGAGAATAGAGAGGATTTTATTCTCTGCTTAACCTTGAAGAGAGATGAAGCCACCTACTCCTTATAACACTAGCGTTGGTGCTCAAGGACAATGAAAAGCTCTATAAGAACGATACCGGGATACATGAACGGCGACCGCACACCTTACATACAAAGACTTCATTACATTATATACTTTGCAAGTCCACCGAGATGCATTTCGGTGGGGGTATCAATACATACTCTCGACTAACAGAAAGCCTAATCAACCCCAAGCTCTACCCTCCCAGCTTCCGAGCTTCGTCGTTTCCTCAAACAATTTGAGTCCATCCGGCGGGCAGCAAAACGGAAAGCGGGAAAGCACAATATATGCTGTTGAGAATTATAAATCCTTCCTTTCACCAATCAATTTTCTGGCCCGTTGAAGGGGACCTAGGAAATGGAGATGAACATGAACATGAAAGAGAAAGATGGGAAGAAAATCGCTTTGATATTTCTACCATACTACCACTCCTGTCGCTCATCTGCGCATCACCCCTTCGTATCTCAGCCACTCTCACCCCACAACCGTGACTCCAGAAGTATGACGAGGTGCATACACGGCGTATTCCGGCGGCAGATCTTCTCTCTCATGAGCATACGGGTTCGGTGGCGCCACGCTCCTCGGGGTGAACATGCTATCAGCCTCGCGGGCTACGGAAGCTTCCACGCTCCGGGCCCTTGCATTCTCGTTTCCGGTGATGCTTCCTTCGGCACAGATCTGAATGGGTACTTTCAGGTGGACTGAAGGGTCACTGACGCCTGGAGCGTGGATCGAGAGCTGGAGTGAGAGTCCATAAATGCGAGAGATGAGGCAGGTGTGGAAGGTGGGGATGAAGTTCTTGTTGTTGGGGAGCGTGATTGGGACGAGGATTTTGGCTGTATAGAAACTTCCGCCCTGATAGTTCTTCGGCTGTGTCAGGATCCCAGCGTTCCGAGCATTGTTTGCCGAGGTCGAGGAGCAGTCCGAGATGCCAGAGTCGCGGCGTTCGATGCTGTCATCCAATGCCGGATTGCTGGCAGACGTGTGCTTCTTCCATTGTGCGGAACCAACGCATAGCGAAGATAGAGAAACACTTTCTTGGTACACTCCCTGTGTGAGGTCGATTCCAAGCGAAGCCCGAGCGGGGAAGTTCTGCCTTGGAGCTGAAGCGTAGAAAGTAGAGACCTTCATTTTCGTCGCCAAGGACCCTAATCTCGGTGGCGCATTGCTCTCATCTGCGGGGTCGAACCGTAGCAGAACGGTGGCCATAGTTGTTATCTGTGCATTTGGGACACTTCGGGCTCCTGGGATTACTAGAGGCTTCGGCTGAGCGCTCTGGGCTGTTAGAGTACCAAGTTTACCCTTGAAGAATCCCTTTCTGATAACCTTCTCGTGGCGGATGCGGTATTCGGGGTCGAATGGATCAACGTTGAGTGGGGGTTGCTCCTCGAACGCTGGCTTGACGCGGACCTTTTTCATCTTTTCTGCTATGAGCGACACAGCGCCGTCGGCTTCCCGAATCTGCGTTATCCGAGCCTTGATGCCGTATATGATTTTGCTCATCTCTGGGGCTAGATCATCCAGCAGTGCGCCGCTGTGGCCGGCTAGGTCCGGGTCTCCCAGACTTGGTGGTAGCATCAGATGAGTCTCGCGGACGTGATCCGAGGCCACTGTGTGGGGGCAGGCTCGCGGAAGAAGCTGGCTTGGTATTGTAAAGATGAATGGAAAGACATATTTCTTGCCCGCTACTAGGCTCCTTGGCTGAGGGAGGTCGGCTTCATTGATTGGTTGCTTGAGGGTCAGAAATCGATGTGTGGCTTCGGTGCGGCCTGATATCGATGGGGTGGTGGTGAGCCTGTCGACGAAGACTTGGCTTGTGCCTGCGTCATACCATATCAGCTTCCCGAAGTCGCCAAGCTATTGGCAGTGGAATGACGGATACTCACCCGTGAATGCGATTTCGATATCTTCGAATCTCGTATCGTGGGCGGCGGTCACGGACACTGTTCCCGTGATGGTGTCCATGGTGGAGTAACTGGTCACATAGCGGCCGGTAGGCCCATGGCCACCGTCGAGGTTGATTTCGATCTGTGGTTGGCCATAGTGAGCAATGTTTCGAACTTTGTAGCCAATCTGGTTCCCAATTGACTGCATGGAGCTGGAATGCATCGAGGCGCCCGATGGGGAGGGCATGTTGGGCCGATTGTTGCCTTTAAGCTATCGAAGGACAAAGGGCGGATGTATTACAACAGCGCCAAGGAAAGCGAGGAGATTGAATGCGGAGAATCCCCTATGGAACTGGGGTACAAACAGTGGAATAAGAGACTCTTGCTGGGTTCAGATGCGTGAGACAGGAGAATAAGGCTCCAAGAACGAGGCACCAGTCAGACTTATACGCTCCAACAGCTTCAGATGATGCACTTGAGTCATCCCGGCGGGTGAGCTATTGCGGGACGCTTGCAACATGCATGTGGATGAAGTGCATGCAGCTGGAGAAGGGCTTGGTCTTGGCCGACGGGGAACGACGCAGGGTGGGGACGTTGACAGGGCGTGCGGATTACAGATGACTGCTGCAGCGGGCCAACCAGCGCCTGCTCTTCACAGGCACTACACCCAAATGGGCCAGATTCACGCCTTTGGTACATCAAAAGTCAGCGCTCTGTGCGAGGCATCCATCAATTCAGACCCAGACGCCATCGTCTCAGTTCTCCGTATCGTCGTAGTCCCAAAGTCAGGCTTTCAGGGCCGTCATCCCAGCAATGAAGAGCGCTGATCGCCAATGGAAAGTTTAGGCCGAATCAATGAAACTATTTGTCAGCGGCGAACTCCCTCAACAATGTACGTTAAGTATACACGCTTTTTAGCACGCCATATGGATATCGCATGTACATAGGTGTGCGAAATTTTTAGCTTGCAACGCTGCTATGCTATTAGATAGAAAGCTTCTATGAATCGAAGGATGCGTCCTAGACCAGAGCATCATGCTGCAAAGAGAGAATGTCAATTTCCAGGCAGAATTTCCTCCCGCCCATTGAATGACTCCTGCAGCATTCATTTTGGATTTCCTGGGACCAGCATCCTCCTGCAGCGAAGAATTTTCTCCAATGGAAGAATTGGGAGCGATATTCAGTTTTTTGCATCCTCGCAGAACTAGCCTAAAATTTCTTCAACCCACACGCCTGGCGTCGAGTTGTTGCCGTTTAGTGGTCCAAGGTGTCGAGTTTCAAAGCATGTGGCTTTGGCGGAGGGCGTGAGGTTGCTAGGAAGGGCGGCCGGAAGTATTAAGCTGCCCTCAGACTGACCACTCAGAGCAGTGGGTGAGATGATATGGGCCGATGTCGCTTCGGGATGAGTTCCATGGTTGGATCATTTCAATTCCGATATGCTTATTCCGAAATACTAGTCTGACAAACGTTTCTCCGAGCATCTGCCACGGCAATGTGTAAGCAGAGAGCCGTGGAAAAGCGAGCAGAGGTCGTCACGACTGACCAGGTTCTAACAGTCCAATACTAAGACTGGATATTGGAACACGTTGCAGATCTTGAAGTTGTGAGATGCTTGAATCATGACAGGCTCCGTGATACATGAAAGGATGAATGTGCCTTAGAAGCAATCACTATTACTGTACGATGTACCGAGCAATCTAATCTAATTCGGCCCGTAAGACCTAGTGTCTGGAACCAATATTTCTTGGATTCGGATACAGTTCCTAGCACAACTCCCTGCTCTGGTGTATCCCGGTCTCGGCAAGTACCGATACCCGTATGTATGACCCCAGCCCACATGGCATGCATAGTATGAAGGGAAGTGAGATGAGAAGTTTGATAAATAATGATGCGGGGATACGAAATCTGGGACCGAAACGGCTACCTTGAGCGCTTTCAAGTGGCGTTCCCTAAACCATGACGGCCTGTGCTTCAGTGTTTCAAGGTGGCACTACCTCGTCAAGCTTATTAGATCCTCGTTTCCACTCTGATAATACCTCCAATTGTATATCTTTCGGGAGGTCTATCATCGAATATGGGGGCCTCCATCCGAAACACCATTCGTCCATCATGACGTGACAGAAAGCAATCTTTAAGATCCAACAGCAGTTCCAAAGTCTCTAAGAACTCTCCTGGCTCCTCAAACAGAGCCGTCCAACTCTCTGTCGCCGTCGTGTTTCTGCATGAAAAGCTCATCCTCTGTCTCAGCAAGACCAGCTGAAGGGTCGATACCAGCGTACAGCTCATGTGGAATAATCTTCATCACATCCTCAGACGATAGCCCAGCATGCCTAAACTGTTTTCCCATTCCAAGATCACCCCATTTCACACCGACACTGCAACTGATTAGCAGAACTCCACATGCACACAAATGGGAGTTTGGCTGACTTTGGGAAATCATCGAGCTGAGTCGTTGCCGCGCATAACGTCCTGATACTCCCGAACATCTGAGGAATGAAACCCTCGCGCTTGTATGTGAACGCCCACCAGCAAGTGGCGGTCATCACAAGGATTAGAAACGTCGCAGCCCACAATGGGTATGCTGCGTATGTTATCTGCTGAAGTAAGTAGTCTAGACGGGCTATCAGCCGCTAGGTGGACTGACTATGTATTTAGAATGTTCAACATGCCGACCAGGTATATCTTCCCTCCAAATCGCTTCCTGGGTCTGCAGTGCCTCTCCAAGCATCCAATGCGTCAAGACGCTGTACCCCATGATAGGGAATAAAATCTGCTTTGGTAGCTGAAGGAGATAGTCTTGCGAGAAGCAGTCTCCCTTGACGATCGTACATCGAAGGCGTCGCCGTTCCCATTCTAATTTTCCCCAATCATATTCTTGCGATATCTAGAAGAGAGTCAACCCAGCTCGCGATCGTTGCTTAAAGCCGGGCCTTCTTACTAAAGTAATATTGTAAATGAGCATTAGATAGAGAAGAGAATATATGAACTGAGCTCCGTTGGATCTGTAGGCGGTCAATGTTCTCTCCCCACAATTGAAGAGTGAGTCGGGTACATACATGCAAAAGCTAATTATCTCATTACCAAGGCGGTCGGGGAGAAGAGAAGCGACGGTTAAGGACTGGTTGAAGCCGCCCCAGCCTCCAGACACCTGATTAAACTGCGCCGTCGACGACATATTGCACCATTCATTATACCCTCGTTCAGAATACTCGTCACACTTTTGTTTGCCAGCAGTGTATTCTGACCCAGTGGCCACAGCGATGAAGATGGAAACCATCAGCATGCACAGGCTACAGAACATTAAAAGACACATCTGAGTGAGGGCGGTGTTTCCTAGGTTTGATATTAAACTCTTCTTGAATTTCGTCGCCATGGTAGGTTGCGGTTGGCTGGACAGCTTGCAGATTTTGTTCCACTTCTTACATTTTTGACAATGACCGATCTCGTCTGTCAGTCATTAGTCGTAAGAAGAAATGCGATATCAAAGTAACATACCACCAGTCTTGGACTCCTCCTTGCTCTTACAGTGTTTAGGGTGGCAAGTGTGCGACGTAGTCCGTCTATAAGAGTCACCTGCATTGACCAGGCATTCCCTTTCACCGTTAGCAACGAAGACATGGCCAGATCTAAGGGGACAAACCCTTGTACCCTCAGCTCCGGGTTCGAAGCAGACGCAACAAGAACATCTCCAAAAGTCAAACACTGTCGCTTCAACTTTCCCCGCGCAAGTAAATTGACACTGATCATGTAAATGGCTTTTACCGATAGGCCCGCAGCGAGAATAAATGCAGCATTCATCCGTACGTTTAAACGGCATAGTGTAGGTTTCGAGTCGAGGAGCGTGCAAGTCACCGAGCTACCCATTATACAATGACCATCCCGATAGACGATGCGATCATAATACAGGTTATAGGTCCATGAAGCTTCAAGCGCCCTGACATCGGTAGCTGTCTTTGCGAGGCCCGTGCAGTTTCTTTTGTCGTAATTCACGATCATCCTGGAGTGCTGCCTATTAAATTCACTAATTTCAGAACTGTAGCTAGTACTGTCGTCTTCTCCAAGGACCATAAGTGACACTGGAAAGTGGGCTTGTCCTGTCCTAAAGGCACTCCAGCAAACGAAGGAACCCGGATTTGAAATATAGTCTGAGCCGCCATATGAGTAGGTTCCAGTAAGACCTTTAAAAGTCGTTTCGTTGAATTCTATCGAAATCGGAGGCTCTAGAATATAGCTTGGCCCGATGAGAGAGTTGGCCAGGAAGTGGATGGGCAGGGAGGTACAGATGAGCAAAAACCAGGCCGACCAAGATTTTATTTTTCCTTCTCGTTTATGGTTTATGTTAAACGGTGAATTTGTCCCGACTCTTGAATCTCCGAACTTTTGAAGCATGTGCTTCAGATCATCTATGGTTAATGATGTGACCAGTTGCTGATAAGTATTGGACATGCCCAATATCATCGTGGCTGCTACATTAATAACGAGAAGCAACGCAGTATTGGTATGTGTGACTGATGTGCAATCTCTCGTCTGGCCTCCAACGGAACTGGTGAACTTATTTAGTCGGTTGTGAAACGGCTTCAGGTTGGTCGCAATAACAATAATCATCGCAACGGCGAAGGCGGTCGTAAGTGCAGCCATCCCTCGCAGGGACCGGTCTACTAGCAGTTGATCCTTCCATACTCCGCGACTGATACGGGTTGGGTGAATGTCTGCTGCAGGGTGTCTCCTGATTGAGCCTTGCATGTACCTTGGAAGCGGTTTCCTTCGAATTCTATTCCAGCCAATTTTGAGTTTCTCCAGATGGCTACTAGATGACGAAGAAGAAGAAGAAGCGCATGTCTCAAAGCTTTTTAGACTGGAGCCATCCCCGCAACCTCTTGGGTCCGCCGAAGTGTAGTTTGGGGGTGATGAGGATGAGGTTGAGAGTGGGTGAAGAGTCCATTGGGAATTGTATGAATCATATGTGATGCTACACAAGTATTTGGTTAGTAGCGCAGATAGGGTGAGCCCAAAAGTAGCTTACTCTGCTATATCCTGGGACTCATCTTGAAGTGGAGTCTCTTGAAGAGGAGGAAGCCGGTCATAACTGTAACTGCTTGCCATTGTTGCGTGCAAGCGAATGGCGTCACTATCTCGTGTTTCGGATCTCTGGATGCCTCTCCCAAACGAGTTCGGCAAGCATTAGGCCTACGTTGATATAGGCAGTGGTATGGTAGCTGTACTGGCAAACAGTCCCATCATCAGAACGAGGAATAAGGACAGCTAAAAAAGTGCGGAGGAATTGTAAGAAGGCTGGCGTTTCCGAGCCCCCGTCTCAGCATGAACCCCCAAGACCAACCCTTGCAGTCTTCCGCCAAGTGTTGCAGCCTGGAGAGCTTGTTTTGACGAAAATAGAACGCCGAAAGGCCAGTAGTCCAATGGAAGCTGACGGATCCACATGGCATGCGGGTTCCTGGGGTTTTGCTGAACTCCACTCCAATTTCGCTTGGGACTTCCGCCCCCACAAAGGTGGAAGTTCGGAATCCCCGATCATGATATTTCATCCTGATTCCTGACGAACCCTTTGAATCCTTCAATGAGTGAGACGGCTCACCCCCTCAAGTTTCGCCCGACATTGCGTACTCCCACCAATTTCTTTCTCTATTCTATTGAAGGCTCTGTACAGAGTACTTTGCCTCAGTTTCAAACTGTTTTTCGTACAACATCTGGCGAGTCGATTTGTGCCAATGCTAAGTGTGGCAGACCGCCACAAGGATTACGCGCTGTTGACTTCGTTATCAGAATTGCTTTACCAGTAGGAAAAAAAGCCAAAGCACAACGCGTTGCACCCACACAAGCCACCATATACCTTCGCACAACCTACACCCCAACTCACCTACAAGTCACCCCACGTGTGGGCCATCAATTCCGGATGTGATGCTACGCCTCTCAAGAGGGGATGAAGACGCTATGTAGTCAGGATGTGGCCAATTTCCACTAAACAAAGACCAAAGCTGGTAAGTAGAACATGCCAGCACCCATTGAGGCATGAGCAAGGACAATTTGATGTATTAAACATCATTGTAGAAGTAGGAAGGATGCTCAAAGGATGAAGATTTTGGTCTTCAGCTAGATCCTGTCCTATTCTGTCATAATTGCTAAAATTTGGCGTTCAACAAGCACTGTGACCTCTCATCCAACAATCATCAAAACTCTAAGAAGTATCGCCCATCTCCATCCAGCAACATTGAGCAAGACCGCCGCACTCGGCATGTCGGATGGCGTTGGAGTTGGTGTGGATGTACCTGATGGCTTTGGCTGATCTACTTTGACTGATCTGGCTGCTGCTGATCTATCCAGTACCCTGGCACGCAGGTGACAAAAACCAGCACTCATTACCGAGCAAGTTTCCCACCTTTTCATATCAACACAATGCGACTCCACAACCACATATTAAATTAATTAAATAATGTAGAAATACCTTCTCCTCGTTAATACAAACACAACAATACCCCAACTAAAGCACAAGTCTGCGGGGCGGCGAGTTCTTAGAAGCCAAATGCATTCAGAATACAAATATATCCGTTTCGCCGTGTTAGGGTCTACAAACGTCAGGGCTGGGCCATGACCCAGCACGACCATATCAACCAGACTCTTAAGCTTACTATAAAGCCTTAGTTAAAGGGCCCTGGATTTATCCTAGACGAAGACGGCACTCTGGGTATATCTCTAGCAGGCCAAATATAGTGCAAACCTAGAAGAAAAAGCATGTTAGAGCACTACTTCAACTGTCACCTTCCTAATTTGTCTCCTATTGAAAACCCCCGACAGCCTCCAAGGCAGTACGTCAAGAAGATTCCTTATTTTGATGAAACCGACACCAGAAAACTAGCTTTTAAAGGGTAGGAGAAGGTTTCTAAGAAGCGTATTAGTGCGAGGATTCATTCTATGCCTTAAAGGCTCAAGGATTGTTACTCTCTCAAGAAGATTATATAGAGAAATTATATACATGCGAAAAGCTACATGCGATTATTGGTTTAAAATGACGTTGCGTAATTGATTTAGGTGAGGATTATTTCAGAAGGGTTGGTGCCAAGCATTTTGGAGAGCGGGTTTTTTGGTGCCGTTCGCAATGTCATTGTTCCCGACACATGATAACCCCCTCACTCGCCGTCACCATGCCATCGTTTGTGCCATTCTTACTCCAAGTGACTACAATTAGCATGTGCGCATTCTTCACAAGCCGATTGTAAGGATCAAATTCATCTTAGGACTGTGTCTAGTTTTGGTGGAGGTGAAATACATGAGGGCTGATTGAGCGCCTCTTCGATTTTCTTTTCTGCCATTGTAGACTCCATTTTCAATATTTTTTTTTTGGGAGCCACGAGTGAGAGCCAGAAAAACGTCAGTCGTGGGTAAGGTGCTAGTGGAGAACAGTGGAGAACGGTGGAGAACATGAAGGCCCATGCCACTTACGGAACATGCCGGCTTCATAATAAATGTTGCTGCACTCGACTGGCAAAGAGGAACTGAGATCGGAGCAGGTGACATTCATGGAGAGGCCACCAATTGTCGAACGCATGGAAGAGCAAGTTGCAACTTTTGTATGAGGGATCCCACGAATTAAGGTTATCAGAGCTGTAAGTATGGACCCAAAGGGTTTATTAAGCGTCTCCTTTCTGTTGGTAGCCAGAATGCCAGGTCCAGTATCCAAATGACGAGCCGATAGATGTAGAACCAGCGTCATCTTGGGGGTCAGTAGCGTTGAAGTTAGATTTAATTGAGTTGAGGACAGGGCTTTATTTCCACACTGAGCCATCTAACGCAGAAGTGAGAGAGTAGAGAGGTAAGAATAGGAATGATGGTTAGGGAAAGGCGTTCGGTTCGACGCATGATGGTGTATGACAAGAATTAGGAAATGTAGAGAACGGGAATTAGGATTAGAATCGCAGGTACCATACTTAGGATTCTAGTATTTGTGAGAGTTAGTGAACCAACCCTAGCTATACGTTATGTATCCCTACCCTCATTGAACGGGCCTTTAAACACCTTTACTTAGGTGTAGAGCTGTGCCTCAAATGCAAAGCCTTGTTGCTAGATTGAACATTAGCAGATGCAATAAGTGACCATCGTAAGATGTCACCCGGCACTTAGGTGTCTATATTGCCTAATAGTACTGACGCCTGCCACTGATGGCTGCTGTTTGTCCTCTCCGAAGGAGCTGAACATTGATGTTGCATCGAGGCGCCCAGCGTAGTTGGCCGAGGCCAAACGGCATTCGGTGCCCCAATGAATGATGCCGTCTTTCAATAAGACTTGGAAATGCAGGCATCATGATGCGAAGAACCAAAGTTGACGGAGGTGCAAACCTCGAGATGCAAAGGTCGGAGGTGGGGGATGCGATCTCCGCGACCCCGGAATGGGGAAAGCGCGGAAAGCGCCGGCTACATTTAAGAGTGGCCCATGCTCTGTTCATCCTCGGCTTAAGCTCACAGCCAGCATCTTCCGCAGTGCCTAGTGTTTTCAACTTTTCACGCTTGCACCTCTTTCTCTCCTGTATTACTCTCCCACATAAATACGGACAAGATGGCCTCTATCACCAAGGCTCTCAGGCCCCTTGCACGCGCTGCTACGGCCTCATCACGACCGCTGCGACCTAAATTCTCAAGAACGGCCCCGCAGTATGCCCCCTGCCCTTCCCCACCCAGTACGGATGTCGAATGCTAATTGACTTCTGTGAAGGTTACGATGGCTCTCAGCGTCTGTTCCCCGACGTGATATGGACATTTCGGATATCCCTCCCACGCCCATCACCCACCTCTCGGAGACCGAAGCCCTTATGGCAGACTCGGTATCCAAATTCGCCCATGATGCAATTCTTCCAAAGGTCCGAGAGATGGATGAAGCAGAATCAATGGATCCAGTTGTAGTGGAGCAGCTCTTCGAGCAGGGTCTCATGGGCGTAGAGATTCCGGAGGAATATGGTGGATCGGGAATGAACTTCACTTCAGCAATCATTGCCATCGAAGAGTTAGCGAGGGTGGACCCCAGCGTAAGCGTGTTGGCTGATGTGCACAATACGTTGTGCAATACTGCAATTCTGAAGTATGGTTCTGAGAAGCTCAAGAAAGAGTGGCTGCCGAGGTTAGCAACAAACACAGTTGGTAAGACATCTTCGTGTTCGAGAAAATCCCCAAAAGAGATAAGAACTGACAGGTGTAGGATCCTTCTGCCTTTCGGAACCAGTATCAGGGTCGGATGCCTTTGCCCTCGCCACCAAGGCTACTCGCACAGAGAATGGGTACAAGATCAACGGGAGCAAGATGTGGATAACGAACAGCGTGGAGGCCAACTTCTTCATCGTGTTTGCCAATCTAGATCCGAGCAAGAAGTACAAAGGGATTACAGCCTTCATTGTAGAAAAGAGCACGCCCGGCTTCTCCATTGCCAAGAAGGAGAAGAAGCTCGGTATCAAAGCTAGCAGCACCTGCGTGATCAACTTCGATGACGTGGAGATACCTAAGGACAATCTTCTTGGAGACGAATTTGAGGGCTACAAGTATGCAATTGGCCTTCTGAACGAAGGGCGCATTGGCATCGCGGCACAAATGACGGGCCTCGCCTTAGGGGCTTTCGAAAATGCAGCTGGGTAAGTGAAGACAACCCTCGAGCCTCTTCTGCATTTCTGATAATGATTAGCTATGTATGGAACGATCGCAAGCAGTTCGGTCAGCTCATCGGTGAATTCCAAGGTATGCAGCACCAGCTAGCCCAAGCTTGGGTTGAAATTCAGGCTGCGCGCGCACTAGTGTACAATGCTGCGCGCAAAAAGGAAGCGGGCGAAGACTTCGTGATGGATGCCGCCATGGCTAAATTATACGCCTCGCAGGTCGCCGGCAAAGTCTCGGGTCAAGCCGTTGAATGGATGGGAGGCATGGGTTTTGTGCGAGAGGGACTAGCGGAAAAATACTTCAGGGACAGTAAGATTGGAGCAATTTACGAGGGGACAAGCAACATTCAACTAACAACGATTGCGAGACACTTGCAAAAGACCTATACGAGGTAGGTAAGATGAGGTGTTGTTTGTTTTGGGTGTTCGTTGGATTTCCCTCTTGGGATGCAACTGCATAGTGGCTCTGGATGATGGACGAATTATGTGTATTGTAGAAAGAAAAGAAAATGGGCAAGAGGGGTTTTTTTTTTTTGATTTTTTTTGAGAAGATATGCGTTTCACAAGTCGGGCACTTAAACCGGCAGTTCGTAAAATATCCCAGAGCCTTGGGCGACGCAAGGTGGAGAGACCGATCGCAACCGAAGGGGCCAATATCAACACTGTGCTTCGCCTTACCCGGTTCCTGACGAGACCCAGTAGACTGGGTAAGCGGTTGTGAAAGCCTTTTTTCAGGACCGCCACAACAAATGGATTCGTCTGTGAGAGCCTAGTCTCTCTTGAATTTCTCCATTGGTTTCTCCGAAGCGCCTTGGATGCAGCTTGCTAAATTGAGCTGGCGTTTCTGACATCTTGGTGTCAAATGTTGAAGTTTTCAAAGCGCCTTCGTATATGCACTGAGACCGTTAGAGCAAGGCGTCTCACCTTGACGGATCCCTGAATCAAATGACATGACTTCCCCAAACGCTCAAATCGCCCTGAGTGGACGCGTCTCATATCCATCCAAGAACCTCAGACCCAGGCAATGAGCCAGTATTGGCTGCGATCGGTTAGCAGAAGTTGGTTTTTTTGGTTTTTTTTGGTTTTTTGGGGGGGAGGGGGCTATCCAGGAGCGAAAAAGCATCTGCAGAAGGTGAGTTTGGAATTTACTGTGCCAGATATCGAACCATGCCATGAATCATCTCCACTTTGTGCAAAAGCATCGGCAGTGAGGGCGAGCGGGTTAGTTGCCAAGGCCCAAACGGAACGGTTCTTCAGCCCGGTTGAATATCTTGACGGCTCTTTAGCAGCAGCAGGGCCACGAGAATTGTTCGGCTTTCAGGGTCCATATAAAAATGATGTGTGGGATCGACACTGGGGTGGATGGAAAGCTATATTAGGCTTAGCGCCTCGATGGAGGGTTGAGCGACAGGCCCCCCTCTACACTGCAAAACAGAGCCTCCTCTATGACATGGCCATTCCAGAGTTTTAAACTTCGTCGAAGACGCACGGCAGGTCGCTAACAACGTCACCGTTGTGGAATCGGATGGCGACGCTGGCTGTGGCTCCTCCCGCAAGCCTCACAGCGCCTTCTCAGACCTTAATTCAGGCCTTCTTCAGGCTCCCGATACCCGGCGGGTTCCACTCTCCTGCATCAGCCCACAATGGAGAGACTCTGACTGCGCCAAAATACCAGCTACCCATGCCCTTCGAACGCCCACTCTCGCGCCAATTCCGCTTGCTCCAAGGGCTCGGCTGCACTCGGTGTCATGCCCGAGTCCCAGAGAAAAAGGCTCACTGACGCCCGCCGACATGCTGGTATACCTATGACGGCACCCCCCAATTCACCCTCATTCTTTTTGCACAGGGACCTTGACCCTGCTCCCTATTTTCGCTCTCTGTACTGGTCAATTGCTTCGTCAGTTTTATCCTTCTTTTCACTTCTCGTCTATCCTCCGTCCTAGCTCTTCATGCTTTGAAAATCTCTGCATGCGTGACGATCCCCTCACCGCATCACACGTCACTGCCAGGTCAGCAAATCAATTCACTGCATAGCCGCGTGGCATGACGCCCACCACTGCTTAGCTTTCCCGCAGTCAATCGGAAACACATCAGTGCGGGGATTTCTATTTGCCATTTCGTTCAATATGTCGTCCGGTGCCTCCGCCACCGATCCTCATCGACATGCACAGTACACCTACATTCCTAAGATGGAGAACATCCTGCCACCCAGCATAGCGAAGCTAGAGAGACCACTGCCGCACACTCCAAAAACTGACCAATCTATGAGCGATAGCTTCATCTTGGAGCATCGACCGCAGAGCCCACAGATTGTTCAAGGCCCGCGGAGCCCAGCCATCGAGCTTGAAGAAGCACATCCGCCCATGCCTCCTACGAAGGATGAAACCCTTACCCCGCTCTCAAACTGGGCGCATTTGTCACTTATTAAGAACCAACGGAATTCTCTTCGAACTGAACTTAGTGCTCAGCAGGTTGCGGGTGCTGAAGCGAAAGCCTCAGTCGCTGCCCTTCGCCGACTCGCGTTCCGCCTTGCCGTAAACATATCAGTCAAGGAAAAGCAGATTGCCAACACAGCAAGAAATTTAGCTCGTAGCAGAAAGAAAGATTATATATCAACACGCAATGCCGATAAGAGAATTGAAATGCTTTCGAAGGGCTGGAAGGAAGAGGAGCGGAGGAACAGGGAGATATTAGAGAGTTTGGAGAAAGCTGCTATGCTGACTCTACAATGTATTTGATTCATCATCTTAATACGATCGTCACTAATTTCGACAGACGCCAGTCCTAACCCCCAACCGATTAATCGGCTTCAGCCAAGTCCCTTATCTCCACCACCGTCACCACCAACCCGTGTCTCGAGCCTGATATACCATCCCTCTTCGTCTCCCAAAACACCAACGCATTCTCCAGCCTCCTCAATATCATGGGAATCCAAAAGCTTCCACTACACTCCAGACGACATGATCGAGATACGTACCTCGAACGACCGATTGATACGAGCCAAACGCGAATCAGATCACGCGCTTCTTGTATGCCGAAGCCGTATCGAGGCGCTGCAAGCTGACTGTCTGCGGAGCAAGGAGAGTGCAAGAGCTCTAGAGATGACCCGGGTGGGACTTGAAGAGGATATATTAAGCTACCAGTCTCGTGTCTCAGCCTTAGAGCAATCCAAAGCCGCAGTTGAGGAAATCCTTCGTTCAACTCAGTCGAAGCTGGAAGACTCTGCTAAATCTGAAGCCGAGCTGCGAGCGGAACTGGAGGTGAAGATCCAAGAGATACAACAGCTCGAGGGCAAGTCTAGGCAAGGACAAGAGAACATGAAAGCCCTGGAGAGATCCAGGGATCTGATGAAGGATGAAGTTAGCAACCTCAACCGCCAAATCCAGAGGCTTGAGTCATACACCACTGGATTGGAGGAGGATCTTCGTAGCCTGCAGGCCCGACTTGATTCTGCAGAGCATCGGGAGGCTGACCTTCAACAAAGACTTGCGGAAAACGAGAGCCATCGAGCAGGCATGGAGATGCAGCTGGAGAAGAGGCAAACAACTGTAGCTACGCTTGAGAAAGCTGTGGCCTTTTTCGAGTCCCAGGTGAAGGAGTATACTGACAAGATCAGCGCTTTCGAAGGAGAAGTCTCATGGTTAACTGACGGGCTCAAGAACTCCGAAAAGTTGAGGGAACGTGTTGAGGGCGAACTATCAATCGCTCAGCTCTCCCTCGCCGAACTCGAATCGAGTTATCGGTCCGCGACTGAGATAAATGCCAGTCTGCAGATGGACCTGGGCTGTACACGTATCGCCAAGTCAGAGATGGAGAAGGAGCTCCAGACAACTCATGAGAAAATCGCAAATGAAGTCGATCTCAGGGCTGAACTGCAATCTGAGGTCGACTCTTTGCGATTACTCCAATCCAATCTCGAGAAAGACCTCCAAGCTGCACATGACCGGATTCATACCCTCGAACAGCCGAACCCGGAAATCCAAAAGGAGCTTCAGATGCTACGTGATGCGAGGTCACACTTGGAAGGGCAGCTTCATGGCGTGCAGCAATCCTCATCGGAACTGCAGAAGGAGCTGGAAAACACCAAAGACAAGCTTAGCAAGATGGAAACATCGATGACGGATCTTCAAGAGAAGCTGAGGATATCTGAAGAGTCAAGGTCTGGTCTGAGAGACGAAGTTCGCCACATGCAAGACTCCAAGGCAGAGATCGAAGCCCGTCTTAACGGTGTGCTTCAATCTAACGTTGACTTGGAACACGGGCTCACCTCTGCCCAAACCCAGCTGCTTCGAGTCGAGTCAGAAGGCATCAACCTCAAAACCAAACTCTCCGTTGCGGACATTGAAATCGATTCGTTACGCCGCACGAATGCCGATCTCGAGAAGTCTGAGATGCATCTATCACATCGCCTTGCCACCGCAGAGAAGGAGCTCGGTGCTGTGCGAAAAGCAAACGAGCAGTTGGAAGCCTTCCTAGAGCAAGCAGAGCAAGATTTGATTGGTACCGAAGCTGCTGTGGAGGAGAGCGAGAAACAGCTCGATGCATTCGTTGACGAGACCAACGCCAAGCTTGACGCTGCGCAGCGCTCAAAGGCAAAGTACAAGAATCGACTTTCTATGAAAGGAAAAGAGATCGAGGTTCTCAAGGATGTAAACTCAGAGCTACATCATGAGATAGAGCGGAAAGAACAAGACATCGTATCTTTAAAAAGCAACGAAAGCCGACTCCTGGGTGAGCTCCAGGTCAAGGACGCGACCATAGAAGAGTTGCAGAGGCGCAAGAGTGATTTTGCAGCCTCAATCGACGCAGTTGAGCAGGAGTTGCGAATCTTGCGAGAGAATAAAAATACCTTTGAGCAAGTAGTCCAGACTCTTCAAGAGAAGACACGCCATCTCGAAGTGCTGGCGGAATGGGATCAGCCTGCCGATCCAAATGAGGCTGCTGGCTGGTTGTCCCCCAGAGGCCAAAGAGACGACATGGATGGCTTTGTCCCTAGTCGCATAATGCAGGATATCTACAACTCTCGTCCTGGCACGGTGAGGAGTAACCGCAGCTTGGAAAGAGTCAGGCAAGATCTTCCTAGGCCGCTGAGTCGAGCAAGTGTCAGCACGAGAGATGAAGACCTCGAGGCTTGGGCGCAAGAGGTTGAAAAGATTCGTATGCTGAGGAATGAGACAGCGATTCAGTTGCAGGGAATGAAGAAAGTGAAGAACGCCCTAAAGAAGACACTGAAAGCGAGTGAGGAGCAACTAGGAAAACTAGAGAAGAAGCAGAAGCCGTAAGTTTCTTCCATCCTAGTATCATTTCTAAACTAACACTCGGCCCAGTAAAAAAGGAAACTTCCTCACAAAGCGCAAAGGCTCCACGCCCATTCTTCTCTCACCAGCTGGCCCTTCACGGGCCCCAACAAGCATGTCACCGCTTTATTCATCCAACGGCAAAGACCCTGCCGGGACTCTTGATCCTATTGGCCGAACTTGGTCTAACGCGCCAGCATCAAATGGCAGTATTTTGAATGGCAAAGCACCATCTACGGTGGGATCAGGAAAAGTTGCAGCCTATCAACCCCAGACGAAGAGGTGGAGTGACGTCTTGAAAGGCGTCTTCAGGAGGACAAAGAAGAAGCCTGCCTGGGCTTGAAGAGTGTTCCGCGGAAACGAGAACCTATATATACTTTGGCTTCGTAGGAGTTCCATTCTTAGTGTTGTTTTTCGAGCGTGGAGTTTTTGTACGGTCCGTGTCAAAAGCTGTCGGGACGGTCCTTTTCTCTTAGATCGAGGCTAGGTGCCCGCACTAGACAGACTAGGTGGGCTGTAGGCTGGTCTCGCTTCAAGAACCCCCTTGTGTCGACTAGAAGTTGAACAATTCCAATTAATCATCTCTCCAATCATTTTCGTTGCCTTCGCTATTCGATACGATCATGATTTACGATGGCAGTGAGTTTCCAACCGACCTCGGCATGACTACCACATCACCACGGGATTGCCACTCTTTCAATCGTACTCTTAGATCATTCCCCAAATATTTATCTAGTCAGAATTCCCTACTTCCCATCCGTGAAATCGCCATGTTGAGGAGCGTTTCGCCCAAGACCACATGTTGTCATCAACCTTAGCATATGGTTAGTACATCAAAACACAACCGAGTTGCTCCAACTTCACCCTAGGTTCCACGGACCCTGATGCTTCAACCACTAGGGATATGAGAACATGCTCTTCTGCGAAGATATAGACCTCATCAAGCGTGTTCTAATATCGTTAGAATTATCTAAATTGATAGAGATTGACAGGAACATGAGACCTGGAAGTAGGTGACTTCGGGGGGCCAGCTCCGAAGCCTAGATCATCATTAGGGAGTTTTTTGAGCTCACATATGTCAACTACTTCTAGGCCCCATAATTCTATCAGCCCTCAGCCAGTTTGGACAACTCTGAGGCTGTTCGAAGGCGCTTAGAGGGCTTTATGACCGTATTGTTTAGCCTTTTTTAATGGCCGTGGGGCTCTGCCACACTCCCCCGTTCACAATGTCCTGCCTCAGCCCTTGCTGAAGATTGCCTTTTTGCACTGAACTTTCTAGACCTCTCTTTTGCAGTCTTTGAATGACACATCAAATGGCGATATATGCCGTTAGCGGAAACACTTGCTAAATCCTCTGGACTCTACTGGTATATGCCTATTGTCTCTCGATAGCGGTGGAGACGGCCGGTTTCCAATACTCTAAATCCTCTAGCAGCTCATGGACGAAGTAAATAATGGACACAAGGAATCAGGTCTTGCTTGAATGGAGCCCTTGCGAGATATTCGACCTCATCGGCGGCACCAGCATGGGTCGGTTCGACACATATACCAGCTGCAAGACCCTGCTAGTAATGGAAAAGTCTCGTCGCCACCATGCTAGGCCCCCTTGAGATGAACGTAGACCAATACACTACGGCATACACCGACCTTACTAATACTGTAAGGCGCTGTGGTGGTGCAACGGAAAAGTGTTGTATTGATATGGAGCCTCTAGAGCAACCGCGATACATAGAGAGGTACAGGCACTAGTAGGCAGTAGCTTAGCCTAGTTACAAAAACAGTACTTCTCCAGAGAACGGGCAGGCTTCCGATTGGCTTCAGGAGTAGCATTAAGCCACAGCCTCACTCTTTAAGACTTGAAGAGGTAATAAAACAAGTAATCAAGGGTCTTAAATTGCAGGAATCAGATTTCTTGAATGACGCTGCTGAACACAGCTGCAGAGTGTAACTGGCATTTGATCAAACTCTCTTGGTAGTAAACTAGCTAAAAGTAACTTCGTATACACTAAGATATACAAGACTCACAGCATACACAAGGTGTTTGAGAGACCACAAAGTGTGTCGGGAACTCGTTGTTGACTCGAAAGCTATAAAATAACAAGCTGCGGCTCGCAACCTCCACCGCCCCACGCTTCTTCGATTCGGTGTAGATTGGCGATAGGAAGTTTGTTGATGACACTTTAGGCTCAAACAACCTTATTGAAACAGGGCGAAATGGAGCCGTCGAAAATCTAGAAAATAGTAGATATTAAGCCTTTAGTAAAGTGCTTCGTTCCCATAAGAAGAGGCAATCCCGGGAGTAGAGCAGTCGAAAATAGCATGATCGGTTTTCTCTCAAGACCCGATGCGCCTTTCAACTGATACCGAACAGATGGCAGCAATTTTCGTATCATTCTGGCGGGATATGTATGGCGATGACAGAGTATACCGAAAGCTTGACTAGACATCCTGCAACGTTTGACGCTAATCCGATCTATATAAAACTAGGGCAGATGACGGCTCAACAATGGGTGTAACGTCATTTGCGTTCGCTGCTACGACTGAGGTGCTAATGCCGCATTGGAATACAGGGATCTTGTTGAAACTGAGACTAACTTCTCGGAAGGAAATCCTAAATCGCGATCGAGTATGCATTCAGGGTTCAAGAATGTGAACCACAGACTCAAGTATTCGGGTTCCACTCTCGCAATGCCACTCGATTTATGGAGCAATGCAGGGGACCTTTTGACGAATTTTTCCTTGTCGCAGGAGAAGATCCAAAGTCGACATGTTACAATCTCTGTGCGAGCGGCTATTAGATGAAAGAGACAACCAATGGCTGAGGATACTCGATAATGTTGATGATGGTGTATTCTATGGTGGAGAGGATGCTGCATGAATCTAGCAGAGGAGCAGTGACACAAACCAAAGCAGGCCATTGGAAAGCTTACACCCTCAAACTCCGAGCGGATCTACCCTCACCCCCCGAAATCAGCCCGTTAGGATTCATCTTGTTAGAACGAATGGCAATTATATCAAGGTAGAAGAGATGGACCCAGAAAGCGCTATAGAGCTGCTTTGTACTAGGTGCCAATTAGCGAAGTGGACAAGATTAATGCGGCGAATTTCTTGAGTTGCATATTGATTATTTCCGAGGATAACAGGATCCTATTCAAGGTGGCAACATTAAACCCTAAGTCCGAAGGTCTTGCATTTCCACCGGGAGCTTCGGCTACACTACCACCAAACTTGATGTTATACTCCGATACTGGGATTCTCATAACTAAGCGGAGTGGTAATCCGCTGATAGCTACTTCACTGAGCAGTTCATATTTGGAGCCAAAGACACTTTTAACTATACCACGCTCCACAAGACGTAATAAAATGAACTTATACGCGCGCTAGCAGGTGCAGAAAGCATGAAAATGCTCTTACCATAAATAATAGCGGCCTCTTTAAGGCAGATTTGACGGCGGCTGAGGAGAAGCGATAGTCCAGCGCCAAGGTCGTAACCCACAGGGTCGGTCTCATCACTTGGTTTAACAATCCTTGGGGTTGGGTCGTAGTTGAAGATGACTACATGACTGGTTCGGTAAAAGAGGGATCATGGCCACTATTTCGGATTTTCGCTGGGATTTTTAGGTTAAGGGTTTGGTCAAGTTGGCTGACCGTGGGTGAATCTTGGGGATGATATCAGTCTCCCCAATTGTAGAAGAGAAGTTGGCGCTCCAGATTGATAGAGATGGAGGGCATGCGTGTATGTACGGCGGAGGACAGAGAAAACGTGGGCGTGATTCAAGTACTCAGGCTACCGTCTCAAATAGTCATTGCGCACGCCGAACTGGGCATTCGTGTGCTCTTTCGTGATGTACCTTGCACCGCTGAGAACGGAGGCGATACGTAGAAGATTATGCCTATTCTTGAACAGCTGTATCTACCAGTACGAGTAGAAATGGGCCTTTATACGATGGTTTTCATGAACTGGAGAACATTTCGATCCCTATATATATCTTTGATGGCCAGTAAAATGCATAACGGTCAGTGCACTTACACTCATTTCAGCCTTCTTCGGTATTTAAGCTCTCCTTATTAGGTACTAGATAGAGTAGTACCCCCTGATCTAGATGATTAACATATTTTGCAAATATATAAGAGTTTGTCAACCTCCGGCAGTGAGACAATCGTTGGCTCCGTGGCCCCCAAACACGGAGCCTCACCAAAATGTACAAGGCTGAAAAGTGGATAGGACGCATGCCCACAGTATGAGTAGTGTATCACCTTCCATTGATTTTGGAGCCCCAGCGGCTAGATTGTTGGTGACTGATTTGGTTGTGAACACAGTCTTGTAGATCGCTTACGTCCGCTGACATCCTCCTGCACAGAGTCGGCCGCCAACCCCCAAAAGGTTTGAAAGCGGTTAATCTGATCATGGATCTAGCAAAGAGTGGCAAAATGAGTCTAGCTCACTTATTTTATAATATGATAGCCTTCTACGTGCAACTCTTGCTTAGCTTTTACATGCTCTGCCTGCGGTTCTAAGTTCGAGTTTTCCTTCCGTACCTCTATTCCACAGACGTACACACAAACTTCCCGGAATATCCACCCCTCCCGCAGCCCAAAATCAAACCCCTTGTCAGTATCTTACAAAAACCCAAGGAAGAGGACACTTCACGCCCGGAATTAGCCTCGCACGGTGTTGGAGTTGATAGATTTTCGGCCAGCCATGGTCGAGAGAGCTGTTGTTCCCGCCCCAAATACAAGCTAATACGATCGTGTTTTCGAAATGGCCTCCCAAAATGTATGTTTCCAGATGTGAAACAATCTTCTCTCTTGCTGATGCTTCGGGCAGGGAACCAATGGTTCTCAAACAATCCCGCCCACCTTGCCACACGCATACTCTCAACAACATCATGGCAACATGCAACCACTGAGCTCTCAAGACCCACAGTACTGGCAGTCGTTTCCGCAATCAGTTCGTCCCGACGGAGAGCAAGATACTGCAAAGTTCGTTTACGATGGACAAGCCTCTGAAGCGCCGAGCCTGACTATAAGAGATAAGAAGAAGCGGACGATATGTGGTTTATCAGAGTTGATTTTCGCCTTGATAATTGCTCTCATTGTTATCGCCATAGCGGCGGCTGTTGGAGGCGGAATTGGAGGAGGAATGGCCGCGAACCATTGTCGGCAGGAGTTGAAAGTTTTACGACAGAGTGTTTCCATCTCTCAGTCCTCGACACTGACGCGAGTATCCGAAAGTCCATCTCCGACTTCGACATTGGCTTCGCCAACGTCACATTTCGCCATTGCACCGTCCAGTATCACGGTTCCCAAGACGGGATGTCCAGATTCGAATGGAACCTTATACACATCAACATTTGGAAGCAAAAGTACCACGTTTACAAAAATCTGCGATACAGTCAAAGCGGGTGGTGGTATGATACCTCCTCTCTTCGTGTTCTATCTCCCGTTTGCCTACTGATTTTCTCCATAGACATGTTCCAAATCTCCACCCCCTCGTGGGACTCATGCATGGATGCCTGCGCTCAATACAGCAACTTCTTCGCAGACCAAGATTCGCAAGGCTCTCTTCCGACTTGCGAGGGGATCAGTTATGTGCCGGAGTGGAGTGTGCACCCAGAGTATGCGTATTCAAACTACAGCACGAGGGGGAGCTGCTGGTTGAAGAATAGTATGGACGGTCTGCCGGGTCCATGGAGTCTTCTGGCCGAGGTCGTGAGTAGTGTGAGGAAATAATTGTAGATTCGAGGCGAGACTCGGGGCGAGGAGGAGCGAAGAAGTAGTGCGCCGGCGGATTGAGATACCATTGTAGTGCGACTTCTCACCTAACGTGGAACATGACCTGGGTGGAGTCTATCTATTAAATGTCCTGCCGGGACTAGAGAGAACAATAACAGCAAGCAGATTTATGTCTTAAATTACCTCTGTTACGTTCTACATTAGGTACTAAGATGCAGCACTTCGTTCGTTCGACGGGAGAACGTAGCATTCATGGACTTCACGAGTCCAATCATAAGAGAGGTGCTCTTCGACAATGACGTGAATGCTAAATTTAGTTAAGCATAATGCACAGACCTCCGACCTTGAGCTCGAGCTTTCTTGTTCACTGCGAGGTATCCTCATTCACCAACATGTAGCTCTCGCGCATCAGCTGACGTCCTGGTTGCCCTCATCGCCCCAATGCCTACGCGCGCAATAAAAGCAATATTCTTCACGCGCTTCCACTACGAGAAAGGTGCGCTTCCAACCCCTCTCACACGGCTGCCCTTCTGACTGCCAACCTGAGGCTCCCGCGTTCTCCACCAGGTCCCAGAAGGCAGCATAACCCCCTCCAGCTCGCCCTCCGCCCTATCCACCCCCCTGATACCCTTCTCCTCCATCACCTCGTACCTTATCCCCACTCAGCAATTTTGCGACCGTCTCCTTACGTTCTGCACGAACCATTACCGTGTTATTGGATACCCAGTCTGCATACGAGAGGGGAAGTATAGCAGGAATGAGTTCATCTTTAATTTCGCCGTGGTGATCGAGGAGGGGGTGGGTGATTGGGTGGCGTATGGCGAGGTGGTGAGGAAGATGGGGAAGTTGTTGCGCGGACTGGAGGAACAAGGAGGCTTCCTCAGCAGAGAGGAGGTGGGGATGGGGATTTGGGATGATGACGAGGATAAGGGGTGGCAGAAGGCGGTGGCCAGGGAGGTTGGTTGGGACCAGGGTCCCGTTGGAGGTGGGAGTAAGGTCTATGCCCTTTGTGAAATGATTTTGGAGGATTTAAACAATTACTGCGAGTGCATGATACCCATTGGTAAGTCTACTTCTGGTCCGATATCCTGCTTGCACCTGTCGACTTGGTCCCGTTGAATTTGAGCAAAGGCCTAACGCAAAACAGATGACTCCAACACGATAAACTTCAAGCTCTTCCCGACCCACCCACCTCCACCTCCGATCCACCCTTACCAGGTCCCTCTCCTCACCATCTCGCTCTCCTCCCTAACTTCCCCGATCTCCTCGGACCTGACCCTAATCCGCATCATCCCATTCATCAACGGTATTCACTCTGTCAGTCACATCGCGCAACTCGCCGACACTGATATCTCGCTCACTCGAAAAGCTATTCAACATTTAGTATACTATGGATGTGTGCTATTGTTGGATATTTTTAGTTTTGGAGCAGTATATGCGCCGACGGCGGAGATAGGGGGGTTTGTGACCGATAAAGGGGTAGGGGAAGAATGCGCGCGATATGTGAGAGTGCCGAGGGTCGAGCTTGGTCGCGGGAGCGGTGGCATACAGATAGGTAGTGGGTCCGAGAAGAGTCGCGATGAGCGGTCGTCATTATCCTCTGAACCCCAGAGAAATGACATTACGTCAACAGCCACCGCCATGGAGTTCGACAGTTATGCCCGCAGAGGCGAGGAAGAAGATTGCGAAAATATATCCCACGAAACGTTGATAGGACTATACACGTCCTTGAGACAAGGTTTAACGTTGAAGAGCTGGGTGCTCGAAAATCTGGATCTGTTGGCGGGCATTGATGTCCGACGTCTGATAACCTTTGGAGTTATAAAAGGCTTCCTCTACCGTGTGCATCGATATGCAATTTCCACAGCATCATCGCTTCCCCCACCACCGCTACCGCCGACTTCCCTGCTTGGTCCAAATGCTCCCACCAATCCCTCCAACAACAATATCAACGTCAAAAATCACGACTCGGATACAGCAACCTTGAGGCCGCTAACCCATAAGCCATCAATGGCATCAACGACGTTCGTGCCCCGAGACAATGGCGTGAGAGAAAGCGGGTTGAAACACCATGATAAAGAGCGCTTGGATAGCTTGCTTACTGAGGAGAGGGATGCATTACCCCTAGTCAGGTTTCTGGATGGTATGCATTGCTTCGATGAGATGTGTACGGAGCTAGGACTTGGGGAAAAGGCAGTTGAGGAGAAAATCAAGCGGGCTGGGGAAGTCGCTTTTCTGTGGCGGTAGAAGAGAGTAAGGTATGACGGACAGACAGACACCCTGACATTGTGAAATCCTACTTTTGTGTACACTGCATCTGCATCCGCGTCAATTGGAATCGATTACCTGTGTTCACTTTTCACGGGAGGCTTTAGCCGAGGTGACGGGACCGGAATCGCCTCCTTTCATTTTGCACCCTGAAAAATACCGCTTTTATTCTGGACTTAACATGTAAGAACATCTACGCTATAGCATAGCAACCTAGGGGAAAGTAGATCTTGGGTGTTTATCAGTCTAATATTTCTATCAAACCCCTCCCCCTTTAAGTGTGAAGCATAATACTTGCTACAATATGAAGGGAGCAGTGCTTTAGCAATACATCGAAATAGCTTCGTGATGCGAATGACAGCGCATCAAATGCGTGCATCAATAGTCGGGGAAATCCGGCTCGACATTCTCCCTCCAAGCCCTCAGCCCACCTTTAATATCACCTATCCAGCGCTGTCCCCCATAATCAAGCCCCAGTTCTTTCATCTTCCTAACAGATAGTTGCGAGTCGTTCCCGAGCCTGCAGACCACGAAGATAGGCTTATCCGAAGGTTTCCTCAATGCCGAAACCCAACCTCGTTCTTCATTACCGGGATCTGTGCCGTTCGTCGCATTTGAAGATGTGCCAGAGACAGTAGAGAAAGGAATGTTGACACTACCCTCGAGGCTGCAAAGATCGAATTGCACTTTCTCGCGGACATCCACTAGGATATGACTATCTTTACTCGGAGTCATGCCTGTAAATGGATTCACCTCTATCCGGATTTTCGCGTAGTTTTCGACGGAAATGCGCTCGTTCGGCGTCAGTGCATCCACGGGATTGACGCTCCCACAAAACTGCACATAATCCAAGCTTCCCGAATTAAGTGCTTCTGGCGTAACGCTTGCCTGCGCCGAGCAAGTCGCGCACTTCGGTTTCCGAGACCGCAGGCGAATGGAACGAAACATAGGATTTGCGTAAGCGGAGAATATGAGCAGGGTTGGTGGATCTCGGGGAAGAGGTTCTGAGGTCATGTTTCCTGGGGTTGATGATGCTGATGCCAAGGGCCGTTGCGCATTCTGCGTCAGAACTTTGATAGCCTCCAGTGCCTGCAGGATTCCCATAACGCCAACCACTGGTCCCAGAATCCCCCCATCGCCACAAGAAATAACGGACTCAGGAGGTGGGGGTTTCGGGAAGACGCATCGATAACAAGGTCCGCCACGGGTGTCTCCTGGAGGAAGCGCAGGATTATTTAGAACTATGAGTTGGCCATCGGTGCGGAGTGCTGACGCTGAAACAAGCGGTTTTCCCAGGAGAACGCAGGTGTCAGAGATCAGGTAGCGAGAAGCTGGGGTATCTGTGCAGTCAAGGACCAGGTTGTAGGGTTGGATGACAGAAATAGCCGACTCGGGAGTAAGACGGGAAGGGTGGGGAACAATTTTGACGTTGGGATTAAGTCTTTGAAGTTAGGAACCTTAGAGGAAACTATGTGACGTCGTACTTACGAGCTTAACGATACTCTCGCACTATCAACCTTACTCATACCAACTTTCACGGTAGAGTGCAGGATTTGTCGATGTAGATTAGATTCTTCCACAATATCTCCATCAACTAATCCCACTGTTCCAACACCTGCTCCAACAAGGTATGCAGCGGCTGGGCATCCTAGCCCACCCACTCCTATGATCAAAACTGAAGCATTCTTCAGACAAAGTTGACCTACCAGATGAAATATCCATAATTAGTTCTGCAATGTTAAGGAGGAATCAATGCAAAACAGGACTAAGGTACAAGGAAAGTACCTTGCAGGCCTATTTCAGGCATGATCAGCTGACGGCCATATCTTTTGTATTCTGACCTATCGAGAGGCCATCTTCTGGATACCGGGTGCTCTTCTTCGACCTGGGAGAGGGCTGCAAATACTTCAGAGCGGAAGTCATCATGGATACCGTACGTCATGTCATGTGTGAGCGGATCGTTTGTGGTGACTTGCCGCCACCTGTCCTGTTCGCGTTGCTGGTATTGGTCCTGGGCCTCGGCCAGCTGCTGACGGAGATCTTGGAGCTGCGCTTCACATGATGCAATCTGCTGGCGTAATGACTCGATTATTGAAAGGGGAGCCATATTGCTTTTGTAGAGATGGAAAGACCTGTGGGGAAGAAACCGACCTTGTTGAGGTGGTAATCTTTATCGATAAATGTGAACTCGCTAAACTGCATTGAGCCTACACGTGATATGTCCGCCGCAGCGATCTCCTGTCCAGGACCTCCGTTGCAGATGTAAGGGGACGAGTCATGGCGCTGATCTCACAGCACCCCGTCCGTGAGCGAACTTTAATTTAACATCGAAACCCCAAGGAACAGAAAATCCATTAATCCGTCTAGCCGCTGGAAAGAGTCCTACTACTACAGAGGTGCAAGAAGGTAGAGGAGGAGCATCTGGACGGTGGAAGACTGGACACCGTCGGTCAAGACGACCGAATGAGTATGTATGACTTCGAAAATGATCGTATAGAAATAATTGGATGGGTTAGGCCGCCGTCTTAGTCACGCACTGGCTGACGCTCTCTATTCGCCCACGAGCTCACTCATGGAGTGCTTATGAAGCTTTTAATGACAACTCGTTGGTTGCACACTGAACCCCATGACCCTTCAATGTCACCGCATAAGGCTCCGGGATTCCAAATCGAAGCAGTCCTGTGTGTACCCAGTGACTACTCACTGTGCCGTGCCGCCCTGGTGAGGATATATTGGTTGTGTGAACGATACGACAACAAGGCTCGAAGGCAGAATGCTCGGCCGAGTAAAACAAATTAAAGTGATAGACCTGGTGACGTTCAGGCGGGGCAATCAATGGTCATTGATGATCTCAGATTCACCCATTCCGGGGGTTTATCGAAGATGGTAAGGGCAAGATAGACATCCGGGTAGATTGGTAGCCGGTAGGTTGGTACTGTGCTGCACTTGTGCCGCAACTTGCTTCAAATTGATGGTTTTGAAGGAGGGAAATAGCTGGAGGGGCGAATTCCGAGTGGATGCATATTCCTCCCTGAGGTCAGCTGTAGCAAAGTCAACGACGGGAGAGTGGCGGCTTAGAGACTGCCAATACCAAGCTCAGTGTAAAAGACCCTTGATGCAAAAGCTAGTTCACAGCAACACCAAGGGTCTGGAACAAGACTGAATGGAGAGTGGAGCTGTTCAGCGAATTTTCTCCTGCAAGATTCAACAGATCAACCAAGTGTTAAGACAAATTGAATCAAGGCGCTCCGGTGAGGCTGAGCGGATTTCGCGCCCCCTCCCGCAGGCTGGTCATGGCGGGACGACGGCGTGTTGGAGTGGCTTTCCTCTCGGCGAGTCCATTGCCTTCCTCTTTCGAAAGAGCGACAGCTGTCAGACGCTCTGGACCGGACTGACTGTTTGTGACCTGTACGGAAATGGCAGTAAGCAGACGAATGTAAGGGTCTGTTGTTTCAAGACGTCGTAGGGCTGGTGGCGGTACGAGCTTAAGGCTTGTTTGATGCGCATTCTGTGAATTTCGGTGGCAGCTCGCACAGCTTCAGGTGAGCAGAGGGAGTTCGAAGCCTGTGAACCCGAGAGGTCGGATAAAATTTGCAGGGAGCGGGTGATGGGCAGCGACCGGGCGTGGTGGGTCGTGGAGCTTTGACAACGCCATGCAATGAGGGCCGACTTGTGGACCACGCATGCCAGAGAATCCAGCCGTCAGCGCCCACACCGCAGCAATCACGGCTCTCCGAAGACGCCGCAGGACTTCAGAGGCATCGTCCTGCTCAAAAGGCTCCATCGACTGGACCGCCGCGGAGAAATATCCTGCTGCCAGTCTCGCGGCTAGTTCCCTCTTCAAGGTATTTTGCGGACAGCTTGGTTCCGACACCCAACTTGCTAGCAGCGTGCAGCCCACCTCTTCCCCGCCATGGACGATAGGCGTGGTGTCGCAGGTCAGCATCTGGCCCTCATTGGGGGCTGAGGCTGAGCGGCTTGATCCACTCACCTGCAAGGGGGGTCTGACTGCAAACGTTGTCAGCGCGCCGCAGACGGACATGTTCTGCCTCTGCGTGCCCCTTTACCTGCGGCGTCCTGCTTGAAGCGTGGCGATCCAGGATCCAGCGGGAGGAGGCCTCTATGTCCGTCTGATGCTGTACAAAACCTCGCCTTGCCCCACTCGTCAATGCATCAAGTGTACGCCTGAGCGAATTCTACCCCTCCAAAGCCCGAGGAACCTTGCCTCTTCTCACCACCACATTCCTTTCACCACCCACTAACGCCATGGTGTCTGTCTGTACCACCTGCAAAGGCTTGCAGAAGCACCTCCAGGCCCTCGGCTCGGGCATCCAGGAGACAAACTCTGCGTCGCTGCGATGGTTGAGCACGACGCTGCCAAGTTTGCGCTGCTCAACTAACGAAGGCTGCCGCGCATGCGCTACGCTGCTCCAGGGCATTCTATTGCATCACGATCGATTCGTTGGTGTCAAGGAGGAGCGCATTAGGATATCTGCCGAATCCTTCCACCAGTCTGGCAGCACTCCTTCAAGGCAAGATACCCAAGACCATCTTTCAGTTGAGGTGCGATGGAAAGAGCCTGGGGATGACTGCTACGATGGGGACGAACATGGGCACGATCAGGTGTACCCAGACCTGAAGCTTGAATTTTTCACAGACGGAGGTACGACACAGGTATTCTTTATCCGGTCTTGAACACGCAGGGACGACAACGCCATTGGAAGGCACTCAGCCTCAGCACTTTCCTCTTTTTGAAGCTGGGCATATCACTGACGTACACAGACGGCCAGTCGCCATTCTCTGCCATTGGGCGTGGGCGCCAAATCTCAGAGAATCCACTGCAAGACTCTGGACTGTCAATGGCCCGAAGCATGATAAACGAATGTCTGTCGCGCCACTCCAGGTGCCGCCGCACGAAGCCTACTACATTACCTAAAAGGGTGCTGGACGTCTTACTCGAGGACGGTTCAAAAGGCATTAGACTACATGAATCCGACTTCGACTACGACGAGCAGCGCTATGAGTTTGGAGAGTTCCTCACCCTATCGCACTGTTGGGGCGCTGGTAGAAGCGTCCTGAAGACGACTAGTAAGACCTTGCAAACCCACAAAAAGAACATTCCTTGGTCAACATTGCCGAGGACTTTCCAAGATGCGGTTGTGCTCACGCGCGCTCTTGGTTTTCGGTGGCTGTGGATAGACTCGCTTTGCATTGTTCAAGATGACAGCTCAGAAAAACTGCGGGCGTCCACCCACATGGACGACATCTTCACCAACTCGTTCCTTACTATTGCTGCGACTTCTGCCGCCGAAAGTACCGACGGATTGTTCCTACCCAAGGCACGACCGTTCAAGATCCAAGCTACGGACTCCAAAGGATCGCTGTATAGGATCTACGTCCGTGAGCAGCCTCCACACTACAGCTTCAAGGCACCTTTTAACGAGGGCGCCCATATGAACGACTGGGAACTTCCATTCAACCCTTCGGAAGAAGCGAACCTACAGACGCCACTCTTGAAGCGAGCCTGGGCTTACGCGGAGCGCTTGATATCCCCTCGGGTTCTCCACTTTACTAAGAGCGAAATGATATTAGAATGTAGAGAGGGATACCAGTGCGAGTGCGGCAGGATTGGCGACTCCGTCTTCGATTCCCGGACGACAGATTCAGTCAAGCAAGAATATGCCAGGATCATATCCGAAAACGAAGTTCGTGGAGACCACGCGAATGGCAACAATAACCGAATTGACAGTGTTGCCTCTCAACTTGCCGCAACGTCTCTCACCGACGCGGATAAGGGAATATCTAAAAGGCGCGAAGAAGCAATTCAACTCTGGAGCTACATTGTGACCGAATACACCGCGAGGAACCTTACATATGATGCGGATAGGCTCGTTGCCATCATTGGTATTGCTAAGACGCTGGCTGGTATTCTGCAATCAGGATACATAGCCGGACAATGGACCTTCAGCACTCTTGGCCTACTGTGGCATCCAAACGATAGTGCTCTATGTCGTAGGCCAAATAACGTATCGCAGAACATTCCAAGCTGGTCTTGGGCTTCGCTTGAGGGGTCTCCAATCTTCTTTGATAACTTAATGGCGATGGATTTGGCATGCACAGCATCATTCCCTTCAGAACGGGGACGGTCACCCGCATGGTCACCAACCACAGGAGATGCTCTTGAACTAACGGCCGCTATGGCGACTGAAGTCACCTTTCGTGTTGACGGTCCGAGCGAGTACTCATTAGTTAAAGACGGGATCAGCGTGGATTTTAGGCCTGACATATCCCCTCCGCGAGGCGAAGACTCCCTTGAATCAGGCGAAACACTCATTTGCGTTTTGGTCAGCATGACATTCCGCTCATCAATCATCGGCCTGGTTCTCAAACAGTCAGTGTCGAGTGCACAAACATATCGGCGAGTTGGCCGCTTCGAGTGTTACGAGTGTCAACGAGACGGTACCGATGAAGAACCAAACGATGCAGAGTCACTTTTCGGACACTGGTTCCCCGAAATCGAGGATATGACACAACTCGATGACGGTCCTCAGAGAACCTTCATCGTAGTTTGACCTTATCTTCTCCACTCGCGCTTGCATCTACCCCTGTTCACCTTTGGTCTTGGTGTCTTCCAATGGCTTGGATAAACACCAGTCCCAACCAATCTCCCACCCTGGATATTCTGTTATATTTGCCGGTCTGAGTTCTTGGGTCTTGTTTGTAGTGGGCGGATTGTAGAACTATCACGATACCAAAATGCTTTCGTGCGTAGCTCACGGCTATGCACCTTCATTTGTTTTAAGTCTTCACGATACCATATGCTAGGGGGATTTTTTCTTCTTTGCCGATGTTGTATGGTTTAGGAGCCACTTTTCCCATTGTTTCGTTCGATGTCCAATACCCCTCAGCTTTCTCATCTACCTCCAGCGGATTCTCGATATCTGTCGATGTTGGATACGAATCAAATGTCACAAATATTCCCAATTTTCAATCCTCACTTAACCTCATTTAACATCACGTAACCTCACTTAGCCTCACGTTGCACACCCATGGCGACTAGCTCTATTCATATTGATCATGCCAACTGAGCCTTATGCATCGGTTCCCCACAGCACCTCCCACATTTTCAGAACCTCTCGCGTGTCTCCTACCCCTCACCCCAACCTTCCCAAAACAGCAGTCCTCCAAACCCATTGATTCCTGTGCGCAAATGCGCGCAATTTTCCGCGCATTTCACTTAATGGTCCATGCTTCCTAGCGCAGCCCACTCGCCGCACTAAGCCAAACCCAGTGCTATTCATTCACTTTGGGGGTGTCACAACTCGCCCAACCTAACGCACGTGGACATTTGTCGCTGTCAGACATCTTTGCATCCGATCACATACCCGAATCAACAATACATTCCGTAAGACAGGTGATGCCGCCAGCCGTCACCGTCAGCACAATCTCTTCCGCATCTTCCGCTACGCCGCTGGCCAGAGTAATTCACTGCCACCACCGCCAAACTACTAGATCCCGCAGGCTTCCGTAGCGATTGCACTCGCGCCGCGGCATTACTGTGCCATGGTGGTGGTGGTGGTGGTGGTGGTGTAGTGCTCTGACTGTCAGGTGGATGTGGAGGAAGCTAGAGGACTCAGACCCATCTAGCACTGTGCCGTGAGCGGTCGTTCGAATATATTGAACTTTGATGACGTGGAGAGCCGGGGTTGATGCAGAAGTACCTGCGTAAGGAGGGCCAACCTTCATATTCACATGTCTCGTACTAGACTACGCCTTGCATACACAACCCAGCATGTTTTGTTAGAGTACGGAGGGAGAGATGGTTGGTATTGTTGCCCCGAGTGTGTCTCGATTAGTGTTGATTTTGGTAAGACATTATGAGCCTCGCATTTGCTGTCTGACCCTCATTAGTCTCTTGTCTTAGATTGGGGGAAGTTTAGTACTGGCGCCTGAGCCCCGTTCATAATCGCGGCTGTCACCCTTTCCTCAGAAGCGTTCTTGCAACCCTGCGACGCAGTTAAAAATTGAGGACAAACTACATCCTCCAAAAAAGCATTACTCCTTGAAATATCATATTGGAAGGCACGGTATCCATAACATAATAGCGGCGTCGATTGTGAAACCCAATATCAAGTGAAATCCGAGGAAGGTGAATGAGGCGGACAAACATGTGCCCCTGCTGGAACACAGAGGGGTGCCGGCTTAAATCAGACCCTGCTTGACTATCTACCAATCCTCTCGCTTTGTACGGAAGCTTGAGCGGTTCCTACCACTGATGTAGGTTGGGAAGGTCCACGGGAACCAAACCCAACAGAAAAGCGAGTAGACACACCACTAAGCTTTTGCTGATGGACAGGCAAATGCTGAATAAAACGTACTGTAGCCAGCAACAGTGTCCGAGAAAGGAAACTCTCTATAAACATTCATGCATTAATTTACGGTAAAACACATTCACCTAACGTCTCCCAGCGCGAACGAACGCATTATTTGCTTCCGATCAAGGGGACGGTTCAAGTGGTCTGTTGAAAAGCGAAACGACCTACTTTTGTTACCCCTTGCGGAAGCAACGACCAGATGCAAAGGTTCTTAATAGCGGGCTGTTTTTGTCAGTTTGGTCTGCGATATGCGGACGGGTTGAGCTGATGCAAAGCCGTGATAGGGAGCCTTCAGAATCTTGGAAACTGACGAAGCCACAACTTCACAATGGACTTCAGAGCCTGCGGGCGAAAGCGCACAGGAACAGTGGAGAAGTTCATGCGCTCTGTTTTGTCAAATGTGGAACCAGTCAGGTTTTGACAAACACTATATAGTGGAGCAGGCAAGATCCAGGAATGAACTAGATTCGGAATCAATACTCCACTTTTCCGTACAGGGATTTACATCACGAGGCTGGACAAGAATTGAAATGTGTTGAGGGAAGCGAAAAAAGTACTCGGAGCGACGGTAAGAACCGCCGGATAGTTGTTGAGAATACACATAACACGGTCGGAGGGAAAAGAATTGAAAGAAGAAAACATCTAGAACAGGGTTGCCATAAAGGGAAGAAGCCATTGAGCCTTCTCCCCGAACACTCGAAAAAGTGGCACGCTATCCAATTTGGGAGTTCCCAAGACAAACTGCACGAATAATATCATAGCAACTAGGAAAGTTTCTGTGCGGACCCACAGGTAGCTCCGCTCTTAAAAGGCTAGAGGGCCAGTACAAACCAAACGCCAATCTGTGTTGCTCAAGTTTGGGGAATTTAAATTCGCATCCTCAATGAAGATGCGAGGACAGGCGGTGCAACGGTCGGGAGTGGCTATCCACAACCGTGCGCCTCAAGCCTCATTCTAACCGCCAATACAGCATGGGGGTTTCAGGCGTGACAAGGAACGATTCGCTGAAGAGGCTACATTGATCACGCAAACGAAAAGGACCTGTAGCCCATTGAGCAAAGGTAGGCTCCCACTTTGACTGAACGGGATTGAATCCTTTGGCAAGGAACGAATCGGCGATATCGGCGAAAAAGAAAATATGAAGAGGGGCCGAGAAAAAGTTGGGGGTGGGCTTCAAAGTTCATGGATCATCGTCGACTCAGGATCCAAACACCCGAAGGAGCTCAGCTGGACGGAGGGTCTAGTGTTAGTGTTGGGAGTCATATTCTCGTGGGTTGACTTCGATCTTGAGTTTGAAGGTCGGGAATCTTGCTCGGAAAGGCCCCATGCTACCCGAGTGAATGGAAGACCAAGCTATCGGGTCTTACACGAGAGGGGCCTCGGGTCAGAATGATGCTGGAACACGATGGAGGCCACCAAGGAGTTGCCCGCCGCGATTAAAAGAAAGTGAAAGAGTTCGGGTGAAAACGGGCGGTAGACTTGCTTGAAACCATGCAGGTGCACTTCAAGGCATCCAGGCGATTGGACCTGCCTTGGTGCGACGTATTGGAGCTACTCACAGATGGACTGCAAGGTAACAAGGAAAAAACTTGCTCGTGTTAGATGAGCGGTAGGCGGAAATGCTAGAATGAATATAGAACGGCATGTGCGGTGCCAGAGTGTTTCTACAAGAGTAGCTAGCTTTCTAGAGGTCCAGTTCCATCCCCAGGTGCACCAAAATCAGGTCTTTGTGGGCATCGGGAAGATCGGTCAGCTTGCTGGAGGATTTTGGAATATATTTATGCCACACGCCACATGTGTATTCCCGAAAAGTTTGCCTCCTTCCCCACTCGATTCATTTAGATAAAATGGCCATCCTGCACACTCGTAGGGCCCGGCGCGATATGACAGGGAATAGTCCTGTCCATGACTTCCATGCAATGTGCATGCATCCGCATGTGTCTGCGAGTCTCACAGAAGGGTTTTCCTTCTGCCATTGATTTCAACGGTAGTCGCATTCTCATTGGTGAGCCATTCGTCCCTGTTGAGGGCAATATACGGATCCGTGCCTCACGCCTTCATGAATTCTGGCTTCTTTTCCATTGTGCTCTGAACGTGGCTTTTCAGTGCCGCCCAACGATTCACAAGCGAGGCACCATTTGACACAGTCCCTGCGCCAGTCGTGCGGACAGCCATCTGCGCCAAATTTTTATTGAAACGATCCTTCTCGAGCTTCTCGAGCTTCTCCTTCCGCTTCATTGCCCCTGGACGGCTCTTCAGACTCTTTCGTTGAATCTTGGCTTGTCCAATAACAACCTCGGTCTTCTCCTCCTCCTCGTCCAGGTCCGGCAGAGCGTCGGCGAGAGATTCGAGATTGGCCACGAGCTTTCTGTCGGGCCTCCTCCGCTTTTTCGTTTTGGAACTCGACTTCTCGATTTTGCTTACAAAGATAGAGTGCTTTACGCTTCGCCTGTCTTTCTTAGAAGGAGGAAAGAGCGGCTCGTTTGATGGAGGAAGGCTTGTTCGACTGGCGAGCAGGTTGGGTGCTCTGGCTCTCTTCGCACGAACCGAGGTCCGCTTCTTCCCGGCTATTGGGGCCTATGACCTTAGTCAATACACTGTCTGATACATTGCGTTCCAGTAGACAAAGACTGACCATTTTCATATTGTGCGACTGAGGGACAGCTTTTGGAGGTTGGTGAAGTTCACGTGCAGTTTGGCTCTTCCCCGAAATTCCTAAGCGAACACTGGGAACACTAAATCAGTGTACCCCTGCTACTTTATACCCCTCTTTCCCGTTCTAGCAAACCTGAACTCTACCTCCTATATCGTCTTTTTACCTATCTTCCTAGCCCTCTTGGGAGCGAAGTCATACGAATACAGCTTCTATCTAAATTCGTTCCACATTCACATTAGCAAGTGCGCCCTGGCTTTCTTCATGCCAAGTCTACGCGGTCAGGGAGGAGGGAGGGGGAATGGCCATCAGCACGGAATTTTCACTGTAATTACTTCTGTTTAGCAGGATATTTTCGGGTATCTCACTCCGCGTCTATTTCCACAACGTGTGCCCCAAAGAGGTTCTGTTCGAGAAGAGATCTTCCCCTCTCCAAAATGGTCCCACTTGGCATACCGTCTATGGAATTTACGCTTGCTCAGCAAAGTGCCTGTCCATGAGAGGTCCCTGCCATTGATGGCGTCCGCGTGTCACCCAGAATATGAGCCCGAAGATGACGGTACCCCCATAAACGACACACGACCAATTCATCGTCATTGCTGTTACCGGAGTAGCCGGCGGGAAAAAGGAGAAGAAAGTGACGATAATTGTGTACAGCAACGCGTACACATTGACTACAAGACCACATCTTCCCATATTCCAAGGGCCAAACGGAATATCCTCCCCTGTGAGTCTCTTTCGGATCATCAGACTGATCGTGATAACGTAGCTTGAGAAGAGACCGGCAACCACCAACGAAACAATTGCATTAAAGGCCACGGTCGACCCGATGTTAATCAACGCTAACAAGGAGTTAATCAGTGCGGTTAAGGCAATAGACCAGAGCGGAATTGCCCATCGACCATCAACCTGCCTCAGTTAACGCCATTGTTGTCATTGGACCTTGAGCTTTTACTTACTTTAGCAATGACGTTCGAAAAGGGGAGGCCTTGGTCGCCTATGTCCTAGTCAGATTGTTCTTGCCGTAAGGAACCTTGCTCAAGGCAATCACTTACGTGCGAAGGCCCATAACTGACGAGACGCAGATGCTACATAACCGAACGTTGCAAAAATTATTAATGCGATCAATATGGAAGTCATAGCTGTTGCACCAGCAGTCGATTGCGTGGCATTCCGGAAAATCTCGATGAAAGGATATCCAGTCGGGGTTGCCAAAGCATTGTCGACGTCGCCAATGCAGAACAGGATTGCAATTATCATCGCGAATCCAAGGGCGCCATTGAGGAATATAGTAAAGAACATGCTCCGTGGCACATTGATAGAAGCGTCCTTGACCTCTTCGGCTAAATGGAATGAGGAGCGAACAACTTGACCAAAAGATTCGACTTACCCATGTGGCACGCTCCGTCGAAGCCTGTCTTGAGATTAACCAACGGCGTTCACGGGAATCAATTCGACGTACCAATGAAGAGAACAGAACTTGTCAGTAATCCGACAAACCAAGATAGTCCATCATCGTAACCGGACCCGTTGGACCATGTCGCAAAGACAAACTGAGCCGGAGATTGTGGAGCAAGATGCACAAGAGGTATCAGAATTGCCAGAAACCCGAGCACATGAAGGATCAGAATAATCCCTTCCAAGGCTGGGAGGATTCTAATGGCTACTGTGTTAACAAAGACACTAACAAGTAACACAGCGTACAGTATCAGCGTTCCGTGCCATCGCTGGTACTCGTACGAGGGGTTGTTGAGCACAAGAAGTCCTTGAATAATTGTGCCTCCCAGAAAAGTTCCTGAGGCGCAACCGGCTTGCCAACCAAGTACGGACACCCAACCTATCGCAAGCAGACTTAAGTTAGCGAAATAATTCTTCCCTTTCTTGGTGACATAGCAAAACTTGAGTAGGTGGAAGACGAGCATTGTGGTATGATTTGAGATCAGTCCTACCTGTTAACCAACTCAGGAATTTGCTCCATTTTGGAGGCGCAAGCAAGGCTGCCCAGTGATATTGGCCTCCCGACGTCGGGTACCTGTCATCCAGATTAGCGGCAGATGCTCAAGGTTTGGCCCGGAAAGAGCGGGGGGAGCGATGAAATTCGGGCCTTTGTCGGAGTCATCGCGAGTGCATGCTCTCTGGCATACGCACATGGAAGCCATCTCAGATATGGAAGCACACATTGTCAAGGACCCAAAGAAGCAGAAAATATAGCCGTAGATTAGTGTCGGTCCGCCACCATTTAGGAACCCAGTCACCACTTTGTGTCAGCCTTCTTCTGGACTGCATTTGTTCAACTTACGGAAGAACCTTTCATTCCTGATCAGTCGCTAACCTTCCACATCTATTTTGGATCAGAACTTACGGAAACACGGATTCCCAGGAGTTCAACATGATGGTTGTGAAGCCGAGTAATGGGAGTAGCCCGAAGTTTCTCTGCCGTAGATGAGCAACATTGCCGGTTTCGTCGAAGTTGCACTAACTCTTGTTTGTTGCAGCTTTCCCATTCGGAGCATATCCCTCTCATCTGTACTCAAAGCGGAGAGATTGACATCATCATCATGGGCACTAGACGCTCCTTTGACGAATTCTGAAGTATTTTCAAGTGCGTCCTTAGATAGCGCCATTGCGAGAGCAACAAAGGGGAGAATATTACTGAAGGTGATGGGTCTGTTGGGGAGAAGTGATCTGCCCAGTACGTATGTATGCAGGATTCAGAGATTGAACTACGGGTTTGATTCATAAAAGTAACTTTGCCTTTTTAAATGTCAAAGAATTGCGATAACTCGGAAGCCATGGCATGCGCTCTGATTGCTGCTTTGAGTCTGGGCGACCAAGGGTTCTCTGAGACCAGAATCCCGGTTTCCGTTATGCCATTTTAGCTTCCGACTGCATTACGGACCGGCCCAGGCATTCAAATAAATGCGCAAGCCTCACCCTCGTATCAACCTTCTTCATCTCACCAAAAAGTAATATTAACGTGATGGAGGTTACACCGACTTCCCAAATATCCGACATACATCCAGCGTCCCGGGATAAGCCCTGTTTCCCAAGTCTGTTGGCTAGTTTGGCTTCAACTCGAACTCACAAGGGAATCTCAAGTATTCGCTTCTACCAGTCGAGCGAGCGCATCCCAACGACAATCACGAGTTTGAGCGATTTCATACCTTCAGATTCTCATGATAGCTCCATGGCTTTCTTTTGTACTGCCAGGTGTCGCAGGATATCCCCAGACTGTAACACGGCTTCATTGTGGCTCACAGCTCCACAACAATTACTTTATCTGTGGGGAAGCCATTTGTGATATTGGGGATGATGCATGCCGCGTTGAGGGTACCCTAGGCTTTTGTTGCTTACTTTGTTGATATCAAAGGCTGAACATCCATGGAGCCGTGGGTCGTCTCGTGTCCTTGGACAATCTGCCTCGAACTCTTACGGCTTGGCGGTATCTAGCTTTGAAACCGGAAGGGAAGAGTAGGATTGGTGTGCGAGGGTAGAATTTTAGTGATTCCTAGTGCAGACGGCTTCGACAGATTTTGGCATGCTTATTTCTGGCTGCCGTCCGTTATGGCTTGAAGAACATTACCCTTTTTCTTTTGCCTCAAGCGAGCCTTTATTCATGTGCACTTCGGAATTTTAGTCGTTCTACGGTCTCTTCTCTCCTTACTGTCTTCAGCATTAGAACACCAAGCGCACTACAATTGTAGAGGATCCTTCCCAATTGAGGGATATGACTTCAGAAGGGTCGAGACATGCAGCTATCACTTCAGACGACCATGGTGCTCTGTTGACGATGACTGCATGGTTTCTATCTTGCACGCTGGTACATACATTAACCCCACCACTCTTTCATATATCGGCTAACGATCTAAGGTACTTTTCACTACCGCTAGATTGACCGTACGATTCACTACGCAACACATGCCAGGAACGGACGATGTTCTCATTGTCATTGCTGGGGTGAGTCTCCAAGGATGCGCATCTTCACATGGTACAACATAGAACCTGTATGCAGTAGCCTTACAAGAGATTTTGAAACTCCTAACGTCGAATATTGTCTAGAGCGTACTAACAAACGCGACAAGGCCTTCGCTATTGGAAGTACTATTGCAATCTCTTTTGCAGTCAACTCTGGTCTTGGCAAGAGGTCCTACCTGCTGGCTTTTGGGGACGTTAGTCACATACAGAAGGTATGATTATATCCTTTGACTGCAAATGCGAATTCACTGAGCAGAATTTGTGTATATAGGATATGTATGTGGCCACAATTCTTTACGTTTTGACAGTTGGCGTCTCAAAATTCTCAATCGCTATGTTCCTCTCCCGCTTGGCTTGTGCAAGGATGCACAAAGTTGTTGTCGTGACACTCAGCGGCATTATCATATGCTGGACGACTGCGGCAACTTTCGGTGTCTCTTTTCAGTGTGAACTACCACGTCCGTGGGAAGTGTTCACAGGGAAATGCATCCCTCTTGTGAGTCCCTCGAGTCCCTCTTTCTAATTCATTTCAAGCTGAACATTAACATAGCTGCCATTCTGGATATCCGTAGGGGCTGTGGATGTATTGACTGATCTCGTTATGGTCGTCTTACCAATCCACATCGTGTGGGATTTGCAGATGGCACCGAGCAAGAAAGCCGTTGTCATTTTCATATTCACACTTCGTTCCGTGTATGTATTTCCTAATTGTACACCTTCCATTAGTAAGACTGCGTAACCTACTCACATATTCGTACTCACTAGACTCATTGCCATGTCCATTCTCAGACTGATCTTCTTCACCAAGTTCGTTACCGCAGACCCTGCATTTGACAGCATCCCGTACGGTATTTTAACGCAATGCCACTCCACCCTCTCCGTCATTGTGGCCTGCAGCCCTGCCCTCAAACCATTCATGGACAACGTCACCACCGGCATGCTCAGTGCCTCTCTCGGGAAGCACACTACTGGGACGACATTTGGATACAACAGCTACAACATGCAGCCTTTGTCCAACAATAGCAAGCAAGGTTCGGGAAACGGGAGTTCCAAACGCCTGAGCAAAACCCAATCAAGTGTATCCCCGACTCCTGATCCGAAGTTCACTATCGCGCACCATATCCGCTCCTCAAGCGGCGTTCAAGTTTTCGTTAAAGATAACTTCGGTCGATTAGTAAAGCAGCCACTTGCGGACATCGAATCTGCACCCGCGTCCTCACATTCCTCGAAACCAAGATCTCTGAAGTCGCCACCGCCACCAAGACCACCGCCTCCACCGGAAGAGTTGCGCCCAGATCTCAGTGCTTTTATGTCAAAAGTAAGATCAGGGAGCCCGATGTCGGGGAATGGGAGTTCTCAAAGCGATCATATTTACACGAGATACTCAGAGGAGAGTGGGGAGAGTGGTGTAAGGATTATCGAGAAAACAAGGGCATGGGATATGAGACATGTCGATTATCATGAGGGTGCGATGTAACATGTGCCTTCGAGAGTTGGGTGACCTAAAGATTGAAGTTACTCCTATAGCGACAATTTAATACTGGAGTTTTAGGTAGATTTTAGAGTTATCTCATACTTGGACTATATTATTTTGAAGCACGGGCTACCAAACCAGAGTCCCCTGAATAGCTTTCGCGCTCTTGGCAATTAAGATACCCAGGATGAAAACCACGTCGTGATTCTAAGAAGTGTCTGAATTAAAATACGCAACTACGAAAGTCTGCATGGATTTGATGATGTCCACTAAGTCCTTCCCGGTATTGTACTGTTGCTTCCTTCAAGCATTAGTAGCCTATACAATATCCGAGATCTCCACAATCGGCTATAATGCATGACTGGCTTACGGCAATCTAATGTGGTAGTTAGCTGACTTTGAAGACGGATACGAGAGGACCTAGTCTAAGAGAGGAAACAGCAGTAGATGTGGACAGTTCGACAGGCTATTTTCCTTTTAGCAGTAGACGCTACCTTTTGACCAAAGTTGATCTTCTTATTCAGAATCCCAAAAGAATCAATGCAGATGTGGAGGTACAGTTCACGATAAAGGCACTGGATTTTCGGAAAGCCCATCTGCCCCCATATTCCGGTCCATACAGTGTTGAGTCAATGGATATAGAAGTCTCCGTTCCAAACCCGAGAACCTTTTCACACATCACCCGCAACGGCGTCCATTATCCTTAGACTAGAACCCGTCCCTTTCACGCTGTATTATCCGGCCACACTTAGATTAGGTGCTGATAAAGATTCGGGGAGGGGATATATGGTCCTGAGAAACTTGGCTTTTACGTCGCAGGATCGAACTTGCAAAAGTGTATGGGTGATGTGCCGATAGTCTAGGTCCAATCGCTCTCGTGTTGGTTTGCGGGAACGACAATGTTTACAAAATGCGAGCCTTTCATAACTCACCACCAGCCACACACTGGCGACACGTGGGTTACAAGATCAAGAACTAACAAGGACCTCCAACACCGGGGGATGTCGAAGAACTCACTTTCTGTTTCTGTTCTTTAGCCATGGGCTTGGAGGCGACCGTACGACGTATTCAAGTATGTGTGGAGAATCTGTCAGCTACTGCTTTGTGGTGTGCGCTTTCGAGCACTGAAATGGTTCAGGGCCTCGGAATTTAGCCAATCAGGGCAAAGATGATGAAGGGGATATGGACAAGAGAGAAAAACGGAGCAGTGTGGAACACCACGAAAAGAGAAGAAGAAGGGATACGACAGAATTGTGAACCTTTCTTCCCAGTCCATTCACACATGAAGCGGAAAATCTGACAGGGCCAGGGATATATATTTCTGAAAGTGAGAACATTCCCGAAAAGCCTAATGATGAAGGATCCGTAGCCTGGAAAGCAGCATTCTGATTAAACAAATAATCTTAGAGATACTAGTCCATTCCATTGAACGACGGAGGCGTCGATGATGAGCTCCGTTCTACCTAAACAGAGACGCATATCGCGCGGTTTGCAATATTTGCAATATTTGCAAAGGGAAAGGAGCCTACGTGACCTAGCAAAATTTGCGACGCGAGGGTTACATTGGCTCCACTTCTTGGGGACTGGAAGGTGTCGATTGGTTCATGTGGAAGGATAGGTTCCACTGTGGGAGGGTGACAACAACGGGCCATTCCTTTGGTGCCGCTGCTGTAGTAGAAATTTCGAGGAACGCGGATCGCTTCAGATGCGTCCAGACAGGTATAATATACAACTTCTGAGGGCAAGTTTAGTTCCTGTGTGGTTGGCCATCGCCTCTCAGGTCCGCCCAGTGCTCCAATCAAGCCGCCCAAGGACGATCCACACCATAAAATCCATGCACTACTGCTTGCATCAACTCAGATGCTTTGATGGGGTCGTGTCTTTGATGAACAAGGCGAGGGAGGAGGGTGCACTAGCATACCTTTGTACCGTGTGAGGCTCGGTGCATGTATAACAGTCCGACTCTTCGCCATTGTATTCCCACGTTTTGCTCCTTCTTCTTGAAAGTAATTGTGAATCCGCAACGAGCGGTCGATCTGAACATCAGGTAAGGATCCGTCCATCCATGAAGTTCCCGAAGTACTAATAGTGTTGCGACAGCGCATCGCTCGAGTTTCTCAAAGATGTGACTGAAGTAGCTGGAAAGTCTATCATCACCACCTCTTATACATGGACGCCCTCGAAGAAAGTTCCAGACGAATGTAAACCTGAGGACGAATTAATAGCAGGCAGGCATAAGATTCCTGATTAGTTTAGGGCTCGCTTGCTCTCTAAGTTCTTACGAGAGCTTAAAAGAAAACAAGCGGGCGGGGTGTTTAAATCAGGAGACGAGATATGGATGCTCTTCAAGCCGGATGAAGAAGGGATAATTGAGTGGTGACGCATGGAAACTCGGATTGAGTAACAGAAGTTATAAGAATTGGAGGAGTACTCGGGAAGCGATGTGAAGGATGCGAGGATTGAATCAGGAGAGGAGCCATGGTTTGGCTATCTACCGTCGTGGAGGGATGTACCTGCAGTTTCGTGAATGAGAGTCCCAAAGCCGATCTGTTGCAATTATCCTTGTAAATGGTCCCTTAAGCCTATGGAAGAGTCTTAGTCCTTCACACAAGGGCATCGATGCACAAGGGTTTTTTAAACTTTCCTGTGTCTAGATGCTAAGACGGAGAGTCCCGTGCCACGTGAATGGGGCTTCAGCTCCAGCTTGGGAGGCGTGAGGAATCCTCTGACTAGCAGGCTTCGGTTGTTCAGTAATCGCAAAAGCGCACACATTGAGCAGCCAAATTCCATTTGTTCTACGATAAGGCACAGTCATGCCGCGGCTGTCTTTATCGCCATTACACACTCAAAAAGCCTGCCGGTTGTCTTAGAAATCAAGCTTGACGCTCCCTAACTTGGTTCATTTCAAGGCCCTGGAGGGATCCCATTGAGCGGCATCGACCGCATGCTCCTTTGGTCCCTCGCATTCTCAACATACGAGAGGCTTGAGTAAGCTGGTGCCGCTCGGTTCAATGCGCTGTGGCTTACCAAGCTAGCTAGCCCTGTTGAACAAGAGGGGTTTGTGCCTCGTAGCCCTGACACCACTCTGGACTCTTCTAAGCCGGAAAGCCGCCCGCGCTTTGGAGGTCATTTTGCCTTTTATTCACGACCTGCGTCACCTCGCAGCCTGTCGTCTTGAGGCGGGGGCAAACTTCACATTTCTACTCCGTACTTGCGTTGGTTCCGAAGGTTTCGTCGAAGCTGAAACGCCGTCACGTCCCTGGACGACATCCCAACACCAGAAATGACATCCTCAGAAAGCGAGGGACAAGTTCCTTCTAGAAAGCGCTCAAAGATCGGTGGGGGTGAGGAAGGTGGTAGCAAGAAGGCTAGAGGACGGCCAAGAGTGGATACTCAGGATGCGACGGCCGCCGATGTAAGTAGTTCCCCCACCATGTCAGTCTGAGCATTGCTCTATTCATCATCATGTACTATATCCCCACTCTAAGAAGAAGCTGAAAACATTCTACCATGAAATCTTATGTTTAGCTTATATCAAACTGACAGTTTTTCTAGCGTCGTCGCACGCAGATCCGGCTTGCGCAGCGGGCTTATCGGCAACGAAAGGAAACAACAATATCCTCCTTGAAGCAACAGAATGGTCAGCTTCAGTCTATCATTGAGGAGATGAACAAATCTTTCCTAAGTTTTAACGAATCCGCTCTCAAATCAGGGATCCTTCGTTTAAATCCTAGGCTAGGCCAGGAACTGAAAAATGTGGCAGAGAGCTTGTTCACTCTTGCTAAGACTGCTGCTTCTGAAAGAAATCATGAAGGGGACGAGGAGACCGGAGAAGCTGGTCTTGATCCAGCGACTGAGTTGCACAAGGCCACTTCATCAGCACTAGCGTCTAGGGAACAAACCCAAACTCATGATGCTAACCTGTCAACGCTAGGAACGCATACAGATATAGGGTGGGGTTACTCTGCGACTGTATCCGCAGAATCTCCCACGTCTGCGGATACGAACTCTCCCCACCAAGGAAACTATGGGCATAGTACCTACTTTCCTCCTATGGCAAGTTCGCCGTATGAGACGACTGGAAGAGAAAAAAGCCTTATGCGAATGCGACCTGGTGCTGGTACGGTTGGTCAGGTCTCGGATCAGTCAAGAACCCATCTCCACAACAACACTAGCTCGGAGCAGCTTCCATTTGGCTTGGTTGACCTCCTGACACGAGACTGCTCTCAGTATCAGTCCAACCCACAGATCTACTCTGTCAACATCCCCTCCCCAGAACTGACTCCGCCATTATCAAGACTGCACTCCCCGCCACTACTTCCGAGTCTATCTACCAAAACGCCGGCACCAATCTACACCTATAGTCAACAGGAGACGACTTTTGCCCGTCGCCTTACCCGTGCTGCTCTGGAATGTGGCTTTCACCTCTTGAGCTCAGCAACTTTGCGACCAGCCGCACTCAACTACGTCTTCAAACTATCTCTACCGTATATGACCGTAGATCAACTACGAGAGAAGTTCAAGCTATTGTTAGCGCGTGGAATACATGAGGACTTGGACTCTTACGACACGCCATTCATCCACCTCGGCGGTGCAGGCACGCACTACCCTAGGAAAGACTCTCAAGGAAATATAATACCTGTACCCAATTCTTGGACGGTGAGGAAAGTTGGACCGATGCAAAAGATACGTGCGCAGAACACTACATATCCTTCACAGACACACGACCTTGACATCGACCTTACCGGCTTTGAGGGCGAATGGTTCGACGGCCACGATGTCCAAGGATATCTTGAATCTGAGAAGGGCTGTGTCATTAACCCTCAAGACACGTTCACTGAAGTCTTTGTTGAAGAGGAAGAGGAAGCACCTGCAGGACTTAGTAGCCTATCTTACTCAAAGAGCGTCAACTTGAGCCTTGATCTGTCGGGTGCCGGCGGGATGTACCCGTCTCAGAGTCCCGTGTTGAGCAATTCATCAACAACGACTGCAGAAACTCTCTCTAGCCAAAGCACACCGGGAACCAGCATTAGCGACCCACTATCCGGACGAGGTAGCACATCTTTCATCCGTTCTGAGACACCTTTCGGTCTTGACATGGGCATGAGCAACTTCAATGACTTCGCTACTAAGTTTAACGATATCGACTCTGCTACTTATTTTGACCAGCCGCTTGGTCTTGATTTGGCTCCTGGCTTCGACGTTGGTCTGAATGGTACTACAATGACCGGTTTTAGCACCAGCGGATTCGGCGACATGCCGAATCTGGGGCTGGATCTGACGGGTTTAGAATTTGAGCCTCTCCCAGTTGTAAAGCAGAAGCGGAAGCGGGCAGCCTGGCTCGACGTTAGCAAGCTGATTGATGGTAAGACCTCCGCTTTTATTGCATGTATAGCCGTCGCTGACGTTCTGAACAGAAATAGTTAAACATGGAGTTTGCCTGGGTCGCTCCCCTGGCTTCCGAATAAAGGACGTCGATATGGCGTTCAAGGCTTCTTTAATTCACTTTTGATCTGGGTCATGAATTTCCTTCGGATGGGTTAAATGCTAAAATGATTTGGTGCTTGGTGTTGGGTTGGGGCATGATTTCACTCCACACGGCTGGGTAAAATGTGAATTGGAGGAGTTAATGCTTCTGGAATCACGGAGGCATGGACTCAGGCCAATTTTTCAGGGACAGAGGTATTTGAATCGTAGGCTTCGCTAGATTAGCCTGAAGTGCTAGGTGTTTCCGGAACCTAATGGTTCGGTTCGACTTCATAGAGAACAAACTACTGATTATGTTTGTTTATCAATGCATTCTATCGTGAGCTCGGTGGTAGAACGACGGAGAGCCGCATGGATGGGTTAGTTGGGTCTGTGCAGCACCTTGGCCGGCCAGGGTGTGGTTTGTTAGGTGGCCGCAGTAGTGTCCTCAGACATGCGACACTCATGGTCACTCATTTCAACAAGACATCATTCACTGGCACTGAGCAACGCACAAATTAATTCGTCGCGCAAGTAAATGCAAGCTGTGTTTGTCAGCTAAACCGAGCTAGTACGTCTTGGCACCGATTAAGCGAGTCCATGCCTTCAGCTTCTGCGGGTTGCCCGTCTCGCAACCCCATACACCAACCTGCAAGCCCACGACCACCACCGTGAGGGCCCTCTAAAACGTCGCACAGAAACCCGCTGCTGCTTCTTTTGCTCATACGGTCCCGAACCACGAGTGCCAAAGGCCCCAGAAGTAATCGCAGACACAGCAACCACGGCCTCAAGCGCTGACGTCGCCTGCTTGGCCCTCTCAACTTCGTGAAACTTCCTCCGTCGACTGGCAACTATACACTGCTCCGCGCCCCTAAAAGCTCACCCTGCAGCAGCCAGTATCTTAGCCCCGACCCTCTCCGCTGTTTGGTGGTCACCATGTCGAATACGATTGTGGTTAGTAGTCCTCTTCTCTCCCTCTCCCCGAGAGCAGTGGTGAGGTGGAGGCAGATATGGCTAACAACAACCTCAGGGCTCTGTGTACCAGCAGATCATCGATAAGGTGATTCAAGCCTCGCAAAATGACTTCGAGGAGTTTGGCGTTGATCAGTCGACGTTGGACGAGATGAAGGAGGTATGTGGCAACATTTCCGTTCTACTTCCGTCGCTTTTCATTGATGCAACGGCCTTCTCATTTTCCCGTCCTATGTCGCATTGCGTATGTTGTTATTTTCCGTTGAAGAAAAAAACTCGTTCTTTGTTTCTACTTGCGCTTTGTCGTCGTCGAGAGCGGTATGCTGCCTGGCACTGGTTGGAGGTGAGGCTGGGCGAAAGCGGGGCTGAAGTTGCCGGTCGGTCTCGCAAAGATCGGGGGCGCCCTCAGTATTTGGGTCACTTTTTATAGCCCCTGCCTCAGCCCAACCGCCCCGCCAAGTCTCGCCCATCCTTGCTTTCATGGGCCTAGCGTCATCATGTGATGCCACCTTACATTTCCTCTTCGATACCTCCCACTCACACAGATATTTATACTTTCACGAGAAGTCTAAGCTGACGCACCACAAAGAGCTGGCAAACTCACTTGTCGAACCTCAAGATCGCAGCCTTTCCATGGGACCCGCAGCAAGAGCCGCCACGTCAGCCACCAACTGTTCCATCTAATGTGAAACAGGAAATCGAGGTCTCCCCAGTCGTCTCGGCCCCTCAGCAGGAGACTGCCAACTTCACCAATGTTGGGGTCAAGGCTGAGAGAGTCTATGAGCCGCCTATTTCAGCCTATCCGCAGGTTCCCGTGAATGGCTACACGTCTGGTCTCAACGACAACATTGCACATCAGCGAGCCAATGCCCTCATCGCTCAGCGTCTCGGTCAAGGCGGGCATAACATGCAGCAACATCAGCAACATAGTGGCCAAGTCCCGATGCACTCCCAGCAACGTATGATTCCACCTCAACTGCAGCAACAGCGCGCCCAGCAGATGCAGCAACGTCCGCACCCAGGCCATGTCTACACGTCTCAAACTGACGGCTCCGACGGTGTCATGGAAGATTGGAATGCTCTAGTAGCTGCTAAGGCTGCTGAGGGCGATGATGGGCCGAATGGCCGCACCGCTGCCGACCGCTTGATGCGTGCCCACGTTGATGCTATGGCGGCTCGCCAGGACAGTGGGCTAATGATGCCCCTTGACGAGATGCCCAAGGGCAGGAAACGAAAGGCAGCGATGCGAGTCTTGCAGGCTCAACAAGCTGAGGCATCTTCCTCCTGCACCTCAGTGGTGCCTCGTGTCGCCCCCTTCGACGGGGAGCTTGACGGCGAAGATGTCAAGGAAGAGAATCCAGAAGACGCCATCAACTCGGACCTTGACGATCCAGACGATGATCTTGAGGGCGACGGAGACAATGATGACGATAATGTAGACTACATGCTCTGCACCTACGACAAGGTCCAACGTGTCAAGAACAAGTGGAAGTGCGTTCTCAAGGACGGCGTCTTGACGACGAACAAGAAGGAGTTCCTGTTTCACAAAGCAACTGGTGAATTCGAATGGTGATCTTTCGGTTTGAACAAAGCTCATTTTCTTTTGTTAGGTGACCTGGTGTTCGACTAGCCCGTCAGCTACCCGACTCCAGTCTCGACTGTAATATAATCGAACTCCCTTTCTTCTACTGTTATGATGACGGCCAGTCGTCGAGGCGACGATGCATTTTCAACGAGTATCGAAATTGGATATCCAAAACCCACGTTCGTTGATTATTCGGTTGCCATCGACCGACACAAAGGACTGTCCTCTCTTTCTTTGCCTCTGTTCTTGTTTCGTTGTTGGAAGTTATGAGTATACATCGACTACGATTCTCCTTTCCCCCCTTCTACTGTGCCTGCTTTCTAGTTTTGCAATGGATGGATGCGTGCAATGAAGGGTCAACTCGGGATGAGAACTACCTGGCCTTGGTAATATCCTCTTTTTGACGGATGGCGATGGCGCGAGGCTACGAAGCACATGGCGTGGGTTCTCTTCTTCATGCCGTCCACTTTTTTGCGTTTCATTGGGCTCAGGTAGGCTGGCTAGTCAAACTAGTTTCTATTAGGCGTTATGGCGGATCAATGGTATGGTTCTACCATTGTGCATGGTCTATGTTAGTGCTTTTTGAAGGAGGATGGATGGATGGGTGGTGGGATGGAGGCGATACATTAGCCAGTAAGAATGAATGAAAAGTGGCGTGAGAGTGTTGAATTGTGAGAGATCTGTGATGAGTGATGGGTGGTGTGTGGTATGTGATGGGTGATATGCGATGTGACGGGGACAGTTATTCGCCTGCGTAGGTGTCGCAATGAAATATTCGTGCGTCGCATGTGTCACCCTTACCGGATGTCGTAATGATGTGTGCAGGACGGGGGCCTGGATCTCTTCAGCTCTCTTCAGCGTCCTAGCAACATGGTTACAGGAATTATATTTCTGTGTAACCCCATTTCAATAGGTGACACAGACACACAGAAACCAGTTGTTGAGCAATGCCTATTCGTTACTCGCGAGGATCATGCATATAGAGCAATGCTCTTCAAATCGGATTGAAGAAGACCCTCCCTCCTAGGTTACATCTACCAGAAACAAAGAGAGCATTACAATCCGTCCAAACGCCGCATTCTTAGTGCCTCTACCGGCGGGTATCTCGGTGACAACCAGCGCCATCTGTCCAGCAATATTCTCCAAAAAATTATTTTGACTGGACAGAATTCCACCCAGGGTTCCAAAGTATTTCCAGAAACTTTGTACCCAATGCAGCTCGCGGGTAGCCAAACGAGTTCCAAGACCGCGTGACTGACCAAACAATTTCTATGCCAAAAGAACTGTGGTAGAGTTATTCTTATTTGCCCGTAAATTCGGATTCGAGATGCTATCCTCAGAATCAGCACAATTTTCTCATTGAGAAGGTGGAGGGGGAGGGGGAGGCGTACAGTCCACTCCGGAACCTCCTTAATTTTACTCCACATAAACTTTTCGAGGCGAGTCGCCGCCTTAGCATACGGCGTAGTCTCATTGTTATACTTCCGACAATTATCAAAAATAAGCTTCGCGTCGCGGATGAAGTCTTCGGGGGTTGGGTATAAGTCCTTCTCGTGCTTCTCCTCCATGGTAGCAAGGTCCATTGGTTCTTTGATGACGTCGTAGTAGTCGAGGACTTCGTCTTTGTTGACGGGTTGCTGGAACGGCCAGGCGGCGGAGTTATTCTGGAGGTCATTGAGGAGATGCAGGAGTTGGTTGTAGTTGGGTCCGTGGCGCGGGGCGCGGGCCATTTCGTCCATGTCTGGTGACCAACCGCTTTCTTTGATGGCGGCGATGCTTAGGGGGTCGATCTTGCAGAGGCCGGTTTTCCATTGGGTGGGCGGTGGGTGGATGTGGTAGGATTTGCTGACGGAGCGGATTTTCGCGTTTACACATTCCTTCTGCTTGAGGAGCATGCGGCCGGATTCGAGGTATCGGATTTTGGGTACCATGGAGCATTGCATGATGGTACCGCCTTCGTAGTCTTTGATGTAGCCCATCCACCGCGACTTCTCGAGCGTGATCTCCTTGGTGAATCCTTGCTTTTTGAAATAGCCGATGGCGTAGTTGTCGGCGTAGGTCAGGAAATGCATAACGTCGGACGTGGCCTTGACATAGTCTTTAAGGTGAGACATAAGGTGGGCGCCGTAACCCTTAACTTGCTGGTCTGAGGAGATGGCACAGAAGACGATTTCGGCAAATTGGCGGCCTTGGAAGGGACGGTAGGTGATGCCGCTGCCAATATCAAAATGATTAGTCAGACGCCTGCTTGCTTGCTAGGGAGGGGGGATCGAGTGCAAACTAACCCTACTACTTCTAGGGGTTTCTTGACGATGGCTATGCTGAGATGCGTGCGGTCATAGACTAGACGCGCGATGTAGTCCTTGGGCATCTTGGGTAGCTGCTTCTGGAAAATACATTTTAAGCCGGTGAGGATGATGGAACTTTCGCGGCGGCCGTCGTTGTTGACCACGCGGAACTCGATCTCGCCATGCCTCTCTTCGATGACGGCAGGCTTCTCGGGGAAAGGAACGAGCTTCGGGGGGGGAGGCACGACATCGGAGGGTGTTTCGCTGGACTGCTTGGGGCGCTTTGACGGGGAGCTGGTGTCGAGCGGGTACGTTGCCTTACGCTTTGCTGGGGGGGGAGTCGGGTTAGCCAACTGATAGAGCAGAGGGACATCTGGTGAGGAGGGACATGAAGAGACGGGGGCAGCATCGGACGAGTCTGAGTAGCCCAGCATGGCCTGAAGGCTGTTGTAATTCATTCTGGCCGCCATGTCGTGGTGTCGGAGCCCATTTTCAATGGGTTGCACAGCGAAGACATGAAATGCAGCGGAAGGAGCTTACCGTCTTCCTTTGCGGAGAGGGCCATAGTATAGTAGCGGTGGGAGAGCAGGAGCCCGCAGAGCGCTTTCACTCTGCCTTCCGCCACGAGCCCTTGAGGAGGTGAGGTGGTGAAGTTGCGCATGGAGGGGCGCGCGACACAGCCAGCCAATTACAGCCTGCAGGCTGGGTGACCCGCCAAGTATCAGCCGCACTGCAGGTCTGCATGAGGACACCAAAGCATCTGCGAGCACTTCCCCCCCCCCCCAGCGCCGTCACCCACCACCTTCCACCGCCCACGAGTTATTCATGTCGTCGCCACTCCTTGACGTCTGGGAGGCTGCTGCTGCCTCGCCGTACAGGCCTTCTATCGGAAAAGGCTCGCAATTCACTGTCGGCTTCGTGCTGCTGTTGCTCTGTAGGTCGAGCCCAGCTATAGCTTCTGCGGAGCTGTGCTAACGGGGCCCAAGCACTCTTTCTCGCCGGCATCTTTGGTCTAAGTGCGCGCAACCTCTCCCGTTTATCCCATACGGATCATCAATTAACAATTCTACAGACCGATCCTTCGCTAACCTCTCCGTTCTCGGCATCCCAGCTTCGTTAGCATTCGGGTACGCAACTGTGAAATCGACCCTCTTCAGCGCACTGACGGGCACCAGATTCGGGGCTGTATACATGATTTGCGCGGTCGGAGTCTACGTCTAGTTTCCTATCCACACCGTCCAGCTGGCGTTCGGGTCTTCTGTAGTCTACTGGGAATGAAATAAAAGTTCAAGAGATACCACACTAGCCACACTAGCCACACTTCCTCCACTTCCTCATCCTCTCCTACATCACCAATTGCTCTGTCGAAGACGCTGTCACATACTCACCCACCAGCCGCCACAATGGAGGACGACGATGAGCTTCCAATCCTCACCGTAGTCTCTAGTTCCGCTCGCCAGCTCTACCTCCTCCTCCGCTGCGTCAATTTCTCCGAGAAAGCCCATGTCCAGATCAGCGACGAAGGCCTCAAATTCTCTGTTGATGAAGCTAGCGTCATGGAAGGTACCCGTCCTCCAACCCCTCTCATCCCCTCTCGCTTCCTCAACTTACTGAGCCCACAGGCTCCGCCTTCCTCGACAAATCCCTGTTCACCTCCTACACTTACCGTTCCCCTCCACCGCAACGCTCTCAGCACGCCGACTCCGACGAAGAAGACTCAGAAATCACCACCAACCCAACGTTCCAGATCTCGCTCCCCTCACTCCTCGAAACGCTCCAAATCTTCGGCCTCACCGACCCTAATAACTCGAAACCCCCATGGGCACGTGACAACCTTACCAGCACAGCTTTCTCCAACAACGTACTCGGCATGAACAACATGTGCCGAATCAGCTACTCTAGTTTCGGTGCTCCTCTCGCAGTCGTCCTCACTGAAGCCACGATCCGAACAACCTGCAACCTCACCACCTACGAGCCCGCCTTCGCCGACGAAATCCCCTTCGACCGCCAATCCCTCGCCTTCAAGACCATCATGCGCGGAACCTGGCTCTTCGATGCAATATCCGAGCTCGGGTCCACCAATCCAGAGCGCCTTACCCTCGTCGCCCGCGTGGCCCGCGGGAAACCGTACTTTGCGCTCTCTGCCTCTGGCCCTCTCGGCTCCGCGCGCGTCGAATTCAACAACAACCACAACCACAACCCCGTACATTCATCCCGCGCTGCAGCCCCCACAGCCCCTTCAGGCACTGAGCCCACAGACCCGCCGGCTCCAACCAACCTCCTCGAAACCTTCCAACTCAGCACCCCGGACACTCCACTCCGCTCCTCCTACAAATTCGCTCTCATCCAGAAAGCCGCGCGCGCTATGAGTGTCGCCACAAAGGTTAGTATACGGGCTGATACGCAGGGTGTATTGAGTTTGCAGTTTATGATTGAGGTGGAGAGTGGAAAGGTTAGTTTCGTGGATTTCAGATTTGTGCCGTTAGTGGAGGATGAGAGTGAGACGGGAGAAGACGGTGAGCGTATGGAGACCATCTTGGGGGATGGGGAGGAGGGAAGTGGAAGTGGGGGTGGGACGGAGGATGAGGGTGAAGGCGAGGAGATGTAAGCTGTAGCATGTTAGTGTGCTTTGGCCTTCATATAACAGGGACCTTGATTGCACTTCGCTCACGGTATGTTCTGGTACCTGCATCAAAGTGACATCAAATTCGGGAAAGAACTATCTCACATGCGTTCAAGAAACACAAAACACATTCGACAAACTACCTTGTCATTTCATAACTATCTTATTCATATCTCTCTCACTCGCTCGCAGTATCGCACCCCACTGCATGCTCAGCCACCCTCAAAATCATTCGCAAGAATGCATGCGCCTCAGCATAGTCCACTTCCCTTACCCTATCCCCTTCTTCCACACGCCCCACCTGGTATCAACTCCAAACCCCCTCAATTTTACCTTTCTGACATCACCATCCACCATCAAAGAAAAAAAGCCCCAAAGATCAATTTCATGGGCCATCAACAGCATAAAACCCGCAAACCTCAGCAAATCAAAGAGCCAAAAAAAAAAAAAAAAACCGCTGGTGCCAACTCCAAACATTTCGAAAGAGGGCAAGGCAAAGCAAGTGAAGTCTTGATACCCATCCATATGCAGCCAACCACGCCCCCATCCAGAACGCCTTGCCAGAAGGAATTTTTAGAGTGTATCGGAAGGAAAGCCGGCCAATGGATCCACCACATTATGTCCGTCGCATTGGTGCAATTTTTCGTCTTTTCTCGCTGCACAGAATAACCAAAGGCATCGAAAACGAAGGAAGGAGGCATGAGAGAGAAGCCACAAAAGTGGATTGATCCACCCAGTCTTAAACGCCATAACCCCAGGAAAATGGTATGATGCAAATCGAAATGCCGTCTTTTTGTTGGGTGGTGAAGATGAAGACCAAACTATACATGTAGGTCGGTCGGTCTTCTTCTCGAACACCGGCATGATTGGTGGTAGGCGATGGTAAGGAAAGCATTGGAAATCCAGAGATGAGGTGTTGTACAAATAAGGTCAGGACAAGAAATTTAAAAAGGGGTAGGAAGCACTCAAGGCTCGTCGGCGTGGGCCTAGTTAAAGGTACGTCGGTGATCATCGTGCGCATAACAGGGGGTCTTCATGAGGTGATCTTGTCACCAAATTAGCCATTGAGAATGAAAACGGATATAGTACGGTTAGAGATGAGGTCTTACAGTATGACCCTTCTCAATGTGCACCATGCATGCTGAGTGGATCATCACTGTCGGGGTGATCTGCACATAGTGTTAGAAGGTGTTCGAGCGATTTGAGTGTACGGCAAGAGTAGCTTACGTAGGAGAGTAGGTCGGCGAGGTCGGCGACCACTTCGGTGACGTTGCTGAGTATGGCGCGGGACCTGGTGATGTGGGGGAGAACTTGGGTGAAGTTGGGGAGTACTGGTTCGCCGCTGGGCTTGTCGGACTATAGACGGGACTAGTCGGGCTATAGCTCGGAGAAGTTGGCGAGGTAGGTGAGCGTCTATCACTCCCTGCACCAAACTGTGGGCTGCTTGGACTGTACATAGGTGAAGTCGGGCTGTAGGCAGGAGATGTTGGACTATAGTGAGGTGAAGTGGCGCCACGACCCATCTGCGCCGGAGAGGTCGGGCTGTAGCTTGGAGATGTGGGAGAGTAGGATGGGGATGTAGGCGAATAACTTGGCGAGGTAGGCGAGTATGACGGAGAGGTAGGCGAGCCATAGGCTGGCGAGGTAGGAGAGTAGTTCGGCGACGTGGGCGAATACTGTGGGCTGGTGGCGGAGTAGCCTGGCGATGTCGCTCCGAAGCGCGGACTGCTGATCCCTGGCGAGGTTGGCGAATAACCAGGGGATGTCGGCGAGTAGCCTGGAGAGGTTGGGCTTGTTCCGCCGAAGCCGGGACTCATGGATCCATACGCTGGGCTTCGACCACCAGCATATGGACTAAATCCGCCATCAAAGGAGCTGCCACCATAAGACGTCAAACCTCCACTATCATCTCCACCAGCAGCGGCCAGAGGGGAGAATGTTGCGTCATACGTTGGTCCGCCCAGTCCTCCCTCATAAGAAGGAGAGCCAAGGTCGTACGGGGTAGCTGCGCCATTATCAAGGTAATTGCCAGCGGCAGCTCCAGAGCGCATTTGTGTATTATCTTCGACCATGGTGAGCAACATGGCATTGTCCATGACAAGATCGAACTCCCCAGTACCCATGGGAGCGAGCTGGCCAAGCATGATGTTTTCCGACACACCCCTGCAGTCATCAAGTTCACCGTTGCCTGCAGCCTCTAGAAGAATTTCCACTGTCTCTTCGAATGAACAGCGCATTAACGCGCCCGTATCGTTTCGATTAATGCCGTGGCGAGTAATGGCCATAAGCATACCGCGCTGACACATGATGTCCACCAGAAGTGCCATGTGACGGTGGTTGACATAGGAGCCATCAAAGGACAAGACCATCGCCAATTCTTTCAGCAATCCGCCTCGGGCTGCCTCAATTCCGAGCACTCCAAGGATTTCGATAAACGAATTCGAATAGGTTTTCCTTGGGTTCACGCCTTCGATAGCAAGTACCTCAGCGAGGGCGGTGCCATTAGTATCAAGAATCCAATCCTGGCATCGTGTATCGTTCTTCGATTTGATCATAGAACCATCTTCGTTGTAGTGCATCTTTATCTCCGCTCGAATGAAAGCTCGGTCAATACCACGCACGCCGCGGAGATTGACATCATCAAGTAGGTGCTTTTCGAGCTTGCGCATCCACCGTTCGTCCCTGTCCTCTTCGTCCTCGTCTTCCTTTGCCAAGTTGACATCGTAGATGAACCGAACACGCAAGACTTGAGAATCAGCGTTCTCGTCACTGAAGATTACCGCAACGTGAGGAGCAAATTCTTCTTTGATCCTACGAGCAACTTCAGTAATTGAAATACTCTTGTCAAGAAGCTTCTTGCGATCAAGAGTAATGCGAAGAAGCCACTTCGATTGCTGTTCGGTATCAATTTCCTCGTCTGGAAGGATGAAGTATGACTCGACCATATCCTCATCAGCCTCTACGACTGTAGAGTGAATATCAGGATCGTAATAGAGTTCGACAGTTTCAGCTAGGGAGCGAAGGGTTGTATGCTCGATGCGGCTTCGCAAAAATTTAGCCTCTTGCTGGGTAGCATCTGCTTCGGTTTGGAAGACAACCATAGAGGGAGTCTTAATATTGGCAGCAACATTTAAAATCTCCTTTAGACGCGGAACACCCAGTGTAACGTTCTTCGACGACACACCAGCAAAATGGAAAGTGTTGAGAGTCATCTGAGTAGCTGGCTCCCCGATCGACTGAGCGGCAAGGACACCGACCATCTCACCAGGAGCAACCGCAGCCCTGAGGAATCGGTTCTCTAGATCTCCCAAGACATTCTCGAAAGCCAACTTATTAAGGTGGTCAGAAGTGACAAGGCGTTTGAACGCGAGTCGTGATCGTAGATGACATTTAAACAATTGGGTCGCACTCTCTTGAGCCTCTCGAGACAAGTGGTCATCACCACGGATAATGACAAGCTTATCTAGAAGCGCGCGGACTTTGGTGATGACATCGACGGGGTGGAGGTCGCTCCTGCCGGTCTCTTTGATTCGGAACTTGGTCTTCGCAGTCTGAATCATACGCATAATATTAAGAGGCAGTTGCCATTGTTCGGTGTCATCCTCAGCACGTTCTCGGAGGAACGCACGATCCTTGAGCAGTTGTTCCCACTCGGCGTCCAGATGCCGCTGGACATCGATGTCTCCCTGGATTTCGCCAGCAAGATCAAGTTCTTTTGCTGGAATGGGGAACTCGTCACCCATAACATCTACTCGAAATCTTTGCTCGAACTTTGTGTGGGAGCAAGTGACGATGTCGATCCTCTGCTTCTCAATGAACGCACCATCAAGGCCGTCTTCGCCATAAATGAACTCGACAATGTCTCCAAGAGAGTTTCGGACCGTGCCATCGTACTTCACCATGACGTCTTCGAGAGCTTTCACCAATCGACGCTGAATGTAGCCCGTCTCGGCCGTCTTGACTGCTGTGTCAATCAGACCTTCACGACCAGCCATAGCGTGGAAGAAGAACTCGGTGGGAGTGAGACCACGCAGGTATGAATTCTCGATGAATCCTCGTGACTCAGGAGAATAATCGTCCTTGGTGAAATGGGGCAATGTTCGATATTTGAATCCAAACGGAATGCGCTGACCCTCTACAGCTTGCTGTCCAACGAGGGAACTCATTTGCGAAATATTGACATTAGAGCCTTTTGAACCGGACGAAACCATCTGGCCTAGGTTGTTAAAATCTTTCAGATTTTTGGCAGCAGCAGTACCGCCACCCTCACGACCTTCGTTCAACGCTTTCTGGACTTTGTTTTCGAAGGTTGCGCGCACACTGAGGCCAGGCGCAGGTTCAAGTTCGTTCGCAGTCGCTTGCTTAACAATGTCCTCGACGTTCCGCTTTGCTTCGGTAATCTTCTCGTTGATCAAACCCGACGTTTTTGCGTCTGGAATCGTGTCACCGATACCAATACTGAAACCGTTGTGCAAGAGCCAGTAGTTGACAATGCGCTGTGCGGCATCAAAGAAACCAACGGCGGCCTTCCAGCCATATTCGTTGAAGATGATGTGCACAACACCGCCTGCACTGGCACCAACAGCTTTCTTGTTCAATGGACCCCATAAGACCTCTCCCCCATGGATCAACAGGCCATCGTCAGAAATGTCGTTATGTGGGGTAGCGCTATCATCAGGAGCCCTCATTATGTTGACACCCGAGGGCAACGCCATGCTAATGATTTGCTTGCCGGTCCACCGCGGAACTGGCCTGAGAATGGCAGGCTGGGGTATAACACCATCCCACTCAGGTACCCACATCATGATGTTTTGGACTTGTTGCTTGGTGAGGAAGTTATCTCGGCGGCAGATCTTGAAGATGCCACAGAGCGTATCCTGTACAATTCCCATAAGAGGGGAATTTCGTTGCGGGGAAACGATGTTGAGAGGAACCATGCACAAGTTCATAATCTCCGCACGTGTTTCATCGCTCTGAGGGACGTGGAGATTCATCTCATCCCCATCGAAATCGGCATTGTAGGGAGATGTGACGGACAAGTTGAGGCGGAAAGTGGAGTAGGGCATGACCTTGACGCGATGACCCATCATAGATTCTTTGTGCAAGGATGGCTGTCGGTTGAAGATGATGACATCATCGTCGTCGATGTGTCGCTCAACCTTCCAGCCGTATTGCAGTCGGAGCTGGTCCAAGTTCTTGTTATGCCTCAGGTCGAGCCTCGTACCATCCGTCTTAATGACATAGTTGGCACCAGGATGTTGATTTGGGCCATTGCGTACCAGATTAGTGAGCTTGCTGATGTTGAACTTGGTTACAACCTCAGGGTAGGTGAGGGTTCGAGCGATCTTGGGTGGGACACCGACCTGGTCCAGGGAAAGATTTGGGTCGCCGGTAATAACGGTACGAGCAGAGAAGTCTACACGCTTACCCATCAAGTTGCCTCGCAGCCGGCCCTCCTTCCCTTTTAGACGGCCGCGAATTGTCTTCAGCGGTCGGCCGGATTTCTGCATTGCCTGGGGCACTCCGTTTGCGTCATTATCCATATAGGTGGCAATGTGGTATTGCAGAAGGCTCTCAAACTCATTCAGGATATGCTGGGGTGAACCGGTCTGAATGCACTCTTGCACGCGAGCATTGGCTCGAATAATGTCACCCAGCTTGTAGGTCAAATCGTCCTCGCCGCGCATGCCTTGGCCAGTTCCGTCGACAGAGATACTCGGGCGAACTGGGGGAGGTGGTACAGGGAGAACCGAGATGATCATCCACTCAGGCCGGGCGTAGTCGGCGTTCAGACCGAGCAGATGAAGCGTGTTGTCGGATATATTCCGGAAGATGTTGAGTGCATCCTGGGGAGAGATGGTCTTTTTCTCCTCGCCCTTTCCTTCGTCGTCGTCTTTCTTAGGCTTGAATGTCGCCGTGAGCTTCAGGCCCTCTTTCCTGATTGCATCCGGCTGCCTATTGCCACAGCCACCGTGTGAAATCTTGGGACCCTTCTTGTTGTCCTCTTCAGGCATATCCGTAACACACTCTCGCTTGGTCTTGGACAGTCGCCATATCGCATCGAACCGCCGCTTCGGATCCTTCAGCCGAAGGGCTGACTTCCAGTCGGGGTGGTTCTATGCGGGAGGTTAGCACTATCAACAGAAACCGATACGCATGTCTTCCTCTTGAGGGAGACCTACGTAATCAGCCAGAATCAGCCCGCAGTTGTGGCAGACGGTCTCCAAAATCTTCTTGATTTTAACGATAAAGCCTGGCACGTGTCAGAGGAGCACGCTGAAGGAATTCCAAATGACGGATGCTTACCAACGTGAAAGACAGGCACGGCGAGCTCTATATGGCCGAAATGCCCTGGGCAGACCTGAATGTCCTCTTTGCAGGTCGCGCAAGTATACATGCGGTCGATGGTGCCGAGCTTGGGATCGTTGAGACCCTGAAGTCGCGGTTGCTGCTTTTGTTCATCCTGCAGGACGATCAGCGCGTTCAAGGTGGTGACGGAACAGTGGTACATACCATAGTCTCGGGATAGAGAATGTGGACTACACTCATCGCCTTGATCTCCTCCGGCGAGAGGAGGCCGAACTGGATCTCCTTGATCGTGCGCAAAGGGCACTTGGAGTAGGATACGACGGAGGGAGCCATGGTTGCGGGAGCAGTGAATAAACTAGACCAGAGAGCGTGTTAGAAAGAGGAATCACCGGCTATCTATGAGCGTCAGCGCGAAGGCTGCGAAGGCAGCGGCAGTGGCCACGCCGACACTGGCACCTCCTGCTACTCGAGGCTCTGCAAATTTGCCGTTATAGGTATGTCGCGAGTGCGGGTATTGTGTAGAGGGCGCGCAGAGGGAGGCTGTTGATGCGCCGGGGGAGCTCGAAGAGATGGCGTCGAAGAATAGATGGCCGTTGACAAAGGCTGCACAGGTCGGGGGCTCGCGGTCGGGTCGCGCGCGGTAGGCGAGGGCTGGCGGCGCCGTTGGTTTCGCCTGACGGGCAGCGCAGACGAGCTGGGCGAGTTGTTGACGCGCTCAACGAGATGTTAGAGCGGCCGTGGAGATGGGGGTGGGTGGGTGTAGAGGGAGCGTCTGAAACAGCCGCTGGGCAGGAGAAGAGGCGATTGATCAAAGCGGCGACAAAGGATCGCGGCTGACTCAGGCCTTGGCAAAGCCACTTCACCGCTGCCTCTGACCGGCCAAGCCACAGGGCCGCATATTTCGGAATGTGCTTCACGCATACTGAGGACTTGTCTCCGTTTGCGCGCCGACGTGAAGATGCTGTGTCGCCTCTGTCCTCACCTCTACCTCTGCCGCCTTCTCCTGTGACCTCCATCTCCCTCTTTCCCCGTCGCAGCTGCCCGCCATGAACCTGTCGCTTGTGGACCCTTTTGTCCTCGCCCAGGACTGTCCTGAAGTCATCACGGGCAGACTGCGTAGGCTCCTCCCCTCTCCCGCCCCCTCCTCTCCCCGCTAGACCGCCGCGTCGTGACTCACTCTCTGCGCAGGCAGTGGCCACTCGACTTCAATCCGCTTCAGCCACCGCGGCGACCTTCTTGCCTCTGGACGAGTAAGCCCCAATTGGTACAGAACCTCTGCTGCCTCTCTGACTGAATGTGCTCCAGCACGATGGCGTCGCCGTCATCTTCGACATTGAAACAAACGGCGTTGCGCGCAAGCTCCGCGGCCACACGCGTCAGGTCCAGTCGCTGAGCTGGTCCACCAACGACCGATATCTGCTGAGTGCCGGCCAGGACTGGAAATGCGTGCTCTGGGACCTCAAGGACGGCTCGCGCGTGCGCACCGTACGCTTCGAAACCGCCATCTTCATCGCTGAGCTGCATCCCAAGAACAAGTAGGCACGCCTCGTTCGCGCCCTCTCCCCGCCCTGCGCTAATTGTGTCTCAGTATGGTCTTCGTTGCCGCCCTTTTTGAAGACCAGCCGGTCCTCGTCGACATGTCCGCCGACGTCCCCATCAAGCATACCCTGCCCTCTGCTCCGCGCCGCTCCCAAATCGAACGTGAAAATGCCTCGGAGAAGCAGGCTGCGCAGGACGCCAAGCAGACTTCAACTGTTACTGTCTTCACACCCTCGGGCGACCACATCATCGCCGGCACAAACAAGGGATGGCTCAACATCATCAGCACTGCGACTCGCCAGGTCCAGTACTCGACTCGCTTTACCAACAACATCATCGTTTTCGTCCGCTTGACCCCCTCCGGGAGAGACGTGGTCATCAACTCCAGTGACAGGATTGTCAGGACTCTCCATCTCCCTGATCTATCGGACCCCAAGCTAGACTTTGACACCCTCCAGCTCGAAGTGGAACACAAGTTCCAGGACCTTGTGAACCGCCTCTCCTGGAACCATGTGTCATTCAGCCCGAGCGGCGAATATGTCACGGCGTCAACCTGGATGAATCACCACATCTACGTCTGGGAACGTGGCCAAGGTAGCTTGGTGAAGATTCTGGAAGGCACAAAAGAAGAATTGTCTGTCGTTGAGGTAAGTTGTGCCCCCATGTGGCTTCGTCAACTCAAACTTATGACTTAGTGGCACCCTTTCCGCCCCTTCGTTGCCGCCATCGGCGTTGATTCCGGTCGAGTATGGCTCTGGTCAATCCTCCAACCCCAACGGTGGTCAGCCCTAGCGCCTGACTTTGTCGAGGTCGAGGAAAACGTCGAATATATTGAGCGAGAGGACGAGTTCGACATCCAGCCCCTGGAGGAGATCCACAAGCGCCGGCTGGACCAAGAGGACGAAGAAGTCGATGTGCTTACTGTCGAACCAGTGAAGTCCGCAACAGAGTATGAGGCGGGTGATTTCCGCATGCCCGTTCTATTGGATATCGAAGCTAGCGACAGTGAAGATGAAGTGGTAGCTATAGGGGCAGGCCAATTCCGGAGGAAGAGTCCCGGGACTGGACGAGAATGGATGAACGATGATGAATTGGTGGCAAGCGGCGATGAAGCTAGAAAGGCACTGACAAACGGCACCACCGCCACGACGCAGAATGGAACGAAGAGGCGAAGGGGCGGGTGAGAGCGCACATATCACCAAGTCAAGATAAAAATGTGCTCAGCACAAACGTCAGAATATGAGTGCGAAGAGGCTTGAAGGCTCTCGTCTTCTCTCTGTCATAAGCTACGCGAGTCTCGAGGAGAGAGATTGAATTGCTTGTGCATGTCGAGGAGCAGTCTTAAGGACGTCGAGTCAGCAGGTCAACCCTCGGACGTGCTTTACACGTCTATGTATCAGCTTCATTACTACGTCATATGCACTGCCTACGAGCCTCATCCAAAGATTCATCCAGAACTTTCCTGCAGAACGGATCGTTCACCGTAGCAAAGAAGCTTCCTAATCTTTATTCCTTTCACAGCTGGTGCCAGTCACGAAACATCAATAGGGACTATTTGAGCTACAGAACTCCTTGCTCTAATTAAGGAGACCTTGAGGATGCGAGGTTATTGTTATGTTAGGTTCTACCTTTTTATCTTTCCACATAATTGGAAAGCAGAATATTCTATTCATTTTAGCTGTAAACCTGCCCTTTCTCTTAATTCTTGTGGACATTCATATCAAGTTCTATACGAAGCGATAATATGTATCGGAGATCAATTCACGCCCTGGCCAGGAAACGCTGAAGCAGAGCCTCGAGGGGCGTAGTGGTTACGACTGGGACGGTTTAAGAAGGAAGAAACTTGTTGAAGTGAGCTTTTACTATTTACAACCTGTGAACGGTCATTCAGTTTGTCCTACATGTTGGCACAATGCGAGGCCAATGCGGTATAGAACGGGACAAGTGTATTAGTATCCTCCCTATTGCTAGTAATATGTTCAGCAGACTAGATGCTCCCAGCGAACATTCTGTGGCAGATCCCAATATGAGCCACAAACAAGAGCGTCTTCAAGGCCGCTTGTACCGCCTGTATCTCCACGCTAACCCAAATCAGCAATTCCGATATGGTTTTATCTCAACATCCATCATCTGATCACAACTCATCATTCTTCATTCTCCACCATAGGTGGGTGGTTGTTTTAGATTCTCGTACGACCTTGTTTCTCTCAAAGTTCTTGTTCTCAGTTCATGCTTAGTGGCAAGCTTGATTGTCGTTTCTAGTCGGCTCTTCTCCGTCGGAGAACTTCCAGCACCAACGGAGTTCGGACAAGGGCCCAACATTCAAGAGTTATAAATCCATTCCACATCTCCAGTTATTAGATATCTATCTATATCCCTCTATTGCTTCAATTCTATATCCTCACCCCGACACATATCCACATCTCAATCATCTCGCCCTTCTGACCTTTTCCTCCAGCACTCCCAAAATCCAAACCCTTCACCATGACCCAAAACCCAAACCTCCTCGTCTTTGGCGCTGGCGTCATCGGCCTAACCACCGCCCTCGTTCTCCGCCAAACCTACCCAACCTCCAAAATCACCATCGTAGCAAAACACTTCCCCGGCGATCGCAGCATCCAATATACATCCCCGTGGGCTGGGGCCAACTGGGCTTCAATGGCGCACGACAACGGGCCGCTGGAGAAATATGACGAAGTGACATTCCATAAGTTTAGCCAGATCGCTGAACAGCATCCTGAAGCTGGGGTTGGGCGAATGGGCATGTGGGGCGTGTTCGATGCGCTGATTGAAGATACGGGAATTTTGACGCCTGAAACGGGAAAAGTCTGGTATGAGGAGTTGGTGGGGTTGAGGGCGTTGGAAGAGAACGAGTTGCCGAGTGGAGCGAAGTTTGGGTTGGAGTTTGCGAGTACGTTTAGGATTAATACGCAAGTTTATTTGGGGTGGTATGTCATTGATTCTCTTTACCATCTTTCTATGCCTAACTAAATCTATTGCGTTCTTGTATCTCCTTATAGAGATGCTTAAACGAAGAGCAACCCCGCCTGGGGACAAAAATCGAATTTTAACAGGTGAAGTACAACAGGCTCCAAGACCAGGTCCTCGTCAACAAAATCACTCTCGTCCGCCGCACCTACTCTTCCCTCTCATCCCTCCTCTCCGATTTCCCTACAACTACCATCCTGATCAACGCCACTGGTCTCGGCTCCTTGGCCCTCACCGACGTGAAGGATACGAACCTGTACCCAACCAGAGGCCAAACCGTCTTAGTCGCCGAACCCAAGACTCCCATCAACCGCATGTACTTCCGCTCCCCGAAGCGCATTGACCCGCTGACCACTTACGTGTTTCCACGGCCGTTAGGCGGAGGCGTAATTTTGGGAGGTAGTAGACAGGATGGGAATTGGAGTGAAGAGGTGGATATGGAGCTTGCGAAGGAAATTATGGATAGGTGTTGCAAGATTTGTCCGGAGTTGGGGAGGGTGGAGGATTTGCAGGTAATCAGTCACAATGTAGGATTGAGACGTAAGTCTTCTCGCTCTTCCAATATTTTCCTCTGCTCTATCGAATTGATGGCCGAAAAGCTGCTAATCCAACATGCTGATGAAAAAAAATTTAGCTTCTCGAAAAGGCGGGCCTAGAATTGAATTGGAGAAAGGGGGTAATGGTATTCCAGTCGTCCATAATTATGGACATTCGGGAGCAGGATATCAGTCTTCATGGTGAGTTGAGACACGAACTACCCTGCGTGACCTTTTCCCGGTACTGATAGATGTGATAGGGGCACTGCCGAACGAGCTGTCGAATTGGTGAAAAAGGCTTTGGGGACTAATGCAAAACTCTGAGCACCGGCCCATATAAAGACTATCGAGTTGCAAAATGAATGCCAGTGCATATTCTGGATGTGCAGAGCACCATTCACCTTATAGGGTTACTGCCACCCACCCGCCTCGAGCATGATCTTCAGAAGCCCATATGCCAACCCATTATATGTTACCATCAGTGACTCCATCTCCGGTTGCTTGAGGAGTATCATATGGTCTGAAATCGTGCTTACGACGACTTCCCTTAAACCTTTATCCTCTTCGGGCGTTGTTGCGAATACAATCTCTGCAGCTATTGGAAACTTAGAGGTATTCCAGAACGACTGACACGCCAATATGAACTTTTCTCTGACCAGAGACTTGAGCCCCATGACTTGGTACTTATCGGCAAGTTCGTACAATCTAGCATGGTGAACTAGATTAGCCGGGAAAATATCGGGAGAAGGAATGCAACCACGGCCACCGCAACTCCAGTCCCGAACCCTGAGTTGGGTTGCACAGGCGTGATGGCTACATACAAATGCGTGCAAATTCGAATCGTTGCATGTATGTGGAAAGACCAGATCAGTTTTGTCGGTTGTCGGTACCGTATAGTCGCCAATGTACAGGTATTCGAGCATCAAGCCCACAATCTCCGTTTCGTCTTCTAAGAGATCTATCATTCTATCTTTAGCCTCCTACTTCTCATTAGCGTGATGTTGCTTGGGAACTACGAGCAAGGCTGAGTGTTGAATGGTGAGTGTGTGACTTACTCTGCCGAAATTCACCGCCCTAGCGAAATACCCGCTTCGAGGGCAGACAATTGCTTTATGAACCCTCCATGTCTTGTCCTTGCAATTTATTGTGAAATCAGAGTACTCCCCAGAAGTGAGAAGGCTGATACAATATCAGCTGCTTCGGGTCTGACGCCCGGCTTTACAGAAACCGGCTCGATAAGATAATGGCTTACTTCTTGAGCGAATCTTTTAATAACTTGCTACTTTCGTCGGCCATATTGCATAAGATTTTTACATACCGGACATTTCGCGATGCACTTGATGTTGTGTGAAGATGTGTTGTGAATGTGGCCTTGTTCACCCCCTGAAGCTGTTGGGTTGGGGCACAGCCACTTGAATGTCAGCAGATGGATCGGCAAGCCACACTTCCAGGTTACTCTGGGAGCCTAATCGCTTGCAATGAATATCTAAAAGTGAAGGTAAAGCCACATCCACGCTGTGAGGCCCTGGAAAAATGTAGGATTCATGACATTATAAGGCAAGGCATAAGGTGAATCTATCCGACTCAGACTTAAAGCGGCGCAAGATGCTAAACTGATTCGAAAACGTAAAACACCTCAGTTTGGACATATGTTTGACATTTGGGCTTCAAAAATGAAGCCCGATTTAGAATGCTGTGGACTTCTGGTTGATTGAACGACCATCAACAATGCATTGTCAAAATTAATGGTACCTAGATTTTTATAGCCAATAATAGGGGAGCCTGGATTCTTGACTTCGAAACTTAATATTAAGTTTCATGTTCAGAGATAGTTTCCAAGTCCATGCTGTGTCCCCTCGATTGACGAAAGATCGAGCGCACGAATTCACAGACATGGATAGCTAGTGAGCAAGCCAGCCTTGGCATTATATACATTTGTGGTGTTCTTTCAGTGAGGAACCGCAGCGTGGGCTGATTCCAGGTCTTGTCGTCTCATAGAATCCCGAGCGTGCCCATTCGAAGATGCATGGAGGGAATGCAACCTCGGCTCGACATATCGGTGTCGCTCTCCTATTGGTACACCAAGGAGAGATTGCTCCAGTCATGTAGGGACTTCAGATCTTGGACCATAGGGCTGGGGAATGTTGCCTCGGCTCCAAACTCAAACGAACGGGATTTATTGGCGTACTATGAGAAATCGTAGATTCGATGATCGCCCATCCTTCAAGATGAATCCGACACATTGGGTAGGCCATACGAGAAAGGAAGCATCGAGAGTGTTGCAACGCAGACAGCTGATGGTATTTGGAATGAGGTGCGTTGTCTGATCAGAGTTCTGATACGAACGGAAAACGAGGATGAAAAACCGGGTGAGAACTGGTGTGGGAGCACAAGGCTATGCTGACGCTACGAAGCGAATGCAGTGAAATCCAAAATCTAGCCCCGGATATTCGAGGAGGCTTGAATAAGGGGAGGCGAAGGACTTCATCATTGCTGCAATGACGTGTAGAGGCAGTAAAGCAGAGATATCTCCTGCACACGAACATTCGATTGGATTCATTCGGCACCTGGACGTTGACGGTGCGGCGGCTAATAATGCAGATATACGATCCGGGAAAAGGGCGATGCCTGCAGCGTAATCAGGTCCTGCTGACAACCGGATGATTGGGAGAGATGACATCGAGCCACACTCAAACGACCATGATGCCCCCCTTGGGCACCAAAGACCTGAGTATCATAGAGGTATTGGAGGATGCGCGTTAACTCGGTGCCCTGAATCAGTACCCTGCCTTTGCCCTGCTCACATGATCCGGCCAAGGTCCTAAATCTGGGGTTGCAATCCCCTGCTGCAGGATTTCAACGTGGTCGGACCTGGAGTGCGGTAGATGGAATAGGATTTGGTGCACGTTCCGACGACACGTTTTCGCGAGACACAACAAGGAAGCATCCACGCCCGGTGCGCAATGGTGCCGGGAAAATCGATGTTTTTGGACCAAGCGCGAACAATCGCGCATCGGCGTTTGAGGCCCAGACTCGGTGCTTTCCAAGAGGACGGGAGGCCATCCATAGTGGCGGGTGATTGGCAGAGCGACAAAAGTTTTACGCATTGAAGGACGCCCGTCAGTGTCTTGACATGGAAATGCTTTGTGCTGCAAGCCCGAGCAGGACCTGGATAAGACGTCTTGTTCGCCCTGGCAGTGCGCCTCTGCGTCGAAGGCTTCGCGATGACGGGCTGGCGGGCGCCGGGAGGCGACAGAAGAAAGGCGGTTAAGGTGATAGCGCTTCTCGTCGTCTTGGGTGGTGGTCCACGATTCGTTGAGGTGTGGAGACTTCAGTAGTGGAATGCGGGGACTCCAGGTGCCAAGCAGTGGCAAGCACCCACCCCCATCAAGCGTTCATCGCCATGCGCCGTTCTGTTCAAGTTGTTTTGGGCATATCTGCCGCTCTCCACAGTTCTTTCCGCCATCGTCGCAATCTGGTATACGTGCCTCGGTATCTTTCCAATCCCTTCGCTCCTTCCAACATCTCACCAGGGCTTGGCAACCTACATGGAGCAGGTCCCGTTCAGCTGGGACGTATAAGATGAGCACAAGCTTTCCAGTTTTTCTCTCATCGCATGCTGATCACCGACCTTCTCATTTTCTTCTCTTCATCTTCTCTTCATCTTCTCTCCCTCTTCTCTAGTAGTCCATCCACACTTATCTCGCCATGGCGCAAGACATTGAGAAGCACGGAATGAACATGATGGAGGACGTCGGCACCGTCGTGTCCAAGGACGGCTCCATCGAGTCCGAATTCACCCTGGAAGAGCAAAAACGAATAATTCACCGCGTCGACCGGCGTCTTGTCATCACAGTGGGCTTCCTGTACTGCGTTTCTTTGATGGATAGGACGAATTTGGGTTCTGCTTCGATCGCTGGGTGCGCTTCCAATCGAACCTGTCGTGCTTACACATGCTTACGATAAGCTAGTATGACTAAAGAGCTGAAGTTAGCCATTCCTTTTGGCGATGTTAGCAGATACTCTGTTGTAACCCTTGTCTTTTTCACCACCTATGTGGTATTTCAGCCCCCGTCTACCATAATCGTCCGGAAGCTCGGTCCTCGAATCCATCTGTCAACCATCACATTGTTGTGGGGTGCTGTGATGATTGGCATGGGGTTTGTCAATGATTGGAAGGACCTTGCTGGACTCCGTGTCATTCTTGGTATCCTCGAGGCCGGATTTTTCCCCAGTTGTGTATACTTATTAAGCACATGGTACACTCGCTACGATGTCGGAAAGCGCTACTCATGCTTCTATATTCTCGGGAGCCTTGCTTCTGCGTGCGCCGGTATATTAGCATTCGGTGTATGATACCCCTGCCCTTCCCTCGAAACAAATATTGAATACTGACTGGTCCAGCTTATGCAAATGAAGGGCCTCCAAGGCCTCGGTGGATGGCGATGGATTTTCATCATTGAAGGAACCTTAACTTGTGTGTTGGGAATAGTCTGCTACTGGTTCCTTGTGGATTTCCCCGACCAGGCACACAAGTCATACAAGTTCCTGAATGAACGAGAGACAAAATTCATCATCGACCGCGTAAACAAAGACCGAGGTGATGCCGGAGTCCAGCCATTCTCTGCTGCCAAGTTCTTCCGTGCTGGTCTTGACCTGAAGATCTGGGGCTATGCGATGGTGCGTACATTGACATATCCTTAGCCCGTAATACTGATTGTTGCCAGATCTTCTTTGATACGACATGCGTCACGTATGCCCTCGCTTATTTCTTGCCTATCATTCTCACAGAGAATATGGGTTTCAGCGTTGGAGCTTCTCAGTGCTTGGGTAAGTGAATCCTTTCCCATTGCCTTCTCCGCATCCTAACTAGAAAAGTCGCTCCACCCTACGCACTCGCAGCCATTGTCATGTACGCCACAGGCTGGCTGGGCGATAAGTACAAGATCCGTGGCCCAATCATCTGCTTCAACATGCTCCTTTGCTTGATTGGTCTCCCCATCATGGGATTCCACAAGAACGCTGGGGTCCGGTATTTCGGTGTCTTCCTCACAACAGCCGGCGCAAATTCGAATGTTCCGGCAACGATGGCATATCAAGCGAATAATATCCGAGGTATGCGGAGGACAATGTCTTCAAGTACCCTTCTTACGGTGCATGCTGACGACCATAGGTCAATGGAAGCGTGCCTTCTGCTCTGCTACGCTTGTAGGATTCGGTGGATTTGGTGGCATTGCAGGCAGCCTTATCTTCAGAGCCCAGGATGCTCCTGAGTATCACCCAGGCCTATATGCATGCATCGCTTGCTGTCTCCTCACTATTGTTATCGTCGGTCTCGAGACCATTGTTTTCGTTCGCCAAAACGGGAAAGCAGCCCGGGGTGAGATTGAGTTGGAGGACAGCGATGTAAGTCTTCTTGTCCAGCTAACTGTTGAATGTCTGTTAACAAAGTATGCAGGAGGACCACCAGAAAGGATTCAGATATACATACTGATTTTGCCAGTTAAAATGGGTGCGTACGGGTTATATTTAATAGGTCCCATGGCGATAGGTTTGGACCTCGGCTAAGGGGTAGACGATATTCATGATGAGAAATTGGAATACTTGCCGCTTAACCAGAATCTTACATCGAAATGTAATGAACCGCTGCATCTTATGCATTCGTTGGTAACGAGACGAATCTTTGCAGCATCAATATTCAACATATTCCCTCATGCCACCGTACTTAGGCCAAATGCAAGTGAAATCCTTCAAGCTGCCGTGTCTTTTGAAGTTGCGTATTCCAACCATTCATATTACTAACCTATTCGCTTAATCGTCCTCTTCCACGCCCTTTCTTCTCCATCGTGCTATGAAGTGAGGTGAGTGGAAGATGTTAAAGAATGTCCCGATGATTAGTCGAGTCCAGACGTCGATCAGTAATCAGTACCACACATTTCAGGCTACCGTTCGCCCCAAGACTTTTCTCCCCGCAACTTCACATATCAAAAACCCCATTTACGGCCGTTGGCACCTGCAAGTATCCTCAATTAGACTGCAACGCGAGCAATGCGAGATAGCAACATGCGAGGAGACGTCAATTTGCAGGTGAGTCAAACACGTTTACGCGTCATCACGTGTTTTGGCGTTGACCTTACCATTATCGCCGTGAATCCATGTTGAGAGAACGAACGATTTGAAATATAAATCAACTTCTGTGCTCAGTTAAAGCGCTTGTTTCTTCAATGTTTCACTGTCTCCGGGCTTCAATTGGCAAGAAGAACCTTTCATCATTTACTGCCCACTTCGTCCCACCAATTGTGCCGCCCTATACTCCTCCACTATGACTTCCATTCAAGTCCCCAACCCGGCCTTCTATAAGTGGCCTGCCAGCGCCACCGGAGAATACATCGCTGCTCGTCGCGCCTTGTTGGAGAAAGAATACGCGCTCCGCAACCAGATCGAGGAAGTAGCCTCACAGCGCCGAGCCCTTCCTCTTGGGCCCATTCTCCCAACCTATACCTTCGAAGAAGGACCCAAAGACCTCGCCGCATCTTCTCCAATCACGAAAGTTACTTTGTCCGACGTTGCAAAGCCCGGTAGTCTCAGCCACAAAACCCTCGTCGTGTACCACTTGATGATGGGGGAGAACGCGACGAAAGCGTGTCCGGGGTGCAGTATGTTCGTCGATGGCTTGAACGGCGTGGCCAAGCATCTGGCTCAGCGCTTCAACCTGGTCGTTATCGCTAAGGCACCACTTCCCGTGATTCGCGAATATGCGATGAAAAGGGGTTGGCACGACCTTCGTTTCTTGTCTTCTTTTGGGAATTCGTTCAATAAGGATATGGGAGTCGAGGCTCCGGAGTGGATGGACGATATGCCTCAAGGCCCGGGAATGAGTGTGTTCAAGTATGAGGAAGATGATGGAGAAGGAAAGGTCCGATTTTTATATCAGACTAATCCGCATTTCGACAGGGATGTGATCCGTGGAATGGATCTTTTGACTCCAGTTTGGAATATATTAGATATTACCCCAGAAGGACGTGGCGATTGGGACCCGGGTTTTGAGTATGTCGAAAAGTGGGATGGCGTTAAGTTTTGAAGACGGTATATCACGGTACACCCTGTAACTCGGATGCGGTTTATGCTCGTTCTTTGTCTCTGAGAAGAGACCTGTGCAGTCTCCCGAAAATATGAATTACTAAACATTGACTAATGCGTGAAATCTCAATTATTCTTTGTTATCTACGAATGCTATGTTCCTCTCCACTTTATGCACAGAACAAACAGTCCCCTTCGTATGGGTATACCACTCATTTCTCGATACCCACACAAAAAGCACTGGCTTAAAGTGCAAGTAACTTCAAACAGTATATGCCCAAAAATCGCACACAGACAAACGCCAGTATATCAATCCGATCGATCAAGAATGTTTGTTTCATGCAAACCTACATGCACCCCTGAATGCAAATGAATGGTGTGAGATGCCCCTGTGCGCACCGTCGCTATGCAATTTAGAAAGGTAAAAAAAGGAAAACCAAAGGAATAGTAAGAAAGTAGACGAGACTTGAAATGATACGAATGGACCCGGATTTAGTACAGAGTACATCCCCATTTGACTGCGTCGATGATTTAGAATTTGAGCTTAAGTATCTCGACCCAGGCTGCCATGCTGATGGAATGGTCGCAGCCACGTTCAGCAATGAGCCAATTTGCCAACGGTAGTATTTGAGATCTTCCCGTGGGCCTCTTCGAATGCGAGCCAATTGGTTTAGTAAGATTTGTATTTCTATAAAGTAATTAGTATGTGCCACATATCTGGAACGTATTGCATGTGGGGCAAACCTACATCTTCAATTTTCCTCTTACTATCCTTATCCAGCGCATTTCCAACACCAAGCAGGGTATGAGACACCGCTTTCGTGGCGCCCAGGGCGGGTCGTAGAATGACCGTAGGCGCCCTCTTAGCGATTGCCTTCGCCATGCCTAGGCCGGTACCCTCCTCCATGACTTCAGCGGGAATTGCAATGATAGCATCCCTTGCTGTGAGCAAATCTCGCTCAAGGTATCTAGCTGCATTTCTCAACCCAGCTTTTACACCAATGGGCTGGTTGGCATAATTTGACACAACCCTAGGCTCATCATCGCTAGCATCCGAGGGGTCCACATCAGCCCAGTCATGTATCGTAGATGGGGAACGCGGGGAGCCGGAATGGGGATTCAGGAAATTCTCGGCACCTTCAAGAATATTTTGCGTTCCAATTGCAATCTTCGCGCCGAGACGGGCTGCTTCTGATGTGGTATTCTTGGCAAATGCATATACGCCCTTCTGGAGGCTCCTAACGATGCGGCCATCTTTCCTGTACTCACGCATTGGGACAACAACAAGGTCACGGACACCACTACCAACGTTAACGATAGGGCGGACTGCAGCCAGACCTGAAAGCACTCCGGGAAGCTGATTCCTCTTCACATCCGGCATCCAGACATCGTTCAAGGTCTTGTGTAGCTTATCAAAGCTCGTGATTCCGTAAACAATGGCATGTCGAAGTATAATATCGGCTCCATCCAGAATAAGGAAGTTCATGAACTCCGTGGTGTGGCCGGAACGAAGACCGTGGTAATCAACTCGCTTCGGTTTGTAGTCGAGTTTCAACGTGACGGAAAGGACCTCAAGACGTTGGATAAAAGGCTGCTCAGAAGATGCGCTAGAGTTAGGAGCAGAGTCATCCTTGAACTCAAAGAATCGCGTAATGAAATCCAGAGCATCCTGGTCGACATGCAGGCGGAGAGGGAGTACGGTAGCCTGAAAACACGATCAGAAAAGTTGAGGAAGTGTCATTGCAGTACTTGCCTTTATGACGAGTTCGGAGGCAGCTAGGTCGCTCACCGGCCTCACAGTCAATAGCTCCAGGTTTATCATTGGCTTACCCATCTCTCGCAAATTTGGTTCGATGAGCGAAGTTGCAAATTTCCTCCAAGTCGAAGAAGGGACGTGATCGTAGATTTCAAAATCACGCACACGCACATTAAGGGAGTTCTGTGTCTCCCCGGAGTTGGGAGGGAATACGATTAAGTCCAAGGCCACACCGGACAACTGGAATGCGATCTTCTTGTGCTTGCTTCGCTCCAACTTCAATCGGCGACGATGAGGGTTACCGGCACTTCGCGGTCGCGCAGTGGCTCCAGTGCTTCGGGTAGCGGTAGAAGTTGCATAGCTCCCAGTTTCGCTTGCTAGATCATCAATGTCATGATTGATTTTCTTTGCGAGAGCGCCTTTTTCTTCTTTGACCGGGACGCCAATCCAGACAGAGTTAAACAAGAAATCTGCCTCAACAAAGTCTTCCTCATCATCTTCATCCTTGAGCCGTCTACGTCGCTCTTCCGCCCGAGCTTCTACATCCTCAACGGCCTGGGCAATGACACCGCGGGTTCGGGGCCAGTCGTAACCATCGAACAAATTCCAGATGATGTTGACGTCACGGACACAGACCTTGAGGGGAGCGTCAGGGGTCTTGAATTCGTTGGTTAGGTGGTATTGGTTCTGTGTTGAATCCCATTTCCGAGCGGTCCCCTTGTGCTCAGAATCTGAGTCTTTGAAGTAGTTGTCGTCGAAGTCGAAGTCCTGCTCCCCTTCCGTAACCTCGTATTGTTCTTGGAAACTTTCAAGAAGACCTCTTTCACCTGTTTTCCGAGTCACTGGTGGAGTTGCTAGAGCCCCCAGATCGTCTTCGCCGAGCATGCTATCTCCTAGCTCCTCTTCAGTGGGAATTGACTCTGGGTTGTAGAAGCTCCCCACAAATTCGAGGTTCGTGGGTACTTCATCGGCAACCAAATCAGCATAGTCCATGAAATTCTCTTCTTCTACGGTTTCCGGGGAAGTAATCGCATCTCCAGTGAACGACTCCATCATTTTCTGTAGCGGAACTACGGTTCGGTACTGCTGGGCGGTGCTCGGTGGAATAGGCGGCTGGAGACCACTTAGAATGGCGATGAGTGTTTGCGTGGAATCTGCACATGACTCAAGAACAAACAGTTCGTTCTTAAACTCAACATCTACCACCTGTGGCTCGTCCTTGCTATCGCCTTTGATTTTCACTTGAACTTTTGCGGCAGATATGGAGCTGAGAGAGACGTAGCCTGATTCGCGCAGATTAGTCAATTGGTGTTGCCCAAGTGGGGAACTAGCAGGCGGAGCCGACACGTAATCCCTATTCTGCTCAAGTCTCCCAGTGTCATCAATAGCATGTATCGAGGCTTTCCGGAGTTCTACAGCGGCAAATATCTCCTCTTTCTTGGACACGGTTCCCGTGAAATGTGCATCGGTAAGGACGAAGAGGCCTTTAGAAGGAATCTTCCTCGGATTAAGCCCAATCGCACAGCATCGGAGAAGGAGATCTACGCGAAACGGTTTCGTAGAGCCACCAGGAGAGCTGCTCGATTCTGACGAATGTCTACTTAGCATTTTTGGAGATGTCCCACCAGTAATGGTTGCGACTGATGACGCGAGCCCCAATGCGATATCGTCGACTGTACCGTCGTCTAGGATGCCTAGGGCTGCCATGATCGTGGTAACATGGTATTCAGCACAAAGGTTGAAAAGCTTTGCTTTAATGATAGGTTCCATTTCGTCACCGATCATCCTTGCCATGACCATAGGTAGCTGGTCTTGTGGGCGAAGCTCGACAACTTCGTGAATTAAAAGCTCATTGGCACGGGTAACTGATGCTTTGCCAATTTCTACAGCGAAGAGTGGAGGAACTCCGACATGTGCGACGGAAATAACTTCACAACCGATAGAAACATCGCCGAGTCGCTCGTTGACCATGCAATTTGCATCGAAGCGCTGGACTATTGCGAGTGTGAGTATTCCAGGGCGATCATCGTCCGGGAGATACTTCGTCACTCGAGCCAGCCTGGCTACTTCCGCACCTAGAGCATCAAGGGTCTGTAGTTGGCCGATGTCTGTTATGCGTATTCCTACACTTGCAACTTCTGCTCGGAGGACAGATCCCTTTCGACGTTGGCGAAGTAAGGTGTCAATGAGAATGTCCCCATCATTTTCATATGGATCCTTGGATGGAGTGATCATGGAGATTAATCTCGTCAAATCGATTTCCTCAGGCGTAAAGAGAAAATTGATGGTGGTATCTCTAATCTCCACAAGAAGCGGCACTCCCACTTGGGCAGCGTCTACATAAGGACCGGATAGCTGGACTTCTGATACCTTCAGACGAAAGTTGCTTTCTCGGACTGCAATTCGTACTGACGTTGTTTGCAGTTGCAATGTACAACTCTTCCCTTTGAGAGTAAATGTAACTTCCCCAAACTTGATCTGAATCTTAGGGAAACTAAGGGCAGTAGTCGCCGGAGGCGGTGGAGGTGGAGTATCGCCAAAATGAACGCCGCGTGGTCGAGACTTAGCCACCGAAGTCTTTGGGCTATTGACGATGGGATTTGAAGTCATAGAACTGCCTAGTTCTAGAACACCACTAAAGCCTCCAAATGAGCCCAAAGCCTCGTCAAGCTTCTTCATGTCAAACATGATCTTAACGGGCCGTGTTACGATGGTAACACGGCGATCCTTCGTTTGCTCGAGGTCAATCTCGATATCGTTATTAAGTATATCCGCGATGCTGACAACAGAAGATCTTTTTGATTTCGGCTTCGGTGGTTGAAATGAGATGATGTCCTGATTAAGAGTTGATAGCACGAATTTTCGGATTAGGAGTTTTGCACGGGCTTCCTCAAATTGAGCTTGACTTGCAAAATGTATGGAGGAGAGACCGATTCGAATAATCGCATCCAAAGGATTATTCTCTAGCCTAGATAACGATCGGCCGTTCTCCAGTAGCGGCTCGGTCACTAAACGCTCTAGCCACGCAATACTGAAATGCTTTATAGAGAGATCTAACTTCGCTCGTGGGCTCACCGGGGCATCCTTCTTCATTGCTGGCCTGGTGTCTGTGTCAGACATACCAGTTAACGCTTTCAGGATCCTGTCAAGCATCTGAAACATGATGCGGCCGGTAGAAATGTCCATATGTCCAACCAGCGATCCGACCTCTACACTGATCATAGGAGAAGGCTCCTTTTTGGGAGTAATGGAGTGTTTCTCTGCCAGAGCTAGCTCAGAAACCGGGCGTTTCTTCGGGGCTTCTGGTATTCTGGACGCAGTGGAGAGAGCATAATTCGAGAAAGAGCCTGGCATGTCCTGAAAAATGGAATCTTCACCGAGGTTTGGCGGAGCGAAGTCGAGACCTCTATCATCTCTTATCTGTCCGGCAGCGTCTTCACTGGGCTCGTTTTGCTCTAAACCAAGCGGAAACCAGACGCTAATCTGATCGATAGTCAAGAAGAGCTTTGCAAGCTTTTCCCCAGAGCGTGCATTAGGGAGGCTAGGTTCGATATTTTGACTCGGTGAGCGTCCACGATAATCGACCGGAGAGGATAGTTGGCTTTGCCTACTTCCAGGACGTGGTGTCTCACAGCCATCGTCAGCCTCCAGTAGGGGTCTCAGTATGCTTGAAGCTACCATTGCAGGAGGAATCGGCACAGAAGTGTCAGATCCTGTATCTTGGCTTGAACTTGATGAAGACTCCCAACCTCCAGGAACCGATAGACTGCTGGAGGCTAGTGGAGCTGCGCTTAGGGCGCTCATGTACATGCTTTCAGCATCGTCATGAGTGAACAACTTTGACTCGGCCAGGTCTTCCTCGCCCGGGGCAGAATCACTGTGCATTCCAAGTGAAGTGTTTTGTTCCGGTTGCATATGATGTCGCGCGAAATCCAAGTTATCCGTCGACGCATCAAGTTCGGACAACGCGGGTTGTGACAACGAATCCTCACCATTTACAGACCTTAAAGAGCGTTGGAGAGTATGTGAAGACGACGAACCGAGAACTAATGGTAAAGTGTCAGGAGATCCGGGCCTGAAATCGTGGCTCAAATTCGCTCCATCGCCTCCCCATCGTCCTGGGTGCCTGAAAGGTCCAATCCCTTGAGTTGAGCCGCCTAGCGTAGAATCGAAGAGATTGTTGTCTGAAGAATACTCCAAGAGGCCATCGACGTTATATAAAATGCTGTCGGCACCCGCGTCGCACGGTGCATTAGGATGCTGTGGTTGAGTAGGCAAGTCGCTTGCGATACTATGTTCTAAACTGTCGTCAGAAGCGGCATCTGCAAATCGATCATCATCAGTAGTAAGAATAGAAGATGAAAGACGATTCGCATTATCGTGGCGAGGCGGTAGGGAAACAAACTCGGTTTCATGTGGAATATCAGGAACAAAGGCCTGGACCGGGTGTGTGTCTTCTTCGGGCAGAGTCGAGGGATTATCATGACCTGCTGAAACTTGGCTAGTCGACGCATCACTAGGGATCTTCTGGCTCGAAGAGAGCTCAGAACGAGTGTCTGCTGGCGACGATGGCCGTGAGATCCGGGATAGTGTTTCGAAATTGTCTGCGTCGGAGATGAGGCGCGCGTAGACATTCTCAACCCGCATCCGTCGCTTCCCAAGTTTAGAATCTGGGTTTCCTGAAGGCAGCGCAGCAGAGGCAATGTCAACCTGAGGATCCCGAGACGTTACAGAGTCAATTGCTATGCGGTCGATATGAAAATTGATAGACGCGAATGGATCCTCGTCCTCGTTTGACTCATTCGATCCGTCGGAGGGACTCTGATCTTCAACTTCGATGTCGATATGGTTCGCAGTGATCTGGAGCCGATCCAAAGCGGTGTTCAGGAGATTGCGGAGCACAGCCGGAAGAGCCAAAGGGGCTCCCATGCCAGTGGTGCTTTCGTCGTCCCCATCGTCACTAGACGCTATCGACTCTTGAAGGTGTTCTGACTGCGTATTCAGGGCTTCCTCTAGTTCTCGAATCTCTTCGGCGGGCTCGTCCCGAATGAACGACTTCGCGAGATCATCTACAGTCAAAAGGGGTTTCACGTCCGCCTCTGACGATGTATCGCTCGAATAATCTTCGAAAGGAGAGGGGGATGACGGTCGACGTCGGCGGGGAGGTGAGGGCCGTTGTGTCCTCGCTTCAGATGGTTTCCCGTCTTGACTCGGCACCTTCGCCTCCGCAAGCTCGCTATTCTCGGATAATCGTGCGTGTACTTGCACTCCGTCCACCTCGATCAATATTTGCGGAACGCCGAAGTCGAGAATAAATGTAACACGAAGTAGTGATGCCTGGGCTTTCGAAAGATGGATTTCACGTGGGAGCTTTAGGCGGAGGAGGGAGACGAGTTTCTATCAACGCAAATGTAAGCAACATGCAGTCGGGAGGGTTCAGTCAGGCATATTGTTGCTTGCCTTGACGTGCAGCCCGACATCGCGAACTTCGAGCGTGGTCTTTTTGCCGACGTCGACACTGACAAAGTCGGCTGGGTCTTTGTCTAAAATATCAATATGTCGTAATCCGAAAAGAAGAAGTTTTTTGCCGAGCGATGAGGAGGCGGCCAAAAGGAATGCCATGTTGAAATGCGGTTAGGCAGAGAAGGCCGATCCAAGCCTACGGTGCGGTGGAGGAGTAATCCATAGGAGACGGTCCTGTCAAGGACAAGGAAATAAATGGAGTGGGGGAAGGAGGCGTGGGCCCCAGAAGCAGCAGTGATGGTATGTTATGATTCGAGGGCTGTCCTAGACAGGCCGGTTAGTGTTTGCGGTCGCCGGATGGGAGACCAGCGTTCAGTTCGGTGGAGTGAATATAGTGACAAAGTCACTTGTTAACGGTAGAGGTCACGAGGGAGCGTAGGAGAAGCGCCGATGCAGGTAGTAAGTTAGGTGAACAGCTAGGGTCGCCGCTTGGGTGTAGTGAGAAATAGCGCCCAGTGATACATGTAGGTCGTGCAACCTGGGAGGGCGCCCCGCCACGTCGAAATCACGAGGTGATAAGCCACGCTCGATATCCCAAATCTGGCTGCGGGAGTTGGTTACGTCAGCAACGTCAGCAATAGCCCTATTCGAGGGCGGCAGGTATTGCCAACCATGAAAAGCTGACTTCTGTAGCAGGTACTGAGTCTAGCCTCCCATTCTCGTTTCCTCTTTCTTAAATAAATTACCTTATTTTTTGGGAACAGAACAGACATGGCCTCAGAACCTGCGGCAGATGACGACAGCTGGGAGCAAGCTGAAGGGATCCCGAGTCTCAGTGACCCGTTCATTCAGAAATATATGGCTGGAAGAGATGCCCTTGTAGAGCAGGAGAAGAAGCAAAGGAGCGGTTGGTCAATCATTCCCGCAGATCAAATATAACCATTCCTGGTCTGACAGGCCTCAGACCGAGCCTTCCGCGAAAATCTATCGCCAATGGCCGCCGAAGCGTGTTCCATAGTTGATCAGATTCGGTTCGAAGAGCAGCAAACGCTGTGGACCAAAGAGTACGAAGACAGCCTAGTAAGCCAACACGTGGATGTATTTCCTGGAATGATGTTCTCTCTTGCCAAAGACCGGATGGAGAAGAGTAAGCTCTGGCAAATAATTAAACGGATGCCGAAGGGCACCCTCCTACACTGCCATCTTGAAGCTATGGTTGACCTCGATTGGGCGATAGGGGAGGCGTTTGCGACCGAAGGCGTATGCATCCGTAGTGACCACCCCCTCTCATCACCCGCTGCACTTCTAAAGACTGGTTTCTCTTTTACTTTCTCTAAGACTCAAGCTCGAGATAATGTTTCCATCTGGAGCGATCATTACACTTCTGGTGCTCTTATTTCAATTGCCACAGCAGCGGAGACGTTCCCGAGTGGCGGACGGAAGGGCTTCATCGAGTGGATACAATCCCGCTGTTCAATCACTGCCGAAGAGCATCTGGCACACCATGAAGGGCCGAACGAAGTCTGGCGCAAGTTTCTATCCTGCTTTCCGATACTGGGGTCCTTGATCTTCTACGAACCAATCTACAGGAAATTCGTACGGAAGATGTGCAAACAACTTCTGGATGACGGCGTTTACTATGTAGATATGCGGGCGGCATTTTACACTCCCTACAGATGCCTCGGGCAAGAGGAGTTTGATGACGGATACATAAATATGTTGGACCACATGGAAGACGAAATTGAAAAGTTCAAAGCGTCAGAGGAAGGGAAGGACTTCTGGGGCGGTCGGATGATCTGGACAACTGTTCGAGCGTTCGATAAGCGCCGGGTTATTGAGAGTAAGTTGAACCTTTGACTGAATATTTCCATATCTTTCTCATATCTCAATCTTACCCGACTAAATCCTACTATATCCTCCACTAACTGATATAATAGGCATGAAACAATGCATTGAAATGAAGCTTGAATTCCCTGATCTCATTGCCGGCTACGACCTAGTCGGACAAGAAGACATGGGCCGATCGCTCCAAGACCTCGCTCCCGAACTTTTCTGGTTCCGCAAGAAATGTGCTGAAGCTGGCGTGGACATCCCGTTCTTCTTCCACGCGGGCGAAACCCTCGGCGACGGCGACTCGGTCGACGAAAACCTCTTTGATGCTATCGTTCTTGGAACTCGGCGAATTGGCCACGGATTCTCGCTATACAAGCATCCGCTACTTATCGACATGGTCAAAGAGAAGAAGATTCTGATTGAGAGTTGTCCGGTTAGTAATGAAGTACTGAGGCTTTGTGGCAGCATCATGAGTCATCCGCTTCCGGCGCTGTTGGCGCGAGGTGTACCGGTGAGTCTGTGCAACGACGATCCTACAATTTTGGGTCAGGGTGTTAGTGGCATGTCGCATGATTACTGGCAGGCGCTACAGGGCTGGGAAAATCTTGGTCTCGCTGGCTTAGGATCGCTCGCAGAGAATAGTGTTCGGTGGGCGAGTTTCGAGGACTCGAGTGCGAAGGAGTGGGTGCAGGATATAAAGGATGGGACGATGGGGAAGGGCATAAGGGCGAGGAGGCTGAAGGAGTGGATTAGTCGGTGGGAAAAGTTTTGCGCTTGGATCGTGGATGAATATGGGGTTGATGAGAACTTGGACCCTGAGGAATGACGGGAGGGATTGAACGAGTGTGAGAAGTGAAACTTTCAAAGATTCAACAACTTGATTTATACCAACTCAACAGGTGTGTTAGGTTGAGCGGCTCCTTCTTTTAGGGGCGTGGCTGTCTGCTAGGGACTTTCATCAACTTGGTCCAAGGAGCAGAGATTTCCACAGTGCCCTCTTCGTTTCCTATGGAGCATTGTGTATGATGGGAGCTCACTCATTTGGGTGATACAAAGGGGGATAGCAGTTGTGAACCAGTGGTCCAAGATAGGAACACAGGTAGCGAAAAAGGAGATAGACCTTAATTCCTCGCTAAAGTCTCTCCAGCACGAAAATAATTGGGACATCATGCACAAAGTACGACTTGGCGATTCCCAAAACCAGCCACACTCGTGATCCTAACTTCCCTCCTTCTCCTCGCCCTCATCCTCTTCCTCGGCTGCAAAGAATTTGGCATAGATGACTTTGATCCAGAAAATCGATTCGATCGTACCAAAAATCGATAAGATGACGAGGACCGTGTAGTATACAGCACGGTTGCCACCTATCAGTTCTATTAGGTTGAGATTTGGCAGTACCCCCTGGCTCCCCGATGCCGGTCTTGGTTTTGGGGATTGAGGCGTGGACTTGTGTGATGAGGATGCATCTTGTCGTTTAGAGACGGGTTGGCTAAAAGCGCGAGAGACAATTAAATTGGAAGGATGGGGTCGATCATGTTGGAGTTGGTAAAGGATGGGTTGAGGGTATTTGTGTACATGTGGCTGACTGAGCTGGTGTTTGGGAGCTGTGCGGAGGAAACGTGTAGCGAGCATGGCTTGAAATTTGGAGACTTTGATGACTCCCGAGGAAAGGAACGATGAGGGAAAAGGGCTACAAGAGAGGGACGAGAATACCTAAAGACTCGTTACATATATATCTTTCTGTGCGTCCATGGTGATCGTTCAGGCACACTGTGAGCAATTCAAAAAGGAAGAAGATAAGGCCAAGCTCGGGCGGAAATTGCGAGACTGCTCACGTGCGACGGTCTCAGCCTTGCCGACGTCGCCGTGAAACGGTTCCGTCGTCCGGTGAAGTCATCGCAACAGCTATCCGCAGGTTAATGACTGTGCTACGAGGGGTGGCTGAAGGGAGTTCACCACACCTCGCCCCATGATCAATGAAGAGTGAACACATGTGTTCTTGAGACGAATGACAGATGCAGAGCCAACGGCAAGAGGTCGAAAACGAAACAGACAAAAATGGGTGGCTGGTCAGAGCGCTGGAGCGGGAGCCGGGGGGTCCACAGCCTGTTTTGCCGAAGGAACGCCCGCCAGGCACGCCCGCTTGGCGACAGTCCCACGCGCCCTGTGACTGCATACCTCGACCTCTTTCACCACCTGCACTCATCCCCGCCGTCCTCTCCCTCCACTGGTTGACTCTCTCTTCACCTGTGCAAGACATGAGTGATATCCGCGAGGCTCCGCTGTCACCCACATCTCCCCTGCTACTTCACAGCGCGCATGTTCTCGCGTCTGAAGCCCCGCTTCGGTAACATCCATGGAGCGTCCCACAACCGGAAGGAGCCTTCCTCGATGTTGCTGTGGATCTCAGAATTGCGCCTTCCTCGCCCACAACAGCAGCCTTCTGGAAGGCCTAGAACGCGATGTCCACAAGGCCGCTCAGCTCGGCCAGGTATGTACTCCCTTTTCCGAGCTCGCACCTTGCGTAGCCAGTGCCCGCTATGTCGCTGACTTTCGCACTCCAGGCCCTCCTTGTGCGCCATGAAGCCTATGTTGCTGACTCGGAGCGGGAGCGTCGCCAGATGACGGCCACGATTGAGAGTCTGGAGAAGGAGAAGTTTGAGCTGGAGCAGCGGAACGCGCAGACCATCAAGGCCAACCGCGACCTCCTCGACCAGCTGGAGCAGCTCAACGACGCCGTCGTGCAATCTGACGCCGAGGTCAGAGCCCTCACAGACACTCTGCATTCGACCGAGGAGGAAATACAACGCCTCTCGTCGCTCGCCGCACGCACGCAGTCGCTGGAAGCCCAGCTGATAGACCTCGAACGAGAGCAGGCGCACCTCCAGGGGGCACTGGACAGCAAGATTGGCGACGAGCGCACGGCAATGCAGAGGTGGAGGCGGGCCGAGAAGACTATCGGGGACCTCCAGGACCAGATGGACCGCATTGAACAGGAGGCACGCCACGAACGCGAACGGCACGAGGAGATTGTGTCTCGCATGGAGAGACGCATGGCGGTGGGCGGAGAACTGGCAACGGCAGCAGGCCGGCTGAAGGCAAAGGCAGGCCAGGACCAGGCCGGCAGCCCTGTTGTGTCGCACTTCGTCAAAGACATGCTCCTGGACAACGCTAACCTTCAACACGGCATATTGGAGCTCCGCGAGATGCTGATGAACTCGAACGAGGAAGTCGAGCGTCTCCGGGAGCAGCTGCGCGCTCATCAGCCAGTGCCGCCCGCTGAAGGGGTGTCGACCCCGACTCCGACGCTGCAGAGAGAGCTAGCCGCAGAGCCACTTCCAAACCAGGAGTTGCACATCCACCATCACTACCACGGCCCCCCAAGAAAAGACGGTTCCAAGAACGAGCCACATCGCCGTGTCAGGAAGAAGCGCTACGGTATCACTCCAGGATATTTCACGCCTCCTGTTCCCCAATCGCCATCCCCCTCCACAGCCATACTGGCACAAACGACTGCCACCGTGCCTCCGAACTCGAATCGTTGGTCAAATGCCACAACGCTTGCTCCATCCTCACTCCCTGCATCCCCCCTCTCCGTGTCCCACCGCGGATCTTCCATCTATGACCGCGTCTTCAGCGATGTTGCATATGACTCTTCGCGTCCAACAAGCCCATCGGAGAGCATTGACCCTTCATCACCCATGTTCAGGCCCCTAGATGCTCAAGACGACGTACCCTACAAACCAAAGCGAGGCTCACACAGCCTGAAACCTCCGAGCCTATCGACGATCCGCAGCGCCTCGACTCCGATATCCTTGACGACTAAATCTAGTCCAGCAACCGCCATAATTTCAGCTCCCAGTCCGCAGAATTCTCTCACCAGTGATATCTTCATGCTTTCTCCAGCCCTGGCTTCGACTATACCAGAGGAGAATGAGAATACTTCAACACCGAAACCCCAGTCCCTTACCTCGCCACCCTTCTCCACCACTGTGGACGACGGCGAGCTCTTCTCTCCTACAACTCAGATCCGCCCCTCAGTCCGCCGAGCCGCCTCTCATGAGTCCCTTATTTCCATATCTGGCATGGATATTCATACCCTGCAATCAAGACCCTCACAACTCCTTTTGTCATCTTCTCCTCGTTTTGCCTCTCCTTCATCTGGAACATCGAGTCATCCTGTCTTGACTCCATGGACTGCAACAGCTACTGTAAGCATGTCAAGACGAAATCTTGACAGTAGTACTTTCAACCGCTCATTACTGTACGGCTCCGTCATCAATCAGAAGCGAGGGATAAATAATCCAACAAAGAAGCACTCCTCTGATACCCTCGGCAAAACAATTGGAGGCTGGGTCTTTGGTAAATGGGGTACTACTCCAAGTCCGAGCTCTTCCGATGCCATTACCTCTGCAAATCTGCCAGCTCCCTCCAGTGGAGGCGATAAGAAAGGTAAAGGGGGCGAAACAGCGAGCACGCCACTTTCTAGCCCAGCTACTATCAAACGTCCAGATGCGTCCACGCTGGCTAAAGATGGCATCCCTGTTCGTCTCCGTCCGGCAGGCGTCAATCAGTCAGGCCCCATCTGGGGCTTCTTTGATGCTATTCCGCCAACCCCCGAACAAGTCATGGTGAAAAGCTTGGACGAGGAGGCTCTGAAGAATGCGTTGACAGAGACAGAGAGCTAATTCCTTGTCTTTGGCGAATGTTTTGCATCGCATCTTTGCCATATGTTGGGGTCGTCGCTCACTAGTACAGATTTTTTTTTCTTTTTTTCTTCTGTGTGTGGAGAATCTTTGAGTCTTGCGGTGGTGTGGCGTTTGGCAATTTTCACGATTGTGAGACTGGACTGGACTGGATTTGGAGTGTACATTACACCTGCATCTTTGGCGTTATTTTATTTTTCACATATTACGTTGGCTAGAGACTGGATGGGGTTCTGGGTGACTCAGATACAAGGTATTCGTTCGACATTTTGATGGATATACCCCGACACGCCATGGACGGCATTTCCTAGGGTTAATTTGAGCTCTATCTAGAGTGTGGTATTTGTGTAATACAAAGTCATTTAGGCATAGATTGAGCTATGGTCACTTCGAGGAGGGTACATGGTGAAATTTAGATAGATAACGTGGTTTGAGAGAATCGTTAGTCGGCTTTAGCATGGTTTGACAAACACCAGGCCTACAATCCTTAGCTGAGGGTATTGAACTATAATATGAACATTTCATCCCTCCAAGTCATTGAATTGTCGTAATACAAACTCCCTTCTGCCCCTTCTTGCAGTTTTATTCTCCCGTGAACTCTTATCAGAACTCTTGAGAGCAGCATTCGCATCTCATGAGATCTTTCGTAAGTTCACCCTGTCTGGCTCTGGACTGACTGATATAGCATCCCATCCTTCTCAAATCCTCACTTCAACCTTCTGCTTCCTCCATTCTCCAGGCCCATCCTCAATACTCTCCACAATCCGCATGTGCTCTCTGATCTCCATCTCTTCCTCGCTATCGCTGCTCAAATCTACGACCTTCGCTCTTTTCCTCAGCAATTTCTTTTGGCCCCTTTCCCTCTCAATACCGCTGCCTAGATCAAATGACTTTGCTCTCTTCTTCGTAATCAGTTTCTGCCGTCTTCCTTCGCCAGAACTCGCCTCCTCTGTGTTAGTGTCCATCTCCGAACTCTCAGGCTGGTGCGGCAGCATTGTCGGCGCCATAAAGCCCCTTAGATTGATCGGGCCGGATCCGGATAGGAGTTGGTGCCTCCGTTTCCCCTTTGATGTATGTGGCATTTCACCCTCAATCGCCTTCAATAACTTCCTGCCTTGTTTCGGGTCGCGCTCTGGGTCGAATTTATCAACTTCGAGGCCATTGACAGTCTCGAGTCCCAGCGCATCCGAACGCGACTCTGCCCAGAACCAACGACTGCCGAACTCGCGCGTGATACGGGTATCATGCTTGCGGGAGAAGTCACGCGCATATTCAAGACCCGGAAGACCTACACTGAGACTGGCGCCGAGGTGGGGAAGCGAACGCGAGAACGTCGGGATCCAGAAGGTAAGAGCATCTGGCTCAAAGACGCGACCGACAATGCGGGAATAGTGGATTTGGATATCGCGGCCTGGGGGATGGAGTGGATACCAGGAGAGCCCTATAAGGCTGCTACCAGCTTCCGTATAACTGTTCAGAACCGGCGAGAGACTCTCACCGTCTACTAGCCACTCATCCTTGGAGTGTGATTTGTCAATAGTAAAGCCCTTTCCAAAGAGATAAGCTGTAGTATTGTACGGTCGGCCCTCGTCGAAGTCGTTGTCTGAGGCTAGGTCCAGATTAGAGAGTCTCAAGCGGATTGAGGTTATGACTAAAACTTCTGAACAGGTAGTATCTTCGAGCCTGGGTCCAAGTCGAACGGTATCGCCCACGGTGATGAGCTCCGACCCGATGTACAGACCATGGCAGTAGATATCAGCTTCTGGCCAATTTCCTTTAAACCGGTACTTTCCCACTAATGAGATTGAAGACATAACAGTTAAAGCGTTCCTTATGGTTGGGTGCAGATCATTCACAAGCGTTTCGCTTAGGAGTGTATTCCAGAGCACAAAGGGCCTGGTGTGAAGCAGTGGAACGTAGACGTAGTTTTTCGAAACAGACTTGCTCTCGCTGCTCAGGTCTGGCAACGGCTCGACACGCATTCCTGAGTTGCTCACATTTGATTCGTTTCCCAATTCGTCCTCGTAAAAGTCCCCAGTACATGTCTCAGCAGATGCCTGCCCAACAACGCCAGCCTCCCACACTGGGCTGCTGCAGTATTCCTTCTTCGATGGATCCCAGATCATAATCTTGTTGACAGATCTATTTATAGTGAGTTGTGTGCCTGCTGGTAGTTCTCTGACAAATAGGACGATTTCTCCCGGTCGTGGCTTGTATTGCGGTTGCTTCTTGATGGATTTAAGTAGCTGCGGAAGAAGGCCCTGTTCGGCGCGCCAGTCTAAGCTCATTGGCTCTGATATGCTGTCGTCTAAGTGTCCCTGGCGTTTAAGCTTGTTGATGAGATTTCGGATGACATCTGGGTTGCCTTCTTCGTCCACGTGGCTCTTGTCGGCTCCAGGACCAGATATTTTTGGCCGACTCCTGTAACCAACGGGACCCAAAGGCATGCCCTGGCGGTAGGGAGTCGAACCGCCGGAGCGACTACTCGCACTCCGATTCTGAATTGAAATGGAGCCTGGGGTCATTGAACCAAACCGGGGAACGACTCCTCCAATGGCGTGACATACCGTACAAGGACATCCGAAACTATCACCGCCATTCTCCATGAGATACTTGAAGTGTGGGAAGAACCGGTTTGGGGAATCAAAGGTTTTGCGGCTTGGGTGACCATACAGCCACTTATCGATATGTTGTGGATTAGAAGGCCGCGACTTCTGGTAGAGCGCATAGCCGGATGGCAGACGCTCGAGGAAGTAGGTGATTCCTGGGCGCGCCTCCCCTCTATCCTTCATCCATAGCATTCCAAGCTTTTCTAGGTAGAGGCTTGGCGGATCAACCAGAGTGTGGGTCGTAGATGTCGGTCGATGAGTGGCGTCGCCATCGGAGCCTGGGCGAAGCGGGACACGCACAATAGACATGGTGTGAGAGATTTATGAGTTGGTTGAGGTGTTGAGACACGCAAATTGAGATCTCAGATGGGGTATTCTAAGAGCTAGGAAGCGGCAGGTGCAAGAAACAGAGCTCGTTGAAAATTATACGCCATCAAGGAGACGTGTAGAAGCACGCCATAGGCGAGGAAGGGAATGTTGGTTGATAGAGTTATGAACGGCGAGGACAGGAAAATCGAACACCTGCGTGTGAGACAAAAATAGGGTTGAGACGCGCTGACAGGTGTTTCGCGTCATTGGAGAGCGTCTGGGGGGGCTTCACTAAGGAAAGGCGGGGTTGAGGTTGTCGTCACCTTTTTCACCATCTCCGTCAATATTCATCAGTTTGCTGTGTTGTAGTGAAATCTAGCTTGGCATAGCCAGGCATGCCTGGTGTCACCCACGCTCACGTGCGGGGCTAAATTCGGCGATTTGCAGGCACGACCCCTGACCCAAGGGTAAGACGTCAGGACTCAGGAACGATTCACAAACCATGTCATCACCTGCAGCGAGCCCCTGAGAAACAGCATTGTGGAGAATGTTTACCATGAGGGCTCCGCCAAGAACACAAACCGCTTTCACATCATTGCTAGCCGTCTCCGACTAATCATCGATGCTGCTCATCCGTCTGTCTGTATTGGCTGAGAGCAAAGACCTGTGAACAGCATCCCGATATGCAAGCTTCTTGCTCGTCTTTCCTATCTCGTGGCTGGAGACTTAAGCCCCCAAAGGAATTGCAGACTCAAGATCCACAGCGCCATCGCTACATTCTCGCTGCAATTGGCGCATCCACCGGCGCCAGGCCTGTTCAGTGCATTTGCAGGGCGTTCTCTAGGCTATCTCGGGAGATGGCGTTACCAAATCCTCGTCTACACTGGCGCCATGCCGTGCAAGGACCCCACGTGCATAGTATTGCCCCAAGCTTCCCGGCTCTGTGCTGATGCCCTCAAATTCCTTTTGCATTCTTCCATCCCGCTCTCCGACCGTCTGCCCAAGCCATCGAGCACTTGAGCTCCTTCGTCGCCATCTTCGACATGACCGGACTGGACGCGAATTGAAACATCCCTGTGTGCGAGACTGAGGGCACCCGAAACAATTCCACTCGCCCCGTTCGTTCGAGCATGCCCGTGGGCTAGGACGGGACGTGAGTGTTTCTGCGGCACAGTTCGGGACTTGGGGAAGGGCGCGGCCACCCCTTCGTACCGTAATCCGTATCCACCATGGACATATGGGGGAAGTCGAAGAAACACCAACAGATTGTCGAGCCGCCAGAGAAACGAATTTCAACGCCGGCTGGCCAGCGCCTCTCCGTCATCCTTGAGAATGGCGACACTCCCCGTACTACGAAGACACGTGACTCCCGCATCTCAATGCGAAAGAGTACCACCCTGGGTTTAGGAGATGCGCCGCGCGAGAGCATTGAAGATCAGTCCAACAATTCGTCTGGTTATTCTTATAGTGTGTGGTCGGGTGAGAATACAGCCGGCGAGAAATTTGGTGCGATTAGGAATCATAAGCAAGTTGTGAAAAGAGGGGGGTGGAAGCGGCTGGCACTGATAATTGCAGTGATACTGGCAATAATAATAGCCGTAGCAGTGGGAGTCGCTGTAGGACTAAAGAAAAAGCATAGCTCATCGAAGTAAGATACCTCCTTCTCGAGATGGCATTCCCACATGCTGACCCCGACAGGCATTCAGATTCCCAAGGATCTGCCTCCGTCGTCTCAGGCGCTGCTTATACTGGCTCCCCAACGGCAACCGTTTCTATTTCTCCTACCTTAATACCGTCCAACTTCCCCCTTGGATCCTACAGCATGGTCACCTTCCTCGACACCGTCCAAGCGAACTGTACATCGAATGCTGCAACATGGACGTGCTACCCATACACCATCTTCAACTCCGACCCCAACAAAGCAGTCGCCACATTCAATTGGATAATATCCTCACCTTCAACCGGGAAATACCAAATCTCCAGCACCGAGAACCCTTTCTCTATTTCGTTCACCAACCAGGACCTTGAATTGCTAGATAAAGGCCAAGATACAGAGCGCTATCACTTCCAGCTTACCCAGACAAAAACGGTGTCACCCTCGTCATCGGTGACCAGTGATAATGCGGCGGTCGAGTGCAATTTTGAAGGCACATCACTGCAAGCTTTCCTATACACAAAAATGGGAAAGTCGTATCCCGATACCTCGAAGGGGGAAACGTCAGGGAATCCGAGTTTCCCTGTATGGCCATTCGGTAAGTCGACGACTTTACTTTCCCACGTCGCGGAAATATCTTGAAGCTGATTTACTGGCCAGCTGTGCGTGTGGAACAAGCAGTCGGGGGCGGGCAAGACATCCCTACATGCTACAAGCTCAACAACGGATCTAAAGGAGAGAAAATCACAGATGGAATCTCATCCCAGGACGCAGGGTCCCTTTGCTCTTGCCTGTACAAGAATTGGAGGACGCCTACCCATTGATATCTGGCCGGCCATCTACGAATTACCCACGTTTGTCTCGTCTCGTTCGGCTCTGTGACGCGTGCTGCACTTCCTTCCTCTTGAACCCTGGCTGTATCCGTATATATTTGTTAACTGTTTCACTGGAAGATGTTTCATATCAGGTCAAGCGAGGAGTTATCGGGGCGTATATTTGTCGTTTTACTCCCTGGCAGAGATATTGTAGTTTAGAATATACTGGCCTGGGCCGGATGATCTAATGATGTTGTCTGTTTCCAAAAAGAAAAAGAAATTGCATTCCACTCGCGGACTTTAAAACCTGTTACTTCTTGGAAGGGGGCCTATTTTTTATAACCCATTGGAATTGTATACGACGGACGCCTACAAACCCGTCGATCCCCGTGAGGCTTTTCGGCGTGTTGACAAGGTTACCTACTAATCGGAACAGTCATAATGTCCGATTGCACCACTGCAAAACTTTCAGTGGGTACAGTCTGCACTACGCGGAGTCCAAAAACGCCATGGTTGCTCCTCTCTATTAGCTTTAAGACACCGGTGTCGCCCAATGTGACTACATTTAAAAGCCACCCATAGTCCCTACTCATCAGTTTTCATCTTATCTTGGTCCTTTTCACTCTCTTCTTTGACTTCCTCACTTTCCTCCTTCATCTCCTCGTCCTTCGCGCCTGGATTTTCCACCAACCCGGGGCTCTTGCCCATCCTTCCCAGGCTCGGTCTACCCACGGCCCCCTCAATATCCAAACCTGTGCCACTCTGCCTCTGCGGGCCTGTGTCCTCTATTCCAATCAACTCCGGACCTCGAGCATGTGGAACCTCTTCTTCGCCCTCCACTGTCTCAACTATTGTCCCTCCTCCTTCACTATCCCCAACCATTGTCCGAGATGGTTGAAGCGAATGAGGATTCGATAGCACGACGCCGGCTTCCTGCTCTTGGCGGAGGATCTCGCCTTGTGTGACGGGGCCAGTGGAGGGTAGAGATTCGCCGTTCGGATGGGAGGACTGTATCTGTGGATTTGAGGGTGTGGACGTAGGTGGTGAGTTGAGGCCATTCATAACAGACACGGTTTCGATCCTCCCAGCGCCATGGGGCCCATCAACCATTTCCGTCGATTCGGATATTAGTTCGCTGCTCGAACCTCGATTCTGTAGCCAGGGGATTGGGGTTAGCAATGCGCCACCAAGGGATTCGTCGGAGCCTAAGGTACTCGGCGCTGTAGACGTCATGCCATTTAGAAGGCCTGTGGCGGTGGGAAGGACGGCTTGTGGGAGAGGGAAGATTGTGGTTGGGGATGAGACAGATACGACGCGGTCGAGGGCTTTGAGGTAAGGCGGGAGAAATCGGTAACGCTCTTTGGGCTGGAGAACCAATTCTGCCAAACGCTGTATTGTGTGGGGAGGGCTCTTGGAAAAGTTCTTTGAGAGAGTGTCTCGTATTGAGGAATAGAAGGCCATGGTCTCTGAAGGGAAGGACAGGGGCTCTTCGGAGGCGGAGGGTGTGCTCGGGAAGGCGGGGACGGGTGGACGAGGAGGGGTAGCGGGCGGGGCATTTTCTTTATCTGCGCTTTGCGATTCCTGGCTTGAGAGAACATTCTGTGGGCGCGAGGGCGTGTTGGAGAGGGAGGAGCCTGGGTCCGAGGGGGGAGTGGTGGGCTTGGGGAAGTCGTTGACTATCTGAGTTGGTACGTCAGAGGAGGCGCACGAAGATTGGGCGGGCGGTGCGGAATGTACTGACCTCATCCAGGCGAGCCAAGATGTACTCGAGGGCGCGGGGCCATTCCTTCCTGCAATTGACGGTCAGAGAAGGCGCGACACGGACAATGGTGGAAGCAGCTGGGGAGGGGCAGCTAGGAGGGGCAGCTGGGGAGGGGCACCCACGGGTCAAGAGAGCCATCGTCGGCGGCCTGCTGCAGTATCTGCTCCGCTGGACATCTGGTAAGCATGTGACGAAGGGAGGAGGGACATAGCAGGAGGGCACTTACTGGACGTCATATCTGCCGCGCACAGTGTCGGTGAAGGTGAGGAGGACTGCTCCACACTCACCAGAGACGCGATGTGAGGGACTGCGCCACAGAGAGCAACAGGAAACTCGACGACGAAACCCGGCAAAACACTGGCTCCCGAGGGGGCAGACCAATAGTGGCCGGGCTGCGCTTGGGGGAGGGGCTGATGGCAGCAGCAACGCGTCTGCTGCCGTGGGTCTGTGTCCCGTGAAGAGTTGGGCTGAGCAGCGAGGCTTGGGACTGAGGCTGTGCGCTCTGGTGTCGACGATGACTGATGGCGCGTGAGGGCTTTCTTCTTTAACCAGGCCGTCAAAAGCAGCCCCCTGCTCCCTCTCTGTCTGCTCTCTCGCTGAATCCTCGCCTTCTGTTGGTGACAGCAAAAGCCGTTTGCAATTTGCTGTCCGCAGTCCGCAGTCCGCAGTTCGTGTTTGCAGTTTGCAGTTTCCCGCGCTCTCCTGTCGCAGCTTCCCGCCGCCGTGTTCCAAGCTACTTCCAAGCCTGGTAACAGCGGTCGGTGTTCAGAGCGAACCTCGCCGTTCTTGCCTCCTCGCACCAGGCCAACGAGCGCCAGGACCGGCCCAAGCCATCAGCACAGCCAAAGACTACCAGCTCTCCATCCTCTCTCCCTACCCATCATCACCACTATCCTTCCTCTCTCTCTCTTCCGCCGCTCGTTCCCTCGGCTGCCCGCACTCCCGTGTTATTCTTTGCTCCCCCCCCCCAACTGAGCCAATCGTTTCCCCGACCCGACCGGCTGCCACTGCTGCCAGCTGTCGGGCCCTCCGCACAGCCAAGGAGTTGAGGTTTCAGGACCGCCCGAGTCCCCAAGCATTAACTCTCCTCTTCGAACGTCTGGTTTCAGCGTACGACAGCAACTACTGCTTGTCCAGCATTCCCCATTCGCTGTCCGCAGTTCGCACCCTTCGTACGGCCAGAAGCTGCACACAACTGCCTCACACCAGTCTCAGCTGTGCTTCTAACGTCCCCCAATCGCCTCCACGCCACCGTCTCCGGGAACACCATACTGCGCGACTCACAAGATCCTCATAACTCGCCCTCTTCAGCCGCCAGCTTGCGGCTGACCCTCTCGCCAAAATTTCTCCACACGAGGCTCGCGCATCCCTCCTCGGAGGCCAGCCTCTGGACAGAAATTATCAGCCCTATCCCCAACAACCCTTCGCTTCGCAGCCTTACGAGACGCAGTCCGGCGGATATCACCATCGCGAAGGCTTTCCAACCCAGCTCCCGCCACCCGTTCGGCGTGTCCCCAGAATGTATATCCCCAACACCAAGTGGACCTGGTCCTTCCTGTTGGTGGCCTTAGTCCAGGCCATAGTTGCCCTGGCGTTGGAGGCGTATGTAAAAGCATCACCCCCGAGTATGCGGACCTCAACTAACAGCAATGTAGTTATGTGTTCGGCCGTTTCCAAACCAGCCTGAGATTAAAAGGGCAAAATAAGGATGCACACAACGAGCCTCGCACCATCCCAACATATCTTGCAGTGTTTATGTTCGGTTATCTCTATCAACTAGTCCTGGTCTATGATGCTCTGCGACTGAAGAACACGATCCAGGTCATTGGGCTGGTCCTCTATAATGTTGGAATTCTTATATATGCCGCGATCCAACTCGATCAGATTCGGGATGCTGTCACCGCCCTAGACTCGAACCAGTTGATCGTCCACCATTTCTGGCCACAGGTCAAACCTATGTTGATCGCTTTGCCTTGCTTGATGGGTTTAGGAACCGTTATCTTCGCATTCCTTGCTTGGAAGCTATATGATGAATTTGCATGGACCATCTACAAACACATCAGTGCCGACTTGCGCTTGAAGAGGAGATATTTGACTTATCAGGTACGGCCTTCTGCCCTGATACTGACGTGCTGAAGACGGTTGCTTACTTGAGCATAGATCTACATCGCTCTCCTTAAATTCGACTTTTTCTTCTTCCTTGGCTTCACCGTCCAATTCCTCGTCGTCGTCCAGAATACCACCGACGTTGAGTTTGGTCTCACTATTGCTGTCCTGTTCGTAACATTCATCCTGCTCCTCCTCGCCGCATTCTGGGTCCGCCGAGAAAACATCGCTGGCATGATCGTCATCATCCTCGTCTACTTCTGCGCCCTGGCCTACTTTCTCTTCAAGCTTATTCGCATGTACGCCGCCGACAGAGCTCGAATTGAGGACTACAAGCCGGCTCGCAAATCGCTTACAAGTTTCGCTGTCATCACCATCTTGCTGCTTTTGGCGACAATTGTCATTGCCTGTATGTGCACACACAACTTTAACAAGGGCCTGAAGCCACATATCCAGACCAGAAAACCCGGCGGGGGTGAAAGAGGGGGCAAGGCATATAATACTGAAATGCCTTCGCTAAGTGGGCCTCAGCCGGCTAGGATGGAGATCGATTGAATACATTTCTCTCGTTTTCAATTCGATTGCTGTACTAGAATGCTCTTCGAGGGATATGCCCTTCCGTTCCAAAATACAGAGATGATCACATTTTCTTGGCGTTTTGCGTGCATGGCTCTGGTGTGAATACAACCAGAGTCGATAGGCGTTTTGGGGCATGGGAAGTTGATCTATATCTTTTTGGAAGGATGGTGGATCTGAATTGGGATTCATCGTATGGGCTTCTGACAGAAGGGGTTCGTGTGAGCCGGTTCTATTCCATGTTGCCGGAACCGAACATCCTCTCTGTGCCGAATTTCTTCTGGGGGTTTTCTCTCAACCTTTATTTTCTTCGTCACGGCCGCTGTATAGCAGTATTCTGTCAGTCTCTTGGAAAAGGGTCGTGTATACATATCCCCACAGGTAGTCGGTCTATCATACGGGACTCGATCTGGTTTCGGTCCGCATCTGGTGCATTAGATTGATGAGGGTCAACCATCAGCGAATTGGATTCTTGTTCACTCTGGAAATCGTGTGTTAAGTGCCGCTCTGCCTGGCCGTATTGCCTTAATTTTCATGTGATAATCCCCATGCACCCTACAGAAAAAGTAGGTACTGTGATCGAAAACCAACCCAATCCAAAAAAAACCCCGGGATAGGAAGGGTATCTTATGCCGAATGTATGTGTGGAATTTAACCCTTAGGAGGCCCATGTACCTAATGCATGGAGGGTCTAGCCCCAGCGTCTTTGAGCCTTAACATCGACCACCTTGTCCAACATGCTCTGCTACATGATATCAAAGATGAACTAGATTAAGAGGAAGGAAGCTCTTTCTCTTTGCCGCCCGCGGGTCCAATCTCTCCCCCTCCACTATTGAGGTAGCTGAGGTAGCAATTCCAACCTGTTCACATTGTTAGCCATGCAGCTTCTCATCATACCCCTCCTAATCCCTTCAAGCCAACACCATCCCTCGTATGAAGAAACCCAACTCTCTCTCAGATTCAGACTTACCAAGCGCCACAAAATTCACAACCAACACCCTATGCTCTAGCGGGACGTACTTGAAATTCACAGCCTGCACCCAAGGCCACAGCAGAAAGTTATTAATCATGCCAGGCTTATACGCTTTCTGCAGTTTCGCCTTCGGATCCGAGCCTTCGAGGTACGCCATTGAGGAGAGAAATATCCCCATGTTGATGGGTGCGAAGATGAATTGGTCGCAGCCGACACGCGCGAGGATGGTGGTGTTTGTGGAGGAAAGGTTGATTCGGCGTTGGAGGAAGCCATACCAGGTGGTTGCTGCGGGGCCGAAGAATGCTGGGGTGGCGTTAGGAATAGGACTAGGGGTGGGTGGAGTGGATGGAGAAATGGATCAAACTGAGATGAAGGGAGTGGGGGAATGAGAAATGTATGCACATACCGCCGCCGTATAGAGCCATGCGACCCGTTCGCGCAAAATTGTGATTGTCGAGTCCGACTTTTTCAACACCTTGTTGAGCCATGACGTCGCCGGTTGCGAAGAGTATCTGGTGCCCATCCATCAGCATCCATCGGCTATTTCGTCCTCCATGTGTGCTCCTCTTTCTAAGCTCGTGAGCAATAGTAAATTACTCTGTGCATACATACCGCCGTAGTAATACTCTGCGTCAACAATGGCGCCGATTTCAGCTTCGCCTGATACCTGTCCTCATTCCCTCTGTTAGCAATCAATCCATGTCAATCTTTGCCAATCAACCACTTTCCCCCCCACTTTCGAAGGAATAGCTTTACCAACGCAGCATCTTGATGGACGTGTAGTGTCAATCTCAGCTTCAGACCAGTTCGGCGGGTGTCAATGGCCTCCGTCAAGTAAAAATATGCGGTAGAATGGCGTGAAGGGCTTCCAAGGGTGGGTGTTGCATAGACCCACCAGAGATGAATTGTGATGATGTCGATAGGTGCAGGGATCCACAGATTTGGCGTGGGCGCTCAGACCAAGTGCTTTTATCTTCGCTATGGCTGTGGCTGGTAACGCGGGAATCGGGATACCGAATTTGATTTCATGCAATGCGCCTGACTTGGATATCAAGGTCATGAGCGAGCGAGCAAGTGAGAATAGCGACAACAATCTCATAGGGCCTGCCCCAGCACACGTGTGTGGGCTGGTGAGGGAAATGCTCCTTGAGTACCTATAACTATATACTACATATTAAACTTCTTCTACCCACTCCTCGGCCCCTAGCTCTTACACTACGTCCGTTCCATTATCCAGTTCTTTCCAAAGCAGGCAGCACGCGGCAGCCCGCTCCATTCTTGATACACAAAGTGACTAACAGAGGATAATCTCAGGGGTAGAGAGGGGTGCAGAAACGCCCAACCATTGAAATGATCTACTCATTCCATTCCATTTCAAAAACCCACACTATCTCGACCCAGAGCCGACAGCAGCGAAAGGGAAAAGGATGTAAAAATTAATGAGAAAAAAAAAGGTACTCCGCAGCAATTTACCGAAGAACAAACCAGACAGAAACAAGAATCAACAACCCAAACGAACACAGACAAGAAACACCTGATAGACGCCCGCTAATGCGTAGAATTACCCTGGCACCTGCTCTTTCATTCTCCTCTTTCCTGCTTTCTCTCTTGTTTGTATGCTGATTAAGAACCCTGTGTGAGCAATAGTGACCGAAGACTCTGGTATCCAGCATTATCAACCCGTGCGCACCATCCCAGCACCCGAATGAGACATCAAGACTCTCAAATCAAATGTTGAAAAACAGCCAGGTAATGCTACAATTCCCCATCCTCTGTCTAAGATATGCCAGCTGGAGCAATAACCGAACCGCACTCTCACTACCACATTACACTTCCAACATCCGTTTCGTCACCTATCCTCTTTTCCTCTCTGCCTGCCTATTCTCCTGAAGAGATCCATAACTCGTTTGGCCGAGCCTGAGCTTCCGACGTGATGACCCTGCTTGGGATCTTCGTAAGCGTCTGCAAACTTGCGACTCTTCTGTAGCACACCGGGCCGTTCACGTGGTGGGGTAGGTGCATCGGAGCTGTTGAATCCGGCGGGATACTTGGGATGCTGTGTGCCGGGCGCCACCGGCTCTGAAGCTTGAGAATCATTAGCGTGACGATATGGCCTATCAGGATCACGCTCGCGATAGGCCTGGGAAGCGGGATGAGGTCCACTAGGGCCGGGAAACTTTTCGTCGCCAATAGGTGGGGCGTAGTCGAAGTTAGTCTGCTGTGCAGGTGCAGATGAGGGTGCTCCTCTGGCATCCTTTAAACGCGAAGAACTATCATGTGGACCGTCGTAGAAGCCCGGTACGTTGCTCCCTTGAGTGCTCTGGCTCGGAGAGCGGCTTTCACCTCTGCCAAATGCCATTCCTGATCTAGCCGTACCTCGACTGCGAGGAGCTGGGGCGATAGGTCGACGTGGGTCATTGGTAGAGTGAGAGCTGGGTGGTGGCATGCTATCTCTGTGGCTGGAAAAGGTTTTGGATAGCGAGGCAGGGAGAAGTGAAAACCGCCTCGATGGTTTCGTAGCCCCCGACTGGTCGGTGTTCTTCCGACTGAAGCCAAACGAGGTTCGACGCGATGATTCGGTTGACTGTCGCGGCGCCTCATCATTAGCAATCGGACCTGGCATGCTTGTAGGAGGGTATGACTTTTGGATCTTGTTCGGGTTGTGATTGGAGTGGGAGTGGTCTTGGGAGGGACGGCTACTGAATATAGACGTCACCCTCCCGAGGGTCTCACTAACCGTGTTGGAACGTCTATGACCCTTTTGATTGGTACCTGGCGCTTCCGTTGTTGTCCGAGTATTCGGCATTCGCTGAGTGCTAGGCTGTCCAATAGACGGTTCGCCTATCGAAGTCTCGGGTTGAGGTACTGGGGCCGAGATGGAATATTGCGTTCCTTTGGGTTGCGAAAAGCGACCCTCAGCATTCGTCTGAGCAACTGTCGCTGCGGCGGGTTGTCCGTAAGAGTTGCCCCTGGAAGGCAGACGAGAACCTCCACCCAGGGTGCCGCCAGTCGAGGGCCTGTTCGTGGATGAGACAGGTATGGTGCCGAATGCGGTGTAATCCGAGACTGATCTCTGCGCATCTCTTGCGGGCCGTGTTGGCGCAGGGATGGTATTCTGCGCAGCTGAAGGACGTGTCTGCCGAGGATTGGTGGTGGAAGATTGATAGCCGTCCGTCGGAGGCACTTCAGTTGGTCCCTGCTCCTTAACGCGAGATTTCGATGGCCCAGCAGCAGCAGGAGGTGATGTCTCGCCACGAACAGTCTGCGACTGTGGCGCAACATACTCCACCTGCACGGTTCGACGTTTGTTGTCACGTGCAGGCTTGCTCTTCTCGGTCTGCTCATTATTCCTGTTGATCTGCTCGCGTTTCGCTGTCAATCCACCAACCGGAGAGACTGCTGTATGCGGCTTCCCTGGTTCGCGGACTGATGCGCTTCGAGCGAGCATAGGGGTTTCAAATGGATCCTCTGCGGCGGGGTTAGCATCAAAAGAAGTCATATGCATTAAGCCGAGAGATACTTACTTGAGTAAACCGTAGTTTTGGAGATATCATTTGATGTTGTTGTGCTTGAAGTGATGAAACTGACGACATGGGCATAGTCACTGAGCCAGCTATGTCGAGCCACCTCGAACAGGTCAGCTCTTTTTCTCGGATCCGGCACCAAGATGCGCTTAAGAAGATCTCTTGCATGCGGCGTTACATATTCGGGGAACGTTAACGGAGTCGATACTATGTACTTATACAGGAGGTTTATGTTGTCTCCTTCGGGATTGGCGGGATCGTCATCAAAAGGAAGGTATCCAGCCAACATAGCATACTGTCTCAAGGTTAGAATCATATATTGAAGGTTGGGGAGTTAGGACTCACCAAAATGACGCCACAGCTCCAAACATCGACTTTCCGCCCCGTGTACAGCGAGTCACTAACAACTAACTCGGGGGCAGCGTAACACGGGCTACCGCAGCTGGTTTGCATGAGATCTCCTCGACGCGCTCCATCTGTACCTTCTAATCCCATCTGTCTCACATAGTCTTTGTTGCCGAGATTAAACTCGATCTCTTCTCCAAGCTCGTCGTTAGGATTGAAGGTGTTGGCAAACCCAAAATCGGTGATTATGATGTTGCGGTTGCGGTCCAGCAGTAAGTTCTCTAGTTTCAGATCCCGATGCACAATGCCCTTTTTGTGGAGATAGCCGACGCCTGAAATCAGCTGTGCGAACAAGCGTCGTGCTGCGCCGTCTTTCAGATAGCGGTGGTTCAGAATGTAATCGAAAAGTTCCCCGCCCGAAGCATACTCTAATATAATACCAATATGCCGCTCCGTCTCAACCATTTCATGCAGTCGAACAATGTTTGGGTGCTCAAGGCCCCTGAGGATATGAATTTCGCGGTAAATCTTTTGCAGCCTGTTCTGGTTCGATCCCAATGTCTCGCGGCGTATCAACTTGATGGCGACTTCGACACTACTGTCTTTTTTCCACCCCATCTTGACTTTACCAAACTCGCCCTCTCCGAGAGTCTGCCCTAGAATATAGTTGCCGAATCTTGAGCGTTTTCCCGAACTCTCCGACTTTGAGTGGTCTTGCCGGCTTTTGCCAGCCCCTCGACCGCCATCATCAACACCTTCACTTCCTACCAATCCTAGGCCGGTTATAGGAGTAAGGTCAGCCCCCGCCGGCCCAGGCCGTGCTTCAGCTTGTCTCATCTCCTCACGAGCAATGTCTTCCTGTGGGTCCGCGACCACGATCCGGTTGATAACAGTGCTCTCTTCGCGGGCGAGATTAGTGCCTGTGGGTGGTTGGCCGACGGCCGTTGCAGACCGACTATGAGCCGGTTGTGTAGGGGAGGGCTTGGCTCTACTAGAATTGCCATGATGGCGCGGGCTGTCCTTTGATGTCGAATGTCCCTTCCTGCGAGGCTGGGTTGGATCCTCGCGTATCCTCTCTTTCTCGCTTCCCTCGGCGTATGAAGCTGGCTGCGATGCTCGAGAGGTAGATGGGCTATTGTTTCCAGAAGTGGCGCTGGAGGTTTGGTTACGGTGCGAGGAGGAGCGCGGGGGGGGCATGGGAGCTCCGGCGGCCATAGACACAGCCGGCGCTGACACGACTGGAGAAGAGTGCGTGGAAGGAGGAAGAGGGTGCGCGCGGGGGGTGTTCAGAGTCGAGTTGTTGGACACGGCTGGGGATTGATGAGCGGTGAGGGGAGTGGTTGGAGTGTTGGGCGACGCGCCATTCCCGCTGGGCCGTCGCGACGGCTTGCGTGAGGAAGTCGGAGGTGCAGCTGGCGGTGACTGCTGGGGGTAGTACTGCTCGCGGCCATGTGGTGACTGCGGCTGTTGATATGATCGATTTGATATGGCTGGCCCGCTCGTCTGCACAGCGGCCGACGACATGGTCCAGCGAGGAGGGCGGTGGGTGATGGAAACACTCGAGGCAGGCTGTCGTCGGCAGGCGTGGTGCAGTTCTTTCAGGAACGGAGTTGGGTCGGAGGGCAGGAACTGCTATTACGCATCCAGTTTCTCAGGATCAGGCTCTGACGGCGTCGCAACGGCGAACGTGGCCTGGATCGCGGGCGCAAGCAACAATTGCGGCTCGAGATGCGGGCGGGCGCGCGGCAGATGGCGACTGCGAGGGCGCTGCTGGTGGTGATGGCCGTTGGGGGAGCTCTGCAGCCGGCCTTCACATGAAGCGCGGGTCGACAGCGCAGGTGTGAAGCGAGTGAGTGTGATGGGCCACTGAGCCGGCGTGCAGTCGTCCTCAGGCCCCGGACGGTGCAGCAACTGAGCAACGAGTGGCAGCTCGACCGCCAATGGGAGCAACGTCGAGGCGGCTCAGCGAGGGCGATTCTTGACTGACTGATGGACTGGAGCTTGACGTGAGTGGAGAAGAGGAGAGGACGGCGGCTGAGAGTGAAGGGTCGTGGTAATCTCGCTTTTCGTTTTGGGAAAGTTAGGGGGGTTCGGCTTTGGAACAACAACCTCTGCGATGCTGGCGCGCGGTGCAGACAGCACAAGCCGGGGGCCTCCTGGCGAGCTGCTCTGCCTTGCGGGCGACCTATTTGCGCCCTTAGACTCGCCTCGGAAGCCTTTGGGCATGCAGCGGATGTCGAGAGTGAATATCCCAGTGACTTTTGCAGTCGGCTCAGCTGCAGGGCACTACGCTACGAACAGAAAGGGAGAGCTCGGGCAGGTTTCAAAACTTGGCTCCGTCTCGACGTGACCGCAACCTGGTACGCCGCGCTGGGTTGATTGCGCACATTGATTTATGCCATGCGCCCGCAAGACTGCCGCATGCTGATACAGCATATTGTGCTATTGCTCTTGATATCACCGAGCTGCGACACCCACAGCAGCACACGGCACGTGCCGATGGCGTCTCAGGCCGTGTCTTGCTTCATCCGAGTCTGCTCCCGAGCATGTGCGAGCATTGACATGCACTAGCCCAGCACTCGATCGGACAGCCCGATCTTGAACCCTTTGTAAACCCGTGAGACTTTCTCCCCTTGACCACCAGACGCGCTCACGGGCAGTGCCCCCTCGACTACGAGCCGCAATGACAACAATAACAACAACAACAACAATCACAAAAACAAGAGCAAGAATGACGTGTAAGACGAGGGTCCCAACCCCTTGCCCGGCACAGCGCAAAGCTCCTGGCCATGGGCACCGCAGTGTTTATCAAAAACAAAGGCATGCCCTAAGAGAGCGAGTGCCCACGCACCAGGGATGTCCTTTCACCAATCGGGCCTTGCCTCGGAATTGTCCGCCGCGTCAAAGTTCGTTCCGACCTGTCACGATCGCGTCTTTCCGCACGGATACTCTCCCGTCATGAAGCTCGAAAAAATTCTACAATTTACTAAATTTGGTCGCTCGCGGTACTCTTGGGCGAACACTTTGGTTCGGAGATTAAGTCGCCGCGTCTCAAGTCGTGCCTGCTGGCGCCTCGCAGAACACAGAACAAGGGTGAGAAGATCACGATTGGTTGTTCTAAGCAGGTATGAGTGAGGTTGGATGTGCCTATCCTCCTGTATATATTCTTTTCATGACTGGCCCATCTACAGTATAGAGCAGGTGGACACGGATTTCTCTCACTTAGACGTCATTACAGATTGGAACTCTTCGTACACATGCCCCCTTTATCTCACTTCCTGACCAAGTCCACGTCAACGTCAACTACCCCTCACAGTCTCCGAACTCTTCGAGTCTCACATCTTCACCTCGGCCGGAACATTAATCTCCAGGATGTCAACGCCTTTCTGCAGCTCACTTTTGCTAGGCATCTTGCCCCGTCTCATGAGCTCAGCGCTTTGCATGCAATATGGATCCTTCATCATGGAGGCAACCGCTACGACAGTCTCGCCTTTGGTGTAATAGGCTATGAAGGATGACTTCTCTGGCTCTCCTGTTATGACAATGTCATCGTAGCCACCTATCGTGTTACCGCAGTACCGCAACTGAGATCCAAGGGCAGACCAGAATACCGGGATGAAGGGCTTGGGCTTGGCACCTGGGTGAACAATTACGTTGGCAACGGAGCGGCCCGCATTCTGTGCAACGTTCCAGTGTTCTATTCGTACGGGAATGCCATTTCCTCCGGGACCATGGTAGGGATATGTCGCGATGTCTCCAATGGCATAAACGTCATTTAAGCCTTCGACCTCAAACGACTCATTTGTCTTGAGAGATCCATCTTTCTCGAGCGTGACTGTGGAGTTCTCTTTAAGATATTCGGTCGCTGGGGTGACACCCACGCCTTCTATCACGAGGTCTGCTTCCAGAACAGTGCCATCCTTAAGGTGGACAGCTCCGACCTTAGACGAATCACTCTTCGAAGGGGTAGCCTTATCCACACTCGCACCCATGTAAAACTTCACACCATTCTTCTCTAGGAGCTTGCGGAAGATCTCCCCAACTTTGGCACCCATTACACGCTCCATTGGCGCTTCACAAATCAGTGTAAGTTACGGGAATTAGCGCAAGATGCTTACCTGACTCCATGCCAATGACAGTCACGTCGTTCTTCATACCAGCCAGGCAATTACCGACTTCCATACCTATGAAGGAGCTACCAATGACAACAATCTTCTTGCCATTGTCACCAACAGCCTTCAGGATATTTTGCGTGTCGGGTAGAGAGCGGAGCACGAAAACATTCGCCAGATCTCCCTTGAGGCCTGGGAGGGGAAGCCACCTCGGAGTTCCGCCAGTCGCCAACACAAGTTTGGTGTACTCGTACGTCTTACCAGATTTCGTCGAAACTTTCGTACCCACGAAGTCCACGCTCTGCACTTCATCCGCTATTATTTCGATCGATGCATCTTTGTAAATTTCGGAAGGCCTCCAGGTAGCTTTAGAGAGATCAGCGAGCAGTGCCTTCGATAGCTTCGTGCGGTCAATTGGCTGATGGCCTTCCTTGGAGAGCACGGTTATCTGGCCGGTATATCCCCCGCCCCGCAGGCCCTCGATGGCGCCGAGGGTTCCGCTCCCACTACGTTGCCTAATTAGCTGTGGCGCCTATGTGGTTTCGAAGGCTTCCTACCCTCCGATGACAAGTACTTTCTCCTGGCTCACCGAGGAACACTTGAGGTTCAAGAATCTCCGATTTGCCTTGATCGTAGCTTCATCTCCTTTTACAAAGACGGCGCCGCCCTTCTCGACTATCTCGTATGTTGCGAGTGGATCTAGGGCCGGTGCATCTTCCACATCGCCGGTCGAGACTTTGAAGCAAGCTGAGGGATGTCAGAGGCAGGCGGCTCCGTGTGCCTCAGAAACTCACCTCCGTGCCACGGACAAGTTAGCCGGCCCTCTCCGGTAAGTACGCCCAGTTTCAAAGGGGCTCCGTAATGAGTGCAGTTTGCCGACGTAGCGAAGACTTGATCTTGTACCTTCGAGAGCAGGACCTTGCCTCCCTCGACCCCTTCGACCTCAACCTCTTGCTTGTCCCCGTTCTTGAGGCTGAGGGACGTGATTCCCTTGAGCTTGAACTCCTGTGCCATTGGTCGAATACTGGTGCTTAATGCTGCTCGGTTTAAAGCAAGTCGAGTTCGGAAGGCGTGACGAAGTGAGGAGGAAGTGGATTGTAGCAAGCGTGTGAAGAGCATCAATGTGTAGGTGGCTGGAGATGAGCAGACGTATCCGCAGCGGGTACAGGGTGCTTGCAGCGGGGTGATGCAGGCCTCGTACTCAGCCAATTTGTACACGCCTTGATTGGTGCATGGCAGCGCGACATGATGACGACACGACACGTCAAGACCTCATGCAGGTTGTTATCGATAAGGCCCTGCCCGATCCGAATCGGTCCCCGGAACATTCTATCGCATCAGTAGCCAGCTTGTACCTCCTGTAGTGTCTGCAGTCTAACCTCCGCTCCACAAGCACCACCGCCCTGTAGATCGCCCAGCCTCTACGTAGAATATCATTCATAGCGCATCAGTAATGCAATGAGGAACGCACGATTCACCGCTAAGCCTGGTAACCCAACACGAGGCTAGAGAGCGTCTGTCTTCCAGATCGCATTCTAACAGATGAGGAGCTAGCGTTTGCAAGTATTCTCAAACTGCCTCTATTAGAGTGGAAGGGTCATCGATTAATAAAAAAGACTAGCGATGTCTATTGAAGATGGCCGGATTGAGAAGATCTCGTATCCTGTCTTCCCTCCGGACAAGAACGCTTCAGATATTGTCAAATGGTTAGAAGCTAGATTTTAGATGCTACGTGTTGCCTCTTTCTTACAAGATCAAAAGGAGCACTGGACTCTATCCGGTCAATAATCTGTGCCATTATTCATTTAGGGCAGACGGAAAATACCTCTTTGCTTCTCTTACAAGGCAAGGAACAAATTTCCGCAAAGGCATGTCCTGCTCAAACGTTGTTCATCGCTCATCTACCTAATACCAGAATATTCGCTAGAGGCTTGCTTCGTCCTTCCAGAGGGGTAGAGAAATGGAAACTCATTCCCTTATCTTTTCATGCAACAACCTCATATTCTTCCTATGGCTCTTCCGCTGTAAAACCCCCTGAGCGTCTCCCTTTATGTTCAGGTTGTGGATTTTGGTCCTTGTGTTGGCTATTGGTCATGTGTCGTTTTACTGCGACACCTCGGTCAATCTGAATGCTCACACGAGTCTGGATTGGTTCCCGGCGAAAGCCACTCGATCGCAAGCATGCATCTTCAGCTTTCAGCTGACAATAATCTCTGTCAACACGCGTGGTTCGCCACCTCTGGTAACACGTTATCTCGTTCCTCTAACCTTCCGATGCACTCAAAACCAGTGGCCATGGCCGACTCGCCATCCGGGGTCTTCAGTCCATAACGTGCGCACTCCTAGCTGAGCGAACGACTTCACCCTTCGACATTAATATCCCCCGACCGAGTGAATGTTATACTTATATAAGATTTCCCTCACGTCGCTAATCTACTAAAATCGAGATAACGGCCGTTAGCGCCCCAGGGGATAGACAAACGTGTGCTTGCGCTTCCGATGTCCTCCGTCGTCCCCATGAACCTCCTAATACGAGAAACCACAGCCACTTCGCTCCCTACAACTACACACCAACCTTGCACATGGCTAGGGCATTGCCTTGGGGCGACGTGCTCGACGAACAATGATTGCGACAACGATTGGATCTGTGTCAACAAAAAGTGCAGCCCTTGCTGCGAAGGCTCTACTGAGACGGTGAGCTCCACAGGGACTGCAACTACAGCTGCGACGACCCAACCCCACCATGGACTCAGCACTACCACAGCCATTGCTATCGGGGTTGCGATAGTAGTGTTTCTTGCTGTAGGAGTGGGATTTGGTTTCTGGGTATTGCGTCTTCGACGACCAAGGCACAATCCTACTTGGGAAACGCCAGCCAACAATTCCGCAAGGTTTGAATCAAGTATCCCAAGTACTTATCCAGAGGACCAAAAACGTTTGGTTGGAAATGAATCGCCCGCGGAACTAGCTGTCCTTTCAAGACCAATGGAGCTATCATCAATTGAACTAGTAGAGCTAGAAGGCGATCCAGGCAGAGAAGGCCAACAGATTAGCATCATGGATAAACATCCTCTTACGATCCCTCCTCAGGTTCAAGCTGGACCACGCCAACGATCCCCACATTATCGGTTTGAGGAATACCAAGTATCACCAGAAGTTCACACGCCAGGCCAATTGAGGTTTTCGCCCGTTTCTAATCCTTCTCCACACCCGAGCCATGGAGATGACAGCAATCGGATGTATCAAGAAAATACCACTCTGCGAGGGGGGATCCCTTTCATGGGTCCCGAGGAGTCGGATAACGCATATACCTTATTCCGGTGGCCGAGAACGACCGGAAGTCCTCTACCTGAGTCAGCTCGCTGAAGTGTTGTTAGAATCTGATATCATCCAAGCACCCAAGTGTAACTCCTTGCGAATGCCTCTCTTCTAGAAGCTAGGCGCGAACAGATAGACATTTTGCGCCGCCCTTTTCGAGATCCATTGTGTTATAGGATTGCGCACTCCTTTTCCAGTCATTGCCTACCTTTTGGCGACGACGCGGGGTTCAAGAAAGCACCATTTTATTGTCGCGGATAGCCTCGAGGCTCCCCACCTCTTCTGTGTCGAATTATGAAAGGGAGTCTCGCTGAAAGGCGATTGGTGTGCCGTCAACGTGTGCAGATGCCAGAGAATAGCTGGATGGACTTGTCAGCATTCCAGTTCGTAAGGCATACGAGTAATGGGTCTTGGGAATGACATATACTAAGGTAATAAACCTTTAGTGGGAAAGCGGGAAGAACTTTTGGGGGTTGACTTTTCTTAAAGAAGCAGGAAGCATTGGGGAGATTCACGGGAAGTTTACAAGCGGCCATTTGACATGGCTGCACTCCCGAGACGAGAGAACCCACGAACACGTCTGAAAGGTGTCCATGCGAAGCCGAAGGACGTATGTCACATGGAAGGAAGTAGGTAGCCACTCTTTGCTCCACGTTAACCGTGTTAGAGAACAATGCGAATACATATGATGCTGAATCAAGGTTTGCCATCCGGCACGCTGCTAGGTGAATCAAATGTGGCGTTGTGGGGTAATGCAGACTAAAATGGGAGCTTGAACTCAACGTACCCGTTGGTCCTCCCGCAAACATCTATTATTTCGTCATCCAGATACGAATGAGCAGCCCTGAAGAGTGCGGCAGCATGCAGACGGGTGTGGAGAGCCCAAGCTCGGCCAGTGGGGCCAGAGAGGGTCTTCTTCACCGAAAAGTGCATGTCCTTTGCCCGTCTCAGGGCGTCCCGCAAGAGCCTCATGTAGCAGATCTTCTGCATCCAATATCCACCAGCTCTCTTTAGTGGCAGTGCCAAGCGCTCGGAGCCATGTCGTCTCTCCCCTGCCGCCAAACCACCTTCCGTTCTCATCAACCCCGCAGCAGTGCATCCTCGAGCCACTGTGGTGCTAAAGGTGTTTACCTAGGATCTGGTGGCTCTCTCACGCCTGCCTCTAACTTCCATCAGCAGGTATCACCACTAGGTACTTCATGAGAACGCACCCCAGCATGATAACCTTCCGATATTTCTTCCCCGGTTGGTTCGGCTATGTGTGCACGGTGAGCGCTCTTCCTTGTTTGTTGTTCCTGGAATATCGTCATTTTCAAGCTCGTTAATTGTGGGGATCTTTGGAGCTTGTGCCTGCAGTTCCTCAATTTAATCCCATATAACATGGTCCTTGCACCCGCTGCTGTGACCACATTCTGCAGATCTGGGTTTCTTCTGCTCGATTGTGCTACGTCCCCTTTGCAAAATCCCTCAAAGGAGCTCGCTCGTAGTTGTCCTCTTCGAGCGCTCTGCGTGCTCTCGCTTGGAGCAATTGAACCATTATGGCTCGCTCAGGCTTTATAAGAGCTGCTTCGATACTATTCCCCCTCCTAATCTTGGTCAATGGACAGACTACATCCAACTCCGCCGACGGATTGAACGGTTCGGCCCAGCCAACGGCTTTGGCAACAGTTGGAACAGTTAGTATCGATGGCACACATACCGCATTCCGTCCTATTTTTACGATCCCAGCATCTGCCGATGAGGGCGCTACCCTATTGCCCAACATAGAGGATCCGCAGGCTGTTAATGCCCAGGATGTTTGCCCAGGATACAAAGCTTCACAGGTAAAAGATGACGAACGGGGTCTCACTGCAGTCTTGACTCTCGCTGGAGCTGCATGCAACGCATACGGCACGGATATTGAAGTACTCAATCTCAAGGTCGAGTACCAGGCTGCTAATCGCTTGGCCATCAGCATCAGCCCAGCATTCATTGTATGCTTTTTTCTCCTTCCTTAGCAAAGAAAGGCCATGATGGGCTATGAGAAGACTAATCTTAACAGGATTCGTCGAACTACTCTCACTACATCGTCCCAGAGGATCTTGTTCCAAGGCCAACATTAGAGTCCAGCTATACGGATATTGATCTAGACTTTAATTGTAGGTCCACTTCTCGTTTGGTATATATGAATTAGGCTTGGACTAATGGTGAGGGAAGGGGATAATGAACCAACATTCTGGTTTAGTGTTACGAGGCATTCAACTGGAGATGTTCTTTTCACTACGGAAAACCAAAAACTTGTGTTCGAGAATCAATTCGTTGAATTTGTGTCGTCACTGCCTGACGATTACAACCTATATGGTTTGGGGGAACGGATCCACAGTCTGCGATTGAATCATAACCTGACAGCTACTATCTATGCTGCAGATGCCGGTGATCCAATCGATGGTAACAGGTACCAAGGCTCGAGTACTCACACCAATAATTTTTGCTGACTGTTCGGCAGTATGCAATCCTATTCCCTAATTTTCCCTTCCCTGCACTAAAGTTGAGATACTACTTGCGTAGCGGTTCAAAAATCTCGCAGTAAACGCTCTTTTTTGGACATTTTGCTAATTGTACCCCAACTATCAGTATATGGGAGTCATCCATTCTATCTCGATACCCGATACTTTGAGACTGACGGCCATGGCAAGCAAAAGCTTGTGAAGAACTCCCCCTTACCTCGTGGAAACAGTGGAGGGTCGAAATACGAGTCCTATTCTCATGGAGTATACCTACGAAATATGCATGGCCAAGAAGTCCGATTGCAACCCGACAGTGTCACATGGAGAACAATTGGAGGAAGTATTGATTTGTTTTTCTTCGACGGTCCTAGCCAACGAGAAGTTACCAAGCAGTATCAGTTAGCTGCAGTGGGGTTACCAGCTCTGCAATCCTACTGGGGGTTTGGATACCACCAATGCCGCTGGGGTTATCGAAATTGGACAGAGCTCCGACAAGTAAACATATCCTGCTTTGCTACTACTGCACCCCTGCTAATCATGATATAGGTCGTCGATACCTTTAAGGCCTTTGATATTCCACTTGAGACAATTTGGACAGACATCGACTATATGGATCAGTATGTAGTCCTGAAGTTCCCGTGGGCTGATGGGCCTAATATGAGTGTAGGTATCGGGATTTCACTGTAGATCCGGTCACTTTCCCCGTGTCTGAGGCTCAGGCTTTCCTAGAGCAGTTGCACGCAGACGGACAGCACTATATTCCAATTGTTGATTCAGCCATATACATTCCAAATCCGACCAACAGCAGTGACGCCTATGCCACTTACACTCGAGGTAACGAGTCCGGGGCATTCCTTCTAAATCCGGACGGCAGTCAGTATATCGGAGCGGTATGGCCTGGTTACACAGTCTTTCCTGATTGGCTGTCCAAATACAGTATTCCGTGGTGGGTCAATGAAATGTAAGTAGGCCCTGCGCACATACTAGTGATGCTTGCTAATGCTAGGAAGGGTCACCTGGCACAAGGATATTCCGTTCGATGGTATTTGGATCGACATGTCGGAGGTTTCATCGTTCTGTGTCGGGTCCTGTGGCACTGGCAATATTACATTGAATCCAGTCCACCCCCCATTCAGCTTACCGGGAGAGGTGGGTAACATAATTTACGACTACCCCGAGGGCTTCAACATCACCAATGCTACAGACGCTGCTTCTGCCCTAGCCGCTTCGTCAAGCCAGGCGGCGTCAACTTCAACTGCTGGTCCTACCTTGTCTAGCTCTACAAGCTATCTCCGAACGACCCCAACACCGGGTGTAAGGAATGTGAATCATCCTCCATATGTAATCAATCACGTTCAGGGCGACCTTACCGTGCACGCGGTGTCCCCCAATGCAACTCACCACAATGGTGTCCAAGAATATGACGTCCACAATCTTTGGGGGTATGTTTGACTTCTACGGATTAGTTGCCGATGCAGGACTTCTGGTCGCTAATATCTCTGGTCTTAGTCACCAAATCCTGAATGCGACTTACCAGGCCCTGTTAAGCGTATTCCCTGGGAAACGACCCTTCATCATTGGTCGTTCGACATTCGCTGGTTCGGGCAAATGGTCCGGCCATTGGGGTGGAGATAACACCTCCAAGTGGTACTACATGTACTTCTCCATCCCTCAAGCATTATCGTTCTCACTCTTCGGTATCCCAATGTTCGGCGTTGATACTTGGTAAGCCACCACCACCAACTCCTTATTTACTCGCACTGATAAGATGAAGCGGCTTCAATGGCAACTCGGACTACGAGCTGTGTTCTCGGTGGATGCAGCTTAGCGCCTTCTTTCCCTTCTACCGTAATCACAACACACTTTCTGCCAATTCCCAAGAGCCCTATATCTGGGAATCTGTCGCAAGAGCGTCTCGCACTGCCATGAACATTCGTTACTCACTTCTACCTTACATATATACCCTGTTCTACCAAGCGCACACAACGGGCTCGACGGTGATGCGAGCACTGGCCTGGGAATTTCCTAACGAGCCTCTGCTCGCCGGGGTAGACACCCAGTTCATGCTCGGCCCTTCGCTCCTCATCACTCCGGTTCTCGAGCCCGGAGCAGACACGGTTAATGGCATATTCCCTGGAATCATCGATGGTGAAGTGTGGTACGACTGGTATACGCAGGAAAAGGTGCAGGCGCAGGCGGGTGTCAACACCACGATCAACGCTCCGCTTGGTCATATCCCGGTCTTCATCCGTTCTGGAAGCGTGCTCCCGCAACAAGAGCCCGGATACACGACTGCGGAGTCCCGAAAGAACCCTTGGGGTCTGTTAGTCGCGCTTTCGGAGGACGGAGACGCGACGGGTTCGCTGTATGTCGATGATGGAGAATCACTAGAGCCCACGGATACTTTGACCGTTGCCTTCACGGTGATGAATGGGAAATTAAAGGCAGATGTAAATGGTAACTACAAGGATACCAATAGCCTAGGCAACGTTACTATTATGGGCGTCGACGGATGTGATGGGAACGTCAAGCTGAATGGCGAAAAAATTGACGATAGCAAGGTGGATTGCGATGAGGGTACCGGGGTCTTGAAGCTGACTGGGCTGAATGATGTGACGAAGAGCGGTGCCTGGATTGCGAGTTGGACATTAAGTTGGGCATGAGGAGGTCTTCTTATAATTGGTGGATGATGCATTAGAGTCAACGTTTAACTTTGTATTAGGTGATGATAGCAATGGTACTTGATGTGTTCTTCTACACTATTACATTTGTTGCTCTCAATGCGAAATAGTAGCAACATCAAGTTACTGGTAGATCTTGCATATACTGCGCTCCTGTGCGAAATGCAGGTATTGGACGGACCTAACTCCTCAGAAGGCGCTAAAATCCATGTGCAGTCCTTATCGTGGAGTGTGGGGTTGCGGTAAGGGGAAGATGCCTGGATGAGTAATGCTGCTGTGGGTGTGGTGAGCATATACAATATGAACTGGGGGACAAGTGAAGGGGATTTACCACAACTTTCTGGGTAGAATATGTAGAGCAGATGCGCTCCCGACAGGTATCGGGCTCTTACATATGTCAGGGCGCTAGCGCATAACTTCTACACGACAGGTTCACTCATCCCATCTCTGAGCTTCCTTGTCGTAGCCAATGAGCTTCAGATCGATATTGAGCGTCCTCAGCATCATATCCATGGTGAAGGAATCATCATCAGCGCCACCCAAGTCCCCCTCTCCAACGCCACCGCCGTCCCGCTCAACCTCCTCTTCATACTCGGCGTGATCCCCATCCTGGCCCTGCCCGGCAGCCGTCTCTGCGTCCATGCCCTCGCGATCCCACTGCTTCCGCCACTCACGCTGCTCCCTTTCCCTTTCCCTCCACGCACCAACACCACCCATCCGATTCACTCTATCCCGTGTTCCGGCAAACAGCTCCTCGGCAGCAGCGCGGCTTGCTGCACGCCATGTATCGATTAGAAGGTTCAAGTCGGCGTCTTCGCTCGATGTCGCAAGACGGTAGGCCTGAGTGAGCATCTGGATGTCGGAGCGGAGTGATACAGCTTCGCGGATGAGTCTTGGGGAAGTTTTCTTCTGGAGAGTGGGGAGGATGCGCTGAGAAGGCCGGGCTTCTGAGGGATTCAAAGAAGGCGTGGGCGTGGGAGCGGGCGCAAGTGTGTCTGCAGCTGTCGGTGGCTTCAACGGCGTGCGGAATGGTGACTTGAATGGCTTGTGCAGCGTCTTAGCTGCGTCATTGAGCCGGCGTCGTTTCGCCTCTGGAGTCGACATTATCGTAGTTGAAGTCGCGAGCTTCCATCAGATGTCCACTACTAAGGTCTTCCAAGGTTCACGAAGGGCCGTGCGACGCTAAGCGCGCTATCACGTGAATCCTGCCCCTCCCCGGACCATCGTCAGAAATGCGTCAATCGGTCGTGGATGGCCCACAGGTAGATTAAGTATGCGACGCGGCCAAACCTTTAACATTTCGAAGCAGAACCCAGCCATCAGAGGAAGGAGCAGAACCATCACTATGGCAGAATAGCACCCGGCAATATATGCAAACAAGGCCAAGTCGGGGTGCATCTGCTACGGGCTTGGGAAGGATGCATGTCTTCGTAACCATTTAAAATGTAAAAATAGGTGAAATACCCGTTGATAAACCATCACCCCATCTCGAGATCTATGGAACCATCGAGCATCGCTTGCAAGGGATGCTCAATGGTCGCACCAGAGCAGGCAGTATATAAATATCTCCCCTTGCGCCAATTGTGGCCATCACAACGACCTAGTAAATATTCGCTCAGCATGATTACCTTCTGGAGAAGGCTACTATCCCTATTACCCCTCTCCCTAACACTTTCTTGTCACGCCGCCATCACAGTATTCCCGTCATCTGCCGAACCGCGAGCATACAACCACCAAGGTCAGCCCTCAGCAGCGCTCTCAAACAAAGACTTGTTCCGCCAAAGCTGTCCCGACGAATTCGCCGCAAACAAAAATGCCTCGGTTCTCTTCTCGTCCAATTCAGGGGACTTCGCAAAAGGAACAGTCTATCCGACATCAGACAGCTTCGTGCGCGGCACCATAGATGCATGGGGCCAACACCAGCATCTCGTGATCCGGCCCGAGGAAGTCTGGTTTTCCGTCCTAGCACAGATGAACTTCTACATGAGCAAGAATTCGGAAGCGTTGCGGAATCTATTCGTAGATCATGACGGTAAAGAGGAGATCCTGGTCGAAGACTATACTTGGGAGCTGGTGTTAGGTAGATTCCAATATGAGATCCAGAAGAGAGTCAAGACGCCGTGGCTGCTTGATTGGATTAGGCCGAACTTTACAACGACTACCGAAACTGATATTATGACGGCGAATGTGTTGATGATGGGGCTGATGCAAGCCTATTTCGAGTTCGTTGGGGGCATCATCTGTGGACTCCCGTCTGTAACCCTCTTGGGGGAAAAGAAAGACTGGGAGAAATTGCTAGTAAAGCTCGATCATTTGACGGATTTTGGTACCGAGCCCGTCGCTTATGCGAAGCAATTACGACCCATTCTCTCCCGCTTTGTCCGGACATTTGACGAACCAGACAGTCCTCAGGTTCGCGAATTCTGGACCAATATTATCCATGCTGATCCGGCTCGTATCTGTGGCGGGCCACCGTATACATTAAGTGGCTGGCTCATGGGTTTTTTTTTCTGGGATGTCACGGGAAAGGTTCTGCCTCAATCGCAACTCGGCCCCTTGACATTAGATGGCATAAAGTACGCCACACGGGGAATCGATGCACTCCCAGTTGGGTACGCGCAAGCTCCCTTCACTATGAAGAACTTCCCAGATGAACGAACGCCCAAATTTGAGGCTTACGTTCTTGCCGGAAATGTTGGGAAACGTATTAGCACAGGAGTTCCAGAAGGGTACGCAACCGCGTTGAGCCGCTTCAACGGGTCCTCAGTCGACCAGAAGTTACCACACGGAACACTTCAGCCACTGTCCGGTTGGATGATCTACGGTCCAGCGCCTCATACCAATACGACAAAACACGGGGAGAAAGGATACGAGAATAACTGGATGAAGTTGGCTGTGGATCAGTCCTATACCGCGCGATGTATGGCAAACAGCACATTTTAAAACCCAGGGTTTCGGCGATGGATGCTGTTCAACGCCGACTTTCGCGCTCAATGTTTTGTGGGATCTTTAGTATTGCTGGTTTCATGCCTTTGGTTGTTAGAAATTGTGGCGACTGCTCTGGAAAATGCTCCCCTCAGATCAATCTGGAAGTCGGTCTTAACGAAATTAACTCTGTTCGTCGACTATCCACTTCCATTCAGAAACTTGGTGTTCGTAACGTGAAAGTTGTGCTGCATTACCTAGGTATGTACAAGAGACCAAAGACCACCGCACAGAAATCGGATCTCGATGTTGCTTCTTAATGCTCTAAAGCTTAATTGACACATCCAGCATATTTAAAACAAGAGCGAACCCAGCAATTATAGTAATGTAGGCTACTAATATGGCCATTGACTGCAGATCTCCCATGCGTAGCGTCGGCATTGTTAAATTGACCAATCCAGTGAGGAGATTTGCAACGAGAAAGATTATGAGGCCATTGCGGTTGAAAGCGAATAGAATTGGACTGGTAGCCCTTTTGCTCCTCTGTACCTCTTCCTCCTTGCTTGCGGCCTTGTAGATGTTCGGAAAGCACAGGTGCTCGATTGCACAGCATAAAGCGAGCTGGGCTGTGTTGAATGAAGTGACCCATAAAAAGTAGGGGAGATTGGCAAGTCGCCGTGAGACGGATAGGCCAAACCCATAGTAGCTTATGGACACGTAGAAGAGGGTAGACCATATGAGGGCGGAAAACATGAGTTTACCTAGGGTCGTGTGTTTTACGACATCTACTATCGAAGCATCTTTTCGGAGCGATTGTTGCCTCGGCAGGATGAAAGACCCTACGGACTGGCCTGCGAGGAAGATGGCTAGGTATCCGAGAAAAGAAAATATGCCTTCTCGATTCTGAGATAGCAGGTTGGTCCGAGGGCCTATTAGGATATAGGCCTTTAGTCTTGTATTATCCAGGGCAATCTCATAAAGGACGCCCAAAACGCACGAAAGAACCGCGTATGAAGGGACGATATCGAACGCAGACTGGAAGAAGGCAACAAACGGCGGGAGAAATCCAAGCGTGAAGAAGAAATTCCAGTGGACGCCATATTCGGTGACATGTTCGGCATAGTCCAAGCCCTTGACTGATATCAACCGAATGACGCCAAGCACGAGTAAGGGTAGGGAATGTCTAAACGAACTAACTAGACGGTTCCATAACCCGGGGCGGTTCGTCGCCTCAGTTTTCAGCCATGCCCGAACTGAGACAACTCCAGACGTGAAGACAAAGGATCCAACACCCAAGTCCATCAACGACGTTCCCCAGTTCTCGACCTTGGCGAACCGCCTGGGAAACACTCGGAAGTCTACGGCGAGTATAGCTACACATGTAACGATGAGCATGGAAGCGCGATAGTGCGTGACAAAAGGCTTAAACGGAAGACGGTCCTGAGGAGATTGTTTTGCGACGCCATTCTTGGCGGGTGGCCGCAGGTGGGACGGTGGAAAGGGCGCCGTACGGCATGTGACGAAAACGATGGCTGCGGGAAGCAGCAGGAGCATATTCAGAAGCCAGGGTGACGACGAGTACAAGGTGGTGGCAAAGAGAATAGCTCCGCAACTAAGCAGGAAGTCGATCAAGCACGCGACGGGCGTGTAGGGGCTAAAGAGGCGCATGCGTGACTGGAGGACCGACCAAAGGAGAATGGAGAGCTGTCAAATTCAGCGTCAGTAGATGCTAGCGAGACGCGTCAAAGGTATGTTTACGGTCATAACAAGGGAAACACTGTTGATATCGGCAACGGAGCTCCCCATGAGATTTGAGACCCATTCTATCTTTTGAGCCTTATCGTCTCTCGCCATAGCGGGATATTTGAGCACTCGGTCAAGCTTTGTCAGGGTTGGGTGAGGAAGAGGGACTTGACGTCAAGGTGGCCGTAGCAGAAATGGTTGTTCCGCTCCGAGACCACATCATGACCATGGCATTCCCATCGCTATCACCATCACCATCACCATCATCATCATCACATTAAGCTCGTACAGCAACTCGCATCGCGATGAATATCTAGGTAGGTGCTCCTGCCGCGGGATTCCTTCGTAGCTGCCCCTAGCCATCGTCACCACCAGCGCGCCTTCCTTACTATACTATCACTGCTATCTACACCTCTTTGGCCTAGTAGAAACACAAGGCGCTCACTGCTACTACGGCAAGTATAAACCTATCAAGGCCTCGTATTCTTGCCTATATATCCGTACCTGATTAAGAAAAGCTCTCGCTATAGAAGTACCTAGGTCAGTAATTCAAGTCTCTCAAGCAAACTGCAAGGCCATGACCGTCTTTTGTGTTCCCGCCATTGTCCCTGTGATGTATGCTGTCACCTGCCTCCCTTTTTTTTTCTCATTCTCTGCGCACCTCTGTCTCCAGGGCGACGTCCGCCAAGACAGTCCATTCCATCCACTCTCGTGGCTACGACTATTCGCATGCAAGCGAAGAAACGCAGCGGCTCAATACGTCTCGGACACAGCCTTACTCGACACTACTACAGCAAGGCCTTTCATCCATGGTTTTGTAAGCGGCGCCCACATACAGTATGCAGCGTCCGCTCATCGACATTGACGCCAATCCCCGTCAAGCCGGCTTCAAGCATCCCAAATCATCTACATCGAGTAGGCCACCTCGAACTGCGCCAGCTAGTGTCAACATAAAACGAATGCGGAGGTGGGTCTCGACCACGCCGAACGGTTCGCCTCGTTATATTGCGCCTGCGTCGCCATCTGCCAAGCCCAGAATGGCTGCCCTTGTAGGGTCAAAAATCCCACGACGAGCACAAAATTCCAGCCCACTCAGTAGCACCGCCGCACAACGCGCTCTTTTAGCCAAGGTTGAACGCAGTAAAGACAGTTATACGCCAAGCCCTCTAGCTCAGAAAGTAAGCTGACGAACAGTCAAGATGTAAGCAATTCAATTGATTTCATTTAGGTCATGGATTTCCCTCTGCGAAAAGTCAGCCCTGCTAGCCTCGACAAGCCTCTCCCCAGCATTCCGGTTGCTTATGTAATGAATCCAGACAGTCCGGTCAAGATCAGTCGCACCCTGATCGATGCTACAGTAGCAGGAACACCCACACAAGCAGAATGGCCAATATTGCGACCGGAGAATGAGCTATCAGCGAGCACAATAGCTTCATTCGTCGGTGATCCTAACTCTAGGTATGTCATGAACAGCACCACCACGGACTCGTTTGGTGGCATCCGTGCTAATCTTTCTAGCGACAATCCATTTGACGGGGTGTTCGACCCTTCAGCACAAAATCCCGAACATGATGGGGACGCTGTGATATCCGTCAGAGGGAACAGTCGAGAGGCTGAAGAGTCTGAGTATATTCAGGCACACAATAGCAAGGTCTGTTCTTCACATTTCCTAATTTTCTAGTCATCTCAATCTGCTTGTAACAGCCTAGATATAAGAACCGCGTATCTATATTAGAAGAAGAAGCTAATTTCTATCAAGGCATCGAATATCGGTACTGGTGCATCGGCTTACATAGATGCCTTTCCAAACACTCAAGACGACGTACTTGGCAGTCAAGTCCCCCATAAGCAAACACATCAAGACCAAGCCGAGTCTGTGGGAGTCGCGACTTCCCGACATTTAAGCAAGAGTGCCATCCCTGTCCCAAAGAACCTACATACATGCCCGCGATTAAGACGTGCTCAGCGTGGATCGACTAAATGGCCATTGCTCGATATTGAATCTCCTCCGAACACTCTGTCACCCTTGACGGGTCACCTTCAGAATGATTCCAAGGATATCAACCCACAATGGCCATGTTCAAGTGAAGAGGGTTGTTCACCAGTCTCTGAATTTAAATCTCTCGACCAGAGCTCATCGTTACGCCAAGCTTTAGATGTTTCACCCCTTTCATCGAAGACAAGCGAATCGTCCTCGACAGAGAAATTACCTGACCCTGACGCAAGGTTTGGTTCTCGTGTCAAGCGTCTTTCTAATCACTCGCTTAAGTCCGGATTGGGTCCTGTGTTGACAATTTCCGATGATGCAGATGGTGTTCTTCTCGGCACCTCGAGCCCCATTCCTGATGTTCCTCCCTTGCCAAACGTAACGTCCCAGAAACCGCCTCAGGGGCGCTCGCTCAGTGCCCTTGCAGGAAGGATTACCCGAGAGAGGATCCCGAGTTCTTTCAGTAGCCGTTCGAGACGCTCTCGCTCCGGGACTCCTCAATACTCTGAATGTGGGACAGGTGGCTTCGGATCCACAAGAATTCTCCCTATTAGGTCAATGGAGCTGCCTAGAAAGAGCAGTGTAGCAAGCGACCCAAAGCCTTCTCCCTCCTCTGCCAGCAACCCCCAAGATATTATGAAGACAACCCAGCGGTGTACACCTAACTTGCTTCATAGCCGTGAGGAATTTCCGCCACCGCATAGTGGTGTATCTTCCAAATTGCAAAGTGCAGCTGAGGGTTTAGTCCCAATCCAAAAGGCTCAATTTTCTGTTCAGAACACAAGGGTACGTACATTTGCATGGTTCATGCCACCGTTCTAATCCTGATAATAGAAGCCAACGAGGGGCACACATCCAACCTCCGCTCCAGTTCCACTCAGGGATAAAGGACGTATAGCCAGTAACGGGGCCAACAATATAGAGGTGCCAAGACCAGTTCAGTTTCTTGGGGGGCAACCATTTGAAACGAAGTGCTTCCGACGAGGCAATAGCACCAGCAATCCTCGCGTGGATAGTCCTACTTCTTACGGTGATTGTGCCTCTGGTGGATCCAGATCATCGATCCTTCTCCAAGCTGGTCGACCTTCCACGGAACCCCATCAGTCTCGTCAAGCAAGATCAACACCCGTTATCAGCATCATGCCCAACCAACCAAACCCTGCAGCAGCGAGCCACCGTGTGCCAATTCTTCGCGATCAGACACAGATGAAGGCACCAAAATTCGATTTCGTACCATCTCCGGAGCCCATCGTGAATCCCGATGGAGGAACATCAAAGGTCAAGTTAAAGAAGAGTTTCCGTAACTTCTTCCAGAAGAAAGAAAATAAGCAGATAACGACCACCGCAGGATTAAAGGAGCCCAAGAGATTATCGGTGACAATGCAAGGAAGTGCACTAGCCAAGCGCTTCAGATCATCCGTAAATTTGTCTAAGGCGACTGGGTCAAAGGAGTCTCAGCTACAGCTTCAATCCGATGCCGGAAAAGACCAGAGTCCAGTTCGAAATGCAGATAACCTAGTGGTAGGGTTACCAAATTCGACCTCACCAACGGCAGAAGTGGTGTATCCACTATCTTCGATACCCTCTTCAGATATCATTGCTGAGATTATGAATTACATCAATTCACTACCTCCAGATTCGATCGATCGATTGAAGGGACTTCAGATCGCCCAGGTATTTTGCACCCTTAACCTTTATGAACTCTTGACGCAGGAATTTGGTGTTAAAAAGCGAAATGCAGGTTTTAGTGCAAGCTATTGAACAGGTCAAACAAGCCAAGATTGCCGCTCAGAAGGCAAAAGAGTACGCAAGAGACGCCGCACTGCATGCCAACACTGCAGATATAACTTTGAAGATGGTCCAGTCTCTTGTCGGATCCAAGGTTCCTCTTGATACAGTAGAAGGTATCGTGGAGCTGATAAGTCACTCTGCATCGTCCACAGCCACCCAAGCTCCTTTGTCATGAATGGTATCACAAATAGAGGTCGTAATATGGACGGATGGCCTTCCTCTTCTTCTCCGCCTATGGTCAGTTCAAGCTAGCCCTCAATCGACCAGGCAGTCACCTCCAGTTTGCGCGGCTAATGCTACAGTGCTCAATCTCAGCTCGTTGTTCTCGGATCTTCTAATGCGATGAAGTATGGTAATCGGATAATTTGGGAGGTCGATTCAAATCATCGAAGTTGGGAGTGTTCTTGTTGTGTAATGTAGCTACAGTTGATCTGAATGGCCTATTCTGCACGTGTTTGTCGAATTGACAGCAGCTTGCAACAAACGAGCCAACATGTATGATAATGCGAGCAAATACACAATTTGGGGGAATTGGAAAGTGCTTCCGAAATTTTTGGCGATCTTAGCATTGTGTTTTCAGTGTGATGAAACTACATATGTCTTTGTCCTTTTGAGGAAGCTACCTACCCGTTGCATATTGTACAGACGCCCAATGGCCTTTGAGCATAATAGCACGTCTTAGAATTCAAGGCGGACCTAGATATAAGTAATAGAAGACTTAAGCGGGGGATCATTCTAGTCCAAATATTCGGTCGAGCCGTGTCCTATGCCCTTCGGGTCGCGTAATCCCAGACTCCATAGACATCAGCCGTGCTGAAATCGAATCACATATTAAACATGCCGCCGCTCTTATTCTGCGCCTCGCCCTGCATCTTCTCGCTGACCTTAACATTGACTTCAAAGAACTTTGCGACGCAGCGGTCCAGGCATACGGATTCGCCTTTGTTGAGGTCGGCTTCGCGATACGAGTTATCGATGCACTTCTTCGAACATGACTGTACTAGGCTATATCCTCGTGTTAGAGCTGCCCTCGCTTGTGTGTGTGTGTGTGTATAAGAGGGTTGGGACAGGGTGCGGTAGGGTGGATTACCGAGTGTACATGTCAGACACCATATCGATTTCGGCCTCGGCTTGAGCAATCTTCTGCTCCGAGGAGATCTGAGGGCGACCGCCGAAGAGAAACGACATTTTGGACTTGTGAAGGTGTTGTTCAAGGGCTCTGTTTGGGTGGTGGCTGTGGGATTGCTGGGCAACTTTGTTGCGGGTAGAATAAATTCTAGGAGCATTGCCCGCGGTGTGATCCGTGCCGAGATTTCTTCAACTACGCACGACTAGCGAGTAAGGACTTCAGATTAACTGTAGGGGAACAACTGTGGTCCCCAATATCATACCTAGTTATTTCCTTACCTGTGTTAAAGTTTATGTGAAGGTTACTTTGCATATCTTGTATAGTTGAAGCGCAGAAATCCTAAGACAAGTCGTGAGGCCAAAGCAACAACTCAGCTTGCAGACGCAGAGTGCAGAAGCGAACTGTGCCAAGGCGTAGGTATTGGCTCGGGTACTCCATATCTGAACGCTTGATACTGTACCCTTCCTTCACACAACACATCTCCACATCGCCGCTTTCGTCGTATTTCGGCATCTTCGGATATAGATACAGAACCTTATTAATAGTATCCCCCTGCTCCTCCGGCACACTTAGAGCTCTCCAGGATTCTGTAGGAATGCATTTATCTACCCCATCTCCAAGCGCATAGATGTCATACTCGGACCCACGCCTTTCCCTCTAACCCATTGCCCAGACTTGGAGCAAAAAAAACTATGGATGTTTTAGATTAAGGAGCTCGTTTCGTTGTTGCATCCTAGAAGTGAATGAGTATTTCTTTACAAAACCGCCGCATCAGATGTTCATTGGATGCCTATCTTCTTCATTCCGGCCTTTCGAACCCCAGAAATATCGTAATTAGTAATCCCAACAACATCCCGACATTCGCGGACGCTTTGTCCCCGGAGGCTCTCCAATTTCTTCTTCGTCATGTTGCTCGGATTCGAGCTTGGATTTAACTTCACAAAAGTTCTCCTCCAATTTCAGGTAGATCAGACCCCCCCCCCAACACACGTTCCGTTCTGACAAATCGTGTTCCAGCATACTTTAAGTTAATATTATATCCAGCGGCTTGACCTTGAAAATCAACACCTTCAATCTTCTTATTACTCCATACGCCCTTTGCAGTCCTGACCGCGACTTCCGAAATCCTCACGCTCTTCACCATCTCCTACATTCAACTCCCCTTTCCACTATCCTTCTCAGATCAAAAGTGCATTTATCCTGCGAAATCCATCAACGCATTCAACTCGCATTACCAGGAGTTCTGTTGACCTTCGTTCATGAGCTACTACGCCCAGTAATTCTCTACACATTCATCTAAATATATCCGCAGCGTACATGCCGCTATCCATAAAAAATCGCTTACCCACGACTTCCCACGAAGCTCTTACTCCATAATTCCAGTTCCGGCCGACCCAACGCATGCAGAACCAAACGGTTCAGTGGCTGACATGGTGAAGCGCGCAGCTAAATCGTGACTGTCCGGAATCTTTGAAAAATGCATTCCACTCTAGTTAAAACTTTTAGGGAGTATATATATCCTAGAAGAAAAGAGTGTGTCTCTCGTTTGCGGAAGAAAGTAGCAGACAGCATGATGGTTATTACATTGCACCACAATGCAGGTTATCGAGAAATCCGCTGCCAAATTTGGAGGTGTGGTGTTCAATCAGAATGGTTCCTTTCAAGTATTACTAAGAAACTTCTGACGTAGTTGGTCTCTCTACGCCGCACAGCGACTGTGTGTCCTACAGAACTGCACGCGCCTCCTTCACCTTCAACCGTAGGATACAAAATTCTGCTCCTTGACGCGAAATTCGTTTCCTTAATCCCCATTAGATATTAACTATTGTTCTGGTCTGCCTTTAACTTCTTTCCCTCGAACACGGTAATTGTTAACAAGCAAAAGGACACTATATCCAGCATATTCGTACCAGCTGCAGTATGCCGGACTGTGATACATGCTCCTTAGCGATTATCAGGCTTCATCCCCAAGATAAAGGGCCTAAACTCACAAGTAGAGATCTCAGCATCACTCTACCCTGATTTGTACCTGCCACTATCCGCAATTGCTGGATCTGTGCCAAGTTCTCAAGGTGGTTGGAAACCGAGCATCCTGAGCTGTCCGATGTCTGGCGTAAAGATGAACTCCCTGTAACATACTCTGTGATTGGTATTGGACGTTTCGATGGACGTGAACACAGTCTTTACATGTTCTTAATAAACATCACAGTTCGTGGCCATGATCCCGATGATGATGCCTGTGGGGTTGATATAAGTGTGTTTCCTGCCGAAGGTATGTTCTGTTCTTTGAGATTATGTAGCGCTGTACAGGTTTGAGAGATTGATTATTCGCAGAGTTCACTTTACGTCCCTTCACTACCCCGAAAAAGCCACTCGATCTTATAGTACCTATGAGGTGGATTGAAAAATGCAAAAGGAACCATGGCAATTGCAAGGATGACAGTAATTCATGGTACCCAACCCGACTACTACATTTCGGCTCCCAAGATCAGAAAGTGAGGCTTGTGGTCTCGAAGGATCATGGCCCGAAAGGCCCATATATTACCTTAAGTCATCGATGGGGACCACATATGAAGTTGAAGCTCACTTCTGCCACAATGGCAAGGCTGACACGTGGGGTCCAACTATCCAGCCTATCCCAAGTTTTTCGCGACTCTGTCAAGATTGCCCAGCACCTGAAGATCTTATTACCTTTGGATTGACGCCTTATGCATCAAACAGGATGAAGACGATCTATCAGACTGGGAAATCGAATCCCAGAGCATGTACAACGTATACGCATGCGCTTTCCTGAATATTTCTGCCACCCTGTCATCCGAAGGTAATGAGTCGCTCTTTTGTGACAGAGACCTAGTTCCGACCCTGCCATCCAAGGTCAGACTAGGTATCGATGGAATTCATCAAGATTATTTTATTATCGACAGTAACACCTGGAATGACGAGATCGAGAATGCTCCTCTCAATAATAGAGGGTGGGTTTTCCAAGAACGATTCTCGGCTCGGAGGGTACTCCAATTCGGCCGTCAACAGCTAGCATGGGAAGGTAGAGAACTCGAGGCATCGGAAATGTTCCCAGATGGACTCCCTCAGGCATCTGCCGCATCGTGCCTTAGCAAACCACGCCTCTACGAAAGACTCACGAGCCTGTCTCAGAGCTCAAACGAGACTTTGAACGACAATCTCGCTAGGGAGTGGCATGCTGTAGTGTAGAGCTACTCTAAATGCGCTCTTACCTTTCCCAAGGACAAGCTAATTGCCTTTGAAGGCGTTACAAGGGCTGTTATGGCAAGCACGGGAGGCCGGTGCGTTGCAGGCGTGTGGCAAAACAATATTGCTTATGATCTTACGTGGTATCGCTCCAGCGAGGCAAAAGAGTCCTTTGCAATCAGTGAAACCTCCTTACGTGCTCCCAGTTGGTCATGGGTATCTGTTGACGGACTGATAGACTACCCGACTTTTCCTGGGGAGGTGCGACGCCTTTTCATCAATGAAGGGGAGATATTAGATCCCAACCCAAATGGAGACACTGCGCTTTCTAGACATCCTTCCATCCGAGTACAGGGAATCTGTCTTCCTCTAAAGATCAATTGGTCGAACGGGGAAATGCTCAGCTTCGAAACCGCCAGCGTTCGCTTTTCGCTTGAATGTCCATTTGGCGCACAAATTAATCTCGACCGCCCTGAAGATGAGATACGGAAGATGGGTCATAAATCTGGAATACTCTTGCTACCGTTACTTGCCACACCACGATGTATATTTGGGCTCGTTCTTGCGAAGGCCCGCGGAGTAGGTATGTATAGACGAGTAGGAACAATTGAGATTCCAACGGTAGAAAGCCTTAACCCTGGTGAAAACACCCTTTGGGGTCAGAGAGAGATAAAGACGAAACCGAGAAGACTATTGGGCCAACAGAACCTCTGGAAGAGCCTGCAGCGAATGGCCAGAATATGTTGGACAGTATTAAATGGAATACGACAGCGTTAAAGCTAGTATACCAAATAGACGAGCTAAAGCGGTCAGAAATTTTCATTTGCTAGAAAGGAGTGGCTTTTCGTATAATAAAATTTATTACCAGGAGTACATGGGAAAACTAGACGTGGAGAGGAGAAAGGTATTCGGTGAAGAGTAGAATCTGTGGTATGAGCTAGCAATGGAAACTAGAGTAGGGCGATAAGTGATCCGAGGGTTGGGGTTACTGAAAGTGGGAGACGAAGAGAGAAAGGTAAAGGAAGCAATAAAGATATCGCAAAGCAAACAATGCAGCGAGCAAGCTTTGTGATTGTGTCATGAGAGGCAACTAAGCCGCCAAGGATGATTAGAAGCGGTAGAAACGCAGGAGCGTTAGGTGTTTGAGGGATGGAGCAAAGGTAAGAGGTTTGTATAGCAAGATCGAAAGTATCGAGCGGTTAGTCAGTGTCAATACCGAAAAGGGACACCTACAACACCATGAACAAGCTTCTGCACACACAAGATTCAGCTAATTTAAACACACGAAGTGAAGGTTAGGACGTGAAAACCGCCTAACTCTATCAGTATAAATGGAAAGATCCTGGCACATCGAAGTAGCTGGGCTATCCCTTGTCACACTTAGGCATAGAATAGGCATTACGTGAAGCCCGCCGCTTTCCACCCTAGATCTGCTTCTAACCCAGTATTTTCAAACATATCCACCAAGGTTCCCTTCGATATGCGGACTTCCCGCTCCGCCTAATCATCAACAAAAGGATTATAAGTAATGCACCTAGCGGTTTATCATTCATATTAGAATAGTCTTTCGTCTCCCGCTCCTTGCCAGAACATGGCCGAATATGCAGACTTGACAAGGAATATGAGGTGAATTCGTGCTTCGTATTTCTTTTGTACCGAGCTAAAATAACTTACCTCTTCCCTGAACTGGGTTCTATCTCCGCATATTTCCCTAAAGATATTGCATCCCAAGTTGGGAATAACGAGGTCATGGCTCTCCTGAGGGGCTCCCCTTCTAAGTCGAAAGAAAGCAGCTTGAGTTGCTGTGAGGACAACACCTGGTTTTACGTCATTAACCAAAACAACCAGTTTCTCGGACCATTGAGACGACTCTGGATACTGCAAGACACCCTTGCAGAATGTGTAATAATTTGGCCAGAGGGCACTGAAAGTCTCTCGCACAGTCGAAAATATAACCAGGACGTGAACGCAATCCATACCCAGCCCTCGTTACGGGGAATTGCCATATAGACCTCCAAACCTTCATCTACTTGAGTCTCTGGGAGAATGTTGACCACTTCTAGGTGCCCATATGCTAGCAAAGAAGGACACTTCACTGTATAATCGTATGACGGAGATATGCTGTGCCACTGCCAATGTCATCTCTATGAAGATTTCTCTCAACTACCGAATTTCATGACCGTCTCCACCAACATTGGAGATGGATAATTGTCTGATGCTAGAGATTTGCCCATAGAATGCACCCGGATCAAGGTAGACATCGTGATTGCTCCTCACCATAGTCTCATCCACCGCTGCTATCTAACTTCTGGGGCAGACAAAATGTGGTACATGGGCTGATTGGCCAAGACTAATTCGAGCCACTGATTGGCTTATCTCTGAAGGAGGATAGTAGCAGTGAATGCCTTAACATAATAATTATAATTTTCCACTCTAGGTAAGATTGGAAGGTTCTGTTGTTTGTGTTGCAAAGTAGGACTATTATACAAACGCCGAGCCGTTTTTTTTGTCTTCAGATTCAAACATATATCGCTCCAGAAAAGCGGTCAGCTTAGCACAGAATCCATCGACGAAAGTTGTCCAGAGGTGAGCGCACGAGTAGACGATAGTAAACCAAAGAGGTAGGGATACCATGAAGACAAGTGGGCCGGCTCTAGGAAGCCAGTGATAGACGGGTTCACCTTCCTCGTTTTTATCGACCACCCAAGGCTCCCCCGACCAACCGTATACCATTCGTGCTAGCACAACGCGGAGTAGAGTACCATGAATAAGATATACAGCAAAGCTATTTTTGCCAATCCACAGGAAGAGCCGGTTTGAGAAGATCCCTTGGAGTGTCGGAGAGAGCCATATCGCTGTTGCGCACATCTGCCATCCAACTGCGGACCACCTCTTACCCGTGTTTATGTTTGGTGGAAACAAGGTATTCCCGACATCAAGGAGTTGTCGGGACCACGTGGACCACTCTGGGTGCTCTCCGGGGTAGCCTGCCACATATACACCTACGGTAACGAGCCCTACTTGCATGACTCTACGAGTTTTCAGCCATCTTTCTAGGAATTGCCGGAAGGGTGGGTGCGAGCCGAGGTCACACAGGATCATTCCAAAGAACATCTGGCAGTGAAAGGTTTCTAACCACTCGTCAGTCTGGGCTGTGCGATACGAGCTATAGCCTGCTGCTTCTCACCGGTCTCTTGGGTATTATCTAGCCAGTACCACCCGTAGAGGGTTATATATGAGAGCATGCGGAATCGAAACTTCATGAAGATGGTAGCGCACAGTGTTACATACACCATGAAGGCGCCCTTCAATAGTGGAAGCAGCGCCCATTGATGATCATCATACTCCATACGACCGTTGATCCACACGCTCTGGAAGTTGTGAAAAAATCTAGGGATCTCCTCCCTAAGACTCCCGACCTCCGGGCTGGAGAACCTTAGCCAACCAGAGTCGCACCGATTCGACACTTTAAAGCCACCAAACTGAGCAACCATCCAAGCAATGGCCATTGCGAACGTAGCAGGGAGAATTAGCCGAGGTGGACGTCGAAATGCAGATTTGGCAACTGTTGTCAAGGCAGCTGATGGATATCCGGATCTGGCCTGTCGAAGTGGCTTCAAAGCACAGACGTAGCCGGTGAGGAATGCAAACATGGTGACTCCGATGCGACCTTGCCATGGAAGGCGGAGAAAAGGTAATTGCAGGATTTTGGCACTTGCGTGTTCGTTGTCCCGTGGAAACCATAGCGTATACTCCCAAGCTCGACAGAGATGTGTAACGACAACGAAGAATGATGCAAGTCCACGGACACCCTGCGGAGCATTGTTAACAAGAAATGAAACATACAGCATATCAGCACTGACCACGGAACATTAACAGGGAGAACTTTATCTGCTAAGACCGTTGCTGGATTGAGAGCAACAGGATACCCACAGACCTCAGTCCTTTCCTACGCCCTGATAGGTCCTGCCACATGTGCCAACATGCCGTAGTGTAATTTGTGACCGCTTACCTCAACCCATTTCACATTTTGACGACCTTCATTCCCCATACTAGTGGAGTCTTCTTCGGAGATATATGTTGTGGCGCAGGCCTATTGGGAAAAAGGAAATAGCCCAGAATGACAGAAGAGTATGGTAAGAAATGCTTGCGGAGCGAGGAGAAGAAGCTCGAAAGAAGAAATCTGACAGTAATTAGGTGGCGCAAATGGGAGGGGCGACAACGTAAGTTCTATTCTATGCATTCGAGGAGAGACCGTGAGAGAACCTTGAAGGAGCAGCTGGTTACGAGACAGGTTGTCCGGGACAGGTTGTCCGGGAACGGATATCTGCTTGAAGTCTTGGCATGATAGAGAGCATTCAGGAGAGAGCAATCATTGACGAATTCTTTCCTTATTGTGGCGTAAGGTTCCAAGCTGCGAGAGGCGCCCAGCCTTGGAACTTCATGGCCGCGTAAGGTAAATCGGTAAAACGGCACCATTTCTTGGGCCGCCCCCAACTCCTCTGGCACAATTGAGGACTTGGCAAGTGAAAAGAAGCAGGGGAATTCATGACTGGTGGCAGAAAGTGACCCTGGCCATTTGCCGAACAGCGTGCCTATTTTTACTCGCGATGCGCATCTTGCTGAACAGAATGCGCTTCCCAAAGTGCCTAATGAGCCTCAAATTTGACTGCTGGCAGACTCATGCCGCTGTCGTCATGAATTCTCGGAACCGATGCACGAGAGAGGAGGGCCTGAGGCGAAGCGCCTCTGTGGTTGGAAACGCTGTTCGACCACCTGTCGCTTGACATGTGGTTTAATTGTTAACGTTGATTGGGCGGGATGAACCCGCTCCGTATCGTCGGCCTAGCCATGTGGTACGTCACCCCTGGACTGATGAAGTTGTTGGGGAAGATATACGCGAGTATGAATTACCGTGTGGCGTAAAGCAATAACTGTAGGCAGGCGGAGGCTGAGGAGACTTTGCACTTGAAACCGAGAGCCCCTGAATCGTGCGCTTCGGCTTCGATAGTTGCCCACGTGACTAGTCACCATTTTATTGATAACGTCATTCGATCCACTGTCTAGCTTCCTCTTTTTCGATTTAGATTCAATTGCTCGAAAATTGCTAATGATTCTTCTCAACAATCTCCTTTGCGAACATTGCAAAATCCCTTTTCTCATCAACCATCTCCCAGAGATTTGGCTGGGTGAAGACCGCCAGCGTGTTCCGGGCCACCTTACCGCCGGTCCCTGCTCTGGCGCCCCTCACAAAGTGTGGCACAGCTTTGAATTTGCCCTTCGTGATGACTTCAAGTGCTTCGCCTGTTTGGAAGCCAAGACAGTCGCGCGGAATCCCAACCTTAGTAACGGCGCCTGTCCGAGAATGGATATAGAGCCCTGCCTTAGGGTCTGGTGAACAATCAAGTTCTTCGAGAGAAGAAAATGAAGAACCGGCCTTTAGGAATTGAGCCCCCTCATCCACAAACATTGCGGATGTCAATCCAGTAAGGCAGCCGTGATCTAGATGGGTTGCACACCAATCGTCTTCAGCACCATTCGTGCCGTCTATTGCATCGCCTTGCGACTGTGGAGTGGGAAAGTAATGCAGTAATCGAGCTTTTGTAGAGACACTCGTCTTTACAACATGTTCAAGATAGCCCTTCTTATATCCTTCGATGTTCGCTTCTGCATACTTGTCGCATGCTCGGGCAACCAGCGCCGCTATCTCAATGATTAGATTGCATAGTTCTCGGAAGGTTTCTTCAAATTCCGGAAGCAATTCTCGCGCAGGCCAGACGTTAGGAGCGGTATACTCCGAGAAAGAAGGATACTTCTCAGCTAGGGACTTTTGAAGTGCTAGGTCCTCAAATGCTGGGGCGCAGTTTACATAGTAAGAGCCTTTTAGAGTGTCGTAGTGGCCATCCTTCAAGGTTTCCTTTCCGCACGACCAGCCCACAAGCCACTTCGATGCTGGTGACTCAAGTTTTACTACCAGTCGTTAGCAACGCCATAGCGTAGATTGTAAGAAGGGTATGAATGTACCAAGTTGATCTTGAGGGAGGTTGCCTAGGGCAGACGAGAAAGAGAGAAGCTTGCGCCGAAGTTCTTGAAACTGTGCGGGAAGGTCTTTCACAACGATGATACCTAACGATGCTGGACCAAAAGCATCCTCCAGCATAGAGAACTCGATATTGTCTGGAAAGTTTAGATTTATTCACGGCTTGTGAGTTCTACATACCATTCCGCAGGTCACTCAGGCTAACCGATACCGCGGCCTGGTTTGCTGTGGCATTAGTGGTCATTATGTTAGCGATAAATTGAGTGATACTATAGATTTGGAAAGAACAAGCTGCGTTTTATACTCTGAATCCAAGACGATGTGCGACAAAGAATCAAAACATTTGGCATTCACCTGCCTAAAACATACTGCCGCTCCTCACCGCCGGGGCGACCCGCGCCGAGGTTGAACTGGGGCTTGGCCGCTTCGAAAGGGCACCCCAACGTCAATCGGAAGGCCGACTTAAGATGGTCAAACCGCTCGCCTTCAAGGGCGACAAGAAGGTTAAGAAACGGAAACGGGTAGTTGAGGAAGGAGATGGTGAGGCCTTGTCCTCCAAGGCTCCTGCAACAGCATCACAGACCAAATCCTCAACCGACGACGATTCCTGGGTCACGGCTGACGTACCCACCGACTTGTCCGGCCCAGTCGTGATTGTGCTGCCCACCGAGCCGCCAACCTGCCTTGCTTGCGATCCGAATGGCAAGGTCTTCACCAGCGCCATCGAGAACTTCATCGACGGCGACCCTGCTACAGCCGAACCGCATGATGTGAGGCAGGTATGGGTGGCAAACCAGGTCGCCGGCACGGAAAGCTTCAGCTTCAAGGCCACTCACGGAAGGTAAATATACCTAGCCTGTCTGAACCAATGCAGCCACTAACATGCATCACTGTAGATACCTCGGCTGCGACAAACTCGGCATCCTTACGGCAAACTCGACAGCTATCTCCCCAGAGGAATCCTTCCTCTGCATTCCAGTTCCCGACAACCCTTCCACCTTCAGCCTACAAACACAGCGGGATAAATTCCTCATGGTCGATGAAGCAGCGAGTCGTGGACCGGAGGTGCGAGGCGACGCCGAAGTCATCACTTTCTCCACCACATTTCGCCTCCGCATGCAAGCCCGTTTCAAACCGAAGCTCAGAGCATCGAAAGAGGAAAAGGCCAATTCGAAGATCAGTCGCAAAGAGCTGGAAGAAATCGTGGGACGTCGACTTGATGACGACGAAGTCCGGAAGCTGAAAAGAGCAAGACGAGACGGCAATTTCCACGAGGCAGCCTTAGATATAAAAGTGAAGTCCTCCCACGACAAGTTTGCTAGCTGAGACACTTGTGGGATCTCATTTTCTGTGGCTCCATTTTGGTCTCCACTCGATCGTGTTCCGGCCTACATTAGTATGCCCAGGCATACGAAGAAAACTGCAGGTACTTTCTTCAATCCGCACAGGGAACTTTGCATTGGTTCCTCTACGCGTATGCATGATCATGCTACTAGTATAGTTACAGGATATGACCGCAGAACTTCCCGTGTCTCTCTCGGCGAAGGACTAGAATTGGTCCGCCAACGCAAAGAATCTCCGATCAACACGTTTGATTGCTGTTCTTCAAATAGATACTGTTGACGCCTACGCAAACTTCGTCCATAGCATGAAGTATATGCTAGCTAGAACAAAAATTTTGTGTCCTATAGATAACAATCGTCAATCGCCTCGCCTGTGAATACACTGCAAACTAGGTTAGATAGTGATGACTCTTTAAATCTCATATTGGGAATCCGAATGCTCTTTACTCTTAACTAGACTATAGTATTGACAGAGGTGTTTGATATTTCTCTTTAGGACATTGATTAGTCGTATCATACATCATAGTCGTGGCGAAACCTCAAGTCCATCCAGTCACGACTTGTACACATGGATCACATGAGCGTTCATGAACGCAAGGAGACCAGTCTTGCCCCATTCGCCACCAATACCAGATTCCTTATGGCCACCAAAGATGGCCTGTGGAGTAGGCTTCTCCCAGCTGTTGACGAAGACCGAACCAGCCTCGAGTCGTCGAGCGATCTTCGCCGCATGTTGGACGTCCTTACCCCAGACGCACGCACCAAGGCCAGTATTGGTGTTGTTCGCACGAGCAATCACTTCATCTTCGTTAGACCAAGGCTGTGTTGGAACAATCGGGCCAAAGGGCTCCTCGGCGATAATCCTCGAATCGTTTGGCGGGTTGTCAATAATAGTCGGCTGGATGAAGAAACCCTTGGAAGCAGCAACATCGGGTTCACCAGCGGCGAATTTGTAGCCTTTAGCCTTGCTATCGGCGAAGAAACCCTTGACTTTCTCGTACTGCATCGAATTCTGAATAGGGCCGAGAAGATTGTCACCATCGTCCGGAGAGCCAACTTTAATCGACTTAGTAAAGTTGACCATCTCCTGGAGAAATTCCTTGTAGATGGACTCGTGGATATAGATGCGTTTAGTCGCAACGCAAACCTGACCGGAATTCTGAAAAGCACCCATCACTACCTCGGGAGCAACCTTCTTAACGTCGACATCGGGGAGAATGATAGATGCATCGTTACCACCGCTGGATCTGCGTTAGTTATCCTTTCGAGAATTACGAGATTGAAGTCCATACAGCTCAAGGGTGACACGCTTGAGTGTCTTGGCGCTAGCCTCCATGACCTTCTTTCCAGTGGCAATGGAACCTGTGAAAGAAATCTTGGCAACGTCAGGGTGCGTAGTGAGTAACGCTCCGAGCTCGTTGTTACCTCCAACAGCCTGAATGACACCAGGAGGGAAAATCTCCTGTGCAAGCTCAACGAGTTTGAGGCCAGTGTAAGGTGTGAATGGCCTTGACCTCGTAAGCATTGACACCATGTGAGCTCTTTCAATGGCTTACGATGGCTTGATCACGATAGCGTTACCAGTCAACACCGCTGGAGCGATCTTACCGACAGACAGAATCAGTGGGAAGTTCCATGGGATGATACCTTAGGCGGAGTTAGGGCGGTGCAAAGACTTCTTGAAAGGGTGATAATAATACCTCCACAGACTCCTAAAGGAGTGTACTCAGTGTATACAGTCTTCTCGTCGTCTTCAAATTTATCCTCCGGAATTTCGAGGGTGCCTGGCGAGTGGTTAGTAGCTATGGTGACCCAAGGGCGCTGCACGTCTTACAATGATATCCGATGAATCCACCAACGCCTCCAACCTCGGTTGCAGCGAACTTCCTCTATACTCAAAGTCAGACATGACCGTTCTCAGAATACAAGTATAATGCATCGCTAGATTGAATTCTTTGAAAGTTGGCATGTGTAGGCCAGGCCAGACATTGGCTTTTCATGAGCGGGTACATGTGACCTACGGGCTTGCCAGATTCCTTGCACAGTAGAGTTGTGAACTCCTCAGTATGCTGTCCGAAAAGTTCCGCAAATTTCATTAGCATTTCCTTCCTCTTCGCGATGGGGGTGTCTCTCCAGGCAGGGAAGGCCTTTTTGCCAGCGGCGACGGCATCGTTCAGATCCTGCTCGGATCCAATGGGAACATCCCACAGCTCCTTTCCAGTGGCGGGGTTCACGCCGTGATGAATGTTCTTGCTGCCCCGCTGCTTGCCATCCACGACGTTGTAGAATGTTTCGAAATCCAGTGTGGAAACCTTGGAGGGCGACATGTTTGCGGTTGAATAGGATGAAGGGTGAGATGAGGCCAGGGTGGGGCGAGGAAAGACTACTTAAAGCACCAGGGAAAGGAGCTATGACGCCGTGGTGTCCACTTATTTTGATATGCGGTGATATTTCCCTTTCCCTCGGTAGTCGCACCTTCTTTATTCAGATTAATAATTTTCCTGAGACCGTGAAACAGTTGCGCGGGGCACAATCAAACTTGGCAAGGGGTTGTGCGGGGCTCTGCTGACGATAGACAGGCCACAACCAAACACCAAAACTCAAATTCTACCGTCGGCCGAGACTGTTCGTAGCTGCTCGCTGTTATAGTAATAGTGCTGACAGTAGAAAGCAAAACTCATGTGGTGCGGAAGTGTAGGTACTTATGATAGGTCAATTACAATAATAACGTCTTATGCTTCCTAACCTTTGTAGTAGTAGCCCTGACTCGCTGGGATTGACTCGGCTCTAGACTCTGGAATCACAAAAAATGGAATGCTGATGCTGGCTGCTTTCAGGTGTATCCAGAAGAGACCAATATGCAGATGTGAAAGATGGGAACCAGGGCGTGGCTCTTCGCCATGCAAAGAGGTTCTAGTGTGCTGATCCATCATGGATGACGTCAATGCCGAAAGTAGTGCTGCTGGACTTTGATATGCTCTTCTAGCTTCTTGATATCCCGGGAAGGCGAGTTATAGCAATTGAAATGTGGTGAGATGACATTAACTCGAGCCAAGGCTAAGTGGATGGTTTGACGTTGGATCAAGGTCTTTCAGCTAAGCTTTTTGGGAAGGTTAGCACGTGATCAGCAGCTTCTCGTTCCGTCCAGTGATTTGCTTACGGTAAGCAGCCACTTCATGGACAAGCAGCCCAGTACCTCGTGATATGTCGAAGTGAAAGTGTCTTCGATTGCTTATCTAGATGCCGTTTAATGAGCCGCTCCCCATGACCTGTGATGATCTACTCAGTGCGCCCCGGGTGAAAAATCAGCTAGATCCCGGAACTGTCCAAAGACTAAACCGTTGGGCGCATTTTTTTTTTTTCAACCTGGCCACTTCGCTAGCGTATATTATCCAGGGCAAGAATCTAACAATAGCACCACGAAATCCTGTTCGCATGGCCTCATGTTCTGAAGAGGTATCAGTGACTTCAGGATCGTCTTCACGAGCATGCGTCACTTAATTGCGCGTCCAACAAGAGTATTCCAGTGCACTGCAGCTGAGGCAAAGAGCAGTCGACTTCAATATGGATTTTATGAACAAAATACGAGTCTGGAAAGGACCATCCAAACTCGGCAAGGGCCATCTGTTAAATGGAAGTTTAATCATCCCGCCTCTCGCTAAACCTGTCAAGCTTCACACATCCCTGGAAACAATCAACCGTCAACCGCGAAATTCATGACCTCGACCGTCCTTCAATCTATTCTATAGAGTGTCCAACCGTTTCCAAACCCATGGCCCTTCCGTCACGTTACGATGTTGTTCGTATCCTATTTTTATCCCCATCATTTCTCTACGCCGTTCGTTTGCCCCAGGATATCGCACCGTTCTAGAGCCAACGTGTTCTTTCTCTTGAGCCTTCTCATTCCATATCCTGCCTAGCTACCTTGTCCATGCCTGCAGCCGCAATTTCAACGGCAGATGTCACATCATGTCCGTGGTGGGAGGTCCAGGGTCGCTTACTAGCTTTGTACGTGTTGAGCCAAAGCGCCGAGTGACTGGTCGCAGGTTCGTTGTCATTGAAGACGGTATTGTGATTCTATTTTTTGTTCGGCTTTACAACAAAGATAAACCAATTGGGACAGCATACGGACGGGTCGTGAGACCATTGCAATACCCCAGCTCCCCGGGAAATAGCAGTCTGGGGAGTCTTGAGGTGCTGTGCACAATCAACAGTCTCGGATGGTCTTTTCAGTGTGGCCAATGCCTTCGTTGCCGGTAGAATCTTCTAACATTTAAAGAGACCAATGCTCCTCTCTTCCTTTCCCGTCCATCTTCACATTCAAACTGCGACTTCCACTTCAATACCTTTGTTCTATCTTATATCCAGGCCTTCGACCTTGAGCACAAGCAAGTTTTGCTATCGATTAGCTACTATATCACTCTTCCCCACCGCAGCCGAAAAACGCACATCCTATTCAAAATGAAGTACCTCCTCGCTTCCGCCGCCCTTGCGGCCGTCGCCCTCGCAACCCCGGTCCCCGACGCCGTTGCTACAGCGCCTGCTTCCTTCAAAATCGCCAGAGTTGTCTATGGTGGCTCTGGTTGCCCCCAGGGCTCGATCAATGTTGACTTCACCGACAGCAGACTTCTGCCCATCTATTTCGGCAAAGATTTCACTGCTACAGCTGGCACCGGCGTCGATGCCGTCGAATCGCGCAAGAACTGCCAGATCAATCTTGACTTGCAATTCAGCCCGGGCTTCCAATATACTGTGTTGAGTGCCGACTATTCTGGATGGGCAGATCTAGATTCAGGTGTGAAAGGGGTGGTGAGGGCGAATTATTACTTCTCGGGCGACGTGACAAGTGTGAGTATCTTGAGCTAGAGCTTGACCAGACAATCGCTGATAACAGCCACAGGCAACAACAACAATGGGAATTAGCGGACCCTTCACTGGAAGGTACACCAAGCACGATGATATTTCTGTGGCTGTCTGGTCTCCGTGCGGGAGTGAGGCAATGCTAAACGTGAATGCCGATGTTTCCTTGACTCCACTGGGCGGTCCAGGCTCGGGAACTCTTGTTGCTCTTAAGGAAAGCGCGAGGTTCACCCAGTCATTATACATTAAGTGGCGACAGTGCTAGGTCAAAGGAAGTTAGAGTACGTGTGTTTGTCGAAAATTATGAAAGGGGCACATTGTGGGGATTCTGAAAACTCTCTTCAATATGTAAATACATTCTAGTTTTTTGAGGGGACGCCTGTAATACCCACTCGGATTTGATAGAAGATTCGCACCACATGAACGAGCACTGCTTTGAAACTCCCAAGTAAAGGAAAGACTAGCATACACTAGGAAATTAAGGCCCATCGTGAAAGAATTGGGCTCTCATACTTTCAGGACGTTGGACACAATAGATTAGCAATATCCTCGTACCGGGTACACAGGATCTGCTCCTAGGATGCTGTGCTATTTTTGAATGTGTTGCTGATGCAAATCCCTATATAACACATAGTACATACACTAGTACAAGGGGTTAGGTTAATGTTGGCGAGACCTGCCCATCGTTCTCGCTGTCTACATACGGCGGAGGCGGTAGTTCCTCCCCACCGTCCACCCACACCTTGTTCAGTTCATCTTCAATTTCTTCCTTTCTTTGCTTCCATTCTTCCACCTTTGCAAGGCGTTCCCGTAGTTCACGCAGCTCCTTTTCGACGGACGACTTTTCGCTCTCAGTACCGATTCGCTGGAGTTCCCATTCGTCACCATTGTCACCAAGACCGAGAGTCAAAGTGTAAGTATGGTACCGTTTCAGAGATGCTCGGGTAGAGATGGTGATGAGAGCTACCATAAATTAGTACGGGACCTGAAATTTTTCTCTCAAGAACGCACTGATGCCTTTTGCCTTCGCCATCTCATAAAGCAATCCTTCAACATCACTACTAACGGCACTCGTGCCCTCGTCAATGAAAGCATATCGCGGCTCATGATATAGTAATCTCGCAATACCCATTCTTTGTTTCTCGCCTCCACTTAGGACATCTTTCCAATCTTTCCTGGTATCCCAGCCACCCTCCCGATCTGGTAAATAGCCTAGCTTGGCCTCGCCAAGGACTTGGCTGAGCTCAAAGTCTCGTCGACCAGAGTCTTTCATGTCCACCTCAGTATGAGGATAGATAACCTGATCCCGGAGAGTTCCGGTGCTCAAGTAAGGTCGCTGGGGAAGGAACATAATACCGTCCACACCTACAGAGCGAGGTCTACTAACGAGGCCACGATAGGTTGGCCAAAGTCCTGCAACGATGCGTGACACTGCGCTTTTACCAACCCCATTGGGTCCAGTGATGAGAAGGTGTTCGCTTGAGTGCACGATAAATGAAAGAGATTCGATAAGGTCCTCGCCTCCCATAGGATACAGGCTAGGAGCCACGACAGGTACGTGTTCTAACCGAACACCATCGAAGCCCTTGTGGATGGTTCCTTGGATGTCTGATAAGGAGTACAGTTCAGGTCGAGTACCAGGAAGAGGGTAGTATGCATCTGCGTGGACGCGATGAAGTGTGCTGATGAGCATGTATACCCGCGATGTATATCCTGCTAGTTCTGAGAGGTCTTTAATGGAGTACATCATACGGCCGCCTGCATCCGCAAGTGAAAGCATGAGCCGCTTGTTAGTGATGAAGTCTTTCATACGGTTGCGTTCCCGATTTTGGCGTTCTCCCACCCCCCCAATTAGTTCTGGGGCGCCGTCCAAACCTCCCCAGGTTGGCAGGAAGACTGGAAGTGATGTGATGAGATACCCGAATGCTGACCATGAGTACTTCAACACAAAATCTTCAAGCATATTATACCTGATCTTGAGGCTATAGATTCCTTCCATCCAATGCTTTAGCTCCTTGAAGCCCTTTTCAAGGAAATGGCGCTCCATCTGGTCGCCACCATAGAATGCAACCTCTTCAGCATTGGCAATGAGACGCGAGTGGAGGGCGCGGAAGTCTCCTTCTCGGCGACCTTCCACGGCCTTAAGCTTTCCGAAGGGAGGCGATAATCGTCGGAGGATAGTGGCGGTTAGGAAATAGTTTGCCAGGAGTCCGCTCAATGCTAGGGGTCCGAGAGAGCGAAAGAGCTGGTAGTTGAAAACGCAGAGATCGACGAAAGGTTTCCCAAGGGACGAGTAAAGCGAAGCGGCTGAGGCACAGAAAAGGGTGAGATCTTGGGTAATGAATTGATCTGCGCCTTGCCCAATACCGCCATCTAGATTCGACAGCTTGTAGTAGTTGAGGTGAGGGTTGAGATAGAGATCGTGAATGTAGCGAGTGAGTCGGGTGCGGAAAGCTATCGAAACCTTAGACTGGAGGAACTTAATCATGGCATTTGTGTATGAGCCAAAGCTCCCCACCCCCAGCCATTTAACGATACCCCATAGGAATGCTTTTCCGTTACCGGCGACCAGATCGCGGACGATCTCGCCATCCAGACGCGCTACAACTAGTGACAGATAGGTCCGCAGCATTAGAAACATGCCGTGGCTAATGAGAAGACCTGTCTCTTTGCTGTTCCATCTTGGTATCATTATGTTCAGGAGGCTTAGGAACTGGTGCAGGAAAGCTAGGTTTAGCCCGGGCTTTATCTGTGGTGGAGGCGCTTGGAGGTTGCTTCCGTCAGCCAAGCGTGCCGCACGCGGAGGCTGCAGGAAGAGGCGACGGTGGGCATCGAACGTAGTGGGCTTCGTGGGGTGGATGACGACCTTGGAAGTCGAGTCCTGGTATGGCACGTAGATGGTCCTGGAGCCGTCCTTGCCTCTTAGGCCTGAGTTCCTTCGTAGAAGGCGCTTACCTGTTTCTTTCTCGGCGCGTCGCCGTCTGTACCAGCGATTGCCCCCATAGCCCACGCCGAGTATCGTCAGCGTAAACGTGATGGTGGACAGCAGCTTTGTGAGTTTTGATGTGTGGGTGACGCGGGACCGGAGAATTGCGGCATAATGATTGTAGAGGGCTAACAAGGGATCATAGGGATTGCGTAGGGTTGATTGCGCAGCCATTATGGGCCGTCGATGTTCGCCGAGCGAAGAACACCATGTCTTGAAGCTTGCAGGTGAGAATGTGAAGACATGTGTGGAGTGTGGAGGCCGTTCATGTGTTCTCATCCATGATGTTACGCTAGTAGCCCTGCCGAGGCATGTGAAGATGTAATCACGTGATATTCGCTAAATCCTGTTGATGATTGTCCATACTTGCAAGCGTGAAGATATAATATTGCCATATTTGCATCTCTCCATTTAACCCCAAAATAGATCCTCCGTCACTCCGTGATTGTTGACACATTCATCGCTCTATGCTCCTATACTCATCGTCCTAGCCGGCGTCACGTTGTGTAGACCATGCTTATCGTACACGGTCAGACTCGGACTACCTTGACACGCAGGCTGCGAAAACTTTGTCTCGACAAACACTTTCTGCATGCCATCCTCCTTGTTCTCAAATTTGTAGTACACCTTGTCGATTTCCTCGAGCCGTACGCGATGAGAAACCATCTTCAGTGGCTCAATCTCACCATTTTGGATCATTTTGAGGAGGGCTTCCCAGTACTTGTGCACGGGTGCCTGACCGTTGCCTATGAGCCTGATACCTCGTTCCATGAGGGACCCGATGTTGAAGTGGTTGGTCTGAGCAAAATTAGTTCTCTAAATCACCGCTGTTAAGCGGAGGAACTTACATATCCCACATAGACACCGGTAATCCCACACGACCCCATATTCCTCGTACTTGTAATCATCTCGTTCACCAGTTCGCTCGTGTCAGTCTCCAACCCCAACATCATCTCAAAATAATGCGCCCAGCCTTTCGCATATTCGCCTGCCGCACACTCGATACTAATATCTGGACCTCGACCGTCGCACATCTCTTTCAATTTACTCGTCACGGACTCGCTTTTCCCGAGCTTTGAGTAATCGATCGTCTGGATATGCGGGTACTTTTCTTTGACATAGTCGAGCCTCCAGTTTGCATCGATCATGATGACGCGTGATGCGCCATTGAGCAGTGAAAAGTCGGCAGTCATTTGCCCAATGGGACCAGCACCCCAGATGGCTACCACATCGCCTTTCTTGACGCCGGTGTCAACAACGGCGTGCCAGCTCGTTGCCAATACGTCACTCAAGAACAACCCCTTCTCATCAGGGACATCGTCCGGTAATAGAAGGAGGTTGACGTCACCGTACGGAACGCGAGTGTACTCAGCCTGTCCGCCGGCAAAGCCTCCCGTGAAGTGACTATATCCGAACATGCCTGCCGTTCGGCCGCCGTACATACTGTTCTCAATGGTATTGGAGTTTGTCTTTTCGCATTGTGAGGAGAGCTTTTGTTTGCAGTAGTAGCAAGTGCCGCAAGCGATTTGGAAAGAGGCCACGACGCGTTGTCTACACAAACGATTACTTGATGAGGCTGTGTTGGGATGGAGAATGGGGCTTACCCTTTCTTCACCTGGGTAATCTCAGATCCTACCTCGTCTACAACACCGCAGAATTCATGTCCAAGGATGTCCCCTTTTTGGAGTTCCACCACTACACTATGAAGCAAGTGTAGATCTGACCCACAAACAGTGGAGCCAGTCACCTTGACAATGACATCGCGCGGTTCTATAATCTTGGGCTTTGGCACCTCAATAACCTCAACCTTATTCTTGCCCATCCACGCTAGCGCTTTCATCTTCTCAGACGGGTCGGTATACTCTTTGCTGAAGGCGGGATTGGCGACGTCTTGGGCGGTAGTAGCGTTGTCGCCGTGGCCGAGGGCTTGCTCGGCCTTGAAGGCTACTTGGGACATGGCCATGGTGGGCGCGTAGGTGATGAATAAGTATCTGGTACCTTGTAAAGAGATCACAAGAGAAGTAGAATACACGCTCTATTTTGCTCTCGAGAAGGCCGACAAGGGGCGTTGAGGTCTCCTTTCTACCCCCAAAACAAAGAGATCATGACATAGCTGCATTTTTCTCACTTCCAACTACCGGCTTTTCTTCTGGTGGTTAATACCTCGTTCGACAGTCACCCTTGTTGCAATGGCTGTTCTGATAAAGTCATGACGTACTGGTTAGATGGAGTGAGTCCGACAGGCGGAACGTGCGGAGCATCGAATTGCCATGTTGTAATACGGGAACTTTGGCACAGATCGGGGCCCTAGTCATCGAGATACAATAGATGTCATTTTGACGCAATGCTTGGCGGGTGCAATGTTGCTCTGTTGCCACGAAGCTGTTGTCCGCCGCAGCAGAAACAAAATTCCTGAACAAGGGTGAAAACAGCCTCCGGGAATTGGGACTGTGTCACGATTTATAGTGTTGCGAAATATGAGGATAGTGGTGTCCAGAGAAGATGTTTGGCACTGGCAGGAGAAGAGCAGCAAGTTGCAAGCGCTGTTATGCCCCTTGCGATGTGTGCGACCGTGAAGTCAGCACTCTCACAAGACGATTTACCCATATGTCTTCACGCAGGCAGAGGAAGCAGACGCCAACGGCGGTTAGCTATCGCAGAGAGAGATACTGCAAACCGAAGCATCGCCGTAGGCCGCTCGAGAGGGATGGTGTAATATAGAAGACAGGAGCGGCCCATGCGCAGTTGCTCGGCTAGCGCACTTTGTGGGCAAGGCCGGTAAGGGCCGCCATGAAGCAACCTCCGAGGCCCTCTTCATATCTCATTTCACCTCACCGCTCCCCGGATGGTGGTGAACAGCGCCCCTTCACCTAATTGAACCAGTGCAACACTATCAGTCCAAGTGAGGGCAGGTTAGTGGAAGGTATGTCTGTATTCTCATCACCTGCGGAAGAAATCCACACGTGCACAATTTTTTCGAAGCTGCGTGCGTGCCTACTTTGACCTCTGATGATCACTCAAGAACCGTTGCGAATGACGCCCTCCCAGGCGGCTGATTTCTGACTACTGTCACTACCACTGATGTTGATCAGTCTCATGCCATCTTCTCTTCACCGTGTCCAATCCACACGCTGACCGCTGCAAGCATGACCAGAATAGGCCTCCACTTCCTCCGCCCCTGCCTCTCAAGAAGCTTCCAGCCCCTCACGAAGCCGGAGTATACCCGCATATACTGCGCAATTCAGAGGAGATGCGCTCAGACGACCTCCCACGATGCATGTCTCGGGCCCCGCGATACTGAGAAGCAGAAGCGCCTCGAGCAGCTTATGAAGATTCAGCCAGTGCAAGACTATCATCCGAGATTATCCCATCCAGCGGGCGTGGAAAAACTGTCTCCACTGGAATTCGCCTCTAAATATGAAGTCACGCAGGAGACGAGCCCCGACCTTGTGTCGGTATTTGGTATGGAGCAACCAGCATTGTGAGTCAAGCCGAAATTGACAGTGGTAGGAAGAGTCCGTTCCGTACGACTAATGGGTTCCAAATTAATTTTCATCGACATTGAGAGGAGCAATCACAAATTGCAGATCATGGTCGAACGCCGAAAACTCACAGGTGCCGGTGAAGATTACGAGGTTGAGTTCAAAAACTTCAAGCAGACTATACGAACCGGCGACTGGATATGTATGCAATTCTTTCCCGATCAAACTCTTTTTTCTAACGTCCTGAAGCTATTAGGGGGAACCCAATGCGAACCTCAACCGGCCAACTCTCTATTGTTGCCCTCGATGTTCCTCATATCATTGCTCCCTGCTTACACCATATCCCCGAGAGAGTGGAAAATCAAGAAGTTTTAGTCCGACACCCTCATCTCAACCAGCTTATCGACCGCGGACCTGGAGATATCTTGAGACTGCGTTCATTCATCAACAACTACCTACGTAGCACTTTCTTAGGCCATGGATTCATCGAGGTGGAGACGCCCATGTTCGACGTCAGCGCAGGAGGCGCCATCGCTCGACCGTTCCAGACCGTCGCAACCGAAATGTCGAGTACACCCATCAAGCTCAGAATAGCACCGGAGCTAAATCTCAAGCGACTGATGGTCGGCGGGCAAGACAAGATTTTTGAGCTGGGCAGAGTCTTTCGAAACGAAGGTGTGGACAACACACACAACCCAGAATTCACCATCTGCGAATTCTATGAGGCCGGAGCAACCCTTCAGGACTTAATACGAAGGACAGAACGGTTGTTTCAAGGTCTTGCGGAAGCAATTGACCGGCAACGAGAGACTGAGTTCCCGTCAATTCCATCCCCACTACATACGAAGTTTGCATCCCCTTTTAGGCAGCTTCCTTTCATCCCAACCATCGAGAAAGCAACCAACCGCAAACTACCCGACCTTTCCTCGCCCAATGCTCTGACTGAGCTTCTCATTCTATTCAAGGATTTGCATATTCCGTTACCATCTCTGGCCAATCTTCCACGTCTTCTCGATGCCTTGGCCGAGAAATACATAGAACCGTTATGTGAAGATCCAACTTTCATCACTAACCATCCGGAAGCCCTCTCGCCGCTCTCAAAGTCCTTTGTGGACCCGGCGACTAGTCAGCGAGTAGCCTCACGTGTCGAGTTCTTCATCAACAGCCGCGAATATGTCAATGCTTATGAAGAGGAGAATTCTCCCTTTGAACAGCGGCGGAAATTTCAACAGCAGCTAGGATTCCATCCTGACGGCTCCACTACAATCGATGAAAGCTACTTAGAGGTATTGGAGTGGGGATTGCCTCCAACGGGCGGATGGGGCTGCGGTGTGGATAGGCTGGTGATGTTGTTTGCTGGGAAGAGGAGGATTGCGGACGTCTTGCCTTTCGGGACACTGAGGAATGTTGTGTCGATATCAAAGAATGGGCCAAGCGGAAGAGATGAATAGATTTCTAGCAATGGAGAAATACCCTTGATTGAATGTGAAGTCGACTGAAGTGTACAGCCTCTACTTCGCTTCTCCCTCTAGTAGTGGTAACGCCTAGTCTATTTTCCGTCATTTATCCCAGCCATTTAGGTGATACTTTTGCTTCTCTATTACCTACGAGGGTAGGCCTCATTTCCTAACATCAAAATGTCAGCTGACGCCGCCGCCTTGGTTCTGACTTTTCCAAAACGTTTCGGTTGGTTCCTCCTATTTTCCGGCGTCGGAGATCTACGCCATTCATTCATGATCTGCCTCTATAGCGATCCCAGCGCTAATTAAAGCGACTCAAAGCCTCTGTTCCATCTACCGCCGAATAATGCTAAAGAGGGTACATATCAACCCACGCAGAATCTCTCCCTCAGGCGATGCACCATCACCTCACACCACCAAAATCCCCTCTCAGACAATAGGCAAACTTCTACGTGTCTGATCTTCCTCGAACTGAACGATGTCTCAGATTTCTGAGGTGGCGATGAGCTTTGCATTGGATTGCACAGCCACATGTAACCACCGAATGCACTATTCCTGATGAACTTCGGATCACCAATCACTGAGTCCAGGGCCAGTAGATCAGGTAGTTTCTTGCAAGATAATGTTGGATCTCTGCGTCTATGAGTTGGAGACGGTAGGGTAGGGTAGAGTAGGTTTCAGTCATCAGAGACCGGTATGTACGCGCCGAGCAGACTACGAACAAACACGTGAACGTGTTTTCTCGCACGAACAATCAAGGGATGCTCCTAGCCTCAAGTTAGCACTCGTCGATGAAATCCATTGTCTGCAATCTTCTTAATGTCTTGAATTACCCAACAAGATAAAAGTGCAAGTGCGCCACGCAGATACTCTGAGGATTCTATGCCCACGAGGAAAGCCCTGTCACTCTCCACTTTCAAAAGGGTCCAGGACAGCGCTGTGCCGCAACCTCACGCCGCACTCTCGCTGCACTTCACCAACGTGGTGGAGGACATGATGTGCATGCATGCATGCACACAGCCAATAAACCATGCAGATCTCCTCTCGCCACACGCATGTAATAAGACGTCCCGGCCCCTCCCTCCCTTTTCCGCGCTTACATACATACCTTCGCTGTGTGTGTCCCGGCGGGGGGATTAGGGTGCTGAGCAACCAGAAATGGGTGTTGGTGGCGGCGGATTATGTGCACATACTGCAAGCTGTGCCGTGAATATGCGCCGGGTAAACTATTTAAGTCAGTATATTTTTAAAGGAATAAGCAGATAGATTTCAATAGATGATCTCGCAATGGCGAGGTTTACTGATTCGGCAGCAGCAAGCAGTAGGAAGGATGGCTCTTCTCTCAGAGGGGTTGATGAAGAATGAATGGTAGGGTTTTAGAGCACATCTGTTGGAGGTTTCAGGTTTGCCCTCGCACATGGCCTGATATCTGTCTGGATCCTAGGATTCTATAGAATTGGAAACCATTCAGATGAATTTGCCAGAGGTATTTATCGCCGCGGCGATGACCCGGAAATACTCAAAATAGCCACCGGCTGACCACGTGCGTATGCGGTCCTTCAATACCTCTATTCAAGACACCTGCCTGCTCTGCCTGCCCGGCTTGCCTTCTTCCGAGCCTCATCACCTCACTACACACGTGTACACAGCTTGGCAAATCGTTAAGCTCTGGGCGCCAAGGAGCCGAGAGAGAAAGGCAAAAAGGAGTTTCCTGGAGGACAAGCTTTCGGCCTGCTCAGGGTTTCACAATGCCCTTCCAAATCCGAATCCGGGGGCCTCATGAGGCAGGCCCCGAACTAGGGAATTGCAAATCGCCTCACCTAGTCTATGCTCGACAATGAGGCTGAAGATGTGGAGTGCATAGCCAGGGTATAGAGCCTCGATCGTCTTGTCATGTCATTCACTTAGCAGGGTACACTCAAGTGACAAATCCTGAGCTCATTCAGTGTCTATCATTTGTGGTTGGCAACTATTGCACATGACACGTCCGCCTTGGTATACATTCACAAAAACTTGGCTTGTAACAGAAGTGTGATTGTGATATGAATTATGGGAGAAAGGAAAAGAAGACTAGTAATTTCTAGACAGCCGGGGTAATGTGCACTTGAAGCGCTCTAGATTCCATGACAGATAGACAATGACACCTCATGAGTTGATTCATACTGGCAGCTCAGCTCATAAACAGGGGGAATAAAAAAAAGTAGGACAAGATGAGTGCAAAGGAGCAAGGTATTTCCAATCCGTAGAGAAATATATCGCCGACCGACCAACTTATCCACAACTCGGCAGCATTTTCAATACAACCACCACAACACAAAGTGTTCTGTTCCAAAGACCAGCTCCACCCATCACCGTGCTTTCTTTCATTTCGTACAAATATTGATCAGAAACTTAGAGAGTAGTGTTCCCAGAACATCTAGAAATGCTCCTTCCAGAACTTGAAGTTCACCTCTTGACATGTCGCGCCCTTTGCTGCCCTCTTGATATCACGGGCCGCTGCATTCGGCCCACAGAAATACACTCCGACATTTGTTTGTAACGAACTCTCGAGACCGCTCATATATGTCCTGTCTAGAATCCCATCCCGCATTCCACAGAGCAGACGACTGAAATCTGGACGGCCAAAGTTGGTTCGGGACCTGAGCTCCGTCAAGGGGTCCTTGTCTGTCCCAACTGAGTTGAGCACAATATTGTTCGCAGTGTTAACATCGATCTTTTGTGTGAGATATGTGTGAATGCGGAGGAATTGGTCACCGTCGGAACCACCCATCGACTGTGCCTCCAATGACGAGAGTAGTGTCTGGAACCATTCGAAAGAGCTGGTATCCTTGCACACCCAGATGAATTCCACACGGCGGAGTCTCTTAGGGGGATTCGGGCTTAGGCGGATATGGTAGATATACTTCAGAATAGAGGCCCAGGGAGTGACACCAATACCAGTGCCAATGAGCACTGCAATCTCGTTTTCGAAGACGTCTTCGGCAGGAGCTCCATATGGTCCGTCGATTCGGAGCTGGGGCATCTTTTGACCGTGTTGGAGTGCAATTTCGTACATTCCCATGGGATCAAGCTCATCATAGAGCTTGGATTGCGATTGACCGGCTCCGAGGGCATCAGCAAGCGCGCGAGTGAAGTCACCAACCTGGCGGACGTGAACTGAGATATACGGGTCGTATGGGCAGGACGTAATGGTGAATGGATGCCACTGGTGGTAGCTGACTTCTGGGCAGTTTAGGAAGAGCCATTGTCCGGGCTTATACTTCATGCTAGTCTTGGTGAACTGAATCTCTACGGCATCTAATGTGCGTTAGATCAAGTCGAGTAGAGTATCCCAAAATCCTTGCACTTACCATATGGGTGGCGAACGACCTTTACGATCTGGGTCTGCCTTCTGGCACGGATCTCTCTGTACAGCCGCTCGAACAAATACAGCCCGCCTCCGACTAATTCCCAACGCCAACCCTCGTAGCCGATACAATGGGTCCAGAAATTATCATGGTCGAGGGGCGAAAACGGTTTTGCTGTGTCGCGGACGAAGCAACCGGTTGCGTGTGTGTACATGCCGAGCAAAAACGGGATAAACAGATGATGGGTATACCAAAAGGTCTCAAAAGATTGTTGTCGTATCCTGTGGTGGGCTGTGGTGTAGATGAGAAGCATACACAGCAGCATAATGTGTCCAGTGAGACCTCCAGCCTGAGCATAGTGGATTTCGACAGCAAGTTCTGGCCTGACCTGAGTCTTCTCTACGTTGAAGAAACTGAACATGTTAGTCGTTGTTCATCATTCCGCCAATAGCTTCTCTTACTTGATGTAATGGCCAGCAGTATGGATACCGGTGAACACGAGCATAGCGTAGGCGATCTGTCGGTGCAACCATATCGACTCATCGAGGGGCAGCCATCTAATTTTAGGTCGAAGAACTCGTAGGATATTTCTGCACATGGGCAAAACGATGAACATGGTGTCCATTGTCAATACCAAACCTGCTCCTCGAGAAACCCAGACGGAGAATTGCAAGGCATTGAGCCCTGCTAGACGTATATCACCGGCCTGTTTGAACCTGTGCTTGCGTCAGCATCTCGACTACCAAATTCTCAGATCGGGCAAGTCCTACCATCCATATCCAAACATGGACCAATGGAATCCCCAGAACAGTGCGTAGAATATCAGCTTCCGCGGCATAAAGAATGACCTCCAGCCATTTTGCGCAGCCATAATGGTATCTTTCTATGTGAAAAGAGGTATATGAGAACAAAGACCTCTACACCATGAACGAAACGCAAGGCATGCAGCACGTGGTCGATGTCGTCCGTTCAACGGTGATTACGAGAATTAAAAGAATTTACGTGGGAGAAATAAGAACGTCGAACTGGAGAGGACAAGTTCCAGTACTAGTTCAACCCGGCCAGCCAGATGACGAAGTGAAGTAAAGAGTGTCGGTGTCGAGAGACGGTGGAAGGGAGCGGCTTGGTGTTGAGAGGGAGCGGTGGTGGAGATGACGACCAACAAGCCTGCCAGGGAAACCAAGGGTTATTAGAGGGTAAGCTTTACAGCCCTCGTTAGTGGCTACCGCGCAGATCAGGTGGATCTTAGACCAGGCCGTGAAAAAGTGGAGAGAGCGGCAGGCTGCGATGAAACCGACAGGTTTGCTCCGAAGGTCGTGGCTCAAACCAGTGCCCTGGTAAGTTTATCGTATATCAGATGGGTTAAGGTGCAGTGACAGTTCGCAGGCTTCCAAAAAGGATGTAACTCAGGCAGAGATGAAGCGCCGCCAGTCCCGAAAGGGCTGTAGGTGTGGCAACCGAATGTCCAGGAGGGCGCGGCTATGCGTTGGGAGCCCGATGTATGAGGAACGTCTCAGACCTGGAGCGCCAGGCACAAAACCATCTTTTTCCTCTGGTGCTGACTTTTCCGGAATGTCCCCAGGCCGCCACGGTCTGAGTAATGCGCAGTTATGCGGCGCGAAGCGAATACGGTTTGGCGGTGCTGCCGATGCTGCCGATGCCGTGGGAGGAGGCTCTCACAAATACTGAGGGAAAGGCTCCGGACAACCGTTGAGCAGACTTCTTTTTTAATGTTGCAGGTTACACTGATAAGATATGATAGCTGGAATCTGATTTTTGGCCTGAGCCGTTGAAAAGCAGCTGGTTTCTAAGCTCGTCGAATCAAAAGGGGATACTGGAAGGAGTCGAATTTGATGGGGCAATCCGATACGCAGGGGTTGCCTGAGACAATCCACGTTCGAGGTCGTGACGTGGTGGTTCGTGAGGCGCCGAAATATCTAGCAGCGGAGGAGTCGTCAATTAGCAGGCAAAGGTAGCAATCTGATGATCAATAGTTGTGAGGAAGCGGTTGTTGGGAGGTGGTGTGTAAGTACTCGAGCCACGGCCGTATGGCCTTGTTCGATGCGACCGAATTGCCCCTGCACGGCTCCCGCTGCACATGCGCAGTGCAGGAACTGGTGTGCTCTCGAGTTTCTAGCGATCCTGCTGGCTGCTGGGGAGAGCACGACGTGACTTTGCGATGGGCAGCCGCCGAGGCGTAAGGTCGCACAGAAGCTCCAGAGGGCACAAAGCCACTCGGTCCTCTGAGTGGCAGCACATGAGTGGAGCTGGCCATGGCGGCAGAGCGGGAGCCAATCTAAGGCGGCTTCGAAGCGCTCAGGGCCACCCGGCGCGGGGATCAAAAGCCCCCACATCGACGGCGGTCCAGTCGGGCACGACAACGAGATCCTGGTACTATTTCGGGAACGTCACCTCTCGACTACAATATCTTTTTCGACCATTTCCGCACGGGAGACATTCTAACAATAAGATATATGTCAGGCGTACCGTCCGATATGATCTTGTTATCAGAACGTGCTCTGCTAGCTTTGCTTTAGGGCTGTGATCCAGAAGCTAAAGTGCAGGAGGAACGTCCTAGACCGACGGATAGCGCTTCAATTGGTGCAGCCATGTTCGCGACGACGGCTGCGGAGGATGGGATGCAACTAGGAATACTCCAGGACTGAATCATGTCTGAACTGCACACAGAGTAATCTTTGGAGGGCGATGTTCGACTTTGGGAGCCGACTGGAGGAGCGTCCTCCGAGTACGAGCATGAGCATGGTGTGTTCTCGATTAGGCAATTTCACATATCGAAATTGATATCACCCAGCCAGCCAAGCTTCTCAGGTAGTATTCTCCGGAGCGGCATGAGGAATCTGAAAACAACATCAGACCACTATGTTTGATGATGAAGAGAAATCGCAGCAAGACGGTAATGCCTCGTCTCCATAGGTTCTGGAGGGGTTGGAGATAGGACATCCTCAGGCATGACACTGCAAGTGACAAAACAATGTCAGACCACTATGTTTTAAGGAGGACAGTCAAGCTTCGTCGATGCACACCGTCACTGGTATAGCCAGCGGTTCAAGCTTCGTGCCTCAGAACGATGAAGTCCGGGGGTAAGGCATGACAGAGGCTGGAGCAAACTTTGTCGTACGAGTATGTTTGACGATCGAGTAGAACACCTGCAATGATCTCCTCCAGCATGCAGGTAAGAGAGGTGAGAAGAGCCTGAAGCCAGGAGATGGGCGGCATGAATGCAAGATTGAAATATGGCTGAAAACGGAACAGCAGTGTGAGGGACAGCAAACCTTCGGTGGGCGTGGCAGACCGGGACTCAGGCATCCGTGATTGAGATTGAGGCTCGCACAGCGACGCACGGCCGACACGAAGAGAATTCCTCACAGCAGCAAAGACACCGAGTCAAAAGGAAAGAGTGAATGATGAGCAGCTCACCGCTTATTGGGCTTCGGCGTGATCTTCTCGAAGCCACGGTGCGCAGAGGGTGAATATCTGCAGTGATAGGGTGGCCCATGTGAGCGACCGGGATGAAGGGCCCTGTGCTGCAGCGAGGCTGGCCGTCTGGCACTGGGCCTGCATCAACGCCCCGCATCGCCCAATAAGCGCCCCGAACGTTGGTCTGCAGCGGGCTGCACGCTCTCGCCTGTCCAGTGGAGGCTGCAAGAGGCTGCGAGAGGATGAGAGATGCTCGCCAGCGTCCTGGACCCCTCATGCCGCGCTTTGCTCCGGCCACTAGCCCCGGCGCATAAACTCATCCTACTTTTACGGTACTGCCCCCCCTCACGATCTTCAAGTGACACGCTTCGAGTTCGACATCAATGTTGTCCTGAGACTCCAACGCCTCCACCGTCGCACCTTCTCCCCGTTGCCTCAGCCCGCAATCAGTCTCTTGCCGTGCCTGAATAATCTCGCGCCATCGCCAGATCCACTCTTCCCACACACCGCCCGAGCCCTTAGCCTGCCTCCGTCTCCGCCTCGACGCCTGGTATAACAAAACCCCCGCCGCCCGCCCGCCAGATGCTCTTCTCTTGTCGTAGCTACTGGTAGCTCGCTGCGCGAAACTCTCCACAGTCGTTATACCTTCACTTCAACCTCCACCGCCGGGTCGGTTTACTCGTCCTCTCTTTTAATTCCTTCTTTTAAGAGTCCAACACACTTCAGTCCGCCATGGGGAAGCTAATCAAGAACCACTGGGCCCGTCTAATTATCTTGACAGCTGCTGCTTGTGAGTCCGCCTCAGGCTTCCACCATAAAGCATACATGCCTAATTTCCTTAGACCAAGTCGGCGCCGGCTTCCATAGCTTCTTCTATCCCAAGATCTTCTGGGACTTCCTGACAAAGAACCTCGACGGCGCCGTCAAGCCTATTCCCGCCCTGCAGATAATAAATCTGCTCCTCGGCATATGTGGAGTGTGTTACGAATGGCCGCTCACCTTCATCGCCGGCACTGCTGTCCATCGTTCAATTGAGGCCCGCCTCATCATCTACCCTCTAAGTGCTCTTGCAGCAGTCCTGTTGTATCAAGGAACGAATGCCGCTTTATACTATATAATTGGTATGGGTGTGTACTTTTGGGCCTACAGCGAGAGCGAGGTAAGTCTCCACTACATACCAATCGCCAACCCAGCCAACTAACTGTATATCAGACTGTCTGCCCGGAACCATGGACCTTGCCTAAGCGCGGATCAACAAGAAGGAACGCAGTCTGAATGATCCTCATTTCTACGATAGACATGTTACGCGAGGGCACGTGGATGAACCATTTCAATCAATCATAAGGGCTCGTTTCTCACTCATCAACTCATTTCTCTATATCGATACCATCTCATTCCGCTTAAGTGTGCCGCACAGCGGGAGGCGTTTTTTGGGTTGCACGGAGAGCCAAAGGACAAGACTTGGCTGGCATTTTCCCTATTTTCAACCCCGTTACTCTACATAAAGTCTTTTAACTATTCAACTGTAGTAGTTTTACTTCGGCCGTGGATGCATGTAACGCAGTGCCAGCTCAAAATGCAAGATAACCAGTGCTACCAACGTTGCTCCAATTTTCTATTGCAGGCAAGTGCGAGATTAGCAAAAAACGATTCATTCATGTGGGCTGGGAGTGGAGGACGCTATGTTCATGCGTGGCTATCCACCTTCGCGTCTGAGATGTCAGGCGCTGTGAGTTTCAGGCCGCATCACCACAACTCTCGATCGAGACAAGGCCCTTAAGACTAAGCAACTTCACACCGCAACGTGACCTGGTACCCCCTTAGTTAAGCGACTCGCTCTTGCGCTTTAGATGGCCTCGCCATGCATTGTTGTCCCTATTTACCATGTGTCAGAGGAAAGATCATTACAATGTTTTCATTCCTTATTAAACAACTCGTTCGTCATGTACAATTGAAGAGAAGAATTAGACATCATAAGGCTGGCCCGCCGAGAGAGGGGGAGGAAGGTAAGGGGAGATAGAGGGAGGGTCGGGTTTCTCACTCAGTAGGACCCTCGATCAGAATCTTGATCCCTTTCCCTGCCTTAACATCCCTGAATGCGTTCTCTGCTTCGTCGAATTTTACTTTGTCAGTGATGAGTTCCTTCACGCTGACTCTGCCTGTCGAAACCATGTCCACCGCTGTCTGATAGTCGCCTGAACCATACCGAAAGCTGCCCTTAACATTCAGTTCTTTGGTGCACATGGCCATGATAGGGAAGTTGATGTCGGGTTTGCCCATGCCGCCCTGCGTGTGTAGTCGTCAGCACGCCGTTTGCCTCTGCACGCACGCACCCATGTAACAATGAATGGCCTCGGAATACATACCTGCACATACGTCCCTCCCATTCTGAGCGCATGTATCGCAGTCTGGATACAGACCTCAGCGCCGCTCGCATCGATAATAACATCTGCGCCTGGCCCAAGGTCGCATTCTTGGATCAACCGCTTCGCGCTTTCATCAGGCGATTCTTTTCGACTCCTGAACGCAGCTGTCGCAGCATACTTCAATGCAAACTGCAATCTCTCCTCATTTATATCCACCGTAACGACCTTGGTGGCTCCGTATGCCTTTGCCACCGCGCAACAGAGTAATCCAACAGGTCCAGCACCGAAAACCACAACGCTGTCACCTGGTTTGACGCTGGCTTGCCTGGTGATATGCACTGCAACGCTGGTAGGCTCAATCAAAGCACCCTCCTCCAAACTCATATCATCTGGCAGTTTATAGCAATAATCTTCGGGCAGAGAATAATATCTTGCGAGGGTTCCATCGAAAGGCGGTGTTGCAGCGAACGCCATGTCGGCACAGAGGTTATACTTCCCCTCTTTGCACCTCACGCAGCGACGGCAGGGGACACCAGGCTCCATTGCAACCCGGTCGCCGACTTTCAGACTCTGCACTTTGTCTCCCACGGTGGAAATGACGCCTGCCGATTCATGGCCAAGTACCATAGGGGATTCGACGACGAAGTGGCCAATGCGACCTTCGACCCAGTAGTGCACATCACTGCCGCAGATGCCAGTCCACCGGGGTTTAACAATAACATCGTATGGTGATTTGAGCTTTGGGATCGGACGGTCTTCATAAATAACGCTGCGTGGAGCTTGGAGGACGAAAGATGGATTCTATAAACAGTCATATATTAGCTTGGGAATGGTGACACAAACCGGAGGGGTAAGAGAGCGGGGCAGGGAGCTCTCCCAGCGCCTCTTGCATACCTTTTGCGTCATCTTGCTCTCACTGCTCTCCGACACCTCTGAGTACTTCGAGTTAGAAGAAAATATGGATTGAAAGGGGTTACACAAGCACGATGACATTCAAAGCTCTTTCAGCACAAGGGGGGGTTGAGCTGGCGGACCAGGAATTAAAGCTGAGAGCTCTCAACAGCTCTACGCCGCGAGAAGCCGCTTTAGGAGAAGGACGAGCCTCTAATGTGAACGGAAGTTATTTACCCGTCCTGTTTATCCGGAGCTCTATTTGCAGTTTCTATCGTGGGATCGAGGTGCCGATGTCGCTGAACGGGTATGCCGCAATGTCCACTGACCAAAAAGCAAAACAAATCGATGGATTGTGACAAGAAAAAAGGAATAGCATGCAAAAATAACCATAATCCCCGCAAGAGGCTACGTTTTTACGAAGCGTGACATCAGCCGACATGGGTAGGTAGAACCGAGGAGAGGGGAGAGAACGCCCCATGCTATCGCGGTTTACCTAATTAGTCTTCCGAGTTGTCCTTCCCCAAGACGACCACCAGCAATGCACAAGACCGCTGTCACTGCCGTCGTCGCCCGCTCCTGTCCAGCCCCAGTCGTCATAGCCCTTCTCTTCGCCTTCTTCTTGGATGAATAATCCAATTCTCTTCATACGGTCACGGAAGTCTTTGATTTCCGGTAGATATGCATCTCTTAACGGAAACTCTACAATGACTTTGGCCTCTTCGTGCTCTGAAAGCCAAGCTTCAATGGTGTCTACTAGTAAGCGAGGGTGATCCGATGAATACAGAGAGTCGGCAGCAAGAATCACGGGAAACTTGGTCTGGACTGGTACTCCAACACCGTCCGAATCCGGTGTACCCTGAGGGAATATGCATAATGATGTTGGGTTGGTCCAGTCAAGCACACCGCTGAGCGTAGAACCGTTATTCTGTCTCACCACATCATGATTCTTGAGGACATTATGTGCCAGATTTGGATAGATGCTGGGTAAGTCGGTGAGCAAAACGTCCGCACCTAGGCAAGCCATGGCCAATCCAACCAGTCCCGTGCCGGATCCAAGTTCTAGAACTCGAGGGCTATTCGGTCTGCATTCTTTCACAATCCCAAAAATGTGGAGACGTTTTGCCAGAAGGTACGAAGCTGCCCAGGTCTTCAAGCCCAGATTGTCAGCTGTCAGAGCTGGTTCGTGAATGGTGAGATTGAACAAGCCAGATGGCGAAGGTATGCGAAACTGACGAGAAATAGCACCCATGGCTGTCCGACCGGAACGCTCACTTAGTCGCATGCTGGCCTGGTTCCAGACCTCTTCCCTGGCCTCTTCATCTTCTATCCACTGTAGACTACTGCTCACGATACTTGTAAGGTACCTCGTTACTCCCTCCGGACCTATTTGGAGACTACTTTGGTTCCCCTTCCTCCTTCCGAGACCGTGTTCGTCCGGGTCGTGGTTTTCGACGTCACTGCATTCCCAAGATGGCGGAGCAGAGGTGAGCAATCCGAGAGCATGGAGGAGGGCGTGGGCGGACGGCTTTGTGTAGAGTTGCGGTAGGTCGAATACTTCGCGCAGCTCTGTTAGCGAGATCTTCTAATACTGAAGCTGACAAGGCAGGGGTATATACCATGTAGTAGCGACATATCTGTTGCGACTGCTCTCTACGTCCGTGCCGTGTTCATGTTGCACCGCTAGCGCCTCAAACTTTCGATGAGATAAAAACCATCGGCAATTTTGATGTGGCCCGTGCACCGGAGGTCCGAAGCTCCCTATCGTGGCCGTGGCGAGACCGCGATGGAGGTGTGGACCTTGGCACATAACTGGTACCGGTAAACCTTCAGCCCCAATCTTTTGAGATGTTCAAGCACCGGCAATATCTGGCCAGAGAAACGGTGCGGGGCGCTGAAAATACTATCGTTTGATGTCAGGTTGCTTCGTGCGCTGCCGTCTTCTCTCGTGACCCCCATCCAGCATGTTACCACATAACGTGGAACATGACCGGGGAGGAGTCTATCGTTAAACCTCTAGCTGGATTAAGGGAGATCGTCAGTAGGATGCGAATTTCTGTCCCCAAAATGTTCCACATTAGGTGACAAGATGAAGTACACAGCCCTGGAGGGCATGCCAGTTGGAGAGCATTTCGAGAGCTTCAGTCCTTCTTCAGCGTTGCCTTGAAGCCATAATACGCTGAATCCATGTCGAATTGAAACTCTCGAGCCTGATCATCATTGAGCTTCTCGGCAGCCCTCATCTGATTGAGTGTGATGAGCCACTGCACAATCTTCCCCTTGCTCTCAAAGTCCTTGTCCGTTACCCTATTCACAGCCTGGATGATTTCTACGAGAAGTGGATGAAGGGTGTCCTTCTCGACGAGACCAATTTTGATTGCGTCGAGGAGAGTGATGAAGTTCTCCGTGGCTGCAACGACGAGAGTCGCGTCTGCGTCTGATCCTTGCTGGGCAGCTTTGTGCGAGGGGCCTTGCTCGACAGTCGCCGGGATACCAACTCGGAGTCGCTCTGTTGCACGGGGGCATTCCATCTGCCGTGCATGTTAGACCTCACTCCCAAGGTGGGAAGAAGAAGAAGGAGAAGAAGAAGAAGAAGAAGAAGCGTAGTGCAGTGTACATACGTTCCATTCCCGCTTGAAAGTCTCCAGGTCGCCGAACGCCCGCGCAACTGTCTCATCAGCCAAGTTCGATTTGTATTGCTTCAGCAGCCTGCTGCATCTCTCCGTGTAGTCGCCCTCAGTGATGGACTCTTTAAGGAAGGCCTTTTCAAGCGCGTCAAGCGTGATGATGATGCTGTATATCTCGGCGAGCGAATCGTATAGGTCACGTTCTGTGCTGGTTGTGGATAGCTTAACTTCCTATGTTAATGCCTTCGGTTAGCAAGAGTAGAAATTGGCCTAGTGAAGGTATATACCTCGTCGAGGTTTATCGTAGCAGAGAGCGCTGGTCGCGGGACGTATGGAGTCGGCGCGTAGGCCAATTGACGATTCGCGTACATATCGAGGGGACGTCTTGAGGTCGTCGCAAGGCGAGCCCTTCGAAAACATGAATGCAGGTGGGAGGGGACGGGTGAAGCTTGGACCTAGCGTCTTGGCAGGTCTACGCGCTTATGTAACCGAACTTTTTCCAGCATGGAAATTTTGCATGGCTCGACGTCTCACACCAACACGTCTGTTTTTTGCCGATTGAAGCCTGGATTCCCCGGAAATGGCGCACTCTAAGACCACCAAGAAGTTTGAGAAGAACAAACTAAAGGATGTCCTCAAACATCGGAAAGAACATGCCAAGGTCAAGCAGAAGCAGCAGATCAGGACGAAGCGCAAGGAGCGGAACGCAAGAGACAACGCGCCGGCCGATGGAATTCAAGAGAAAGCAAGCAAGCCGGCCGAGGCTAGAGGCAAAAAAGGCGCTGACTTCGGGGATATGTCCATGGACCAATTCTTCCAGGGCGGTTTCCAAGTTCCTGAAATAAAGAAGAGCGCAGCAAAGCCGAAGACGGGGAAACGAAAGCGTACCCCAATTGACGAAGATGGCCCTGCTGACTCCGACGAAGAGATTGTGGAGCCAGCGCCACTCGAAGACGGTTCTGGGTCCGATAGTGACTCGGGAGACGATGTGGACGACCACAAGGAACAGCTCGCAGCCCTACAAAGCAAAGATCCGGAATTCTACAAATACCTCAAGGAGAACGACGCTGAGCTACTCGACTTTGCTGAAGATGCCGATTTGGCCGAGGTCGACGCTTTGAGCGAGAGTGAAGAAGAGGGCGTGCCGAGGAAGAAACGAAAGTCAGACAAGGCAGTGAAAGATGACGAAAGCATCGATGGCAGTAACAACGAGGTCACCAGAAAGCTTGTCGAAAAATGGGGCTCCTCTATGGACAAAGCGTTTTCGTTGAGAGCAATGAGGGAGGTTGTGCTCGCATTTCGCTCCGCGGCACATCTTAACGAGGACGATGGGAAAGCCTACAAATACTCAATCTCAGATCCCAATGGTATTCTAGCCTTCATAAGCTCGGCTAAGTCTCCATGCTGACATTTCACAGCATACCACGACTTACTCGTGATTGCACTGCAACATGTACCAAAAGTGCTCCAGCACCACTTGCCGGTTAAAGAAAGTGCCTCGGGGAAGATGTAAGCCCACCCTCGTCTCTGCTAGGATACATATTGATGGTAACAGTCGAGTATCCACGGATTCAAAGAAATTTCGTACCTTAACACCGCTCCTCAAATCCCATACAGTCTCCATCCACCACCTACTCGAGAACCTCTCAGACCCTGCTACCTTGCGACTCACTCTCGACTCGCTTCTCTCTCTTCTGCCATACATACTCTCTTTCAAGAAGATAGTGCGCGAAGTAACGAAAACTGTCTCGTCAGTTTGGGCCGATGCTTCCAATACAGAAGTCACAAGGCTCGCCGCTTTCTTAGTCCTGCGACGACTGGTTGTCATTAGTGATGCCGGCATCCAAGAAGCAGTCCTGAAACAGACGTACCAAGGGCTGGTGAAAGGGTCTAGGAATACAACCGTCCACAACATACAAGGCATCAATTTGATGAAGAATACTGCCTCCGAACTCTGGGGTCTTGATGCTAATGTTGGTTACACGACTGGGTTCGCTTTCATTAGACAATTAGCGATTCATTTACGCTCAAGCATTACAAACAAGACCAAGGACTCTTACAAGACGGTCTACAACTGGCAGTACATCCACTCGCTAGATTTCTGGTCTCGCGTTGTCTCAGTCTACTGTGAGACTCTCCGCGAAGCTGAATCTGGCAAAGCATCCCCGCTTCGGCCATTGATCTACCCCATCGTACAAATAACACTCGGAGCTCTTCGACTGATCCCAACTGCACAATACTTCCCCCTCCGCTTCCAGCTTGCTCGGTCCATCCTCCGGATTTCCTCCGCCACTTCAACCTACATCCCCCTCGCACCCGCCCTAGTCGAAGTCTTTAACTCCGCGGAAATGAAAAAGCCACCCAAACCCAGCACCCTCAAAGCCTTAGACTTCACCACCTCGATCCGCGCCACAAAAGCCTATCTCCGGACACGAATTTATCAGGACGGGGTTGGGGAGCAAGTCTCCGAACTCCTCTCTGAATTCTTCGTCCTATGGGCTAAGAATATCGCGTTCCCCGAACTGGCATTACCTGTAATTGTCATTCTGAAGCGATGGGTCAAAGCCATGAGTAAGAAGAGCGGGAATCGGAATGCAAAGATTAATTCGAGTTTCGCACTGTTGGTGCAAAAGCTTGAATCTAATTCAAAGTGGATTGAGGAGAAGAGAGCCAAGGTTGAATTTGCGCCTAATGATCGTGCTGGCGTTGAAGGGTTTCTTAAGGATGTTGAGTGGGAGAAGAGTCCGTTAGGGGCGTATGTGAGTGGGCAGAGGAAGGCGAGAGAGCAGAAAGCCAAGATGCTAGAGGCAGCGAGAAAGACGGAGGACAGGAAACGAAAAGAGGCCGAAGAGACGGAGGGTCTTGAGAACGGAGAGGATTTTGGTGGGTCGAGTGATGAGGATGAAGGGGATGCGGAAATGGATGAGATGAGCGCAGATGAGTCGGTAGAGGAGGGCGAGTAGACAATTGTAAGTAGATTTTCAGCGTGTTTAATACCAAAAGATATAGCTTAATGCTCATCTCTCTTCCTCCTCACTGTTTCTCCGACAGCTTTCCCTAGAGCATCCGCACAGCAAACTCAACACCACCGCATAAGCATCGTCATCTCTCCAAGTTACGCCTCGGAAATTTTCAAAAGAATGCGGCAGCGGTTACTTTGCTTTTGTCGGCTTAGCTCGGCCTCGGCGACATATGGCCCGGCGGATTCCCATTTGTGGAGATTCCATGACGATGGAGGGGCAGGTTTACTAGAGCTAGCAAGAGCTAGCTGGCGTGTACTACGATGGGTATTTCCACGTATAAGTGCTCTGCGTTAGCCGGTTTGTTGATCGACATTTAATAGGAACTTTAGACGCTTGGTTCGGAGTGACGATTGTTTCTGTAGCTGTTGCTAGATAATCTACATACAATTGCTGGCTGAAACCCTCTTCTTCTTCTTCCTTTTTCTTCTTCTTTTTTGTCTTTCCCGGTCCTAGAACGGCGGGTTCTTTGATTCGGGTACTGAAAGAATTGAAAGAATTAGGGAATAATGAGCGCAACGGTAACAGAAGTCAAGCCTACGAAGGCAAACATTGGTGTCTACACCAATCCTGGACATGATCTCTGGGTTGCAGATGCGAAACCGTCACTAGAAGAGGTGGTTAAGGGGGAGGGGTTGAAGCCAGGGGAGGTCATGTTGAGCATCAAATCGACAGGCATTTGTGGAAGTGATATTCATTTCTGGCATGCTGTAAGCTCCTTTCCGTTCACTCTCAGTTTAACTCCCCTCCCAACTCTTCCTCAGTGTAAGTCCCTTCACAGTAGACGTTTCGTTGAAGACGCGAAGCTACCCAAGCTAATGGGAAACACCCACAAAAGGGCTGTATAGGTCCCATGATAGTAACCTCGACTCACATTCTCGGCCACGAATCCGCCGGCACGGTGCTGTCTACCCACCCATCTGTCACTACGCTCAAACCGGGCGACCGCGTTGCAATCGAACCCAACATCCCTTGCCACGCCTGTGAACCCTGCTTAATCGGCCGCTACAACGGCTGTGAATCCGTGGAATTTCTGTCCACACCGCCAGTCCCGGGTCTCCTTCGCCGTTATGTCAACCACCCGGCGGTCTGGTGCCATAAGCTGCCCGACAACATGACGTTTGAAGACGGCGCGATGCTTGAGCCGTTGAGTGTGGCGCTGGCTGGTATGGATCGCGCGGGAGTGAGGTTAGGAGACCCAGTTGTAGTGTGTGGCGCTGGCCCAATTGGACTTGTAACGTTGCTTTGCTGTCGAGCCGCGGGGGCGACACCTCTAGTCATCACGGATATCGACGAAGGAAGACTGAAGTTTGCAAAGGAATTGGTTCCTGGTGTGCTTACGCACAAAGTGGAGTTCTCGCACACGCCTGAGATCTTCTCCTCCAGCATCGTGAAGCTCATGGAGGGGGTTGAACCCGCGATTGTCATGGAATGTACCGGCGTTGAAAGCTCCATTACCGGTGCCATCCAAGTTGTCAAATTCGGCGGCAAGGTCTTCGTCATTGGTGTTGGGAAGAACGAGATAAAGATCCCATTTATGCGTCTCTCGACGCGCGAAGTCGACCTTCAGTTTCAATACAGGTATTGCAACACTTGGCCGAAAGCGATACGGCTAGTGAAAAGTGGGATCATTGACCTTAGGAAGCTGGTTACGCATAGGTACAAACTAGAGGAGGCAGTTGAGGCCTTTAAAACAGCGGCAGATCCTAAGACGGGGGCTATCAAGGTGCAGATTCAGAGTTTGGATTAGCGATCGAGGGCTGGGAAGAGAGGAGAGAGTGATAATTGAAGGAACTTCGGATGGCATGTCTCGTGTATTGTAGGTGATTAGTTAGCATTTCATACAACGGCGACGGGTCTGAAGGTGGAGTCGGGGTCCTACACAGAACAAATACTAGAGCAATGCGAGTATAGACTTCAACCAAACCTTTTACATATAGCACAAAGCGGTTGCCAACCCATGCCTTAAGGCGGGCTTCGTTGCGCGGGTATAAGCGGTAGGTTGATGTATTTAAGGAACAGGTGAGGCGGCGTTTTAAATCAGCCTTCTGCAAGAACAACACTCATATAGAAGGAGAAAAGCAGATAAGTGTCGCCGTGTGGCCTCATTAATTTCCTCCATTAACCTTAACGCCGTGAAAATGACCTCCCATTATGCAATGCAAGATCAATTCGAAAGGGTGTGCGCCTTCCCAGGTTCGTAACGCTCATAGATATAACCCATGGTTAGAGATAGATAAGGATCGGTGGACGCTGAAATCCAAGGCTACCTGAACCCAGGAAAGACTCTCCGCAGTCCCCGCCGCCATCGCGGAGCACCATTTTCTTCTTCCTCGACTTCAGGTGGAACACTTTGATGTCCAAGCAGAGTTAGCGCTCGCTGTCGTGCCCATTCTCTCCGGTTCTGTCGAGGGGTTGTGGGTTGTTGCGAACACTCTTCCGTAGTACCACCTTGGCTAATGCCAGGCGATGGCCGGGCCACCGGCAGTATCTCCGGCCCATGGTTCGGGGGACTGTTATTACTTATCGACGGCGGCCCGGCTCCAGCCATTTCGATATCTGGCGGACGAGGTTGAGTCCGGACTGGAGCACTAAAGACCCTCCGACCCATGACTGCTCCTCCAATACGGCTTCCTAACGATCCCACTCCTCTCCAAGATGGATTGGCGGCCAAAGACGCTACTGGCCCCTGCGCGGTATTCGAGTCTCTGTTCGCTGAGCTCCTCGCCCGCATGCGGCGTATCATTCGCTCTCGGCGTACCATGACGTTTGTAATTTTGGCAGGACAATATCCACTCGGCAAGACACTCTTCTTGCACATGGGACACAGCGAGGAGTTACTGAGTAGGAAAGTATCGACGCAGTCTGGATGGAAAATATGGCGGCATGGCAACTCGCGTACCTGTGATTCATTTGGCTCGAAATCATCGAGGCAGATGGGACATGTTGGCTGAGAAAAGGCTGGTAAGGCACCAACTTGCAGGGTTGAGGCGTTTGGGGCTGACGAGGGGCGAATTACAGGTAGGGATTTTACGCCGGTTTCGGCCTCAATGGTAGGGGATGGAAGATTATGGGTTGGAGCAGGTTGTTGGGGTAGCTGCTTTTCTAAATCAGCATCTCGTGGTCCAGCAGTGTACGCGTATAAAGGTAGCTTCTCTAGATACTGTCGAGGAACTGTAAGTCGCTTAACACCAAGGGCCTCAAGATCTACCTCGCCGCTGATGACGCGATGGCGAAGGTCGTTTCGGCGCCTTCGTTGGATGAGATGCATGAAGCATGATGTTGTTACAATGATGGCGATGAGTAAGCCTAGCACGATGACGAGGAAAACCCAAAGACTGGGGAGCTGGTTCCCAGAATCTAAGCACCGTTAGCTACAGTCCTTCTTCTAGCTAGCTCAACTTGCTGGTATTTATTGTTGCCCATAAACGGACGTAGTCAGTTGGCCTGAAGAGCGATGCCAGGTCGTGGCCATGTGGTGCATCAGTCAAATTCCCAGAGTATTTGCTCAATTGGTCCATGACAATGCTACCACTGATAGACGAAAGCGCATACACAGGGAAATGGTTCGCGCTTTTCCATCTGCCACCGTCATCAAGGCCCCAGCTCGGATCGTTCATCAACGGAGGCATGGCATTGCCCTGGTCCAGTTGGTACACTAAAAATGCTTTGACGGGGGCGGCTCGTGCAGCCTCGAAGTATTCGAGGACACAGTTGGGTGCAAACCATGGCGCAAGTGCAACGAGAGAGTAGTCGGTCCCTTGAGGCAGGTTCCTTAGCCGGGTTGCATTCTTGGGCACCAGATTCTCCTCCGACTGCTTGCAGCCATCTGATTGTAGATCGGGCAGGTAGAGGATGCCATATGGGTCGTTCCCACTTTGGACCGCTTTTGAGGAGAGGGTTTGGATGTTGCTAGTAATGGGGTACTGGAAGGAGATGTTGGTCTAAGCGAGGTTAGCCTGCCAGTGCTGTTGGCAGTTCAAAGTGCAATTCAATCATGGCGGAGCATGGCGCACCCCGAGTGTCACGAATTTATCATTGTAATACGAAAGGGTGTACGGATCCGGGAACTCGATGGTGAAGATGCCAACACTCTGGGCGGCTGTGAGAGGGATGCGTCAGTTGTGTCTGTGTCTATCAAAGGGTGCGCGCGGTTGGCTCGGAGGTGACGTACTCATGGCGAACACGCGGGCATCAGATGATTGCTTTGGAAGAACAGGGAGTGTAGCTCATGCTGGACGGGTGGGTGGAGCCAGGCGAGCGATAGACTTGAAAGCGACAGCTGGGACGAAAGTGCAGGAGAGTGAAGGATGAGTTGAGAGCGACGATGGAAATGGATGGCGAGAGGCTGGTATTGAGGGGCCGGGCACCTGGGCATGCCAAAGCCGGACGTGCGCCCAGGCCCGGGGGGAAAGCTTAGCAATGCTTGTTTCTGGGTGGAACTGTTCGTGCATGCCACACAACGCGTCCCAACTGGATTGGAGAGTGTCAATATGGTGAGGGACATGTAGTTTCACCATGAAGCTCCAGGACTATCCTGATGCTTGCTAGGGAGTTGCCATGTATCGCAGCTGGGAGTGTCGCCTTTCGGGCAGTCAGCGTGCGGGAAGGAGGACTTGCAGGGCTGGCAGCCTCGGCGCCATTGCCAGCGCCAAGCGCCATCGCGTTGGCCACCGGGTCAAAGACCAGCTTAACACCCCCCCCAACACACTTCACTTTCTTTCGCGCCCCACGCTGTCACGAGACGGCCCTCACCACCATGCCCTCCCTTAGCAGCAAAGGGAAATCAAAAAACCCCTCGCGGCCGTCTGTGGCTCCCCGGAGCCGCAACACCACTCCCCTGCCGCCCAGCAATGTCCGCGCCTCGGTCGAGCCTGCGTCGTCGTCCACGTCGTACTTCCGCACCAGCATAGTCGCCCTGTCAAAGGACTGCCATGTCTCTCTCGAGGAGCTGCTTGATCGCGGCGGGAGCGTGTCCCAGATCCCGTCTGTGGCCAGCCTGAACGGCATGCGCGAGACCATCCAGAAGCGAGTGCTGGAACACGTCCGCATCCGCGGCGAAGTCTCGGATCGAGTTTTGCGGGAGCTTCAAAAGAGCAGGAGCCAGCGGACTGCCCATGACCGTGAGAGGGAGCGGGAAAGAGCGGCCGATAAGGAAGCCGAAGAGCGCAAGCACAAGCTGAAGAAAATCAGCAAGAAGAGGGAGCCCGACGACCATCGTCCGCTTGCGGTAGGCGCACATGGCGTCGCCAGACAGGACGGCATCGATGTCCACAAAGGTGAGCCCCCGGCATATTCACCGCCCGCTGCTAGCATTCACTCTACTAGCATTCACTCTACCTTTCACCCCCTCCCCTCCAAAGGTCCATCGTCGTCAATCCCCCCTCTCGTCCCTGTACCCCTCCTCCACCCCCCCCAGCACTATTGCATGACCCTTTGCTCCCTCGGACAATCGGCCATGGTCAGAAAGCAGCCTTTTCTAACGGTGCCTGCAGACAATTCATCGACTATCTCCTCTCCCATTTCTCAGGCACCGCCTTCGGCCACCGGGACTGGTCCTGCCGATGCGCCTTCTCCGAGTATCTCTGAGGCTTCTCACCAGCCCCCCCCGGCCCCAGCAATACCGCAGTTCCAGACATTCGGCCCTGACCCATCTAAGTTTGACGACCCTACAATCTACCATATCCGCGATGTCACACCTGGCATGACGGAAGAGGAGATCAAAGAAATTTATTGCGTTGCCGAATACCCTCCCTCTGACTTGCACGACCTCACCCCTGGGACCCCGCCAGATAAGGACTTCTCCAACGCGAAGCCCGCATCTCAAGTCAACGCTACTGTATTTGCCAATTACGTGGAACCATATATCCGTCCCTTGACCGAAGAAGATGTTGCCTTCCTTAGGGAACGTGGCGATCGGATAGGCCCATTTGTTCTCCCTCGACGCGGTCTGAGGCATTACAAGGATATATGGGCAGACGAAGACGGCGCCATGAATCTCGACGGTAACGACGTCCGTCTTCCGCCCAACGAACCCCGCGGCACCTTTGAGAACATGACAGAGGAGCTCGCAGAGACCGATGAGATTTCCGCTGGCCCACTAGTCTCCCGTTTGCTAAGCACACTACGTCCCGAAGGCCGAGGTAACCCGAGCGCTGCTAACGAAACAAATGGCGTTAACGGAGACGCAATGGACATTGACGAAGGTCCCACCGTCCCCGGAGCAGACTCCAACAGCCACTCCCTACCCGCTGCCTCCCAACTCTTAGAATTTCAGCAAGTGGGTTGGAAAGCGCCTCCCGTAGTTGGCAAAACCGACTATGCCTCCCTAGATGACCGCATCCTCCTCGAACTACGGCACTTCGGCCTCATCGCAGAGGGTGACGAAGCGAGCTACGAATCGCACTTTGATGACGAGGTCGCCGCACGCTTACGATTCCTCCAAGCAGAGTTGCGGAAACAAAGTATCATCAACGGAGCCCGGAAGCAGCGGTTACTCGAATTGACAGAAGAGCGCATGGCGCAGCAAGAATACAATACCATTGCTGACGACCTTGACAATCAACTTAATGCCGCGTACCTAAAACGCAATCGTAACCTTGGCAAAGGTAAAAAGCAGACCAAGCGACCTGGTGGAGCAGGAGGTGGCTCACATCCAGTACCTAACGCGGGAATCAGCAGACCCGGCGTGGGAGAGCCTATCCGGACCCTCATGGACCGAAAGAGCCAGTGGAATAATACGATTGGGCCGGTCGTTAATTATGGAAAGACGGGTCTACCCACCGAGACGATATTCCCCGTGGAGAAGATGAAGATGCTAGAGGAGAGGGAAGTCGAGATGTGGAATGAAGGGGAAGAGTAAGCGGGGCGGGTCGCCTTTGTCCCTTTTGGAGTCTATTTGGTGTTGGTACTCGGATATGGGAGTAGGGAATGGCTTTCCCTGGGCTGGATAGCTTCGCAGTGGCGTTTGGCTCGGTCTTTCATGGATTAACGATGGGTTTGCCAGGTGCATACGGGAATGTGATCAAATCATCGCTCGGTGTAAAGGAAGCAGCTCGCTGGAACTGTTGTGCGACAGGTAGACGAAGGTGGAAATATTTCGTCTATATACTGGAGCTTAAGCACAAACGGGTAAATTTGTTTGACCCGTAAGCACAATAATACAAACGTAAACCAACCCCCGTATATTAAGAATGATATTTCTAGAACTATCTTGCGCGCCGAGGGAATGCAGGAAATAGTTTGGAGCTCCGTGGATCCGACAATCTGACAGATGGTCGTGCAACGCTATTTGAGCAAGCCAGTATTTAATTTAGAGTAGAAAGGTGTGTGATCTCAATACTCCCTCTAACTCTAGCCAGAAATATTTTTGTAGTTTAGAAACTCTATTGCATTGTTACTAATTCTAGCAAAATTGCTTAAAACTTCTAAACCCCTATGAGGGTTTCGTGAGACGTCTCAACAAGCTCACCGCCAATCTTGCCAGTTAACCAGTAGTAACATCCAAGGCCATACGGGTCACAGATAGAGGGCCTTAGTCTCACACTGGATATGTCTAAGCGCGAGCATGCAGGCTCTGAATGAGGAGCACCTCGGCCGAGCTCGCAATCAACTCACCAATCATTGAATGACTCGACCGACAATACTCATCTCTATTTCTCTTCCAAGCGTACAATTCTCACCTAACCCACAATAATACCTAATCACGAAGTCTGGAAAACAAGCTCAGAGACGGGGGACACCTGCTGTACCGTATTACCCCACATCACTAGAAATTCTGCTGACGACATCCAGTGAGTCCCCGCATAATATAGAAATAATAAACAAGCGACTTCACCTTCTTTTCGCCTTGAGCTCTCCAACACTTCCTCAAGCATCCAAATCTTCCAGGATTTGCAATGTCGTACTCGCCGCCCAATTCCGCTAAGCCATTCACCCTCGCCATCTCGGACAAAGACTACTCGGAATTCAAGCAGCTCCTCCAACTCTCCAAAATCGGGCCCGTGACCTGGGAATCTCAACAAGAAGACCGCCGCTATGGCGTCACGCATAAATGGGTCACCGAGACCAAAAACTACTGGCTGAACCAGTACGATTGGCGTGCTCAAGAGAAACACATCAATTCCTTTCCGAACTATACCATGTCCATCAAGGATGGTGTGGGCGGGGATATCACAGTTCACTTTGTAGGAATATTTTCGAAGAAGAAGGATGCGGTTCCAATTGTCTTCATGCATGGCTGGCCAGGAAGCTTTATCGAATTCCTTCCCATGTGTGATCTCATTCGTGAGAAGTACTCGGCTGATAACCTTCCATATCACATTGTCGTTCCGTCACTACCTGGATACACTCTTAGTTCGGGCGGGCCGCCACATAGTGATTGGAGAATGCAAGATAGCGCTCGAGTCATTAACCAAGTGATGCAGAATTTGGGATTCAGCAAGTACATTGCCCAGGGAGGCGATGTTGGTAGTTTCTTAGGGAGGGTGTTGGCGCAGGAGTATGACTCGTGTGTTGGGGTTCATTGTAAGTCTAAGACTCTCTGCCTTCATTCGAAAAGTTAAGCCATTAGTGAACATGATGAGCATGAAGCAGCCGCCAGAACCAAACGATTCCATGTCTCCACTAGAAAGGGGAGCAACCGAGCGAGCAGCAAAGTGGAGACAACGTGGAACCGCATACGCACAAGAGCACGCCACACGCCCAAACACTATCGGCTTTGCTCTGTCCTCTAGCCCGCTTGCGCTCATGGCATGGTCAGTGCTCACCTCCCACAAAACGCCTTAAGACTAACAAAATCCACCGGCAGGATTGGCGAGAAACTGCTCGAATGGTCCGATTCCGACCCCAGCCTCGACACCATATTAACTAACGTCTCACTCTACTGGTTCACGCAAGGCTTCCCGCGGTCCATCTACCCCTACCGCGAGCTCTTCTCCACGAGCCGGCCCGAATTCTCCTATCTCACCAAACCCTTCGGATTCTCTTTCTTCCCACATGAACTCATGCCCGGCATCAAGAGCGCCGTCGAGAAGGAAGGGAACCTCGTGTTTTATAAGCAGCACGAGAAGGGTGGACATTTTGCTGCGCTGGAGAGACCAAAGGAGATCTTGCAGGATGTGGAGGAGTTTGTCAAGGTGGCTTGGAAGGTATAGGTTCTTAGTCTGTATCATTGTTCTGCGGAGTGGAGAAAGGCAAACTGACGGAATAAAGGATATCGATGTAGTGGCTGGAGCTAAGCTGTAGAGCTTTGCTAAAGTGTGGGAGTTTGATGGCCCTTGCATGAATTATTTTGAGAAAAATAAGTGCAGCCACCGCGGGCCGTGGAAGGGGCTATGCCTGGCTCAAAAATGAACAGACGACCCTGCATATGAGATTGCAAGAAGTCTATACTCTGGCGAGTAGCTCTAAATTCCCTTGCTATGATGTGAATATTAATATCGTGGTAAACCCAAGCGGGCCAAGATGGAGCATTGCACAATGTCCCAATTGGACGTCAAGACGCGACGCCTCACAGCCGGTCGTGCCTCGCGCTAGCCTACGAAATCACGTGTCGCCGATAGCGGGCGGGACAAACTCTTTGCCCCACCTCTGTGTTACCACGCAGCTCACTTTTTAAGGAAATCAATCTAGCCTCTATGACTTTGCCGCTCTTCCAACACAACCCCTTTGCCACTCCCTGTCCAGCTCTGAAGCTGCGAGAAACCTACCCACAATGGCTCCCGCCCTGCTTGTTTCAATTGATCTAGCAAACTACGCAAAGCCTTCACAGGGCCTTGATGTGCAGGCATTGTCCTTCGTTGGCAACGTCTTCGTCCATGTCACCCCGGACACAATCGACGATGCTCTCCTCTACCTGCAGCAGTCTGTTGGCCGCTACTCGACCTATCTCGGTGTTGCCTCCCTCGCCTCCTTGGACCAGGTCATCTCGCTCATTGACGCTGGTGCTGCAAAGGTCTTTGTGACCCGCAAGCAGCTCGACGAACTCATTGGGCTGAATATCGAGCACGATAGACTTGTGCTGGCATTGCCTGGAAACAGTAAACAAGAAGTCATAGATTGCATCGCAGACACAGACGTAGATGTATACTCTCACCAAGTCCAGGACATCGAGCTCGTCGAGGCGTGGCTGAAGGAGTACGGGACGGACAGGCCTGACATATTTGTCTCGTTCGCGTCTCCAGATACGGATGGTGTCCTGCGCGTATCTAAGCTATCAGGAATCCCGATCCTCCCTGCTGAATCTCTCACGGTCGACGCAAAGAAGGAGCCGGGTTTGATGAGTGTTGCGAAGTTGATCATAGCAAACGCCAAAAGCGATAGACCTGATGGACTACTGTCCACCATTGTGACGGACGAGCGGGGTGTAGCTCTTGGGCTAGTCTACAGTAGTGAAGAGAGTGTAGCGGAGAGTTTGAGGACCGGAAGGGGCGTATACCAGAGCCGTAAAAGAGGTCTGTGGTATAAGGGCGACAGCAGTGGAGACATCCAAGAGCTTGTATCAATTTCTCTTGATTGCGACAACGATTGTCTGCGATTCGTGGTGCGGCAAAAGGGCAGAGGTCAGTATGGATGCATTCCATAGATCCTGCATCCGCTAACAGTATCCAGGCTTCTGTCATCTAGGTACTCCAACCTGTTTTGGGCAGTACTCCGGCCTCTCACGTCTTCAGCAAACCCTTCAGAGTCGCAAAGCTTCCGCGCCAGAGGGATCATACACGGCGCGGCTCTTCAACGATCCGGAGCTGCTTCGAGCTAAAATTCTCGAAGAGGCTACAGAATTGTGCGATGCTAAGTCGAAACAGGAAATTGCATTTGAGGCCGCCGACCTTCTATACTTTGCCTTAACAAAGTGCATATCTGAAGGCGTGTCGTTGGAGGATGTCGAACGAAATCTTGATGCGAAGAGTATCAAGGTAAAGAGGAGGAAGGGCGACGCCAAGCCCGCCTTCGTTGCACAACCAAGACCAGTTACCGGTGTAACGAATGGAGCGGGCACGAAGGGACCTGTCAAAGAAGCAGCCCCAATACCAAAGAGTACAGAGGATCCCGCTGGTCTTGAAAATAGCCGGATCGCAATGAAGAGATATATCACTTCAAAGGAAACTCCCGAGACCGTACAAGCCGCGCTGAAGCGCCCTTCACAGCGGTCCAGTGAGAAAATCATTGCCATATGCAATCCAATCATCGAAGCAATCAAAACTCGAGGGGATGCCGCGCTCCTGGAACTTACAAAAAAGTTTGATAAGGCAGTTTCGCTGACGTCACCCGTCCTGAAGGCTCCTTTCCCAGAGTCAATGATGCAGCTCGCTCCCGAGACAATTGACGCCATCGACGTTTCCTTCGAGAACATTCGCAAGTTTCACGCGGCCCAGCAGGACAAGCCGCTCGTCGTTGAAACCATGCCCGGAGTGATATGTTCCCGCTTCTCTCGGCCTATCGAGCGCGTTGGTCTCTATGTACCGGGAGGTACAGCTGTTCTCCCTTCGACCGCGCTCATGCTTGGAGTACCGGCCATGGTTGCTGGCTGCAAAAAGATTGTGATTGCGTCGCCACCCCGCGCGGATGGTTCAGTGACCCCGGAGATCGTATATGCGGCTCATAAAGTCGGCGCCGAGGCCATTGTCCTTGCAGGAGGAGCGCAGGCCGTTGCAGCACTAGCTTACGGGACTGAGAGTGTCTCTAAAGTGGATAAGATTCTAGGACCAGGCAATCAGTTCGTCACTGCGGCGAAGATGATTGTGTCTAACGATACTAACGCCGGCGTGAGCATCGATATGCCTGCTGGTCCAAGTGAAGTTTTAGTGGTTGCTGATGCCTCCGCTAATCCGGTATTCGTGGCTTCCGATCTACTCAGTCAAGCTGAGCATGGAGTTGACTCCCAAGTGATCCTCATCGCAGTTGGGCTCAGCTCGGCTCAACTCACTGCTATTGAGGACGAACTTCACGCTCAAGCGAACGCTCTTCCTCGAGTTGACATTGTAAGGGGAGCTATTGAACACTCCATCACGCTTGTCGTCGACACTCTGGAGGAGGGTATGCAATTGAGTAATGCATATGCACCGGAGCATCTCATTCTACAGCTACAAGACGCAGAAAGCGTAGTGGACATGGTACAAAACGCTGGCAGCGTCTTCATTGGGCAATGGACACCAGAGAGTGTAGGCGACTACTCTGCTGGCGTCAATCACTCACTACGTGAGTTCCATCTCCTTGTTCTCACAAAAATATGATTAGACATCCGACACTGATGGATCATCCAGCCACTTTCGGATATGCAAAGCAGTATTCCGGCGTCAACCTAGGCTCTTATATCAAGCACATCACCAGTTCCAACCTCACGAAAGAGGGCCTACGCAACGTCGGCCCCGCAGTCATGGAGCTTGCTCGGGTCGAAGAATTAGAAGCTCATCGCCGAGCTGTCAGTCTGAGGCTTGGTATGCTTTAAAAAAGAGAAACCTCATGAAGACTGAATCTAGGTTCGAGTTTTGGGACATGCTCATTATAAACTTCTTTTAGCGATGCTGCTACCTGATACCTCAGAAGAGGATGAGCATGGGGTGATAAGTGACGGTTTCAGGTGGTTCGGTACTTTTGCAATCACAGTTGCACAAACTAAAAGTGATTCGAGGATTAAATGAACTGTATTGACACACGATGGCCCCCATTTCTCAAAGTCCTGGTTGCTGGATATAAAGAGAGAATGAAGACCTGGAATTCTCCGGGAATTAATTTATCCGATCATGTTTCGGTAAGTTCGGTCACACAATCCGCTGCGCCCTCTGTCCCTCCGTGTCAACATCCTGAAGCTTGTGGATACAGTTGGGTGTGCTTGTCGGCTCTATCGGGTATGACGAAACCCCTTATATTTCTTCAAAAGCTTTTCTGCTCACCTGAGTGTCTCCTTTGGGCTTGTTGGAGACGCTTGTTTGGTGGCGTTCGAGATCTTGCATCGGAAGATGTACTGATAATAGTTATTACCAGGTAACATGACAGCCTCACGCAGATGTTCCAGGCTCTGAATATTAAAGACGCCTAAATCAGGCATTCGAGGTATTTAACCAGATTGAAAGCCGGTGGTGGTTCTGGAGAAATGTCGAGTGGTGCGACCAGGATCTAGCTAGGATCGGCTTGTGCATTTAAGAACTATGCTATTCCTGGGAAGGCACGAGAACATACCAGGACGGAATAGGGCTTGATTTGGGAACATGTGGTGCTAAGCGAAGGTGGGTGAAACGTCAGCCCTCACGCCTTCTTATTACTGGGGCCTTCATTACCTGGGTTGCATGTTCCACCCAATTTATTCTCTTCGAAGGCGCTGGATATCCCGTGGCTTTGAGGTTAAGCTTCCGTGAAAGAGATGGGCACGACAAGGAAGAGCGGCCGGATAGGATGACCCGCGTTTCGATGTTTCATTCAGGGCGTAGACATGCGCCAAATACTTGTATAAAAGAGATGGGAGACAGTAGTTGCCCGTCCTTCGATCGGTTGATCGGGCTCTTTCCATTCAAGATACTGACATTCATTTGATTGAGTCGCGTTTTGTCTGCTATATTGATAATGCGTCAATCTGAATTTCTTTTCGGCCTTGTGGCTTCGGCTTCGACCGTGCTTGGTGCTGTCCAGCCTTGGGGTCAGTGTGGTGGTCAGGGCTGGGCTGGGGAGACAACCTGCACGTCAGGATGGACTTGTGTGGCATCGAATTCGTACTACTCCCAGTGTCTGCAGAGTACAGGTGGTGGCAATGCTGCAACGACACTATCAACGAAGGTGGCTACTCCGACAGCTACCACAAGCCCTAATACGGGGGCGAATGGAGCTTCATGTTCCATCGATACCAAATTCAAGACGCACTCGGGGAAGAAGTACATCGGTGTTGCGACGGATCAAGGGCTGTTGACTTCTGGGCAAAATGCTCAGGTTATCAAGGACAACTTTGGCCAGGTCACGCCCGAGAACAGGCAGGTCCCTTCTTCTCAATCTTATGCGTAAGGCTGCTAACGATGGACAAGCATGAAATGGGATTCTACGGAGCCCTCGAAAGGAAGCTTCAGTTTCACTGGCGCTGATTACTTGGTGAACTGGGCAACAACCAACGGTAAATTGATCCGTGGACACACAACAGTCTGGCACTCCCAGCTGCCTTCCTGGGTGTCCTCAATCACCGATAAGACGACTCTTCAGTCAGTTATGACGAACCACATTTCGACTGAAATTGGGCACTTCAAGGGCAAGATTTACGCCTGGGTGAGCCAGACTCTCCTCACCAGCTCTTTACTAATGTTTGAACTAACGAGACATAGGACGTCGTGAACGAAATCCTCGACGAGAGTGGAAACTTCCGTTCCTCAGTTTTCTACAACGTGCTCGGCAGCGGCTTCGTCGACACCGCCTTCAAAGCCGCTCGCGCTGCCGACGCAAACGCTAAACTCTATATCAACGACTACAATCTCGATTCCGCGACGTATGCTAAGACGACGGGTATGGTCAGCAAAGTCAAGAGCTGGGTGGCTGCCGGCACCCCCATAGATGGCATAGGGAGCCAGTCCCATTTATCTGCTGGAGGATCTTCCGGCACTGCTGCAGCTCTGCAGGCTCTTTGTGGTGCGGCTTCAGAATGTGCCGTGACTGAGCTTGATATCGCGTCGGCGCCGACGAGCGATTATCAGAATGTCGTCAAGGCTTGCCTAGGTATCTCTAACTGTGTTGGTATTACAGTGTGGGGACTTAGGGATTCTGATTCCTGGAGGGCAAGCACGAACCCACTACTGTTCGACTCAAGCTACACTGCTAAGGCTGCTTACAATGGTATCTGCAGTGTCTTGTAAAGATAGGGAAGAGTTGGGAGCCCGCATTTCGTTGTATATATTTAACCTTTCGCATTCAATTTGATTGGCGACATGTTCATCATCAGCGTTTCCAAGCAAGCCTATCGTATCGATTCAGAGATCAGAGATCAGAGAGTACCATGACGCAGCCTTGTGACTCTGTTGCTCCATAACACCACGAAAGCATGCGCAGGATCTCTTCACTTGACTTGTTCAATCCGTATATGGGCAAGAGAGCATTCCCCATCCGGTTAGCCTGTATCGCGTACCCCAGCAATCCAGACCTCGATTTCTTGACCAGGTCGTATTTTGCTTGTTGCTTGTCGTCACTTTGATAAGCCACAAGCGACCAACACCTCCGTCAACGGAACGACGCCATCGTAACAAACTCAACCTCACTGTTCTTTCACGCGCCGGTTATCATTATATGCCCACACTTGCGCCTTCCACACCGTTGAGAATTCTAAACCCGAAGGACGGTTGCGAGGTCGAGCGGAGAAGAGCGACCCCCGGCCATGGGGCGGCCACGCGCAACCAGCAATGCGTCGACCAACTCGACCTCGGCGCCTGCGAGGGACCAAGTAGGTATGGTAGAGACCCTGAAGAGATGCCCGACACTAACGGCGGGCCATAGGAACTGGGTAGCATGTACGACTACCTCGCGAAGATCATTCTACTCGGCCCTAGCGGCGCTGGAAAGTACGTCCTCATCCCCATTGCTGTGAATGTAAAGATCCACGATAGGGCTTGAAGCTGACGGTTACGGTGGGTGCTATAGATCTTGTATATTACATCGCTTTGTCAAGAATGAATGTACGCACCCCACTGCCATCTCTCTCTCCCACCATCCCATTCCAACCTATCCCACCCTCCCCTCATCCCTACACCCACTAACCCTCCCCCCCTCCGACAGGGCGCATCCTCTCCTCACAAACCATCGGCGTCGAATTCTCTTCCAAAATCGTGCACCTCGGTCGTCCCCCTCACCGCACCCGCATAAAGCTCCAGCTCTGGGACACGGCGGGCACCGAGCGCTTTCGCAGCGTCTCGCGCTCCTATTACCGCGGTGCTGCTGGCGCAATCCTCGTCTATGATCTGAACAGCTGGCGTAGCTTTGAGCAGTTGAGGACGTTTTTGGACGATGCGAGGGCGCTTGCTGGGCAAGACTTGACTGTTATCCTTGCGGGAAACAAGGTTGATGTTGCGGAGGGAGGGGTTGGGGGTGGGGGGGTGTATGGGAGTTGGGGGAGTGAGGCTGGAGCTGGAGCGGCGGGGAGTGAGGGCGATGCGATTCCACCCCCAACACCAAGCAGTCAGTCCAGCATACGTACAACCACATCTCTCGGACTCCAAAACTCCGCAACCATATCCCCCGACGGCCGAGAAGTGCCTCTCGAGGCGGCATCCCGTTGGGCGGGCCAAAACGGGATTCCCGTCGCGGTAGAAGTGTCCGCGCTGAATGGGGAGAATGTAGATGAGCTGTTTAATCGCTTAGCTAGGATGATACTCACGAAGATCGAGTTGGGGGAAATCGATCCCGATGATCCGTCAAGCGGGATACAATACGGGGATATTGGGGGCTGGGGATATGCTGATGACGGGAATGGGAGTGTGAAGAGCGGGCAAGGGCTCGGGGATGAGGGGGTGCGGTATCGACGAAGGAATAAGAAGGGTGCGGGGGTACAGCTCAGGGAATGGGAGGATGTTTTTCGGCTTTCGAATTCGAGGAGGAGGGGGGGCTGTTGTTGACACACACATTTGGATCTCTTTTCAACTCGCAGCTTTACATATCGAGCGTTGGCATTAGACGCACCATAGCATTCGTTTGCGGTCTTGGGATGGAATGGGGGTTAGGGGGGAGGGGGAGAAAGACTTGCTTGCATTTGGTACAATAGCTGTTTGGATTGAGGTAGTAATGGTAATTCCTAATCTCATGACTGGATAATGCATTCGATTGCAAGCTCTTCGATGGGAGTTGGAAGAGTGATTTAAGCTAAAAGGGCACAGTTGATACGACAATCTATGGATGAAGTTAAGTCATAAGGGAGTGTCCCTAAATATCCTTCTTATCCAAAATGCTTCATGGATGTATGTCCGCCTACAGTATCACTCGGTTTGGTATCCTAGATTCCATGCTACTCCCATGGGCTACTGAGGCACTGACATGATCATTCACAATGCATAACAGATGGAGAAGACACGGCCTTAGATCTTAACAAATATATACTCAACTATTCAAGGTAAAATCTCTAGACCGTTGATCCAATCCTAAAACTAAAAACGCCAGAGGGACCCATGGTATCTAAACTCTTCTCACTCCCGACCCTTTCCCAACCCCGCCTCCTATACCTCTCCCATATCCCTCAGCGGCACATACCCCACATCCTCTCTATCCCCCCTCTTCGCCGCCACACTCTCCTTCACCCAATCCAGCACACTCCTTACCAGCCCTTTCCTACCCAAACCCAGACTCTCCTTTTCCATCTCACTCTCCGGAACCTCTGCACTCGGATCCAGCACCGAAACCTTCATCCACGCCGGCCTCGTCCAGAGCTTCAGATGCAGGGAACTCACCACCACGGAGACAGACGAACACGCCATTGCAAACCCTGCGGCCATCGGATGCAGGTATAGACCCCAAGGGAGGAAGAATCCCATGGCGAATGGCAGACCAACGAGGTTGTATAAACACGCCCATCCGAGGTTGAATTTAATACGGCCGAAGATAGCGCGACTGAGAACGAGACTTGCAGGAATGGCAAGGAGATCGGTCGTAGACATGAGGACGATGGACGCTGCTTCCATGGCGACATCTGTGCCTGTGGAGAGCGCGATGCCGATGTCGGCCGAGGCCAGAGCGGGAGAATCGTTGATACCGTCGCCGACCATGGCGACGACGCGGCCGCGAGACTGGAGGTCTGAGATTATTGCTTTTTTGTCCGAGGGTGTGGCCGAGGCGTAGACGTCTGCGGCATCGATGCCGACCTGGGCTGCGACGACGAGGGCGGAGGACGAGGTATCGCCCGTGACGATTGAGGCTGTGATTCCTAGACGGGAGAGGGCGAGGATGGTGGCGCGGGCGGAGGGTTTGATGGTATCGGAGAGGCTTAATGAGCCGGTGTAGGTTTTGCCGATGGCGGTGTGAATGGTGGTGATGCCTGCAGAGCGAGATAGAGATCCATCGCGTGGATTAGCGGATGAAGCGAAGGGGGTCAATGGTTCGTCGATGAAGTCGGGGACGTCGACACCTTCGGACATGAGGTAAGACGCGTTCCCAATGAGGACTCTGTAGCGCTGTCGTTCGCGGGACAAGGCAGCTTCGACACTCGCTGCGATACCTTTGCCAACGACTGCCTCGAAGTCACCCACAGATCCATCAAGAGTGCCATCAGAACCAAGTCGGAGATGCTCCTTAGCAGCGCGAACGATGGCTTTTGCAATCGGATGCTCGGAACCCATCTCTGCAAGGCCAATGAGCGTCCACCAGAGATTTTTCTTGTATTCGTCGTTGGCCCACTCGCTCCGGATATCCGATTTCGATACGCTCATCTTCCCGACCGTAAGCGTGCCTGTTTTGTCTAGTACGACGTGGTTGATCTTCGTAGCAGTCTCCAAGGCAGCCCCACCTTTGACCAAAATACCTTGCTCAGCGCCAACACCAGTGCCCACCATGACTGCGGTAGGTGTTGCCAGCCCGAGGGCACAAGGGCATGCAAAGGCGATGACGGCAATGCAGAGTTTGAAGCAGACCATCAACTTTCCGCCGCTAGCATGGTCGAGGAATACTTTTGGAGGGTACGGTAGAGCGTGACTCAGTACCATCCAAGCGACAAAGGTTGCGAGACCAAGAGTGATGATGATAGGAACGAAGTATCCGGCAACTGTATCCGCAAGCCGCTGGATTGGAGCGCGGCTCGTTTGAGCCTCTTGGACCAAGCGAACAATTTGGCTGAGCTGAGTGTCGCGACCAGCTCGGGTGACAACAAAGTCAAGTCGGCCAGCGCCGTTAACTGTACCGGCCATCAAGAGTGTTCCTTTCTTCTTCAGGACGGGCATCGGTTCGCCAGTGACCATACTCTCGTCGACGTAGGTTTCGCCACGGGTAACAGTACCGTCTGCTGGAATCTTGTCTCCGGGTCGAAGAATGACAACGTCTCCCACTTCAATGAGTTCCGTCGCGATAACTTTCTCTTCAACAGCGTTGGAGTTCATGTCATTGTCTTTCTCGTCACTGACTGGGGCATCCCAGCCTTCGGCAGCCTTTGCAGCAGCTATGGGGTCGGCATAGATTGTAGCCATCGAAGGGGCCAGCGACATCAGTCTTGAGAGGGCTTTCGATGTCTGGCCCTTCGCCCTATTTTCAAGGTACCGTCCCAAAGTGATGAAAGTGATCAGCATCGTGCTTGTGTCAAAAAGGGTTGTAGGTCGCGAATGTGGAGGAACAAAAAGCGAAACCAACATGGAAGCAACGCTGAAAAAGAACGCGGCCGATGTTCCAAGAACAACCAAAACATCCATGGTTGGGGAGCCGTGGCTCAGGGATTTAAAAGCAGAAATATAAAAACGTTTGCCAATACCGAATTGAACAGGAATGGTGAGAACCAGGCACACGACGTCGCCGAGCCAGAGGCCGTGCATTATACACATAGAGCCGTAGTCGAGGAATGGAAGCATCATAGGGAAGAACATGCCGGTAAGGAAAACGGGTACGGCAAAGCAAAGGGAGGTCCTGAAGGCTCGTTTCCATTCTTGAATCTCCTTGGTTTTCGCTAGAGATTCTAGTTGAGCGTTGTTGTCATCGGAATCGGCCACTAAAGCGTTGTATCCCGTTGCTTCGATTGCTTCGACAACTGCACGGAGACCAATGATCTGCGGTTCGCGGTTGACAGTTATTCGGGAAGTACTGAAGTTGGCCGTCACTGAAGTAATACCAGGTCGTTCTCTGAGTAGAGATTCCAGCTCCTCACCGGCTTTGGAGTTGGGTAGTCCATAGATTTTGAGATGCACCGTTCCATTGGAGGATGCCGATTGTTGCACAGTCCCATCAACTGATGATATCACCTTGGCATCAAAACCTCGGTCCTCAATAATTTCCACAATCTGATCTTCTGTAAGCTTTGCTGGATTGTGGACTAGTACCGCTCGGTTTGCTAGTAAGGAGATGTTGAACTGATAGACCCCTTCAATGTCTTTGAATCCGCTCTCGATTGCCGAGGTACACGCTCCACATGTCATTCCCTCGATTCCAACCGTCGTCGTCAAAGTTTTTCGCTTGCTGTAATTCCTGCGGGTCTTCTTTGCTGGAGTATGTGCTACCGTCTCCAAAACCTTGGCATCGAATCCAACATCTTCAATTGCATCTGCTAACTGCGATGGGGATATTATCTTCACGTCGTGTTCGATGTCCGCGCGCTCGGATAGTAACGAAATTCTGAAAGATTTGATTCCCGCGACATTCTTGAAGGCGCCCTCGACCGCCGAAGTACATGCACCACAGGTCATTCCTCCGACAGATAGGGTGGTCGTTGAAACGTGTAGCGCTTCTTCCGCCTCGTCGTCTTCCGAATCACTCCAGATATGGTCGTCCGCATTTTGTGTAGCCGCGGGCAGGTCCGAAGACAATACCTCGGCGTCGAAACCCCGATCATCTATAATCTCCCTGACTTGGTCTGCCGATATTATCTTCGGGTCGTGCTGAACAACCGCGCGCTCCATGACCAAGCTCACGGAGACATTTCCAACTCCCTCGACGCCGTGGAAGCCCGTCTCTATCGCCGATGTACAGGCGCCGCAGGTCATGCCCTCGACTTTAAGAGTTGTAGTCGCCATGTGCGCCGTGGGGGGATTTGTGCCCAAATTAGAAGGAGCCATGAGGTGTCGATGACGACAAGGAATGATTATAATAAGTAGGTAGGATTACAAAAGCCCTGCACGGCTTCCAATTCTCGATGTTGTCAGCACGGGACTCAGCGGAGCGGCGAACGAGGCGATGCCAAAGGAAGGTGGAGGTCAGGACGTGTTCTTTAGCAACGACATACAGAGAGAAGCGTCGACGACTGAAGCGACAGGAAAGAAGGGCGACGGGTCCTGGGACTCCGTATCTGGCCGGGAGAAGTCCAGCTTCAAAAGCGCCAGAGGGCTCGGAGTGCAGTGTGCAGTAATGGATACAAGCCACTAACCCAGATTCTGAGCGAGCCACAGTGCTTTTCGGGGATCCGGCCGGAGACGATGGCCCCGCTAGCGTTCGAATGTGGGTAGCGTAAGCGGATCACGCCACGAGCTGAAAACAGAGTCTCAGGGTAAGAATAGAGACAGAAATACACAGAGAGAAAGACGATGTGAAGGACTGATGGATGGTGGTGAGCCGGCAGTTATCTACTTAGCGCGACGCCGAACAATGTACAGTAATATCAAGCTTTTGGTTTTGGCTTGGCTAGTTGAAACGCGGCGAGGTTTGATCTCTCTTTTGATGTGACGCGGCGGTCGTCTCCCCTGGTGGAGCCGAAGAGCACGCGAGAAGCGGTAATGTGTAGCGGGGCTTGTCTTTTGCTTCGTGGACCGAAACCAACGAGTTATGAAATCCTACGATAGCACTTCCTTGACATCGGGAGGCATGCGACCCGGCCGAGTTGAAGACGTGCCGTGAGACCAGCACACATTGTTCACGGCGGCAAAATAATCCTTGTGGTACCCAAACTGGGCACGTGAAGCGAAACTGTCACTTTGTAGATATGGCGATCAATATAGGCATAATTATTGTGTATATCGGTAGTTGCTTTGCGGCCGGGAGGGGAGCGAGGAGCAATCACGTGACTTTCCCCAGACTGGCTCAAGGCCGCTAGAGATTGCAGTGTCGCTTTAATCCATCCTGATCATATCATTGGACAGTCCTCGTGCCATCTTATCTTATCCATCTCCGCGACCAGGTCCACTTTGTGTGGCAGCCTCAAGGTGCGCTGTTGACTGGAATCCCAAGACAGGTCCCCACCCAAATTCTGCCTCTCCTCCCCGAACCAAAATTCGATTGCCCACTCGATCTCACTCAGAGTTCGTGAAGCCGTCATGGAGCAAACGCGTGCCCTCAACGCCCTGGAGCCGTTCCTCGCTCTCTCTAAATCCGCAAACTCACCCCGCGCCGCCGCGGATCTAGTAGCCCAAGCTACTGCTGCTCCACACACTTATGTCTTTGCCGAGCTGCTTCAGACGCCGAACATTCAGGCATTGAGGAACTCGGAAGAATACGCTTCGCACCTCACCCTGCTCGAAATTTTCGCCTGGGGATCGTGGGAGGACTACAAAGGTAACGACGTCCGCTTTCGTACCCATTGTTGTTACTTTAGCTAGCTATACAGAGAAGAAGGCAAGGGGCTGACAATTTATATCTTCCAGCTCATGGCTCTCTTCCCAAACTCTCGGCTCAGCAACACAAAAAGCTGCTCCTCCTCTCGCTTCTGCCACTTGCTCGCTCGCACACAACCCTGACCTACTCGGCGCTAATGGCTGCTCTCGACCTCCCCACCACCCGTGCGCTGGAAGAGCTCATCACAACCGCTATCTACTCCGGCCTCCTCACCGCCACCCTTGACCCCGCCCACTCTCTTCTCTCCGTGACTGGCATATCTCCGCTCCGTGACCTCGCACCAGGCTCTCTCCCCACTCTCCAGCAAACACTGTCTACATGGTCACAGCGTTGTGAGTCCGCACTCGCCGATTTGGAGGCCCAGGCCGCGTCTGTCAAGCGTGCGGCTGTTGCCAGGGAAAAGGATAGGAGGAAGAAAGAGCGGGCATTGGAGATTACCATCGCGGCTTCGGAGGAGAAGGGTGGGGCGAAGAGGGGTATGAGTGGCTTGGGTGAGGAAGATATGATGGACATCGACCAGGAAGGTGGCAGCGGACGTGTGCTGAGGAACACAAAGAGGGGTACTGGCGGTGGTGGCTTCGGATTTACCAGGAGACTAGGATGAGCGGTTCACATGTACGCGCATGTAAAATCGCCGCTCCCTTCGGATAGTCGGAGTGGAGTGGCTGGTGAGGACATGTGATGCTCAAGGGTAACCGCTACATTCTCGACCGTCAGTAAGGGCTTGGAATCCGAGGGCTTGGGATCAACAGACAGCTAGCCACTGTATCGGTACCTCTACCGAAAGGCAATCCCAATCGAGAACGCCAGACTTCAGAGTTGACAGCAACACATACATATACGCCAAACCCTTATAAAACATCAAAGTAGATAGTAACGGAGCTAATTCCAATTATAAATGCTGTCTTATCCTGATTATACCGGTTTCCCAACCCTGATCCTAAAACCTTCCTCTCCAGTCTATCTACAGACGACGGCATACGAACAGAAGCGAAAGCCAAAACCAAAAGCCATAACCCATAACCAACCAAGGCCAGGAATATCATCCGGAAGTGATTCACAAACATCACCCGGGTATCCTAGCATGTGCCGAACGCCGCTTTTTTAAGAGAAATCAGGACGTGCGCCATCCATGTAGTCCATCATGAAACTGACAAAAATCATACCGGGTGGATGGATATGAATAGGAGAGACCGAGCGATCAGAGGAACAGGCGTAGACCTGGGGGAGGGGCGAAGGCGTGGGGTATTCCACATGAGGGGCTGAGTGGTGTGTTGTGGTGTGGTGGGGAAATCAGAACGGGGTATTGTATGCTAATGCATGGAAAACAAAGTATCAAGCTCGTTCAACAAATCAGATTCGGAAATGGAAGGGAAAAGATCGATCCCAGAGAAGCGCGGAGATCTTATGCTGGTGCCGCCGGAGGTTCGTAACTTTGACTCGAGTCGGGCTGGTTCACGTTGGCTAGCTGCGCGGCCATGGTCCGCAGAGCTTCCTGTGTGGCCTCGATATTGAGCTCACCCCGTTCCTGGGCTTCCTTGAGGTAATCCTCCCATTCTGGATCCATGGCTACGTTGACGCCCTGTTCCCTCATGGCTGCTGCGTGGAGGAGGCGTTGGTTCAACTCGAATCCCACGCTCTCATCTTCTTCGTCGCTCTCGTCGTCCTCGTCCCGCATTTCCGTATCTCCAGCGACTGTTTGTTGCGGCCCAATCATCTCCTCCGTCGGCGGCACCTCCTCAATCTCAACCTCGATATCCGTCTTCACGTTGATGCTCTTGTTGCGTGCCGATATCCTGTGCTTGCGGCGGTCTACCCACTCGCCAATCTCCATACCCGTTGTATCCCTAACATGAACACCCTCGTCGCGCTCGTAGCGTTCCCGGGCCCAGAGCGTGCCTTCCCATCTGCAGAAGCCTTGGATCTCGCTCTCAGTAAGTCCTAGCTTGTCAAACGCTTCGAACAGCTTCTTGTGGTGCGGGAAGCGGCCTAATCGCTTTCTATGGGGAGCATGTGCATAGTTCAGGCCAGGGTATCGCGCTTCAATGGTGTCTAGAGAACCATAGAAAGTGGCTGTTTCTATGCGCACTTCGCCCACGAGGAATTTTGCGAGATGCTGGGCAAAATTCGGAGGGTCTGTGGGCGAGGGACTTGGGTACAGCATGCTGTAGACAAGGGCTGAGATTTGGTGTTTGCGGTGCATTGTGGTGGTGGTGTGCGGAGATTTCTGGGAGAAGGTTGCGAGGATTGAGAAGCGCTCGCAGCTCTCGTGTTGTTAATGTTGTGGATCTTTTATATATGCGCAAGGCCGATTTCGATGTTGGCGGAGTGATGCAATGAGGGCCGTACCTAGGTTTCTCCTGTTTGCAGAGGCATGCACCGTGGAACCAAGTGAATTGCGGAAGGCGGTGGCGGGTGGGTGATCCAAGGATTATGTGATTTCCGTTCTTGAAGAGAGCTGCTGACACTTGGGGCGTGACTCTGGCTTGACACTGCCTGGAATGCGGCCACACAATCTTGTGCCGTCAGACCGCTTCTATAAGCGTTCCAGGTGACGTCGCTCGCTGATGCCTCTGCCTTACACGTTTGCAGAACTTAGAGCACTGAGTTGAAGTCCGAAGACGCTCGTCTGCAAGCTGCTGCAGGACTGCTGCGACTTGTGCCTGGATCGCTGCACGGACGGCCTCCTTATTGACCGGCCCTGGTTTCGAAAGGGGGAATCCGTTTTTTGGGGGGCGTTTCGTGAGGTGACGAGCAGCGGGACACGGTCAGGGCGCGGTTAGTCGGGAGGCGTTTAGTCGCGGGTCGAAGGAGTGTGCACCGAGGGAGACGACAGATGGACGGAAGGAAGAGGGAAGAGAGAGAAGGAATTCGAAGCAGAAGCTTCACCGCCTGTACTTATAATTCCAACTACGGACTCCCGACATTAGATCCTCCTAAGATGCAAGACAGCTAGGGCCGGGGCTGCAGCGCATCGCTGGCGAAGGGACCCTGTCCGGGCCTTTTTCAAACCACGGCCACTCATGACCACGCCGTTCCCTGTGTAACACGCACATTGGGCAGCCGTCGCGGTCAACGATGCGGTTGTGAGCTGTACAAATGACCATTCTGGCCGTCTGTCCGCCAATCGACGCGACTTATCCGGCACCTTTTCCGCTTGGCCAGCGAGATGGTGCCCAGAGGAGCCCGGCAAGGGCGCATGGTTGGCACTGCAAATTGGGGATATGGGGAACGACTGGCCTGGCTCGACGCCGCTCGATGCCGCAGAATGCACCAGGATGCAGGCCGGGCGGCGCCACTTCTTTTGTTCTTGCCTCCTAATATCGCATACCTTTGGGGGGACAATGGCCTTGGAATTGAGAGCTGTGGTTGAGAGCCAGACGTGCATGCCATGGCTGATCGGACCCAACGCGAGATGAAGAGACCAACCTGCCGTGGACGGATTAGATCGTGAAAGGATCAAGCCTCCCGTGGTGGAATCGTCAGCGCCAATCAGTGTGCCGGGCTTACCAACAGCTCGGAACAACACATCCTCCCCGTTCGCCACCACCACACCTTTGCTTCACCGACTACTTCATTCGGCCATCATATCTAGCTCTGCCTTCTTGTCCCTCTCGCAACCTGTCTGTAATGACAGCGCCGCGTCGGCACATACTTCCTGTGTGGCCGTCTGATGTCGACCTTTAAAGGCATCATTCACGGTTAGCCCGTTTCATCCATCTGTAACTCCAACAGCTCTGACTGCATACATCTAGAGTTTCCTCAAATCAGAATCGACTACTTTCGACACCAACCAGATCACAGGCCGCCGTTGGCCTGCTTCCTCAGCCATGTCCATTCCGACCACCTCATCGGGCTTGAGTCCTTACGGGCACCGTTCGTGTACTGTTCAGCCGCCACGCGAGAGGTAAGTGTTGGCTAAGCTGAAACCTTGCTAGTATTCGTCTTGTATTTAAGGCCATCCTCTGTATCGGATTCAAGCCCGGAGTAGTTTATTATTGAGACATGATTTCTTGTGCCGAGACACCACCACTACACATACACGTTTCTTGCAACAGTCCAAGGTTCCCAAGAGGTTGAGAGTTTTCGTCCACATTCTCCTGCATGTTAGCGCATACTACACAATTTGACAAGGATCTGATTTAGGACAGAAATTAGAATCCTTGCGAGAGCATCTCCACTCTAGTAGGGGTGTAACAAACTAACCTCACCCCGGTCATCTTTTGTCCCATGCAATTACATGCTGTATAACGTAGCATCTCTTGAACTATATGGCTAATTGACTGAATCTAGATATTGTTGCGTCTCGAGAAGTACTACCATCGAGTCAACTTTTCACGCCGGATACTAGAAAGCCGCACCGTGACTTACGGCAAGCACATGGGGAAGCTGGCGAAGCCACTTCCATTAGAAACTCCAACAGTAATAGAACTCTCACCTGGCAATGAGATCCGGGTAACCCTATTTGACGCAAATCATTGTGTAGGGGCAGTCATGTTCCTAATAGAAGGTGGCGGGAAGGCAGTTCTCTACACTGGCGACATTCGAGCCGAGACTTGGTGGGTGAACACCCTGGTCCAGAACCCAGTGCTCTTGCCATACACCCTTGGGCTTCGTCGTTTGGACTGCATATATCTAGATACCACTTTTGCAACAAAATCTGAACCCTATTGTGAATTCCCTTCAAAAGCAGAGGGCATTTGCGAGCTCCTTCAAAAGGTCGGGGAATACCCAGAGGACACAATCTTCTATTTCCACTCCTGGACGTTTGGCTATGAGAATGTCTGGATAGCGCTCTCTACCTTCCTCCGAAGTCAAATTCATGTGGACACCTACCGCTTTGGAATATACTCATCTCTATCTCCCCTAAAGAGCGGGGTTTACATTCGCGAAGCGCCAACGTTATGCGGCTTCATGAACGGCAACCACGAGCAACATGGCTGTTTAACTTCGCAACCAGATGTTCGTCTCCACAGTTGTGAACGTGGCATGGGTTGTCCAGTCGTGGATCGAGACACAGATGCAAGAGTTGTACACATCATACCTATTGTGACCCGAACCCACGGAACCGAGATCGCCGAAGTCGGAGCTGGAGGTGGGAAAGGCGATTTGGATCAAATCGATGAGCTGGAAGCAGGTGATGTAGAAGATGTAGGGAAGCTAATAGAGTTATGTGCGAGTAAGATTAAGGACCAAGAGTTGCTTTCAAAGGTCGTAGTGCTCCTACAACAAGCGCTCAATGAAAAGAAGGGCAGGATTAACCTAGGGATGGGCCTGCAGAAGGAGAGCCAAGGAAACCAAGACGACTTATCCTTACAAACTCTTATATCAGTCCTATCTACTCATATTATCAGGACAAACGAGACGGAAGAACAGCGGAATGAGACAATCCATTTTCCATACTCTCGACATTCATCGTTCTCAGAACTATGTACTCTTGTCAGTGCTTTTAAACCCAGGGACATTTATCCTTGCACCATGGACGAGGACAATTGGACCCCTGCTCTTGGTATGCGAAATCTTTTTGGAGAATTCTGCTCTGCGAACGTTTTTCGGCACGATACGGAGATGATGGAGGTGTATGAGTTGAGAACACAACGAGAACGGGTTGGCCGCCGAAAAAGGGAATATAACCACGACGAGACCCAAAGGAGTGAGGGAATTTCGGATATTATGGATCACGTAACGCCAAAGCGAAGTCGCACTGAGAAAGACGCTGTGACTACGGAGCGCCACATGGGGGTGATCACATCCGTCACTCCAGCGGACTCACGAAACTGCAGTCATCATACCCCTAATATCGAAGCCGGACACGCTGACATTCCAATGACTTCAACCCTCCAGCAATGCGCTGCCAGCGCGCTCCCTATAGCCGTGGCGATTCAGCGTGAACACGATGTGATCACTATGCCCGACTCTCACCCTCGCCCAGGGCCATCGAAAACACAATACCCAAATTTAGGCACCCCATTGGCCTCACTCTCCTTCTCCTCACACCGAACTTCTATTTCATCAACCGAACCTAAAATTTCGTCAAAGAGTCGTCAGATAGCCTACAATGCCGCTCTTGGCATTGACATGACTTGGTTAGAGATGGGTGGTTTAGTGTCAACGAGAAAGGAAAACGAGGAGAAAGAACTGTAGAAGATTCGCCCGGATTTGCCTCATTAACCTAGTTTAGAGTTCAAAAGATGGAATATTGATACCCGGCTGCAGTCCTTTGCGTCTGCTGATTGAATTACTTGAATTGATGAGAGGTCCTTGCGCTTTGATTCAGACGCACTATAGTATATTTCAAGTTAGTACATGCTTCAGAGCATGCTCGATCTGTTTTAAGGAGGGAAGCTGTATTCTCTTAACACTCTGCCTTACTCCAGAATCGGTTCAATTGTCCATGCTAGTGTTACATGGGGGCGCTAAAATATGGTATTTCAGCCATTGACAAAAAGAGCCTAGCAGGATGTCGGGTTCAATATTTCTGGGGATTCCACCATAATTTGCAGCCTTTTGTCAGAATTTCCGAACGTGATATTCATCTGCGGCTCAATTTCAGGACGCATAGAAACGTCTCATGCGTTGGAACACCATCTGGGACTAGTTTGTTACTAATCACGTCCGGCAGTTCCGAGGTTCCGGGCTTTGCTGTCGCGTGCCGAATGCCTTGTTCCTTCTTTAGTGGCGGAACTACATCATCACTCTCGCTCAAATTCTTAGTCTCCAACTTCCACTTTGCACTACAGACCTTTTCACCGTGTCGCTCTTCCGTGCTCTCCAGGCTGTTTCGAAACAGCGCGACGTCACGAATCACATTCAGATGGGTTTACTTAGCCGGCTCAATCCGACTCCTGGTTTCCCTTCTTACTCCGGCCCATACCATGTAGGCTCGACCGATGTCGAGATTCCAGTCACAGACTTAGAATCACCGGCACAGCCCTCTCCTATCAATATACCGACCGTTTCCTTCCGTATATTCTACCCTTGCCAATCGGAGGCGCAACAGCGAGATGTTCGATGGATACCAAATCCGCAGAGGGAATATATTGGAGCCTATGCTCGATTCTTGGGGGCTAGTTCTGCATTCTCTCACCTCTTCTCGTAAGACCTATGCTGTAATAAACTTCTAGCTTATCACTAACGATTTGTGCAGCGTCCTTCCGCAGCTTCTCTACTACATCTCGATCCCAGTCCACAACAACGCTGCATTACTAGAACCACCCACAAAATCAAAAAAATGGCCTGTAATGGTATTCTCACATGGCCTTGGGGGCTCAAGGAATTCGTACTCTCACCTAGTTGGATCTTTGGCGAGTCATGGAATCGTAGTTATCGCACCAGATCATAGGGATGGGAGCTCTCCGATATCGTTCATCAATGTCACGGCTGCGAAGAACGGGCTAAGGAGAGTGGAGTATAGAAAGGTGGCCCATAAAGCATCCACCGAGGTCTACGAGAATAGAGATGACCAGCTGAGAATAAGATTGTGGGAACTAGGGCTCATCCATGACGCCCTGCTAAGAATAGAGAAAGGAGCTCCGCCGAAAAACCTTGGCCAATATCGTGCGAAGAACGGTCGGGATGACATCCTCTCCATGTTTTCACAGCGCCTTGAAGTTGAGGAGCCGGGATCCATATCATTCGCAGGACATTCGTTTGGCGCAGCAACGATGGTCCAGTTTGTGAAATCAGTGTTTTACCGCTTCAACCCACATGGCACGAGCTACAAACCATTATTTACTCCGTTGGACACTTCTGAAATAGTCCGTCAAGTAGTACCGACAACCCCAGTGATACTCTTGGATTTGTGGACGCTCCCTATCCAGAGCCCGGGAACAGCCTGGCTGAAGGAGAAGCCAATGCCTTGCTATGCTTCTCCCGGAGGCGGATCAAATCTTCTAGCCATTCTGAGCGAAGCCTTCTATAAGTGGACCTCAAATTTCAAGGAAACGAAACAGGTCATTGCCAAGCCTTCACCGACCGACAACTCCAAGCAACCAGGACCACACATCTTCTACCCCATCGCTTCAGCTCATCTCTCACAATCAGATTTTGGGATCCTGTTTCCCTGGGTTACGACAAAGATCTTCGGCGCTAAAGAACCTGAAAGGGTGCTTAGGTTGAACGTGCGAGCAATTCTTCAGGTTCTGAGGAACAATAACAAGGAGGTCGCAAGCACGAGCATTAGAGACCTTGAAATAGATGAAGAAAATGATGGATACCTCAAGAAACCGACGTTCAGCCCGTTTGAGGATGAGACAATCCTCAGCACGGAGAAGAATGCAGTTAGGGCATGGATGTCATTGAGCACCGATGCAAAGTCAAATGAAGACTTAGTGGGGACAGATAAAGGACTGGTGGATGCAGTGGTTGAAGGAGAAGTACTGGGTGAGATGAGGAGTGAACCTGAGCGTTCATGATGGTGTAGGCCACTATTTTCTCGTATATCAACCTGTATGTATATATTCATGATCGTTCAGCGTCCATTGCCATGCTTTCTGGGCTCATGCCTCCCCCCGTCGTCACTATAATGTACTTTAACTCAAAACATTGGTTCTCATTCGACAGCAGGCTCGGCTATTCTAGTGAAGTTTGTCTTCCGCTTCTTTCACCCCCCGTTTAGCATCTGTGTCGTTCAACTACACCTGGACTTGAAGCCGGAGTTCGGCTCAACACTGCGGCTACATTCATTCACTCAAACGTGCTCAATCTCTTGCACCGCCCCTCAGCATTTGCTCATTGACTTTGTACCTCATCGTGCTGAAGCTTCGACGTTAGTCAATGATGCGAATCGCCTCTGTCTTGATCCTGACTAGCGGCTTGGCATACTCTGACTGATAACCTTCAACGAGAGACACGCAGCGCTCACGTGTGCGCAAGCAATCTACTAGGGAAGCGGGTCATCCACATCAACAAACAGCAAAAATTCCTCAGCATTGGACACAACCCCGTCCGGTTACTACCCAGTCTTCATATCGAAACTCCACATCTCAGCAGACCATTATCCTCAGGTTCTACAACCCATAACAATCTTTCACTCTCAACACAAGCTAACTTTCCCACAGCCACGTTGCAATCTATTCTGTCTCGTTGATCACTGAAACGGAGCTTTCGTCTGGAAATTGCCACGATGCCCGACCTCAGCTATGAGAATCTCATGAAGCATGGTCTCACCCATGAGCACCTCATGAAAGAGCTCAACGCTTACCGTGACCAAGCTCAGGGAGCAAATGGCAAGTCAGTAGAGAAGGAGCTAGCTCAAGAGACAACTATCCAGCAAAAGCGTGAGAGTCCGTTGGAACCTGACGCTAAATATGACTCCAATCTTCGTTCTGACAACTCTTCCCTTTCCATCCCAGAGCCAGCGGCCCAGACACCGCTGGTCCAAGCCCCACCAGCATGGTATCTTGACCTCAAACCCCAAGGTTTTCAGATGAACATGCTAGGGAAAACAAAGAAAGCCACAGAACGACAAGCTCTCATAGCCCTTGATAGCATGAAAGACTGTATTGCGCGCTGCGAGAAGGAGGAGAGCCCCAACCAACTGGACAAGTTCATCGAGGAACTCCGTGACCATGTTCACAAAGCCGAGTTCCTTGAAGTCAACAAGTACATCGTCCGAAAGAAGAATATGCTCGACAATACAGGCCTCCCTAGAATCTTTGATACTCGGTTCCCTGTCGATCTTCGAGCTGACGCCCTTCAGTTGTACAACCGATGGTATATGCAAATCTTCTCCGTCGACCCCTTGCGGGGCATCATCAAGGACAAGAATAGGGTGGACAAGCGCAATGCTGATAGGATCGATCCCTCATGGCCCGGGAGGTTGTCAGCTAAATACTACGGACAAGGTAACCTCGTCATTGGTCAATGGTGGCCCACCCAACTCTGCACTGTCCGGGACGGCGCGCATGGAGCCCCACAAGCTGGTATCTATGGTGAGAAGGATAAAGGCGCGTACTCTATCGTGCTTTCTGGAAATGCGAACTACAAAGACGAAGACAAGGGCGACGAAATCTACTACAGCGGAACAGACAGCAAGGATTCCACGCCCACCGAGAACACGACTCGCATGATTGAGTCATGTGATACCGTGAAGCAGGCCGTCCGAGTCATTCGGTCATGGAATCTCAACAAGAGCAACCCGTACCGGCCTGTTCGCGGATTCCGCTACGACGGTCTCTATACGGTAGTCGGCTACAGCCTCGTCAATGCCGACAAAGCTATCTACCGATTCCATCTTGTACGCCTCTCAGGACAAGACCCGATCCGTTACGAAGACAATGCGGCTCGTCGTCCCACTCGATTTGAGGTTGCCAAGTATGACGACTTGGGCCTGGATGAGAGAGGCTTCTAGCCAACTACCGAATCTCTCAAAGACGCCGGGCTGTTCTAATGTGTGTGCAGTAAGAGTTTGAGCGCATCTAACGTTATACCGGGAATCCTATCAGATCTGAACGAACACCTGTGTATATCTGTGTTAACTTTTCATGGAACTTTTGTCAGGGCATTCATTCATGGCGGTCGTGGTGGGCGTTCATGGGGGTCGTCATGTTGTATGTCGGCCCTGGCTTGGATAATGGGTGGCAGGTACGCTGGCGTGTTAGTTGCCAGCCACAACTCGGTGGGTAGTATGTGTTAGATGCATACTTTGGGTGAATATGTTGGCCTCTCACTGTTAAGGCTGAGGTTCCTAGGTACAGCATGAGTTGGTCTACGGCTCCAGCTAGAGACTGTGGTTAAGACTATCGCTACCTCTGGTTAGTTACAGAAGAGTTTGAAGACACTTCGAGATTGATATGTGACTAGCATCACGCTGGTCGGTTGCTAGTTGGCCAATTAAAGTATTAATTTAAATTTGGATATGGAGGCAAGTCCCAAGATCAAGAGTGTCGGAATGCAGGAGAAAGTGAAATTCTGCTACCCTGACGGTAGCTTCGGAGTTAGGCCTTTGCTCCTGCCATACAGTACATGATCTTCATACAGCCTGAAAAGTAACAAAACTCCCATCTGCAGACCCTTAGATGACATCCATCACATCGCCCTGCCCAGCATGAAACTCCCCCTCTACCTCGACATCCCCAGCAAAATCGTTTGAAGGAAACTCTCCACTACACCAATCTTCAATGAACTCATCTTCATCCTCCCAACCCCTCTCACAGAACCGTACACACGGGCCTCGATGCACTCGATGCACAACCTTCCTCCGTCGCCCGAAAGTACACCCTTCCATGGCACTCCTGTCATAACTCAGAGGTAATCTCCCATGATGCCCCCGACACTCCAAATCCCCCCAGCCCAGTCCATCCCGTCCCTTCTTTCTCAGCCCCTCCTGCCTCTCCCACACGCCCCCCCACCCACTCGTTGCCATTCCATGATTACACCCCCAATTTACCGTGCGTCCGCACAGAGAATACCAGTGCTCCACGCGCCAGCGAAAAGGATCGAGGGTCTCAATCTCGGCTTCCCGCTTCCATTTGATATACGCATTAAGGAAGCTATGCATACCCGTACGATCTCCCATACCCGTAGATAGTTCGGTGATGTATTTAGAAGGGAAGCGGTGTGGGTGGTACCAGAGCTCTTTCATGAGTAGGCGGAGGAGATAAGATTCGAATTTCACGGCCTTGAGATGGGAGGATAGAAGGCTGGCTTCTACGATTGAGGACGTCGTCCAGGTGGGGTGGCGGGTCGGCGTAAAGTCGGGAAGGGGGATTTTGTCGAGGGTGTACAGCCAGGATGTGAAGATTTGCCAGGCGGGGAGGGAGGCTGCGGAGGGTGGGGTCGTGATGTGGAGGTGGGTAGAGGACTGGGAGGACGATATTAGGCCTGCGAGGGTGGAGGTGAAGCTTTGGAGGAGGATTTTGTGGAGGGACCAGGTGTGGGTGTTGTTTACGGTGATGAAGATGCGGGTGGGATGTTCGAGGGCGCTGGATGGGGTGGCTGTTAGCGAGGGCTAACTGGCTGGGATTGGGACGGAAAGTGAGCTGAGATTGTGTGTGAGAGGGATGTACCGGGGATATTTTGAGCGCTTGAGCGTGTAATGAGCTTTTGATGCGAGTACAGCTTCAAGTTCCCGTGCGTCCCAGTCTGGAACATAAATCTGTGGGTAGTAAGGCTTGTCGATTTGGCGCCCGGGTTTCAGAGGAGCTGGAGAGTAAAAGACTTTGTGTTGTTGTTGTAATGGAACCTTTGACACGAGTCCTGCATCGCGGTCATCTTCTCCCGGGCTCTGTACCTGCGATTTTGGGTAGAAAAAAGGCCGTTGGACTTGAAGGCCAGGTCTATTCCCACCCAGATAAAGAGAAGATTCCCGTAGTCGTGGTAGGGCAGTGTTCGACGCGAGCATGACGGTAAACTCATCTTCGAGCCAATCCGGCCTTCTAACGGTCCGATCGATACCCTGAGGCCATTGAAACTGCTGTCCAGCTTTCGTCATGCTTTTAGAGTGAGATTCCAGATACATGGTTGGGAGCTCTCAGTAGAATACAGATAAGAGAAGTGGGAGCAGTGGGTTAAGAATAGGACCTCGCCGCAGGTGTCAGTGTCTTCCACGTGGAAGCTGAAATATGGAGTCGATGCGCGAGTCTTGGGAAGAAGGATGGAGAGGAAGGTGGCTGGCGTAGCAATTTCTGCTTGCTCAGTTGTAATTGAATCACACAGGGTCGCGCATGACCACCTACACATGAACGGAGGAATGACATGGAAGTCGAAACTGCGGTTAGGGGTGGGAAGCGATGCAGAAGAAATAATGCGCTACCTTAGAGCTCTGAAGCTCGAGGATGAAATGGTGGCGTAGTAAAAGGACACGAAAACGGCTCGCCTAACATGTGCGGCGTAAGTCCGTATTCATGGATAAGGAGTAACGTGGTTGACATGAAACAGGGAGGTATCATTTACACAACCATACGTGTACATACAATAGGAGGAATCGCGCAGGATCAAGAAGAGACGTTTTTACTGTACCGACCCCTCCCCCCTTTTCCATTTCATTCATCCTTCATTCACCGTCATCCGCTAAAGGCCCTTCCTCCATATTATCATAAACGCCACCCAATGCATGTGTAATTCCAAGAGGCTTCAAGAACGGGGAATAAGACATCAATGACCTACAGCACCGGCCGCCCAGTTCAAGAACTCAGGATCGCCCGGGTGTGGAAACATTCCTCGGTCTTCCTGCTGGGGTGGGGGCTGGGGCTGACCTTGATCTTGGCCTTGTTGTTGTTGTTGTTGTTGTTGTTGTTGTTGCTGTTGCTGCCTTCTCCTCTCTTCTTCTGCCCTCCGTTGCCTTTGCGTTCTGTAATATAGCAAAAAAGCTAGAGCACCAGCGAGAGCAAGGATAACTAGTGTTTCGAGTATGTCCGAATCAATATCGTCAAGGGCCCCTCCGTAATCGTCACGCCCGGGCATGTGACTGTCATCGTAATCGTCTGGCTCGGGGTCATCCCAGCCAGCAATTTCGGCTTCTAAAAATGCAGCCAGCCATTCGGATAGAGACCAGTCTTTCTTTTCGACTGCAAAAGACTCGTTAGTGCGCACGCTAATTGTGAGGTGAATGGTGGTGATTTACCTGGTTCATCCTGAATGGATTTGATCTTCCCATTGGTAAACGTGTTCCACCAACTACGGAACCTCAGTTTATAGAGAGCTAGAACAACCGGCAGGTATGCTTCACGAGGGTTTGTCTCAAGCGCTTGGTCGTACAGCCTCTTTGCGAGGTGGAAGTCTTGGTCTATACCAATACCGTTCTCGTGCATCCAGCCTAGGTTCCACAAAGCTTGCCCACTTTGCAGAGTCTCCGCTGCGGCTTGATAACAAGCGGCAGCTTTTTCTTGGTCAGGAGAGGTACCCAGACCCTCGAGATAGTAGTCCCCAAGTTTCACCATTGAGTCTACATTCTTCTGTTCGGCAGAACGCGTCCAGTAGATCAGAGCCAGGGCGGCGTCCCCGACTAGTGACGCCCTTTTCTTCATGAACGGAACAAGAGAGCGTAGAGTGAAGCGTGGTTTAACTTGGTCGAGAAGATACGCTACATTGGCTTGGCCGACCTCGAAACCTTGTTCAGCGGCCATCATGTAGCCGACAAGGGCTGTTTCAAGATCGCCGGCCGTGTATGCTTCATTTGCTTCTTGGAAAGAAGTTGAGATGATCTCAGCCTTCTCTGCCACTATCTTATAGTAGGTTGATGCGATGGCACATGATTTATCGCGACCGACCCCGTGATGGCTGAGTTCGGCGAGGTAATAGTACGCTTCTAGGTGACCGTGACGCGCTGCGAGCTCGAAATAACGAACGGCTGTGGTAATGTCTCCTTGATCGAGGAATAGAGCGCCCATTCTGACCTGCGCAACAGAGAGGTCTTGATCAGCGGCTGCGCCAAAGTAATCCGCAGCCCTGACAGGGTCTTTGTGTACCCCGAGTCCATGGAGATAGATAAGTCCCATTGAATACTGGGACAGAGCATCGCCGTGCTCCACTCCACGCTTGAGCCAGGTCTGGGCAAGACTGTAACTCTGCAATACTCCCTCCCCGCGAAGAAACATGCGCCCAAGATAGCCTGCAGCCTTCGAAGCAAGCTTCTCTGTGAGGCCTGAGACATTCTTGTTCGTCTTCCCGTCTTTGCCCCAGTACATACGTGCGAGTTCTAGAAAGCGCTTCTTTGCGGCTGGGAGGTCTCGTTTGGATGCTCTCGCTCCGTCGTAATTCAGCTTGGCGAGATTGAAGCTAGCCCTGGGGTCGCCTTTCCTTGCTTGTAGATCCATGTATTCGACCACATCGTCCAGGGAGGAATATACGTCTGAGTTGGGACTGCCGTGTTTGGCGTTAGGCCCCGAGCTGGACGCACTCGCGCCGTCGCCATAGACGCCGCCTTCTTCATCGGCAATCCTGTACGACTCCTTGATGATGTTATGACCTCCGGGCGGGCCGGACCTCATGTATGCGATGGCCTTGTCCGCCGCGTTCTTGTAGTCGTACACAGCTTCATCGCAGTTCCGCGGCGTGGCTATCCCGGACGAGTGTCGGTACGCAATCGTCATTTCCGAACGGACATCTCCTCCTTCCGCCGCTAGGGTGTGGTATATCATAGCCCTCGCTTGATCCTGTTTCACAGCGCCGCCAATTCCCGTCGCGTACATGAATCCAACCATATGTTGGGCCGAGGCATTCCCGTTCAGCAAAGCGAGATCGTGGTATCGTCGGAAGGCCTCGGAGTAATTCCTGGGGTGTGAGAAGTTGCCGTAGAAGTTCATCTCCGCAAGCATGAACATGGCATCGGGGTTGTTCTCCGCTGCTGCACCCTCCAGCAGCTTGACGGCTTGTGAGAGGGGCTGGCTGAGCTTCTTGGGCTGCGGGTTGGTGGTGAGGAGCTCCTGCTGGGGAGGGCCATTCATGAACAGAATGAAGAAGAGCTCCTTAGCGTAGTATGCACTTGATCCGAGGACTCCAGTCTTCTTGCTGAAATTCCACCATGGCGTCGACGCGGGCCGGATTTTGTGAAGGAGCGTCGTGGCTTCTTCAACCGCCAATGTCCCTATCGGAAGATTAGCACCCCCAACAGATCTCTCCAGGCAGTTCATTCATACATCGGTCGCCATCATTGCGCGGAGAAACCCCCCAGGTGTTCGGGAGCACCCGGCCGCGCTGCTTCAATGGTTCCTGCTGTCCGAGCGGTTTCTGCTTTGTATGCGTTCGGTCGTTTGCGCGAATCTGGGCTGAAGATAAGGCAAATAATAAAGAGAGAATGACTGTCCATCTACTAGTTAGAAAGCCCACTTTACGTCCTGCGGCATATACACACCAAAGAGAAGCGGCACGAGCCGCTGTAATCTGGGCTTCATCGTGGGTTGACAGATGTTTTGAAGGAAGTTGAAGCTGAGACGGTCATGTCGACATTTCAAAGGCGAAGGAACATGGGTGCGACTGCGCTGGCAAGAGCAGCTCGACTGAGATTGTTTGCCGGCGAAGATGCCACTTTGTTAACATTCATAACAAGCTCCGGCCGCAGCAGGTGCCAAGCCCCTATCGCAGCTCGTCCAATCACATCTTTCTCCACCTGTCTACTATCATTGATGTCACTTGCAACTTGCAACTCGCTCGAAATATTACAGATACAGGTAGGCACTCGATATATTTCCTCAGGCCATGGTACCTACGCCCTCTATTCTCGAAAGGAGGCCCCTCTCACACGAGCGGACTAAACTTATCGGACAAGGGCGCTCCAATATCTGGCATTTGTAATCACAACCACTAGCAGATCGTGTCCAGCATCATCACTATGCCTTTCATCCATCGTCACGATGCTTTATAGGCAGCGACTCTTTCCCAATTGAATCTGTTAGACGTCTTTTATTACTTCTCTCCAAGATGGTGGATGTCAGTAACTCAACAGAACGGGATCCACTCCTTCAGCGGCCGGGGTCTTCCTCAAGTCATTCGTCAGCATCAAAGTCCTTGGCTTCTGTGCCAGATGCGGAGCGGAATGGAAAGGATGGAGCAGTTGACAAGATTTCAGCGTCTAGAGGAGCATTGATTTGTTGCTCAATTGGTCTGCTCATCTTTCTCCAAGGTATTTGTCCCCTGATCTTCAATTGGCGATAGCGAGCTGTAGTTTATACAATCTGCGTTACATGTCTAGAAGAGTTGGCAGATATGCTAACTCGCTCCAGCGACCAATATCTCCATCTTGACAACAACCCAGTCCTCAATTGCGGCAGATCTAGACGCATTCGAGAAGGCAAGCTGGCTGACGTCTTCGTATCTAATAGCCATGTCTTCCCTGGCCCCATTGATGGGACGACTATCCCAGCTTTTCAGTCCTCGTCTTTGCATGTTCTTTTCCACCCTTGTCATCTGCTTGGGTACAATCATTACCTCCACTTCCATATCATTTGAAATGTTCATGGTTGGCCGTGCATTTACTGGTGCTGGCGCCGCCGGTGTGCTCATCGTAGCGACCATTATCGTCATTCAAATGGCTAGCCCGAAAAATCGGGGGATCTATATTGGGCTAGTGAACTCTGGAATGACTGTGGGAGTGTCTCTTGGGGCAATCATTGCAGGCGCATTAGTCCCTAAAATTGGATGGGTAAGGAAGAAGATGGAGTACCGTACATGGATAATCGCTGATTTTGAGAATAGAAACCTCTCTTTGGTATCCAGGCTCCATTAAGCCTGGTGGCTGGCTTTGGTCTTCTCGTCGGAATCCCCCCAAACTACATTGCCACACGAGGCGAGTATGCTAATCTATCCCTACGAGGAAAGTTAGCGCGGCTCGACTACAGCGGGGCCTTACTTCTAGTTTTCACAATCATCCTCTTCCTCCTTGGTCTATCTGGTCCTCGCATCCTACTAATACCACTCGTCCTCTCTGCTGTTCTTCTACCAATCTTCATCTTAAATGAGATCTACATCGCCAAAGATCCCATCATTCCCATCATGGTTCTCAAATCTCGCGGTACACTCCTCACCTGCCTTGCCACGGTTGGTTTCATGATGGCGCGCTGGACAGTCTTATTCTACACACCTGTGTATGCCCTTGCTGTTCGAGGTTGGTCGCCGGCTGCTGCGGGCTCCATCCTCATCCCAACGAATGCGGGATTTGCGAGCGGAGGCCTCCTCGTAGGTCTCTTCCACATCCGTCGAAATGGGAGCTTCTACCTTCCAAGCCTGATATCAATGACCCTGTTCCCTGCTACGCTTCTTGTGTTAGCGTTCATGTCGACTGCCGAGAGTGCTTGGGGAGGATACGTGGCTGTCGTGTTCTGTAACGGCCTTCTTACTGGGGCGGCTTTGAACTATACACTAGTTCACTTGTTGCATTTGACGCTATCAGAAGTCCATCCTATTGTGCTCTCCCTCCTCGCCACTTTCCGGGGGTTTGCAGGTAGCTTCGGCTCTGCGATTGGCGGCGGCCTCTTTGCACGCATCCTGAATCGATCGCTAGTTGATGGATTTGCTGATGCTGGACTCAAGCATCGAAAGGATTTGATCAGGAGGCTCGTAGGCAGTCCAGCACTTGTGAGCAATTTGGAGGGAAAGGAGAAAGAGATTGCCGTGAAGGCGTATGAGTCGGGGCTGAAAGGCCTTTTCTTAGCCGGCCTAGGATTAGCGATCATCGTCGCTGTTGTTCAAGCTGGAACGGGATGGAAAGATCCTGCGAAGACAGAGGCTGAAGTGAGGATTGAAGAGGATGAGGTCGAGGAGGAGGAGGGCTTGATTGGTGGGTCTTGATGAAAAGTCGGGTACAAATACGGGACCATTGAACACATATATCAATGCATTAGCTGATAATAGAATAGAAATTTAGGAGCTAATGATGAAGATACGGAACTCGAGATGTCCACGGGTGTGATTGGTCCAAACGCCAAGCGACGCTTGACAGATGTGTCAACCTCAGACCTCTTCAAATTCAAGCATGACCGTTCTCGACCCTTCTTTCGAAGCGATAGCAACACTGGTGAGTGCACAACTTAGTTGAATGTTCTGCGATACTGCCACACTCTTATCCACGCTATGGCCTACCTCTCGCAAGAAGCCAGCAGGGGACGAGACCGAAATGGTTCACAATTTGGAACCTGCTGGACCGCCAGCACATCCCGAGTAAAGGTAGTTTCCTTCAGGTCAGCAATGGGAACATCCCCAAATCTCTAGGGAAGACTATTCTGCGGAATTAATCCTTTATTATGTCTGGGAATGCCCGAGGAGGGAAAGGAGCCTTACCTTGAATCTTCAACACCCTACAAAGCCATACCCTCCAGTTCCAGGTATCTCTGCGTCTACCTTGAGGTTTCTCCTACGAAGGTCCCCGTTACCCTGTTCTCACTCTACGGGATCTAGAGTATGATCAGAGTCTGATTCAAGACATATCTCTATCCCTAAGAAGCTATCCCAAATCCTTGCAACAGGTTCAGCGGCTCTAATTCTTCATTTTGCTGTTCTGCCACAACAAGGATAGTGGGTTGTCCAATGTAGAAGTCTAGTTTCCTAGGGACTCTTGATAAAATTGCTAACGCAGGTGAATATAAGGACCAAAGAGAGTCAATCCCTTTGCTGGGATCTGGATGATTCAATGATCATTTTATTCGTGGATTGTGACACTAGGGAGACTACGAAGGGCGTTCGCTCCCAAATTCTGCGTCTTCTATCACCGGCTTCCAACGCAACCTCTCGGCCTGAACCAATCACTGTTGGAGAGTGCATGACTGTGATGGGTCATTTCCCAGTTGGCGGTGGTGAGAGCAGCTGTGCGAGCCGTCTATAGCGCAAGTTTCCAGAAGATTCCGTTTGATTCCTTCCGTTTACCGTATTCTACTTGAGATACTTTCCATGGGGAGAGCTGTTTCCATGACGGCCAAGTGACGTGACTAGAGCAACGCGCCTTCCTGTGAGTCTTCTTAAACACCCGCCACCGCCTACCTCCTCTCCCCTCACCTGCACCTCGCGACGAAAGCAGCACGTGGAGATCATCTTTTCTTTCTTTTTCCGCATCCCATCCGGTCCTGCTCCGTGTACTGAACGGTCTATAAAGTCCTATACTCAAACTGGTAAGTGGTCCTTCTGCCATCTCCATCTGCGTGTTTTCTCCAACAGCGTCCTCATTGTTGCTAAGAATAGTTACGCTATTGGCACTCGCCCATGCTCTACTGTTGGTCCCTTTCAATATCTCTGTGTGACTGTTTCACCGCATAGGTCACTGGTGTTTCACTTCCCCGCGCCTTCACCTCCCCACGCCCCAATTTGCACCACCTTCCATAAAACTCTGAACTAACACTACCAATAGCCTATCGTCTCTTCATGAGCCAATAGCAGTCGCTGTCCGACATCACCGTGCATCTTATTTCCGTACCATTGCAGTACCAACATCATGGCTAGGGGAATTCCGCCTGTGGGTTCGGCCATTCCGGCCAACCCCTACCCCAAGCCACGAGATATTCAAGCCACGCACACTGAATGCGAGTTGTGCCAGCGTTCCATCATGACCAAAGACTGGGCCGCTCATCGCGTCTCCAAGAAGCACCGCGCTCTTGATGACGCCTCACGCGACAAGGAGAACCAGAAGGGGAACGCCACTGGTCTAACCCAGTTCACAGACGACCCGATCAATAGTGACTCCAATGAATTCGGCGGCAACTGGGGAGACACTTCATTCGATACCAGTGCCTCCAACACTGGGCTTGATAGTGGCTCTGGAAACGATGGTTTCGATTCTGGCAACGGCGGCTTAACTGGTGATGGTTTCGCGAACGTCACCTCCGGAACCAAACAATCTGGTGGACGTCGTGGAGCCTGTTATGGCTGTGGTGAGATGGGCCACAGCAAACGCGACTGCCCCAAGGGTGGAGGCGGCCAGCGTGGATGCTTCAACTGTGGTGACGTTGGGCAAGTCACAAGAAATCCAATAATGTTGACGTTATGCTCACGATTCTTGTAGTCACAACAAAGTCGACTGCCACAACCCACGTCAGGGTGGGGGGGCTGGAGATCGTGCCTGTTATGGTTGTGGCGAAGTTGGGTGAGTCGAAGAAATACCCTTCTACGTCTTGCAAGCCATCCTCTGACTGCCTTATAGACACAGCAAGCGTGACTGCCCTAATGGAGGTGGTGGCGGAGGCGGTGGCAGAGGCGGTGGTGCTTGTTATAATTGCGGTGAGGCCGGGTAAGTCTTGTTTCTCGTGTATGCCCTAATATCAAAGCTGATATCTCCAAAGCCATAGCAAGCGTGACTGCCCTCAGGGTGGTGGAGGAGGAGCAGGCGGCGGCGGTGGCAACGGCCAGTGCTTCAACTGCTACGAGTATGGCCACCGGAAGATTGAGTGCCCCAATGAACGTGTGTTGAAGTGTAGGAACTGCGATACGGGTAAGGGCACTCCAACGGAAAGCTGGGGTTTTAACTAACGTGAAACAGTTGGTCATATTAGCAGAGATTGTCCTGAACCCAAAGACTGGTCCAAAGTTCAATGCAACAACTGCAAGAATAGTAAGGACTTAGGTTTTTAAGGCGTAAGAGAACTTACTAATATGGTGATAGTGGGACACACTTCCAAGCGCTGCACTGAACCCTCAGCTGAAGAGACAGGCTGCGGTGAGGGTGGTGGACATAGCGGCGGAGTCTCTGCTACTGGCGGATGGGAAAATGGGGGAGGTAATGCAAGCATTGAGCCCACAAGCATCGAAGCAGCTGGCGATTGGGCCGACGATGGTGCGGGAGGCGCTGACACCTGGGGTGGTGCGCAGATTTCTACCTGGTAAACTCACTATTTTACCGGGTGGACTTCTCCCGTCCACAATACTTCAATTTCGAAGATGCGGAGTTCTTCACGGATCATAGCTCTTCGCCAATCATGGGGTTGATAGTTTTGGTTGCACATATCCTTCTACGATGGCTATGGTGTAATCGGATTTCAAAGTTGGGAACATACTGAGGTGTCGAGTCTGCGTTGTTATACGTAGCTACATAACCCTTCCAAAAATGCAATATTGACCCTCGCTGACTTATACTGCCACGTGATGTTGTCTTTTCACTCAAGATTTTGCCTGCCTCTTATTGGATGTGAGAAATTAGAGTGAAATTAAACAACACAGATATTAAGAACGAAAAATCTACTTGCCATTCAATTGCTTCCACCGCATATCCACCAAACCCTTTCCCTTAGCACCCTCATCTTCTCCTAAAGGTCCAGTAAGACAGTGTTTACCCTCCGGCGACGTCATAGACGGAACACCAAGTTCCGAGGGACGGAGGTGCGCGCGCTCGATTTTGCTACTTCCGAAGAGGCTAGAGGGCTAGCGCAAGCGCAAGCGTTAGCGTGTCTCATCGAACAAATCCGCGTGGCGGACTCGGCGCCTTGGGTATTGTAACTAATACTAATATCAATTGTATTCTCCAGTCCCGATCTCAGACACCCGAACTCGAACTAGACGATAGGGGGAAGGATGGTCCTAAGGGTAAGGTGGAGCGAAGGGATGAGAATGGAGATCGACAGAGTTACTGTAGGTGGCTATAAGATTGTGGAGAGGATATTGGTCACGGTGTTGAGAATGGGGGTTGGGGGGAAGTAGAGGGTGCGTGAGGAGGAATCGCTTGGTTCTTATATCTGTGCCGATTACAATGCTTACTGTGGCGTTCTTGTTGCTTTTAGATATCGCGGCAATATTGTCTGTGCAGGCGGTGTATTCTGGAACTGGACTTCTTATTACTGTTAGGGTTGAAGCATGCGAGAACGAATAGTATACGGATTCCAGAAGTTCCGCCATTGTGGACGCCACCACCGCTGTCATGTGTTCCGAGAGCGTTTCCACCTCCACCATCGGTGACGGAGCACTTGAGGGTTTCACATAATCGTCGTGGTCCCTTGAGCCGTCGACGAAGCTTTAATCGACGCTATCTGCAGCATTACAGTCGGAGTAACACTCTCGCCCTCCCTGTTCAAAATTCTACCGAGAAGATGCTGCAGCATATTTTTTAAGTTATTCTGGTTTTAAATCCTGCAAATCGTTTCGAACTTTCTCCAGATCTTGGCCGGTTACTAGAACTACTTGAGCTTGTTTTGCGCTATGCTTTTTAGCTTGTTCTGGGAGTTGGAATAGTTCTGGGTAAGATAGAAGTTTGCGGGGGAGAACGGGAGCGTGAATATGTGGGTGGGGTTGAGGTAGTGCGGCGGCAAGAATTGGGGTAGTTGTGGTGAGGAGGAGAACGGATATTTAAAACGGGTCTGCGGGTTGGGGATATGATGTTGCTGTGGCGGGCACAGAACAATGGATGGTTGGTAAGGTGTGGTGGCGCGAACAATACTGCGGATGCTCTGGGGTTTTATTGATCGGAGTAAGGGATAGGGAGTAGGTGTATAGCAAGGGAGAGAATGGATAGCAAAAGGATATGGAGACCATGGGATTCTTGTAGCAGAGGCGATTGCAAATATTCGAGGGAATTGAAGAATTGGAAGAAATTCGTTGGGCGTCCATTTATATCCCTGTATCTGGTTTTAGCTACATTCTATTGTGCGTCGTACCGATTTAGCACCTGCTTTTCGCCTTTCCTTATTTGATTAGAATTCATTCCTATCTCTTTAATGGGCCATCAGCTTTTGTACTTAACTATATATCTTTATCGAAAATAACGGCGTAGACGTCTGCTGCTCACCAAACACTTTGATACTAATACATCTGCACCTCTACTAAACATCTTCTCACCCCCTCTTCCAACCCTTCAAACTCCATCTCATAAGCTACAAGGCCCCTATTCGCACACTCTTGCCTGAACCCATCAACACTTCCCCCAACCCCAAAATACACCCTCTTAGCCGCAACTATCGCCTTCCCACTCTTGACCCTTTTCAATAACGCAGCCATTGCTTCGGTAAATGCAAGTAATGATGTGGGGCTGTATATCGTTTCGGAAGCGAGGACAAATGTGTTGAGCTCCGGTGCACTTGGAATAAGCGGAAGGAGGGAAGAGACAGGGCGCCAAGAGCCAGAGAGAAGGGTGAGGGTTAAGCCGAGGGAGGAAAGAGTTGAGCGAAAAGCTTGAAGGAATGTCGGTGTAATGTAGAGATCTCCAGAGTCAGCATTTTCATCAGCGAGTGGGTTCGGAGAGTCGTTCGAAAATGGAGCTTCCCTTGCCGCAATCGTGGACGCATAAGCTAAGAGAAGATTCGGCACGGTAACTAGTCTCAAAACATCGGCATTATAATCTGTGAGCGTAACGTACAACCCTACTAATCCATTCTTCAGCGCGTATTGGAAGAGTAGTAAGGTTGGAAGTGCAGTCCCACATCCCATTTCAATCACATGGTTGACGCGCACAAGGTCGTCGAGATCTTTGCGGGGGCCGCGATCGAGAAGGAATTTTACGAGATCGATGCTGCATTCCCAGGTCTTGTAGCCGCCCTCGTAAACATTGGTTTTGACATCGGAAGCGTCTAGGCCGGATAGTGGGTTGGAAGTAGAATTGCCGTCCTCGGCCATGAGTTGGAGTCGGACGTCAAAGAGTTCGCGGCGGGGGAGACGGGTAGTAAATCCTTTGGGGGAAGTAATGCTAAGGGTCGAGTAGGATATTTTGTCTGGGATGGAGGAGAGCTGGGGAATTGTTAGATGACTCAGTGGATGAGAGGAGAAATGTAAGTTGTGTGGAAAGAGGTTCGTTTCGAGGAAGAGAAAGATATATAATGATGTAGCCAACAAACGCCAAGATGTGTGAGTAGTTACAGAGTCGGGGACAAATAGAGTTGAACGCAGAAATGCCTTACCTACCAGCTCATCTAGATCATGTGTCTGGGCTATGAGTGGCGGAGGTCCCCCTTCTTCTGCTTTTTGATTCTCAGAATTCCCTCCTGGAGCTGATATATCATTTGGGTCTTCCTCTATATCGTCGCCTGAGAAACCGAAGCTGAAGGACGCTGCCATGTTGCCCTACTTCTATTATCGAAGTGAAGTGTTGGGATGGAATTGATAGGTGTGCACGTCAGTTAGAATTCGAAGGTCTTATCGATAAGGGACGTGGCATTGGACGCAATACGGGGACAACTCAAGCAGCGGATGAATAAATCTCTGAACTCTAGATTCTAACAGAATATGGGATCGTTAGATGGGCATATTTAGTCCTGGAAAGGCGCTTTGCGATCATCCAACCCGCCAGGATCCTAGCACAGCAAGAAAATGCTTAGACATTCTACTGTACCATCCCACATGTGATAGGGCACTCGGGTCTAAATTGCGGAAGAAATTGACATTCTACGAATACTCTCCCTAAAACTAGTAGGAGAGTAGATAAATCAAATCCTCCTGGGTTAAGTTTTGTGGTATTTGATAATATGCTGCGTAAGAATATATACAGGCTAAGGGTATGAACTGGGAGTGATTTTGCGCTATATTTAGTGTTTTCTGAGCATTGTATCAGTGCCCATACTCTGATATCCTTCTATCTGCTAAATTTGAACCCGACCCGTCGGACCTTCCAGTACCCAAAAGCAAGTTGCAGAAGCGCGATTGCCTCCAGGCCACAATTACAGGCCTTCCTGGTTCCTCTTTAGCTGTGCCTCGCAGGCTTCAACTGTCTCCGTGGGAAGCTCCCACCCAGTGGTATTTATTCCGTTGGCTTTAGCTTCCCTAATAAGCCGTTGTCTCTCCGTGATCTGCTCCCTCATGTACTTGATAGTAGCTTCTAGCACAACAGCCTCACTCCGTCCCTGTCCCTCCATGCCTGGCACAATTGAAGCAAGCCTGTCAAAGCCCTCGCGGATTGCTTCGCGACGCTTCTGCTCGGAGCGGATGTGGTTCTCCTTCTTCTGGGCCTCTGTTAGACGCGGACGGTCTGCAGCGTTTGTTGGTGGGCTTGGAGAAGCCATTTTGGTGGGTTCCCTTCGCGGTAGATAGGAATGGCGCGAAGGGGAAGGAGGGTTGCCGAGAGTAGGACGGGGAGGGCAGGAAGGGAGGGGGGATCTTTAAAGGGATCGTCGGCCCAAGCGAAGGAAGGTGGGGGTTGGAGAGGGCAGAGGAATGTATTGGAGGGTTGAAGGTCGGGGCTGGCCAGGAATGTGACGGCGCCTGTCAGGAAGGAGCTTCGTTAAATCCAAATGAAATGCGCGCAGAGGGTTCGTTAGCTGAGGTTGAGTTGAAGGCGCCGGACTGCTAGGGGCGAGAAGGGGCAGGAGCTTGTCCAGGAGCTATGGAAGGAGGCGGGAATGGGGTTGAAATAGTGGATGGACCGGACGGTAACAAGTTAGGTTGCTACAGTCCCTGGGTCGGGAAGTCATTTGAATATTCCACGTGTTTGTTGAACTGTTGGTTGCTTCATGTGAATGTTAGCGGAGGCGTACCGAACAAGAGAATCACCGAGGGCGCTTCTCATTACTTGTCTTGTTGAGCCATGATCTTGCTTGGCTAGCTTCGACTGGTACGAGACGAGCAATGAGAAGTCGATAGTTGGTGCCGATACTGCTGCTGGAGCGATGTTGTATGGGCGCGACGAATATACAGAGTCGCGCTGGGCAATGTCAAGAGCACGTGGTGAAGTGACGGTGACGGTGACGGTGAAGCCTGAGGAGGAGTCGGGCGCCAAAACACGGGCAACCCAGGCGACGCTCACAATCTCGCATTTCTGAAGAAGCTAGGAAAATTAGACGCCGCGCAGCAATCGCTCGTGCAGCAAACGGCGGCCGAAGACGCGCTGCAGATAGCCTGCTGGGAGCTAATAAAAGGATCGTTTCAAGTGCCTCCCTGGCGGCGGGGACACAACCAAGTGACGCACTTCCGAGCTGGCACCTGGGCTGAAGCTTCCGCCACCAAACGAGCGCCATCTGCCACCGCCGCGCCGCCTGACCGCCCTCACCCTCTCTTGTGCTTAGACAACTGTGACAGGAGCATCCACGGCAGCGTAGAGAAGAAAGCCAGAGCCCGCCGCGGGGGTACGAAATTCTGAAAGGGCAAGGAGCACCCCGCCATCCTCTCGCTGGGCAGGTCCGGTCTTGTTCCACACCACCGCCCTTCTGATATGCACCCGACCTGAACTGCCCCCCCCCCTCCCCCACCCCCAGCACTCTACGTCAGCCATATCCTAACGAGTCTGCTGCGATGTCGACTGCCTCGAGGCGCTCTCAGGGCACCGGCCGGAGATTTAATAGCATCCAGCAGCAGGAACGTCTGCAGCGTCAGGGCTCTGCCTCCTCCCGTAAACGCCCCGTGTCCGCCCAAGATGCATATCTCTATGCCCTCCGTGTCGCCTACCTCTCCTATCTCCTCCAACCTCGCCAGAAACGGGTCCAGCATGTCCCCGCCCCACCTCGTCCGGTGCAGCGAGCGTCGACTTCTGTGGCCGACCTCGTCAAGGACATCTCCCTCATAAGAGATTCGAAGAGCACACGCTTCCCGCATGGCTTCATGAACGAGCTGGATAAGCGGATGACCGGTGTGTTGATGGGAAAGGAAAGGATGCCCGAATACAAAGACCCCGTCGTGAAACGGACATTCGCTGTCTTTTTGAACGAGTTCAAAGCACCACAGTTTCGAAAGTCAATGGAGAAAGACAGGAGAGTGGAGGATCTGCTTTTGATCTTCTTCTCAAATGCAACCAAAGAGCTGCAGAAAGGAAAGCCAGCGGGAGACGATAGCTGGAAGCTCATGGTGGATCGCCACGTCGCCCTCTTCATTCGACTAGTCAGCTCTACCCTGAAGGATCACGATTGGGTACGGGACAGGCCAGAATTGAGCGCACGGCTGCAGACTATGGAGAAGAAGCTCCTAGTACATGACCAAGATTTGGCCGCGGAGGGCCAGCGCAACGGGGGCGCAGGCGGTACCACTATTGAAGTCGAGGTGCCCCGTAGCTACGAGGTCAAGGACATGCCGCTGGTTCTGGCTGTCCAACACATATTCGGAATTTCGTATGGAGACGTGCAAGCAGACATCAATAGATACAAATCTGTATGGACGGAGAAGGCCGCACTGCAAGACCTCAAGACTTACCAAGCCCACCTCAGTCTGATGAGCAAGAAGACCTTAAACAGCGACGACTTCGACCTCGAGGATGCTTACGAAGCGTGGAAGAAGTCGGAAGTCCCAGACCTGTCACAGATGATGTTGGCTATTGTGCAGTCGAACCCAGAGCTCGCGAAGAGCACACCCGGCGGAAGTCTGCCTCAGTTTAAGCCAAGCGCCCCCTTGGAGTCTGGATATCATGACCCATCGAGGAGAGCGTCAGAGCCGAACGAGAATAGTTCATCATACGTAATCGACCAACCCGTTGATATGAGTGGCCTGAACATCCGCGATGAGACATCAAGCGACGACTCTTCATACACCTTCATCCCACCTGATCCCCGATCATTTTACCGCGCCATTGTCAAAGAAGCGCTGACGTACGATCTCGCTGACGCAGAACTCCAACCTACTGAGGCAACTAGCGATGCACCTTCTATTAAACTGCTGTCGAAACAGTCTGCTGAGCTACTTAATGAGATTGCACTTCGATGGCGGTTACCCCAGCCTTCAAGATTGGTGCTGTTTCTGGATGTCATCAAGGAGAAGTATCAAAACCAAGAAATCTCCCTTGATACGCTGGATGCTGCCTTCAATTACGTGAAGGAACCTCCAGCAGACAAAAAATCCAACAGACTTAGCCAGGTGCTTGTTTCGGACTCTCTGTTCGACCGATCGAAATGGACAGTCGCTGATTATGCTCTTAATCAGCAAATTCTCTCTTCTCTCCATGATGCTTTACTTAGAGAGCTGTTTCAATTGATGCTTCTCGTTTACGACAGTAAAGCACCTCCTCTCGGACCAATCATGTATGTTTTAAACAACCACATCTACGACGATGGACTATTTGCTGCAAACCCCGAGGATCTGGATGCCTACTCGGTAGAGCTGCGCCAGGGTCTTCAAGCGCGAGCAGCTGAAGTGTACCGTGACCTACTTAACAAGCATATTCCTGACACTAAAGAAGAGTGGGAATTCTTCCACGTTATTGAGCTTGGCCGAGCCGTGGTGAAGCTTTGCGAAAGGATCCAGAAGCGTTATCGCAAAAACCCCGAAATTATGGGGGTCAGCCCAATGATGTGTCTCGTGGAGGAGATGTTTCCATCGTATGCTGCAGATGCTCGAGATCTGGTAGCCCGCATCATGGATGTGGCTCAGGGGAAAGGAGAGGACGTTCCAGTCCAGGATGGGTTCGACCTGTATAAAGAGCTCGTCGAGATTCGCCGAATACATAGCGATGCTCTCCCCAATCGACGGTTTGCCTTCCGTATCGAAGAACTTTTGCAAGACTTTGTGTGGAGGTGGATTGCGATGACAGACGAAAATCTGATCGGATGGGTGGAAAATGCCTTCAAGCAGGACCAATTCCTTATTGACTCTCAGAACCCCATTCCAATGGATGATGAGAGGCACAGCGTGTCGGTTGTCGATATCTTCCGGTCGTTTAAGCAGAGTATCGAACAAATTGTCTCCCTGAATTGGGATGATGATCTACAATACGCCAAGTTCATGACGGCTGTCTCTAAGTCTGTAGGTTTGGGGCTCGCAAGATATTGCGAGCTCGTAGAACAGAAATTTACCAAAGAGATGGACAGATTGACTCCAGAGCAAGAGGCTGCGGCACGACAGACAAGGCAAGAGAAGTGGATTTCCATCGCGAAAGATTTGTACACTGGAAAGGACAACGTCGAGCCGTTTCAGTTTTGGCCAGAGGTGAGCGAAGCGAAGCGAATACGTGGTGAAAGTTCTTGTGCTAATGATGTATAGTCCCTTGTGAAGCTCAACAACATTGAATATGCAATGCTTCAGCTTGACAAGCTTGAACGTGAAGTCAATGTTGACGCTTGTGCAGACGTCATTCAAAAGTACGCTCCGCCTCCAACTCAACGTATCCGCAAACCGGACAATTATGTCTTTACCATCAAGATCATCGAGGCTGAAGACCTCAAAGCCTGCGATATCAACGGGCTTAGTGATCCGTATGTCGTTCTTGGCGATGAGTACCAGAAGCGTCTTGCAAAGACTCGCGTGATCTATGGCAATCTCAATCCCCGCTGGGACGAGACGATTGATATCACTACGAATGGCCCGCTCAATATCATTGCCACTATTTGGGACTGGGATACTTTGGGTGACCATGACTGTGTTGGCCGCACATCGCTGAAGCTCGATCCGTCACACTTCAGGGACTTTATGCCTCGGGAGTATTGGCTCGATCTTGATACTCAGGGTCGACTGCTGTTGCGTGTAAGCATGGAGGGTGAGCGAGATGACATCCAGTTCTACTTTGGAAAGGCGTTTAGGACTTTGAAGAGGACAGAGAGAGACATGACGCGGCAGATTACCGATAAGGTGGGTGTTTTGGAAGCATCTAGTCGGGTGCATTGCTTACATCTCACAGCTCTCCTCATTCATCCATCACTGCTTGTCCCGCAGAGCACTCAAGAGCATCTTGTCTAGAGGCATTACAGTCACATCAGTAACAAGCTATTTCCGAGCGGCGCGGCCGCAATCTGTTGCGCAAGGTCCAACGCAGCAGGATGTCACAAAAGCGTTGGAGCCGCTGTTCAACTACTTCAATGAGAACTTTGCCATCATGAAGCAGACGTTGACAGATTCTGCAATGATCATGGTCATGACACGGTTGTGGAAGGAAGTGTTGGCGACGATTGAGTCACTTCTTGTTCCACCTCTTTCTGACAAGCTTTCCCAGCAGCGCCCATTGACGCAACAGGAACTTGATGTTGTGTTTAAATGGCTGAAGGTAGATGTGTTATCTAGTTATTCCTGATATAGTCACTAACGATCTCAGCTACTGTTCGACTTCTTCCACGCCGCAGACGAAGAAGGCAATTCCGACGGCGTACCCATCGACATCCTCAAATCACCCAAATACCACGAACTCCAAAACCTCAACTTCTTCTACTTCGAATCCACCGAAGACCTTATCCGGACCTCCGAGTCCATGGCAGCCGCCAACGCAACCCGGCAACAAGAACAGCAAGCGCGCCTCAACCGCCTCTCGGCACCACCGGCTATGGGCCACCAATTTGGCGGCGCTGCAGGGCTTCTAGGCATGCCGACAAGAAAGCACAAGACTATCATGCTGAGTAAGAATCTAGGGACTATGCGGAAGGCGAAGGAGGAGAAGAGGAAAGAGGCACAGGCTGATCCAAACGATGATATGATTTTGAGGATTTTGAGGATGAGACCTGAGGCTGAGAGGTATTTGAAGGATCGGAGTAGACAGAAGGTGCGCTTTTCTGAAAGGATGGTGCAGTTAATATTTGGGGAATGATCACTAACAATATCCATAGGAGCGATTGGCGGCTGCGCAGGCTGCCGAGATGATTGTTCGACAAAGCTTGAATGCGGGTGGTGGCAGGATGACGGGTACAGGGTTGCCGAGGAAGTTTTAAGCCGGATATGTTGCTGCTGGAAATCCTGTTACAGTTTATTTTGGCTTGTTTGGCGCCTTTTCCCCATGAAAGGATACCTTTGTCTACATCTCATGTTTCTTTCTGTTTCTTTAACGTATTCAGCGGGTTATGGATGGGTAGGCACTAGTTTGGACTGGTTTCCTTTATCGGTGTCGCACCTAATACTAATATGGCGCCTGAATAGGCGTTTTTTTATCGGGTGTGGGTGGAGTTTGGTTGGGGAGTTTCTGGGGATTGTTTTGGGGTGAGGTTTACGGGATATGATTGGGATATTGAGAGGGAATTGTGGTCTTTGGGGATGGGATGGGGTACGGTAGCGCAGGTGGGTTAGAATAGATGATATGAGAATTTGTTACAGCTTTCGAGGGGTGTGTGCTCCTCTATTGTTCCTCTTCTCGAATGGCTGCCGGGGTAAGGGAAAGCAGATGAAGAAACGATCCATGAGCTTACGCAAAAGACACTTTCTTGCTCATTATTTTGGCTCATGTTACGCTACCCGGAATAATTTCCCTTCGAAACCCGTGGTCCAGGGCGGGGAGGTGAATTAGAACCTCACATTTTCTAGTTGCACAGCAGCCATCTAGCAATCCGACTTACGAAACGTCCTTGCCTCAGCCTTCTCATCCGTAACCACATTCGCCGCAATAACTTCGAATGCTGCTGCAAAGTGGATAATGAATTCTGTTCTTAGTGCCTTCTCGCGAAGATAGGAGGCTGTTTGAATAGGAACAATCTGGCCTGCGATGCTCCGTTTAAACATAACGCGGCCACGAAACAAGCACTTGTTTGATCAACCCTCCAGATGGACTTGGAAGCTTATTACTCATGACTTCGACTGGAAGTGATCTTGGACTAGGAACTTTGCGAGGTAGTTGAAATGGTACGAGTGGGCTGTCTGCCTGCATCTGCCAAGAAAAGTCATCCGTCAATATATACTACTCAGATCGTCCCAGTCCTCGAATGTTCGATCTTCAAACAACAATATTTTTTTGCAGCCGAACGAAAGTGACTCGAATACCTCAGCCAACGCAATCTGGTCGCATTATTCCGACTCGTCGAAAGCACACTACTTTCTCCAGGAGTGCGGACATTGGGCATGCGTTCTTCAGCCCCATATCCGCCGAATGTTGGATCTGCTGAGAAATCTGCACGAAAATTACACTGAAGTAGTGTGTCTCAGCATAAGATAAACCAAGAGAAGGAACAATTCTCAACATGCGTCTCACAGGGCAACAGTTTCGAAGATCTCAGAAAGGACGCAAGTTACTGGTGCACATCCTGTAAAAAAAAAAAGGAGGTTAGCGGGGAATTTGACGGAAGAGGCACCAGGAGATATACCAAGAGCGCTCTAGAGTGTATGAGTGTTCTCTCTGAGATAAGGCTTACTTCCTCGACCAAGGCTTTATAAGATACCACTTAACCGAACATCGGCGTAGGAGCTGCTCAGGGGATCGGCAGGTTCAGTACGTCGAAGGCGCTAGAAAGGAACGAAGAGTGAGAGCGGCATGGGGTGTGGCTTTTATATGCATTTCAATACTGACTGGGTTGGTAAATGCAAGCGTATTGTCTGGCATTTCAAGGAAATGGGTAATACCATGGCCAATTGGAAACACGCTTTAGTGATCCTACCGCTGTTTCAGCTACGGCCATGAGGAATGGATAAATCTCTTTAAAGCGAAGAAACTAGTCAACCCCTTCATCGGCTGGAATCTAGATACGACAGGGCGTACGGAGAGATTTCCAGATAGCCACTGCTATGCTCAGCTGCTAGACTTAGATTTGGTACGACTGGCCTTCGTGATAGGCTATTTGACGTAAACCTAAAATTCAAAACGAGGCAGTGAGCTCTGCCATACAGAGTTATACGAGGCGCCAACCAAAGGGACGGAAACTCAGAAGGTAGCTGTCTTCTTTTGTGAATCTGGCAGGTGGTTAGCGAGACTTGGTGTTGAAGAAAAACGCATTGCCATTTGAAATTCGACCCCACGTGACAGCAGCAGCCTTGCTCCTTTCTGATCAGTCAGCCATATGCGCGTTGGCGCCAAGCTGGGACGTGAAAGTGAAAGCTGAGAACAACTGCGACGTGACTGCAACAAGGCTGACCTTCATTGTCAACTTATAAAGGCTCTTTTTCGTCCTCTGTACTAGTTGTCATTGATTTTCAAGTGAAGCCGAAAACTCCTAGCTGATTTTCCGATGATTTAACCAAGACTAAGGCAAGATGGCGCGCCGCCTCGGTCGCGACGAGTACACCGTGGGCTGGGTCTGCGCGTTGCCGGACGAGTTCACTGCAGCACAGGAGATGCTTGACAAAGAGCACCAAGACCTCCCTTCGAACGGCAGCGATGCAAATATATACACGTTAGGGTGCATTGGGGATCACCATGTCGTCCTTGCGTGCCTGCCTGCGGGCCAGACCGGCACTAACTCCGCCGCGGCAGTCGCCATGCAGATGAAGGCCTCTTTCCCGGCTATTCGATTTGGACTGATGGTGGGAATCGGAGGCGGCGTTCCAAGTAAAGGAGCAGACGTTCGGCTCGGGGATATTGTTGTGAGCCAGCCGGGAAAAGGTCATGGCGGGGTGGTCCAGTATGACTTTGGCAAGTCAACGCCAAGCGGGTTCGAGCAAACTGGCTTCCTCAACACTCCACCCCAAGTCCTCCTTGCCGCCATCACAAAGCTTCGATCCAACCAAGATCGAGGGAGAGGGAGTCTGTCGCCACACCTGTCAAAGCTTAGTCGCCTTCGCAAGTTTGCCCGTGATGGAGCAGGAAGCGATGTGCTGTTTAAAGCGGAATGCAATCATGTTGGAGGAGACAGCTGTGTATCATGCGTGGCCACAGGAAAGATACAGAGGGAACAGCGGACGAACAACACCCCCATGGTTCACTATGGCACGATCGCCTCGGGAAACCAGGTAATAAGGGACGGTGTGGTGCGGGACAGGATCAGCTCAGAGTTTGGAGGGGTCCTCTGCTTCGAGATGGAAGCAGCCGGCTTAATGAACAACTTCCCATGTCTGGTAATCCGCGGGATCTGCGACTACGCCGACTCGCATAAGAGTAAGACATGGCAGCCGTACGCGGCCGGGGCCGCCGCAGCGTACGCAAAGGAGCTACTGTTGGTGATTCCCGCAGTTGATGTGGCCAAGACGAAGACGGCCGATGAAGCAACGGGAGGTTAGTGTGGCTACGGCAGTTTTCTATAAAAGAACAAAACTAATTCGCTTCAGGGCGGAGCCAGAAACCTAGTTTCTACCTCCCCTTCCCACAAAACCGCCGGTTTATCGGTCGGAACGCAGAGCTTGATCAGCTAAAACAAAAGCTACTTGTAAATAAAGATTGTCAAAAGGTGGCGCTTGTCGGTCTTGGTGGCATCGGCAAGACGCAGATTGCTCTAAGGTTGGTGTTCTCTGTTAAAGAAGACTGCCCAGAGTGTTCTGTCTTCTGGATGCCAGCGCTGAGTATGGAAACGTTTAAGCAAGCATGCGCGGAAATAGCAAGAGCATTAGGGATACATCAGTCGCAGGAGAGTGAGGAAGACATTAGAAAGCTAGTACAGCAACGGCTAAGCGCAAAGACTGCAGGCAAGTGGTTGCTGGTTGTTGACAATGCTGATGACCTGGACCTCCTCCGCGGAGGTAGGCAAGAGCAAGGCCTATTAGACTTTCTGCCAGAAAGCGATGATGGGCTGACCATATTTACGACTCGGCATTATGAAGTTGCGCAATTTGTAGCCGGCGGCGATGTGGTTGAGGTAGAAAAGATGGAGACACAAGAGGCGATAAATTTGTTAAACAAGTTATTAATCAGAAACAGCCTACCAAACGATACGCTTATGATAGATCTTCTTACTCAGCTGGATTATCTCCCATTAGCCATCACTCAGGCGGCTGCATACATCAACACGAACAAAAGTTCTATCTTTGAATACCTCCGGCTGTTAAAGAACACAGAGCAGGACGCTATCGCTACCTTAAGCAGAGAATTCCACGACAACACACGATACAAACACTCAGCGAACGCGATTGCGAAGACGTGGACAGTAACCTTCAACCAGATTCTGAAGCATGATACGTTGGCGGCAGACCTTCTTGCCTTCATTTCTTTCATTGAATGGAAGGCGATTCCATCTTCGATCTTGCCCGCAATTCGGCCGGAAGCACAGATAGCAAGTGCTATTGGCACGCTTTGTTCTTACTCGTTTCTGGAGAGAAGAGAAGACGGCAAAATATTTGACATGCACAGACTGGTACACTTGTCAACCAGAACGTGGATCAGTCAGAACGGCCGTGGAGAAGAAACGAGGAAGGCGGCATTAAAACACCTCTTAAAAGTCTTTCCATCTAACAATTACACAAATCGTGAGATCTGGCGGGAATACATGCCGCATGTAGCACGTATAAAGAGAGATGAGCAAATTCAACATGAAGAGGAGAAGAGCGAACTCTGTCTAAAGGTTGGGCAGTGCTTATACGTTGATGGAAGGATAAAGGAAGCTGTTATATGGCTACAAGAGTCTTCTAAATGGAGGGAGGCAAATCTTACTAAAGATGATCCTAATACGCTTCTTTCGCAGCACGAACTCGCTGGAGCATATCAAGCGAACGGACAGGTGAAGGAGGCGGTGGAGCTTCTGGAGCGTGTTGTCGCGATA